GAAGGAGATAAAGTGATGACTCAAGAGAGGGGAACAGGAAGAAAAGAAGAAGCAGGGAACACTGACTTCATACCAAGCCTTGTGAAGCCATTTGTGAAGTGATGTGCATCAAAACTCTGATCAGAATAATAAATGAAATCAAATTCAACAGCATGTCCTCTCCCCCAGCAAACCTCTCCTGGTCTCCCGGCACGGCGCTTCTATACTTTGATATTCAGGAAAGCGTCCTCTGCAGTTCTACTCTTGGCACCCAACTGTCCCTTTCTTTGTTTTGTAATCAAATCCTTATTTATTCATGAATTCTTAGACTAACTACTATCTCATTTCAGAAGCATCATGACATTTTGATATTTCAACTTAATGCCAAAGAGGGAAAAAATCCAATAAAATGTAAAAAAAAAAAAGGTAAATAGCAATAAAAGAATAGCTAATACCTGTTGAGTAATTGCTATGTGAAAGGCATGTGATAAGAATCTACGAATAAATCAGAGTGTTGGTTTATTCTTGTTCTACAGTAAAGATTGCAGATAGACCAGGAAAATGAAGTTGAGCTTTCATCCGTAGTTAGAGTATTGCTCCAGACTAGCAGCTGCAGAACTTAATAAGCAACCACTCACTGTGGCGTGGTGGGTAAAGCCGCCACCTGCGATGCCAGCAACCCATATGGGTGCTGGCTCGAGTCCTGGCTACTTCATTTCTGATCCAACTCCCTGCATTTGCACCTGGGAAAGCAGTGGAAGATGGTCCAAGTACTGGGGCCCCTGCACCCATGTGGGAGACCTGGGATAAGCTCCTGGCTCCTGGCTCCTGGTTTCAGTTTGGCACAGCTCTTGCTATTGTGGCCAAATGCCCTGGAATGAACCAACAAATGAAAGATCTCTCTCTCTCTCTCTTTCTCCATCTTTCTCTGTAACTCTGACTTTTCAAATAAATAAAATAAAACTTTAAAAAAGAAGGTGGCAGTGTTTTTCTTGAGGTGAATAGGGGGACAGTGTAAGTTGTTTGCTGGTGCACGTGTTCCTGTGTACTGTGGTAGGAACATGATCTGCTCTGCCATGACTCTCAGTACTTGTGTGCTTTGCAGATTACGACAAGCAAGCCAATTTAGATGGGTCTTTGCCACTTTATTTTAGAAGGGATTGATCTCAAGGAGTCTAGCCATGGTCTTTTCTTGTGAACTCATTCCTGGGCCCCTAACTTCTAGATCCTGCCCTGGGACATGCCTTTTACTATCAATTCGTCTCAAGTCCGTCTTTTTATTTTTATTTTATTTTTAAAAGAGAGAAGCAGAGGCAGAGAGAGAGAGAGAGAGAGAGAGAGAGAGGTCTTCTATCTGCTGTTTCACTCTCCAGATGGCTGTATTGGCTGGAGCTGATCGGAAGCCAGGAGCCAAGAGCTTCCTCTGGGTCTCCCATGCAGGTGCAGGTGCCCAAGGATTTGGGCCATCTTCTACTGCTTTCTCAGGCCATAGCAGAGAGCTGTACTGGAAGTGGAGCAGCTGGGACTCGAACTGGTGCCCATACAGGATGCCAGTGCTGCAGGTGGCGGCTTTACTTGCTACGCTACAGCACCGGCCCCAAGTCCATCTTTTTATTTCCGTAGTGTTTTCAAAAGTAATGGATGAAGGGTGTCTCAGTCTTTCAGGTCTCCTGTAATAGAAATACTATAAATTGTAAGGTTTATAAGTGTTAGAAATTTATGTAAAATTTTTTATTTATTTGGAAGAGTGACAGAGAGGGAGAGACAGATTTTCCATTGTTTCACTCCCCTAAAGGCTGCTGCAACAGTCAGGCTGGGCCATTCTGAAGCCAGGAGTCTGGAACTACATCCTGGTCTCCCATATGGGTGGCAGGGGCCCAAGTATTCAGGCCATCATCTCTTGGCATCATCCCAGGCACAATAGCAGGGAACTGGATTGGAAGTGGAGCAGCTGGGACTCAAACCAGCACTCCAATATGGGATGCTGGCATCGCAAGGGTCAGCTTAACCTACTGCACCAGAATGTGGACTTCAGAAATTGACTTCTAGTAGTTCTGAAGGCTGGAAGTCAGGTGCCAGCAGCTCATATTCTGTGAGACTCTGATGAGGGTGGCAGATTGCCATCTTCTCATAACCTCACGTGGCAGACAGTGGGCAAAGCAGCTCTCTGGGGCCGCTTTGGTAGGGGCACTAACCCCATGCATGGGCTTCCATCCTTCCACCTTTCCACCTCCTAACCCTACCTACTGAGGGGTGGGAATGGTACAGGGGTTCAACAATGAGTTCCCAGGGGCTCCGTATCATCCCATAACAGAAGAGTGAATATTTTTCCCATCAGATTGTGCAGACTTTCCAAGGCTGATTGTCCCTAAGGTTACTCAGATGTGTGCACACAGGAACTCTCAGTTTCTACTAGTGAAATCTACATTAGTGCAAGGACTTTGGATAGCAACTTGACGACCTATCGATTTTCAAACTGTATGTATCATATCTGCCTCAGTAATTTTATAAATTTCTTAAATGTCATACAAGTATCCAAAGATACTGTGTAGAGATGCTTACTTTGTGTTTTGCATTGTTTTGTCATAGCAAAAAACTTGAGACAACCTAAGTGTGTATGAATGAAGTAATGATTAAACAAATTACACTCTAAATTTCAATATATTTTCCAAAGTTAAAGGAAGATATATCTAAATGAAGTTTCATAAAAGATGCCTATCATATATTGTTAAGTATAAATTTATGTCAGTATCTACAATGAAACTGTTTGAGGGGTGGGTGTTGTGGCACAATGTTTAAGATGCCATTTGGGATACCTGCATCCCATATCAGAGTGTCTGGGTTCGAGTCCCCACTCCACTTGCCATCCAGCTTCCTGCTAATGAGCACCCTGGGAGTCAGCAGGTGATGCTCAAGTACTTGGGTCCTTGCCAGTCCCATGGAAGACCTGGGTGGGGTTCCAGTCTCCTGGCTTTGGCCTGGCCCAGCCCTAGCTGTTATGGGCATTTGTGGGAGAGAACCAGCAGAAGGAAGGCCTCTCACTCTGTCATTCTGTGTTCCAAATAAACAGAAACAAAGAAAGAAAACTTTTTGAAAAAGAAACTGAGACTTAACATTGACTACCTTTAAGGTTTATGCTTATTTTTTACCTTATATAATTTTATACCATGCTTCTTTTTTTATTTTTAAAAATTTTTTTTTTGACAGGCAGAGTGGACAGTGAGAGAGAGAGACAGAGAGAAAGGTCTTCCTTCGCCATTGGTTCACCCTCCAATGGCCACCGCGGCCAGCGCACCGCGCTGATCCAATGGCAGGAGCCAGGTGCTTCTCCTGGTCTCCCATGGGGTGCAGGGCCCAAGGACTTGGGCCATCCTCCACTGCACTCCCTGGCCACAGCAGAGAGCTGGCCTGGAAGAGGGGCAACCGGGACAGAATCTGGCGCCCCGACCGGGACTAGAACCCGGTGTGCCGGCGCCGCAAGGCGGAGGATTAGCCTAGTGAGCCGTGGCGCCGGCCTACCATGCTTCTTTCAAAAGAGCCCTGCCCTGTCTAATTTTCCCTTTAACAACACCTTTTAAATCATGTAATGAAACGTAAATCCCAATTCTTTTAGGTTGCAGCTACCTAGTGAATGATCTCATATTACACAAATATCCCTTAGTCATAGACCTCTGAGAACACACATGAGCAGTGAAGGTAACAAAATGATGTTGAATTTCATTCACCCCTATTGGAATCATGGAAAGGGGAGAGGTACATATGTTTGAGACATAAGATTAGTTCCCAAGATTTAACGAGAACTTTTATGCTATGTTTAGTTTCAAATCCCCATCAAGATGTGAGTGGCCCAGAGGGTTTTGTCTGGATTCAGGAACAACCCAGAGAAAGAACAGTTCTTTGTCCTGCAACAGCTTGTGATTTCTGATGCCCTGTGTCAGGACACAGAGACCTATAGACAGAATTAGATTTTAAATTTTAAAAATAGTTCAGGGGCAAAGAAAGCACAAGAGTGAGAGTTATGAAGGTACTTCAAGAAGTTCCTGACAAAACTGAGTTAAAAGTTTACTGTAGTTTAAAACATGTTTGAAATCCATGCAGTTTTTTGAGGATACACATTTCCCGTGTACATTTTGTAGTACCTCTGTAATATGGAAATTGTGATAATTTTTACAAAATAAATTTTAAATTCTGACTTGCCCAACAGGGCAGTATTTCCTCCTGGTAATTTACTGGTTTCCGTTTTATCTGCTCTTGCTGCTCAGAAATTGAGTCTTTTTGTGCTGCATTCACACTTTGCTTCTAGGATCCAAGAGTCAGCAGATTTAATGGAATATCAGTAACCCAGGCCCACTGAAGATGGATGCGAATGTCTAGCAGCTGGCCTTACCTTGAGATGTTGAAGGCAATGAGTGTAAGGATTTTAATGAGGGCAGTGATTTTTGAATGACTCCCTGGTTCGGGAATAGGAAAATCAGGAGCCTAATCTCTCTACGCCCTGTGGATACCTTACCTAGTGTCTCATCAAATATTTTCACCTAAAACTTCAGTCATCACATTTTTAAAAATTGATATTGCCAATCTAGTGTTTTCTAGATCTTAATTCCTCAGCTTCTCTCAGTATCAACACAGGTCATTTACCTGTAGCTCAGCTTTGTGTAGGTGAGAACATTTACCTGGTCACCTTGAGAGGGTGAGAACGGTTGCCTCCATGAAGACTGGGCAAAGGACGCAAAGAGAACAGTTATGGGAGGGCCAAAGCCTCTCAAAGTCATGGTCATTTTCTCCTAAATTCTTTTGCATGTGTATGGGATTGAACAGAGCCACAGTAAATGAGAAATTAACCCTGAATTTGAACCTCAGAGCCTGGGAGTTAGGTAAAATTCTGCTGCATTTCAATAGTTCTAAGCAAGCAATTTGTTACCCTTTATCCTTTAGTGGAATTGATGAACAGGTGGTTTTCAGAAGATCACTCAGTATATTTAGCTTCTGAAATTTGAGCAAGGCAAGCTGTGATTGGCTGCTCCGGTCACATGATCATTCAGAGACCAGGCACCACGCTGGCTCTCAGCTCTTGCCTGGGGTGCTCAGGAGGGGAGAGGTGGGAGAGGCTTTGCTGCTGAGGAAATCTGTTTGGTAGATTGAAGGTAAGGCCAGCTTCTGCCTGTTTCTGTCATGTGCTTTCAGGAGGCCGCCCACCATGTTCCCTGAAGTATTGTTCAGAGTTTTGGGTCATAACTGGGGAACGTGGTGATGGAAATGGTGGCTAGCAAAGTCTGTAGCCCCCTGCTCCCCCAAAGCCTACTAATTCTGACTTGCAGAGTGTGTGATGAGGGTCAAGTCCTACACTAACTGACTTATGGCTCAGCCAAGTTGGCTGTCTTGTCTCTCTCTCTCTTTTTTTTTTTTTAATTTCTTGCCTTCAGTTTTTTTGCCCCTAAATGTATTAGTAGGAAAGAGATCTATATTTTCTATGCTCCTATATTTATCCTGTTCCACTGGGCTTCATGTGCCTCTGAAGGAGTGGCAGTTTCGCTAGCTTAACAAAACCAGCCACCGCGGGGGATTGGTTTACATGGCAAACATCTCTGGGTGAAGGGACAGCTGCTCCGAGTCGTCATCCGCTGGTAGCCAGCGTCCCATTGCCTGGTGTCAACGGCGAAGGCCTTGAGCGGGCCTGTCGTTACTTCCCGAATTAGAAGCGCGGGCCAAGACCTACAGTCTTACATGTTCTTCAAGCAATGCTCTAAAGCCTTGTTACTTTTCAGGTTTGGACAAGCGCTACGGAGAGAGAAAAATTCATACAAGCCAATGGTGTTCGGGAAGAAAATAAGCCTGTTGCCTTGAGGTTGCTCTTTTTCATTGAAAATTTATCAGCAGATTTCTTTTCATGTGCTGTGGTGTGAATCATAAGATATGTTACGTACAGTGAATTACAGCAGTATAGAAAACCAAATTTGGTGTGATAAGTTCTAGCTTCTAAAAACCAGACTGACCTCCTTTTCAGTAAAATTTTTGCCTGAAAAATGTTTCTTTTTTTCTCAAGTGTTTGCAAGTTTAAATTCTCTCTTCCTTGAGTCCCAAATCCTTCATTTCCTTAGTTCAATTTGCTTTTACAGCTTTATCTAAATTGTTCACGTAGAAATAGCTTTACTTAACCCATTACTGATGCAATAAGGAGAAAGAAATATGAGGCTTCATTGTATGGACCTACATTTTAAAAATCTCCCTAAGTCTGCAAAAATATATAAATATCTAGAATAGACTAGATTTTATTTCTGTTTTTATGATGCTATAAAACAATTTCTGTATTGGGGATAGATTCTAATGTGTTTTCATTTGTATGGCATATGAAAAGTTTGTAGGTGCCACTACTACTCTGGGAAAATGGCAGATGACGAAGAATATGAGGAGGTGGTGGAGGTAAGATTTAAATAAAACAGTTGACAGCTAAGTGGTTTATGTAGTGACAATCAAAGTCGTGTAGGTGAAGTAATCATTCGCAAAATACATCATCTATTATAATTCCACAAAGACTCATCAGTAAAGCCTAAGAAAGGAATATTTTACGTTCAGTTTCACTATAATTATGTGAGAAATAGAACTGAAAGGAAATATCATTGTTTCCTACTTTTGCTTTTCTTTAAACTCCCAAAAGAGAAAACCCCACAAAGTATAGGTGGGTTTTAGTTTGTGATCTAAAACTGCTTTACTCCCCACTTTGCAATCTCACTGATCAAAGGGACAGAGGTGATGAAGGGAACAGTCTGAACACCGGGCTGTTTCTCAGCATAGTGACAGGAAAAAGCTACTGCTTACTCTCGGCTTCAGCTTGTTGATTATCTATAGGGCAATGTGGGTTAATTATTCAGAATGATCACACATAGGAGGTTATCTACATATATGAGGTATTATACATGTATACGTGCATGCATGTACACAGACACAAACACTCATGAATAAATAAACTCATGAAGGTCATACATGACAGTTGGGACCACACTCTCCCAGCTACGCCATTGTATTCACCCGAGAGAACAAGACTAGTGTTTGCTTTTGGATTTTAAATAAGAACAAAGACCACGTTAGCTTGAAATATTTCCTCCAGATTATTAGTAGACATCTGACACACTTTACAAGCTTGTTACTTATTTTATATTTAGTTTATATCATTTTGTTTTTATCATATTGCAAATTTTCCTTTCACTTCACATTGTAGAAATAAAATCTAATCACTTGGGACTACAATCTGCATAGATACATTGCCATGAATCTAAGAGTACTTAAAAAGGACCAATTAATTATGAATATATAAACATGAAAACCTGGGACTCTTGGAGGTGGTTTTGAAAATCTGTTTTTTCAAAAGACGGAAATTAATGACTAGAGCTGCTCGGAATAAATTCCAGATGAAAGTATCAAGATTAGTCTCCGGAAAATTATATTACTGAGCAATCTATATCTAGATGAATAAAATTCTGTTTTATTCTACAAATAAAATTGCTGTTGTTAGTGAAGGGTATGGATAAAATGCACTCGTCATATAGAATTAGTCTCATACAATATAACAGTCAGTCTCTCTGGTTTAAATGTAGATGGTGACATTCTCCATCTTCAATATTACCACTAGTGAGCATTTTACTTATGTTCCAAAAGGTCAGACTAATAGGTATCTAACACACAATTGTAAATTAAATTGTCTTCCCAATGACGATAATACCAGGAACAATCTAAGCTTCCAACTTAAATGTTCTTTGTCTTCCTTAAAATAGTTGTGTTCGTTTTCCCTGGATATTATCCTTAGTGCTAGACTTGATGGATTTAACTAGGTGTCATAAAAACGGAAGGTGCTTTTTTGGGCATCCTATCCTTGCCATTTTACTCTCATTATTGTTTCTAGTTCTGGCCAGCAGGTGCTAAACTAATAGGCTACCCACCAGACAGTGCTGAACCGAGGTCTTTTTGACCTTAAAAAAGATCATGACAGTGACATGAGGCAGATGAGAAAATGGTTGGGGAAGAGTTTAGAAAACAGAAAGAATCTAGCTTTAAAAATATATTTCATAGGGAGCTTGGCCATCTGAAATGTATTCTGTCACTCTTTACTCAAACTTAAACTTGGAAAGAAAGAGAAAGAAGCAAGGATCTAATTAGTGGCACAGCTCTGAAAAAAAAAAAAGAAGTGAGATTTGGCATACAAGTGAATGCCAACCGTTTGGATAATGTTGCTGGTTTTGCAAGCTTATTTCTAAGATGTATTTACCAGTTGTGAGAGCCCAGCAATGGTGAAATTGAATGGCTCCTGAAATACAGCTTTTCCTTGGGTGCTAAGAAAATCCAAAATAGTTACGAATCATTCATTTTGGTCGCTGATGTTTTGTGTGACCAGAGGAATGACTGCAAGTAGTGTTGGCATCAAACAGTATTTCCTAATATCTTCAGTGTTGAAATGACAAATATAAAAGAATAATTCTCTATCCTGAAGAACTCATGATTTCTGTTGTTATGGGTAAGGACATGCAGGAAAAATATGAGACTTTAAAGTAGCACAAGAACATGAAGGCACATGAATGAGGGACACTAGGCAACTTTTACAGGGGAGTAGAACAGGTGGCCTCTTGTCAGCAGTGACACAACTGGGCCATGGTCTGCTGCACCGAGGGCAGAAGGAAGGCCACTGAGGGACATCTTGACTCTCAGCATTTTCCTTCCTTTTAGAAAATGTTCTGTTGGCACAGATAAGAAAAAACAAAACATACAATGAGATGCGTTTTGTGGACTGAGAAAATGAGCTGAGCGTTTCGTTTTTATCCCTTTTGTTGTGTGCCTTGGCCTGCAGGGGCCTTTCCTTCTCTGTGCCCTGCAGAGCGAGACATGGATGGGGCAGAATTCCACTCCCCTTACGCATCTGAAACAAAATGTCAGCCAGTTTCTATGTGCATCTATTTATTGCTGATGATGTCAGACGTAGAACAAAAGTAGACTCTGTCTCAGATCCTGGCTGCAGGCATCTCGGAGCCTTCAGCAGTAAGTAGCAGCCTTGCTTCCCCATGTTACATGGTGGAGTCTTCTCACTGGCTTCCTTCTTCCCTTGGTGTCTACAGAGCTTCATCTTAGCACCTGTTTGGGGCCATCACACTGTTGAAAAGGACTCACCCAGGACTACGGAAGAAGTTCTTGTTCTTTAATATGCAGAGGGGTAGAGAAATAACTGAGATGTGTGTATGCTTTTGGATCTTATTATTTCCATGATAAAATCCCTTGAAACGTTTTGTTTACACTGGGGTTTCTGTTTCGCTGTTAGCAAGCAGTGAGTCTTATTGACGCTCCTCCTTGTCCAACCACACACTCAGAACACTGTTCTTGACGCCGTAAAATGGCTTCCCCTGATTGGATAGCAGCCCACGACACCTTGCTCGTCTCTCTGCATCTCTTTGCCCAGTTTAATAATGCTCATTTTAGCTTTCATGGGGCTTCACGTGGTGAAAGTGCAGGCCCCCTCACTTCCGCCTTTCCTGTAGCTATTCCAAGCCAGCAGAGCTAGTGAAGGGACCTCAGTGTGCAGCAGAGACAGAGGGAGCTGGTTTTCTCTGGTTCTCAGGCCACTGCCTCTGCTCTATTCACAGTACTACACGGAGGAGACAGTTTATGAAGAGGTGCCCGGAGAGGTAAGGCCCAGCCACGCCTGCATGGACTGCGTTCTCATTGAAGCACAAGGGAACTTCTCCTCTCTTAGACTTCCCGGGGCCACGGAGATGGCCAAAAAGCATTTTCTGAGTGAGAGTCACTCACCTATCTATGCCCAGACACTGGTGATGAAAGAACAAATATTACCTGTCGACTGGTGGTCTCACTGTTGATGTATCCAAGATGGCAGGGCGTGGTCCCTCCTGTTGATCACGTGTCATTTTCTGTGTAGACAATGCTAATAAGATTAACATCAGCGGCTGTTCTTATTCTCCCACTGCAGCAGGAGGGATGGCCTAGGCCTTCTGATTGGCTTAGGGACCAGCTGTTTCATTGTGGAGTCCCATCTTTGCCCCTAGCATGGTGGCTCTCAGGCTTTGGCCCTGATGACACAATGAATTGCTACTCAGATTTTAACACTTGAGAATTCTGAGAAAGCCATGGCCATAAATATTCCAAGTTGGAACTCCCACCAGCCCTGTCTCGCTAGGTGAAATCCATCTCCAGCGCTTCATTTTCTGCATGGAGTGGCTTCTCTTGGAGTGTGACGAATTGGGATGTAGACAGCTAATTCTGAAGCCTGCACCCACAGCCTGCAACTGCATGAAGCTAACATCCGTATTTGCTCTCAATTGGTTAGTTTCTCACAGTAATCCATGCATTAGCCGTAATGGGCAGGCAGCAACCTGTTAGCAGTGATTGGACAACACTAAGGGGAGTTTTCATGGATGTACAATTTCCTTGTTAAATTTTTTTTTCATTATTGACATTAAAACTCTCCTTTTGGTACAGATGATATTAGTTGTGAATGAAATGATATTGTGAGAGGAATTGAAGACTTGGCTGCCTATCTTTCATTTTCAAAATGAAAAATACTATTTTCATTTACTTGAGAGGCAGAGCAACACACACACACACACGCACACACAGGTTTCCATCCACTGCTTCACTCCCCAAATGCCCAGACCAACCAGGGCTGGACCAGGCTGAGGCCAGGAGCCCAGAAATCCATTCAACCTTCTACATGGGCACCAGCAGCCTAGGCACATAAGCTATCATTTGGTGCTTCCTAGGTGCATTAGCAGGAAGCTGAATTGGAAGCAGAGTAACCAGGACTTGAACATACACTTTGATAAGGGATACGGTTCTCTCAGAGACCTGGACTACCTTCCACTGCCTTTCCCAGGCTACTAGCAGGGAGCTGCATTGGAAATGGAGCAGCTGGGACACGAACCAGTACTCAATGGAATGCCAGCATGGTGGTGGCTTTACTCACACCACAATGCTGGCCCCCATTATCTTCTTACATGCAGTGCTTTTTATTTTAATTTACAAGTTATGTATTTGAAAGGCAGAGACAGAACAAGCTCCCATCTGCTGGTTCACTCCCTAGACACCCGCAACAGCTAGGGCTCTGCCAGGCCAAAGCCAGGAGCTGGAAATTCAGTCTCCCATGTGGCTGGCAGAGACCCAGCTACTTGAGCCATCACGTGCTGCCTCCCAGGATGTGTGGTAGTAGGAAGCTGGAGTCTTGAGCAGAATCAGAACTCAAAGCCAAGTGCTCTAATACAGAATGTGGGTATCCCAGTGGTGTCTGCATTGCTGCACCGGATGCCCACCCCAGCATGCAGTATTTTTAACCTTGGTCTAGACTCAAATATTAAGTCTTCTTTTCTTCTGGAATAGCCTATTGTCAGAAATGGTGATTTTCCACCTACTACATACGCAAGACTATTGTGAGAATAATTCCCCATTACGTTGTCGTCATTAGTCTTGTCCACCCAACCATTTATTAGTGTTAAGGGCACTAATTTTACATTAGTTTTTAACTAAGTCTAGAGAATGGTAGTCACTTATAATATTTTAGCCATTTTTGTTTTTTCAGTCTGTTATTCTTTGTCTCATACTACAGTGGAGAATGCCTACAGAACAAGCAACTCATTTTTTCTTGATTATTTAAAAGTTAATATTAAAGTCACTAATTTGAGCTTTATTCCTTTCTCTTAATCTTTCATCCCCAAATTCCAAATTTGCTTTTACTTCAGCCAGACAACTTAAGAAGATTTTCAAATGTTGGAGAATATATTATTTCTGATTTTTGTGCTACCTTGAAGTGTTTGAGTGGCTTTTTGTAAATGTAATGTTTAGGCTGTGTTGCAGATTAACAGAAGTAACCATTTCACTCTGTACTGTCTCTGAGGATCAGTGTTCAGATTTATGTAACCTGATAACCTTCATGAGGAAATGGTGTGTGGTTTCTTGCTTTGACCTATGTGGGATATGGAGAAGTAACACCAGGAATGTAAATCTGACTCAGAACTAGAATAATGTATATTAAGATCATGGTCCCACAGGTTTTTTTTTTTTTTTCTTCCATAACAATATTAACTGTGTGTGAAAATTTCAGACGATAACAGAAATCTATGAAACTACGACAACAAGGACCACATCTGACTATGGGCAATCGGAAACTTCCAAACCAGCGCTGGCGGAGCCAGCACCGGCAAAGCCGGTGGAGAGGAAGAAGGTCATCCGGAAGAAAGTGGATTCTTCAAAGTTCATGACCCCCTACATTGCACACAGTCAGAAAATGCAGGATCTTTTCAGCTCAGTAAGTTCAAAACAACTTCTGACAACCTGGGTTTATTACTGAGAAATCACTGGTCTGTTTGGGATGATGGCTAGATTCTGTTTTTTAGCTTTGTATGAAAACAGAGTGTACTTTGCAGTAATATAAGCTCTTTATTATGACTCTTGGATTTTCCTTTCATGTAATTCATTTGTACCATTGCAGCATCAGGGAAAGCTTCCTTATTGAAATTATTCCGGCAAAATGGTCAGTTATAAAACATTTATTAGTATTTAATCACTCTGAGTTAGCCAATCTAGAATGATGAAATCAGAAATATAGATTTGATGTTAGTTCATTGAAACTAAATAACTTTGTACACTATTTCTGAGCAGAAGAGCCTCTTTTTACCTTTTTAAAGATTTATTTATTAGAAAGTCGGAGTTACAGAGAGAGGAAGGGAAAGGCAGAAAGAGATCTTCCATTCGTTGTTTCACTCCCCAGATTGCCTCAAACACCAGGGCTGAGCCAGGAGCTTCTTCCAGGTCTCCCATGTAGGTAACAGGGGTACAGTACTTGGGCCATCTTCCGCTGCTTTTTCCAGGCCATTAGCAAGGAGCTGGATTGCAAGTGAAGCAGCCAGGACACGAGTCGGTGCCTATATGGGATACTAGTGTCACAGATGGTGGCTTTACCTGTTACGACACAATGCTGGCTCTTATTACTTATTTGAAGGAGGGAGGGCAGGGAGAGGTGTGGGGGGGGGAACAAACGCATGCTTTTCCACTTGCTGGCTCATTTCCCAAATGCCTGCAGCAGCCAGGGCTAAAACCAGGCTGAAACCAGTAGCCTGAAGCCCCATGTGGGTGTTAGGAACCCCAGTACTTGGACCACCTTCTGCTGCCTTCCCAGGCTCATGGGCAGGAAGCTAGGTTGGAAGCAGAGAAGCCAGGACTTGAATCAGCACTCTGATATGAGATGTGGGCATCCCAAGTGGTGGCTTAACCCACTGTGCCACAATGTCTACTCAGAGCCTCTTAAACAGACAAGCTAAATGTGTGTAAGAAGAACCTTAAGAGGTTAGAATAGTGAGGAACATGTAGCTTAGAAAACTAAGGGCAGACTAAACTCTTTGGAATTAAGGACCAGAATGTGTGTGCCCTAGCACAAGAGTTTTTAACTGGGACCACACAATGACTCCTTTGGGACCTTTGAAACAGCCTGCTCAGGTCATTCTGGTTAAATTGTTCTGGGGCTGCAGCCTGTGCAGAAGGAGTTGGAAAAGCTGCCTGGATGATTCTAATGTGCAGGTTGAGAATCGCTTCTCTTGATGGTTCATAGTCCTTGGATTTCCATATCCAGTGCTGCAAGTTGAACTGATTGGAAACTGATTTAGATCCATTCCCATGGATCTAATTTGTTAACTGTCCATGGTGGGCTGAGGTCTGACTTGGTGGCTTGACTGCACTTCCTCTGGAGGCTTAAGAAATGAAATATAGAAGAATGCTGGATTATCTAGGACTGAAGTTTATATCAAAGGCATCCTGTTGTGATTGGCTAATGAATACTCACTTTTGGTTAAGTGTTAACTGCTTCACATTCTTAGGTCAATTTCTTTTGTAGATTCTTGAATGATCTAAGACTTAGGTTCCTAAAACAAGATTTTAATTCCTCCTTTACCACTGCAATATTCCACAAAGAAATTTTTTGCCAATTTGTTGCCAAAAATCTCATTAATTCAGACCCTATGATCCTAGAATTTTGGATATTCTGAACAGAATGCTGGCAAAGGTCTCTGATAGTTTCAAAGTGGTTGGTAACAAGTAGTGTAATTTAAATTGTTAACCACTCCACTGCCTTTGAAGTTTTAATGATGATAAGTTATGCACATTATTGTTAAAGCAAGAATTTCTTGTATATTTACCAGAAATAATAATATTGAATTCTGTTACACAATAGTCCCTAATTCAGAGTTTCCATTAATTCAGCTAGTGTCCCAGCTACTCAAACCACTGAGGGTTAGCTGCAACTTCTGAATGAGTATTTTTGTATTATATTAGCAATCAGATCTTTACAGACTCAAGTTCTATGTTTTATAAAACAATTGAAACTCAGGTGATACACACACATACACATATATGAATTTAGACAAAAAAAAAAAAACCCTCAAGAGAATCATTTTAGGACACTTTCAATAAAATAAGCTGTAATGAGTTTCTGCTGTCTCCAGGATCCAATTGTGTTTAGGAAGAGCAATTAACAAATCTATTTCAGTATTCTTAAGAGTCAGGGAAGGGAACAAAAAGAAAGCTGTTATAACTGATAATTGTAACTTGGAGTTTCTTCATTTTTAATCAGGTAGGGATGCGTGTGTTGCCTGAAATTCCTGCTGCTACTTGTCAGGTTTTAGGCTAATATCTGATATCCTTTTCAGAATAAATACAAGGAGAATTATGAGAAAGCAAAAGGACAGCCATATGCCAGCACATCCGATACCCCAGAACTTCGCAGAATCAAGAAAGTACAAGATCAACTCAGTGAGGTGGGCTGCATCACAGAAAAAGGAGAAAGACATTTCAAAAATATGTGATCACTGCGGGAGGAGAGCTCTAAGTATTTGTAGGGAGCAAGGAATGGAATTATTGTTGAATTATTCCAGAAATGCAGCACAAGCTCTGGTCGCAGTTATATTGCTGTAAATGTGAACCCAGAGAGACTTCTAAGGGTGTGGCTTAACAATTTAGTTTGAGTGGAAACTGTGAGATGGATGCTCCAACTCAGTCAATGTGGTTCTCCATACTGGAGGGCGGTGAGGCCAAGAAGCAGCCACCAGCTAGATGTTTAGCCAGGAAAGCAAATAAGCTGTAGATATGGGTGCTCCAAGGATCTTTGAAGATTGCCATTTTCTAGCTAAAATGAAGAGATTTTGCTTTATGATACAAATTTTTAGTCATTGGGGTTAATGCTCTTTAATACTACATATTCATGCCTGTCGTGAACTCTGATTATGCATTTCTTTTGTAGGTTAAGTATCGAATGGATGGCGATGTTGCTAAAACTATTTGTCACGTAGATGAAAAAGCAAAAGATATTGAACATGCAAAGAAAGTGTCGCAGCAAGTCAGTAAGGTAAGGACAAGGTGGGGATGACTGGGGTATGAAACAGTATATGCATTGCTTCTGCCTTGTCTAAGAGGGAAAAAAAACCAGGCAGGCCTGATCCTGCTCAGAAGTCCTATAGGCAGTGTGAATGCAATGCCCACATGCACCAGGAAGGCTACACAGATGACCAAGGTGGTGCCCACAGAAGCTATGGGTGGATTAGAGAGTCCATGCCCTGCCCAAAGATGCAGCTGGAACTCAGCACCAGGCAGTCACTGCAGAGAACAGTCTCACGTCACTGGAGTCTCTTATTTCTTTTTAAAAGCAGTCAGGATCTAGATTTTTATGAGAAATTTTCGAATTTCAAGTGTAGGCAACTAAATAAAATAAATTTAAATACCATGCAAGTCAAAAGAAACATGTCTACCAGCCAAATTGAGCCAATGACTGACTGGTTGCCATCTCTGGAAGGGATCTATAGCGAATCAGAATCATGATTTAGTTCAAAACATGAGAATTTTCAAGTCAACACTCAATAAGGCAGGAAAAGTATTACAGGATGTTGACATGGTCAGTGTTCCGGTAACATGTCAGCAGCCTTCATGTGAGGACACCTCTGTGACTCTACCTTTTTTCTTTAAATCCTCATGCCCTTGGGTGAAGCATCAAGCCATTGACACTCTGCTGTTTCTATCTAGGTTTTATACAAGCAGAACTGGGAAGACACCAAGGATAAGTACCTGCTTCCCCCTGATGCCCCTGAACTTGTCCAGGCCATTAAGAACACAGCCATGTTCAGTAAGGTAAGGGCCCCTGCTCCATCACCAGTACTTGGTCTTGTTTTTGTTTTTTAGATTTATTTGAAAGGAAGAGTGACAGAAAGAGAAATATCTTTCATCTACTGGTTCACTCCTCAAATGGCCACAACAGCCAACTCTGGGCTAGACCAAAACCAGGAGCCAGGAATTCCCTCCAGATCTCCTTCATGGGTGGCAGGTGCCCAAGTACTCAGGCCATTTTCTGCTGCCTTCCCGGGTGCATTAGCAGGAAGCTGGATCAGAAGTGGAATAGCCAGAACCTGGAAGGTCACTACATGGGATGTTGGTGTCATAAGAGGGAGCTTAACCAGCCATGCCCTACCAGCCCCTCCGTCTCCACTTGAGTCTTCCTGTGTCATCCTACCAAATACACTACAGCAGTACCTAGTAAATGCATGGTAATCCAGAATACAGTCCCCCAATCTTTTTTGTGCGTAACCTTTAGATATGTGGGAGTGTAGGAAAGGGGCTTGGCAAGGAGGGGCTGAGAGAACTCTGGGACAGTGGACTGGAGACAGTCCTTCGGGAACTTGAGCAACCCAGTGGGAAGTGAATAGGGATGATGAAGATACGCCTGGCAAACAGCCAAGAGAGCTGCATAGTAGCTCTGTAGACCCAGTGTTGTCACTCTTATGACAGGTTTATTTTTGTGACAGAAACTATGTGAGCTGCCTCCTGGCTCCTCATAGCCATGTTAGCACTTGTTGCAGAAGGCAGGAAAAGTAATAGAGAGGACATAAAACACATCTTCCCCACCCAGAATGAGATTTATTAGGAGAAGCCAGAGAAGCCTTTTGTGTGTAAGTTTTTTTTTTTTTTGACAGGCAGAGTGGACAGTGAGAGAGAGAGACAGGAGAGAAGGTCTTCCTTTGCCGTTGGTCACCCTCCAAATGGCGCCGCGGCCGGGCCCCGCGGGCGGGCACCGCGCTGATCCGATGGCAGGAGCCAGGAGCCAGGTGCTTTTCCTGGTCTCCCATGGGGTGCAGGGCCCAAGCACCTGGGCCATCCTCCACTGCACTCCCGGGCCACAGCAGAGGGCTGGCCTGGAAGAGGGGCAACCGGGACAGAATCCGGTGCCCCAACCGGGACTAGAACCCGGTGTGCCAGCGCCGCTAGGCGGAGGATTAGCCTAGTGAGCCGCGGCGCCGGCCCAGAGAAGTTATTAATAAAAATGACTTGGATGGATAGCAGGGGAAGTTATCTGTGAATTTTATTTACCTTTTCTGAAACCTTGCCCTTGGTTCTTTTTGCTGTTAATGGATGAGATAAAGGCTCTGTATTTCATGTAAAAATGATCTCACCTTCTCATACCTTTTCCTTCTTTTCCAATTTAGAAACTTTACACTGAAGATTGGGAAGCAGACAAAAGTTTGTTTTACCCATATAACGACAGCCCGGAACTGAGGAGGGTCGCCCAAGCCCAGAAAGCGCTCAGTGATGTAAGTGCAATCAGTAGCTTTTAGGAAGGTGGAGTCAGGAAAGCTAGAGTTCAGAGGTGCAATGAACATGTGGTCAGAATACTACTTTTAAAGAGACCAGATTTCACAATGCAGAGGACAGTACCTAGAAATATTATAATGATGATGTCTTATTTAAGTTAGATATAATTTATACTTTATATTAGGTACAACTTAGTCCCACTCCCTCTTCTTAGGTGATGACCCTGAGTCTAAGGTCATGCAGAGAGTGAGTGGCAGAGTCCAGAATTATGGTCCCAAGGCCAATGTTCCCAATGGAGCCTGTGTTCTCTTTGCCCTTGGCTCTGGATGATGGTGGTAAAGGAGAAAGGCATTTTAAGTTGAGGGAGCATGGAAGCAAAGGAAAAGAGGTGAAATGAGTCTGAACTTGTAGGGGGAAAAGAAAATGATTGAGGTGAGTGTCTAGTTTGGGAGCAGCAGGACCTTGAACTGGACATAATAGCTTTGACATGATATGGCAGGCAATAAAAGGTGTCATAAGACTCTGGAGAAGAAAACAACATGACAATATAGACCCTGGAGAAATTTTGGGAAATATGATAGATTGGGACTAGGAAAAACTGGGAATTGTGATAATTTGTAGAAGTGTATTTTAGTGATACATGGATCTGAGAGATGATGGGCAAAGGAGTGGCAGAAAAGAATCTGAAGGTAACAAGTATCAACAAGCGTTAATGACATCAGATTTGAGAGATGAAGGAGAGAAAGGATCCATGGATGAGTTTCTGTCCACAGACTGATGGTTTGGGTGAATAAGGGTAGAGATGTGTTAGTGGAGAGGGAAGTAAACTTGAGATAATGCAAGGAATATTCAGATCAAGGCTTTCTATGGCTAGTTTGGAAATTTAGCACCATTACATAGTTATGAGATCAGAACAAAAGTGATAGCTGAAGATAGGAGAGTGTGCAGGGGAGGAAGAATGACCAAGGGCAGGGAGCTGGAGGGCACCACACTGAGGACATCTGGAGAGGATCCAGGAAAAGGATAAGGGAACAACAGAGAAGTTGAAAGGGAACCAGAAAATGCTGTCATATGAGTCCAGGGAGAAGCTTCCAAGAAGACACTTAATCTCTTGATACCTTCCTTTGCCCATAAAATGGAGAGATGAAGGGTCATCTCTATGCAACTCTAGTGCTAGGGACTTTGAATGATTAAAGTTGGCCACATCTTTTTTGAGATCTCACAAATGAAAATGTAATGAAGGAGAATAAACATAAGGAAGTAAAATTTTCTCCTTCTTTCTTTTCAAAGATTTGGCAATTAAGATACAGCTTTTATTTTTAATATAGACTGAGTCAGCACAAAGTGTCACATTACCAGTATGCCTATTAATACTGTTGAATTTCTCCAGTGCCTAAGCAAGCTGTTGTCCCCACAGCACATTACTGGGTAGACCCTGAGATTTCAAGTGAAGAGCTAGAGTTTAGAGGTTCCCTCTTCTTTCCTGTACCATTGTTCTGGAACCTCTCAACTCTGGCCATCATGTCTTCCTCATTATCTAAGTAGAGACTAAATACTGTAAGCTGATCCAGAGTCCAGAATTCTAGCTAGACAGACTTCTGAACAAGGTTCTTGAGAAAGGAGGATTTCCCAGATTTGATTTCTCTGAAACTTCTTGACAGGATGTCATATTTAATAAGCACTTTTCCTGCTTGAATGTTGCTTTCTCTCTACAGACTTACCCAACCATGGAAAATCCCAATGCCTTACACCTAAAATAAAGTCTTCACTTATTTAAAAGAAAGTAAGCAGTGGAATTTCCATAAATAGATTTTAAAGTTTTTTTTTTAATCCTGATTGATTTAATGTTCAGGAAATCCTTTGTTATAGGATTTAGGTAGCCATTGGATAAGATATTGCTGTACTTGGTTGAAGATGGTTGGGATGCTGAAACTATCCAATTCCTTTATTTTATAAATAAGAATGCTGCCATGTGGAAGGAAATCCAGTCATAGAACTCTTCCAGTTGCATAGTGGAAGAGTTGGGAGGATAATTCTCTTCAGTTTTCCCTATGGCCTTCCTGGGAAGACACACATTCAGAAATCAGTCATTGACTCCTCACTGTAATAAGGAACTATATAGATTACAAAGGTTCCCAAAGAGAGTCCATGTCCTCTGCCATCTCAGGGCCCACAGTCCAAGGAGGTACAGACATGCAAGCAACCAGTTACAATGTCATCTGATAACTTTTTTTTAAAAAAAAGATTTTATTTGCTTATTTGAGAGGTAGAGATACAGACAGAGGAAAAGACAGAGACATCCTCTGGTTCTCTCCTCTCAAATGTCTACAATGGCTGGAGCTGGGCCAATCTGAAGCCAGGCGTTTCTTCTGTCTCCCACATGGGTACAGGGGTCCAAACATCTGGGCCATCTTGCACTGTTTTCCCAGGCCATAAACAGAGAGCTAGCTCAGAAGAAAAGCAGCCAGAATACAAGCCAGTGCTAATATGGGATGCTGGCACCGCAGGTAGAGGCTTAGCCTCCTACATCACAGCACTAGCCCCTGATAACTTCTTAAAAAGAAATCATGATCAAGTTGAGTTTGATCTTAGGAGAAAAATACTTTGTCTGCCTCAAAAGTCAGGGATGGCTTAGTGTCACTCATCCCGAGACATGAAGAAGGAGCAGAAGTTTGCAGAGAGATGAGGAAAATATAGAGTTGGAGTACTCCATGGAGAAGGAAGGGCATGGATGAGTTCCTGAGGCACCTGAGGGCTTTGTGTGCCTGGGGAATCTCTAAATAATTCTGCATTACTTGAAGTAGAGGTCAAGATTTTTGGATGAAAATGAGGAGTCAGTAATGAAGAAAAAAGGAGAGCAAGAATGAAGGGATTGTATGATTCATGATTACTTTAAAGTGATAGAGGCCAAAGGAAGGGAAAAAAATAAAGGAGATTGAAGATGTGAGGGAAAAAAGGGGTGACTAATAGAGCCAGGTACAAAGGGAGCCTGGAGGGAGTAGCATTCGGGGCACAGGAGTCATGCCCTGTCTCCCTCTGGGTTAGGACAGGGGTGGGAGAGGCAGGGATGAGTATGGGGAAAGATAAGCATCTGGTCTATCTTTACTCTATAAAAATGGAACCTGAGAGTTGTTTGGGAGACTGAAGTACAGTGTTGGGGCCTTAGAGTAGCCCTGAGAGTAGAGACTGAGCAGAAACATATAATAGAATGTTCAAGCTTCATTGAAAACAAGTGGCAATTGGATACCACAATGTCAGAGTGTTGAGTACATAGTCCCAAGCAAGTTGCTCACGGAACATACCACTGAGTAGGCACACAGATTTTTTTTCTTTTTTAAAAAAGATTTATTTATTGACCTGAAAGGCAGAGTGATAGAAAGAGAGAGAGAATGGAGAGAGAGAATGTCTTCCTCTTCCTAGTCCATTCTCCAAATAGCTACAATGACAGGCTGGTGCAGCCCAAAGTCAGGAGCCCAGAGCTCCATCTGGGTCTTCCGCCTAGGTGACAACAGGTACTTGGGCCATCTTCCATTGCCTTATCAAATGTGTTAGTGGAGAGCTGGTTAGTGGATCAGAAGTAGAACAGCCAGGACTCAAACTGGCACTGTAATGTAGGATGCCAGCATTTCAAGCAGCAGTGTAGCTCACTGCACAATGCTAGCCCCAGGCATGTAGATTCCAAGCTAAATGCTTGGTTCAGAGATTCACTCCCTTGTACCCTCTTCCTCTTAACCCTGTTAGTCACCTTATCATTGCCCGGTTCAAAGAGTTGTGTGATTTTCTTTAGTAGCACTCAGCATCCCAGGTATAAGAACAGAGGAAGTATGTGGTTGAGTTCATCCAAAGATGGGGATTTTTTAAGGAAATGTTATAAACAGACAAGAGTTTTGAGTTGAACATACTGGTTAAGACAGAATAATTGCATGATTATTCATGATTCATTATTCATGATTATTTTAAAGTGATAGGGGCCAAAGGAATCACAAGTCACAGGATGGAAACAAATGGAAGGAAACAGAACCAGGCCATGGAGTCCTAGAGAAAGGGGAAAATTCAAAGCAATAAAAATCACCAGCAATACTGAGAGCAAGGACATGTAACATCTCTAAGGACAAATCATGACAACACAGTACACTAAAATTTAAGACTTCAAATGAAGATGAATATATATATATTTATTAAAATGCAAACTAATGGAACATGCGAAATAGAATAATTGTCTATGACTCACAAACACCCTTGTCTTTCGTTTTGTCAGATTGTCTACAAAAAGGGTCACGCTGAACAGCAGACTCAGTTCACATCTCTAGCCGATCCTCCAGATATAGAATTTGCCAAGAAAGTAACCAATCAAGTGAGCAAGGTAAGTAGAGCCAGGACACCGTCTCCTTTAAAAACTCTGTTTCATAAAGGTAAACCTAGAAATGAAGCACACTCAGAATTTTTACATGTGACCACCTCCCCCCCAAAAAAGCTATATGGATGATCATAATGAACTAACAAATGTTTAGCTAACTTGATGAATCAGTAATTGACAAACGTGAAAGTCATGTTTTGAAAACAGACCCATTTTATAATGTCACTTGACATTTCTCCTTATGGGAATAATATGCAGTAATAGAGTAATCATGCAACCACATGCTCCCACAAGGATCTGGTTTAATTCAGTGTGAAGATCCCGTAGAGTTTCATGTGCTCAAAAGTAAGAATGCATGAGTGGGCTCCTAAACACAGCCTAGTTGACAACAGTGGGCAGTGTACCTCATAACTTTTAAGGCCCCAGCCAAGAGCTTAGTTTGCCTATATTTAGGTTGGCAAACTAACTCCGAGGAATGCAGCCCTGACAAGGAATGCAGAGAGACAAATGTGCAACAGATGAATAGGCCTATGAAAAATTCCTGTTTTAAATTGCTCCAAATCAGGCCACTTTCTCTTGGGTTATTGCTGCTTTTAAACCTTTCTTTGCACTCTCTTAGAGGTCAGTCTCAACTGCTTCAATTTTGATGGAATTTCAATATTTCTGTCTTGTCTAAATATTTTTGAAGGAAATTATTTGTCTAGTAGAGGACAGAGAAGAAAAAATATGAATCATGAAGTCTATTCAGGGATGCATTTGTCTGATATTGCAGATTGCCTAACTGTGTAACTAGGGGCTTTTTGGATAAAATAGCTGGTAAATATGATAAAACTTCACTAGCAGGAATACCACCAACCTGAAATTTTGCCTGGGGTTAAGCAGAAATTAACTTTAGAACTGTGCAGAAAAAGATAGTCTAGTTAAAGTGTGTATATTTTAAAAAATATTCAGGAAAAAGACAATTTGTGTTTTTGGAATAAAAAGAAAAAGATATTTTCAAGCAGTCACTTAAAAAAACAAGTCTATTTTTAGTTTTCATTTGAAGCATATTATAAAAGATATCTTTACTAGGGAAACAGTCTTTCATCTCAGCTGAGCATGCAGTGTGGGTCCTTGAAACTGATTTTTAAAAATCTCTTTCAAGCCCCTCTATAGTCATTCCCTCCACTAATTCAGGTTTGCAAGTTAGTTTAGAGCTGTACATTTCAATATGGTAGCCACAAGCTAAGTGTGACGATTGAGTGTGTGTTATGTGACTATGACAAGGTGAGTAGTAGTCAGTTTGGGCACCTACAACAAAATACACGGGGTGATTTAAGTAATAGCATTTATTTTTCAAAGTTCTGGAGTCTGGAAGCCCAAGAAGAAGGAGTCAGTTCTTCTGAAGGCCCCTTCCAGGCTTGCAGACAGCTGCCTTCTTGTATCCTTGCATGGTAGAGGCAGAGAGGAAGTTTCAACTCTTCTTCTTCTTTGATAAGAACACTGACCACAGCACAAGCATGCCACCCTCATGACCTCACTGAAACCCAATTACTTCCGAAAGGCACCACCTCCAAACACCATCACTTTGGGTGTTAGGGCTTCAACACATGAAGTCTGAGGAGACATATTCATTCTATTACACAGAGTCCTATAAATGAGAGATATACTGGATCTTGAACCTTTGCTATGAAAAAAGAATATGAAAGAGCTCATTAGTTATTTTTATGTTGATTACATGTTGGAATGATAACATTTTGGATCCACTGGGTTAAGTAGAAAATATTTTTAAGGTAATTTCGCACTATTACTTTTTACATTTAAAAATATCTTACTAAACTGAATTGCATTTTATGTCTGTTGGACTGCCCCATGCTTCTTGGATAAAATGGCCATGTCAGTACTTTGAAAGCATTGCCAGACTTGGATTTGCCCTAGTAGAATAATCATGGGCTAAGAGATAGATGGCTATAGATGAAGATTACCAGATTTGGCCATGGTGACATTTTACATCCTAGTCTTATCCAGATTTTCAAGTTCTTAATGATCATTGTGCATCCAAAATAATAGTCAAGTTGAGGAGAAATGCTTGTGATCAATAGCATCCATCCAACAAGTGAGGCATGGGCTGCCAAGAGTGACTTATCTGTAGGCCTCTTTCCTTCTTCTGATGTCTTTCCCACTGTCAAGATACTTTGATCCTTATTTCAGCATCATCATATCCTCTTTCCTTCCAAAAATAGGTAAAAATGTGCTTTATCCACTCACCCTTATGCATTTATACTCATAGTATTTCTTTGTTGAATTATGTCTCCCTTCCAATTCAGATGATAATAACCACATCTTTGCCATGATTGTATTAATGCTGTGTTCTGTTCACCAGCCTTCCTTATTCCACATGTCAAAATCGAGTCTCTCAGCTTTGTCTTTGGCCAAAGTCATAAGCTATATGGCGCATCTTCTACTGGCTCTGCTGCATTTCGTAGCTCTATCAGAGATTGATATGCAAGCAGAGGTGTTCCTATAAGCAGGCATTCTAGGCGAGGAAATTATGCATGCTCTGATCAGTTCTGTGTGCAGCACTGGAAGTCCCTTTCATTTCTCTATGCCTGCCTCTTTAGTTCCCCCTAGATTCATAATCAGAAAAACACAAGATTAATGTTGGAATTTCTGGTTGATACACAACTGGATTCTAGAGTTGTTTTCTTTAAAAAATTCCTTCAGTGACACATTTTTCTACAGCATGAAGATGCTGGGCTGTGGTTCTCTGAAACCATGGAAACTCTTCTACCACACAGAATTAGGAAGACTCCCATTGAGTTCACCAGAAGAGATTTGATTAATTCAGAGAGGCAGCCCTGGGCCCACTATGGGCAATAAAAATACCAGTTGGGATGCCTTCCACCCTTGAAAGGATAGCTCTGCTATGAATACAGCCATTGTTGAGCCACTCAAAAATAAAGAAAAGTATGCTTAACTAACTTCTTATTCCTTTCCATTTGATGACCTCTTAAAAACTGCAGCTGCAAATATGGAAAGTAGAAAAGGAAGCCATATGTTAAGACAGGATATAAGGGTGCCTCATTTGTGGATCTGTCTTCTGGGGAGGAGGGGCTATGGTTTGGGAGAGCAATCTTTTTCTATGAACATGTGGTCAGCCTCTTACCACAGAGGGTATCCCAGAACTTGTCATGGACCCAATGTGCTTTCTTCTATTAAACTAACAGATAAAAAAAAAAAAAAAAAACCTGGAGAAAGTAAAATTGATTCTTTTCTCCAGGACTGTTTTGCCAACTCACAATGCAACAGGATGAGAGAGAAGTGTTAGCGATAATCCTTGGAGTTGGGGTTGGGGGAGGTTGGGTGTTGGATAGGAGAGTCTCATCTCCTTGTGTCACACAACATGCCAAACCTGCAGAGTGAGGCCCCTTCGGCTGGCAGAGAGGGGCCCTCACAGACTACTCCAACCATGACTTTACTCAGCTTCTCTCCTACCTGAAAATGAAGGGAAAGGTCATAATTTTTCCTCAACAGTTAACACACTGCAGCCCCCTCCTGTGTAGTGCAGATCTTCCCAGATTTGGGCATAGCCCCAGGAGGGATCACTGAGATCGAGAGATCCATCTCTACCTGATCTGCAGCTGGTGGTTGGAAGGAGGAAATAACAACTTAGGGTTCATGACAGGTAAAAAAAGAGGAAAGACTTTGGATAAGGGGCCTGACTGGTCTTAAATTCTTGCTTTGCCTCTTGTTTTTAAAGTTTTTAATTTATTTTCTTTAAGAGGAAGAGACAGACAGAGCTCTCCCTTCCATTGCCCAAACAGCCAGGTTGAAACCAGGAGTCCAGAACTCCCTCTGGTTCATCCACATGGGAGACAGGAACACAAGTACTTGAGCCATCACTGCTGCCTACAATGGTGCACATTAGCAGGAACCAGAATCAGAAATGGAGTCAGGACTTGAACCTGTGCACTTTTATATGGGTTGCAGGTGTTCCAAAGCATCTTAACTGCTATGCCAAATGCCCACCCCTTGTGTTTCGTTGTAAAAACTTTTTAAAAATTAGACATTTATTCCTCATTGTGAGAATCTATTATTCAGTTTCCCCTAACAGATCTTTATACACAATACCTATTTTTAAAATAACAGTTCAGGAGCCGGTGCTGTGGCCCAGCGGGTTAGCACCCTGGCCTGAAGCACCAGCATTCCATATGTGCGCTGGTTCTAGTCCCAGCTGCTCTTCTTCTGATCCAGCTTTCTGCTATGACCTGGGAAAGCAGTAGGACATGGCCTAAGTCCTTGGGACCCTGCACCCATGTGGGAGACCCTGAAGAAGCTCCTGGCTCCTGGCTTTGGATAAGCACAGCTCTAGCCATTGCAGCCAATTGGGGAGTGAACCAGTGGATGGAAGGCTTCTCTCTCTGTCTCTACCTCTTTCTGTAACTCTGTCTTTCAAATAAATAAAATAAATCTTTAAAAATTCAAGGATACTTTGAAAAGTTCGTAGAAAGGTAAAATTAAAAGGTGAACTTATTTTTGTGAAAAAATTTTGAGATTCAAACATAGTGCTTTCATAAAATACATTTCCATGAGGCCCCCTTGTAACTGCTACTTCTCAAATCTAAAATGCATGACAAACTTCTCTGTATGTCAGGTTTGATAATGCCTGGGCCCAGTTGCTCCTCTTTTGGCAACAAGCAGGGGGAAGGATAGCAACTCTCCAAAAATTGTAGGTTAGATCTTAACTCAAAGTATGTGTACATCAACAACCTTTGAAGTTGTGTTTATGGGCATTTCATAGTTTTCTCAGATTATTGAAGAGTTGCATGCATCACAACAAGGTTAGAGATATGTCTGTAGATGCTCTCAGCAAATCCAAAATCAATTTTATTGACTTCAGTTCTTTAAAGCTTCAAAAGAGGAGGGTAGGTAAATTAATACAAATCTTAGCAAATATTTCCTTTGAAGAATTGTCTCTTTCTTGTACACACACACGTTTCTTTTCTTCAGAGTTCTTTTCATTATGATAATAATGTTTATTATAGTTGTCTAGCATTTGTCTAGCATTGTGCAAGTAATAAAACACTCTTTAGTGTATGATCTTATTTAGTTTTCCCATCAGTCTTCCATAAATATTATTGCCAGCACTTGTGATTGAGAAAACTGAAACTTGGAGAGGCCAAGTCGTACCTTTAGGAGTGAAGTCTTAGGCCCAGAGCTTCCAAACCCAAGGCTCTAAAATGTTTAGCTATGGAAACCAGTTGGCTATTAATTGCTATATTTACCCTCTAAGAAGAGTATAAATAGGTCTTCAAGAGGACTGGGCTTCTTTTAACTCGGGTTCGTTGGTTCTGCACATCATTCATCCTTAGTACTTTTCTATTAAAAGAATGCCAGAAAGCAGCTTCTTTTTTTTCTGGAAGGGTGTATGTCATTAAAGTCTACTAACATTTCACTGAGTCGTGGAGGGGACTTGGCTCTCACTCAGCTCTGGATGTCACTCACAGGCCCAAGTTTGAGGTTGGGTTAGGCTATTTCTACTCCAAGAACATTTAGGCCAAATTAGTTCAAAGCCACATGTCATGGTCTCACTTTAGGTTAGTATAGTTGAACAAACATTCATGAGGTAACTTCCACATGCTGCACTTTGTGTTAGATTCAGAGGATATGAAAATGAAGATATAACACCTGTCCTCCAGGAACTCACAGCCTGGGATTTAAGTGGGGTAGTACTGGGAGTAAGATGGGGCAATTCTACTTTTGAGTTCTTACATTTTTAAAAATATGAATGAAGAGGTCTTATTCATTGGCCCGCCAAATTAATTTTATGGTGATGGTTGTTTTCTGCATAACTAGGGCTTTTGGAAAGGCTTAGAAATGGAGTTCATTTGATATGGAAATCTCAGGTTGATAAGTTTTCTTGTAACCAAAATATAAATACAGGATGACTTCTGAGTCTTACTCAAACATGAAGGAACTTCTGTAAAACCACCTGTCTTTGCCCCTCACAACCATTTCTCAAATAAATATTAAATAAACAAATACCTAAATTTCTAAATGAATTAAGTCCCTAAACTCAGTAAGGGGAGAAGTAGTACTTTCTTTCCCATTTTCTATTTATACCCACTCACCAACATTTCTCGTTGGTTAAATCCACCCTACCCTGGAATATTTATTGAAGACATCTATTAAAGACCCAAGAACATCCAAGTCAGGATATTTTTCTGTCTTATTTGTTAATACCTGGTTTTGCTTATCTTCATTTTATTTTTTTTCCCTAGCAAAAATACAAAGAAGACTATGAAAATAAAATCAAAGGCAAATGGAGCGAGACGCCTTGCTTTGAAATTGCAACTGCCAGAATGAACGCTGATAACATCAGCACTGTGAGTAGGAACAGACAGCTGAGGTTGGGGGACGGAGCCCCTTTTCTTGTGACTTCTCGCTGCTGCCGACATCTGCAGTGAAACTGAACACGTGGGACTCCTCCTCTCGTGGGTGGCACCTGGGATAGAGTTCCTATTAGGAATCCCACAAACTCTCTTCCTTTCGAGAAATATTATTTTGACAGATTTCCATCATTTTGACCTCAATTTGTATGGCAATAACATTGCAAGTAGACCCTCGTATGGGCTGCAAAGTTAAAGAGCTCTTTTTAATCTACTGTTTGCTGGGGAACTAAAATGCACATTTGTGGAAGTGATTGATTTAGTTTCTCCTCACTAGAAGACATAGTATAATTACTTCTTTTCTCCTAAGTTCTCTGTTCCTCACCTTTAAGAGCTCTTCCTTGGTAACCAAGAAAGACCATTTTAATTATTCTGTCAGTCCATTCTAATTGTTCCAAATCTCTGTTATTAATCATGTTTGTGCAGGCACCACCAAACTTTTTTTTTAAAGGATTTATTTATTTATTTGAAAGGCAGTATTACAGAAGCAGAGGCAGAGAGAGACAGAGAGGTCTTCCATCCACTGGTTCACTCCCCAGATGGCCGCAATGGCTGGAGCTGGGCCGATCTGAAGCCAGAAGCCTGGAGCTGCTTCTGGGTCTCCCACATGGGTGAAGGGACCCAAGTACTTGCTTTTCCAGATGATAGCAGAGCTGGATCAGAAGTGGAGCAGTCGGGACTCGAACCGGCACCTATATGGGATGCCAGCACTGCAGGTGGCAGCTTTACCTGTTACTCTACAGCACCGGCCCCAACCACCAAAGTTTATATATATTTATATATTATTATATATTATATTACAGAATCTATTATATAATATATAATAATATTAGATTGAATATATAATTAAATATAATTATACATCATATAATTATATTTATGAGATAATTATTATGTTATATAATTAATATATAATTATTAATTTGTCATATAATTATATTTAATTATATAATATATTATAAATGTAGAAATATATTAGATTCTAATATATAGTTATATATATTATATTCTGTAATATAATCTGACCTGCCTACATCAGGGGAGATGGTGGCTTCTGGTATTTTCTTCAAATGCCCAGTGTCCTCCCTTGTAAGCCTGTGCACAGTTTGTTTCTATCACACTTCTCTAACATGTTTAATGTCTTACAGAGAAAATACCAGGAAGATTTTGAGAGCATGAAAGACCAGATTTACTTCATGCAGACTGAAACACCAGAGTATAAAGTGAATAAGCAAGCTGGGGTGGCAGCTAGCAAGGTATGAGGACATTTTCCCGTTTATCTACACTGACGCCATCGAGATAACTCTCTTAATACTCTGGCTCTTGTTTGTACAGACCCACCAAGGTAGGGACCAGTGGATCTCAGGCATTTGAAGAAAGATAGGATAAAAACAACAATCTGAACAATGACAAAGGGCTTTGGAATTATAATAGGGCCACTGAGTTTTTTAAGAAGCTTTGTCATGTATGAACATTAAAACACCCAATTATCATCTTCAACATTTCATAGAGTAAAATGCATTTTTGTATCCAGAAGTAAAAAAGGCTATAATCTTAGCTAGTAGGGACTTCCCCCAGCAGAAAGACAATTGGCAGCCTAATGTAAGGATTATGGCTCTCCCACACTCAAAGCTGCCATTATTTGTATTATTTTCTCACTGAACAGTGCAAGACCTGATCAGAAGTGAGACATATCAATCTCTGGATATATAGAATATCTTCAGTAAATACTCGGACTCCTTGACATTCTAAAGGGGGATGGGGACTAGAGAAAGCATAAACTTCCAAACCAAACACACTGGGTTCTAATACTGGCCTTGGCTCGGCCAGAGTAGAGAAAAACAAGATGATTACATCCCAGGTGCAATTCAGCAACGTCTTGGAGCAGTAGAGGTAGCACAGCGGTAGTTTTAAAGAAGAGTCTACCTGATTTGCTGAAGGATTGGCTGAAGAGGGGTTTTTAAAGATAGGAGACAAAGCTACCATGTGTCTATACCGATGAGGAAAAAAATCAAATAGAGAGGGAAAATTGAGTGATGCTTGACAGGGGAGGCTGGGGTGCTGTCCTTGAGTGGGAGAAGGAGAAGGGATCCCATGCCTAAGAGGAGAGGCTGGCTTTGCCACAAGCCCCAACAGCTCCTCCCTGCATCTGGGGAGCAGGCTGGGCATCTCAGAGGCAGGTAGCAAGAGAGTAGGGTTTGAAAAGTCTCTGGTTGTTTCCATTTTTGAAGGAATTTATACTTTTCTTAGAAAGGAAACCCAAGTCTTCCCTTCCTGCAAAGTAGCCCATGTGCTGCTCTGTGAAGGCTTTGGGCTTGGTGCATGTGTGTTTCAGTTGTGTGTCTCCTGCCATGGGAGACCAAACGGACTGTTTTCTGAGGTCCTTTAATGTTGGTAAATTACTTAGGAGTTCCTTGAACGTCTATGGTTGTGCATCCTGAATAAATGGCCTACACTGGGGCTCCTGGTCAGATTCAGGATTAGTTTCTTGTTCCTGTTCCATGGTACACTCCTAATGGGTTTTGGATTCTACCTCCCCACAACTTACCGCTTCTGCCACAGCTGAAATTAAAGGGCAAAGTGGGAATTGTGGAAGGCAAAGGTAAGTCTGCCTCTCTTCATCCCACCCCGGCTCCTTTGCCTCCTCCCCTCTTCCTCCTGCTCGTGCATTAAAGCTGTGTGTGCTCCACAGTGTCGCAGGTAAGACTTGGAAGGGTAGAACTGTGATGCTTTTGGCTTCTTTCAGAAATGTGTTGACAGACAGGCAGCCGCAGGTTAAGAGCGGAGTGGAAGTTCACAGCAGCGGGCACCTGGGATGAGCTGCTGTCGCTGTTCATGTATCCTTCTCTCTCCCATTATTTATGTGACACTCTCTCCCTGAGGCCAAGGATCATGTGTTCTTTCTTGTTTCTGTCTCAGAGCCAGGCACATAACCAAGGCCCTATGAATATTTTTGAGTGCATAAATGAATGGGAAGTAAAAGGATCCTAGAAATGCATGCAGTTTCTCTGCTGCTGTTATGAGTTACTATGAATATTTTGTTTATCAAATGCCATGCTGACACTATCCTAAAGAGAAAATTGGTTTGTAGAACTCTGTCCTAATAGCCACAATTGAGACAAGGGCAAAAAGAATTCGTAGAGTTACTTTCTTCTTTTATTTCTCTCCAAAAGGTGAAATACAAAGAAGACTATGAAAAGAATAAAGGAAAAGCAGACTATAATGTACTTCCTGCTTCGGAGAATCCACTGCTCAGGCAGCTGAAGGCAGCAGGAAATGCCCTAAGTGATGTAAGTAGCTTCCTGTCAAAAACAGTCTCCGCTACAAAACATGGGATTTTTTTCCTTTTGCAATGACTAACTGCACATGTAACGTTGCAAATACACTGAAGCTACGGATAGCTGTTCGTTGGAATTACTTAAACATAGGAAGGCATGAGTGCCTCTGGGCATCATCTGCCTCAGTTTCTGCAGGCTTGAGGATTTAGCTGCCGAACAAGGGATTCCTCATTTACTCGGGAGACCTGGGGACCTGGGCCTCCACGTGATCTTGACAAACACAGACTCTGAAAGATACTTGGGGAATTGTTACAAGCCTGACCAAGCTATGAAATTTAAAATAGATTAGAAAAATGAGATTGGTCTGGTATTAAAAGACTTACAGCCCAGATACACTAATTATTTTTAGTTCATCATTATACAATGTATACATGACATAAAACAACACATTTTACCCCATAAATATATACAATTGTTACATGTCGATCAAAAATAAAAAAACTAATAGTCTAAGATCATGTGTATGTATATATACACACATACACATACATATGTGTGAGACTATGAGAATGAGACAGATTACATAACGAGAAATGTGATCATTTGAGTTTGTTCCTTATGTTTAAGCTTGTGTTAACCCTTCCCAATACTCAGAGATGGTAGGTAGCTCCCTGTGTGGGTTAGCTGTCTTCTCTTTGTCCCTTGAATTCAGGCAGTCCTGTAGGAAATGAATGCATGGATTGAGGAGTGGGTGGGGTGATGTGGCAAGTGAGAGGGTGTAAATGGATCTATCCAAATAGCTCTGCCTAGAAATCATGGCAGAGCCCATCTGCCTTCTAAATGAGGGATATCCTTATCAAAACTACCAAAGCTCAGGTTCAAGTGCACTTTGTTAATGAAAACAGGAATATAGCTATATTAAAAACAAATAGCATCACTGATGTTTTGAAAACCTCCATGTTTAAAACCAACAAACAATTGTGGCTGTTCTAAAGATAAACCCTCACAGAGAAGTTTGTGGTAACTTACAATTCAAGTTCTCGCATACACCGTATTTTTAAAGGCTAATTGTTTGTATCATAAAAGATTTTTTCCCTCGGTACAGGGAAGAAGAAATGTGATGTATTTCTCAAGTTATAACTTTTTAGTGAAGGTTTATTAAAGCAACCTGCTGTTGCCGAAGTTTCATGTTTGCTGTGAAACCATCGCTGAGAGAGAGACAAGGCCACAATACAGAAATTCACAGCAGTGGGCTTGCTCAAGGGTGGCATTTTGGTTTCTTAATTTTTTGAGAATGTCAAAAACTTAGGCTTTACAATAACCGCTAACAGAAAAGGCTTATGACTCATGGCGCCCTAACGTTGATTGTCGGTTTTTCAGACAGTTGACAGGTGATATCTTTTCTTCTTCTTTTGTTTAGTGTTGGAAAATACGAGTGTTATAATCAGCGTAAGAGTGACAGGAATCTACTTTAACCGATTTTTTTTCCTCTGGCAGAAACTATACAAGGAAAACTATGAAAAGACAAAAGCGAAGAGCATAAATTACTGTGAGACCCCCAAATTTCAACTTGACACAGTTCTTCAGAACTTCAGTAGTGATGTAAGCAATTCTACCATCACTGCTTTTAAAGAAAGAAAAAATACCCATCATTGTACCAGTTAATAAGCAGAAAATGTTTTGTCTTTCAGACTAAATATAAAGATTCCTACTTAAAGAACATTTTGGGACATTATGTAGGCAGCTTTGAGGATCCCTATCATTCACACTGCATGAAAGTCACAGCTCAAAACAGTGATGTAAGTTCTAAGACAATTGCCTGACTTTCCCAATAACACATTTTGGGAGCATGAATCCAATGATTGTGTCCTTATGTCTGATTTCTTCTCCTCACAGAAAAACTACAAGGCAGAGTATGAAGAGGACAGAGGCAAAGGCTTCTTCCCCCAGACCATAACTCAGGAATACGAAGCTATCAAGAAACTGGATCAGTGTAAAGATGTGAGTCTGTAAGACGAACTTTGAATGTAACTGCCTGCTGGAGCTCCCTGTGGTCAGGATGGCTTTGACATTCTGACTCAGAAATAAATACATGCTAGGAAATAGCAAGAAACAGAATCTATTTTGCACTAGATAAGCTGTTTGTTTCTGTTGGCATCCCCATGTTTCAAGAGCCAATTCTAGCTCATCTTCCCTAAGAAGAGTTATTGGGATTCTGGAGATACAGGAATGTTTCACAGGCAGATGTAAGAACATCAGTCAGAGAAATTGCAGTCAGAAAAAAAAAAGTGAATGCTTCATTAACCATGAGCTTCTTTTCTTTGTAAGGAGATGGGATTTTGCTCTTGCTTGGATTTGACAACCGAAAAAATTTTTTTTGCTCCCCCACAGCACACCTACAAAGTCCACCCAGATAAGACAAAATTCACTCAAGTTACGGACTCTCCTGTTATGCTGCAAGCTCAAGTCAATTCCAAACAACTGAGTGATGTAAGTCTCTCTAAATATTTGGGAAATCCAGTTATGAGTAACAACATTTCTACAAACAGCATCCAATGACTTGCTCATTTATGAATAAGATCATGTAGCCTTTAACAAGTTTGACTTGTATATATTTGTAATTACCTAAAGTATTTTCCCATTTGGTAGCCTTGAATCTTCTTGGGTAGACAACACTTAACAATAGAATGATTCTGTGAAGGAAACAAATGTGGCTGAAAATCCTGGGAAGAACATCAATTCTAGTATCAGACAAATGGGTTCAACATCCAGCCATTAAATTCAAATTAATCTTGACCTGGTAGCCAAATTATCTTATCTACGTATGCCTCACATTTCCCTTTTTTAATTACTAACTATTTTGAAGATAAAGTGACAGGAGCTATGTGCACAGAATATACCCTGGCCCAGAGCAAGTGTGTAGTACATGGAATTTCTCTCTCCCAAATAAATTTCTGGAAAATGTACCATACAGGAGTATGTATATTCTGGAACTTCATCTGCTACATTAATTGTTGTATGTGTTTCTCTCTCTCTCAGCTTAATTATAAAGCAAAACATGAAAGTGAGAAGTTCAAGTGCCATATACCACCAGATACTCCTGCCTTTATCCAGCACAGAGTCAATGCCTATAATCTGAGTGATGTAAGTACCTTCTGTAATGGGCCATGTCATACACTGGCAAACTTGGCTTTTATCTTGAAATAGTGTCATTGCATTTCAATGAATATTTCAATATTAAAGATGGAAAGAACAGTTAACCTTTGATTCATGTTCCTATGTCTCTGAATTCACCTTATAAAATGTGTGTAGCCATCTTCTAAATAGTTTCACAAATTAAACACTTGTTAACCAACACTCAAAATGCCACCACTCATATAGCCTTAACTGAAAATCTTAATGTTAGGTTTTTTAGTCATATATTCATTTATGCCATACTATAATTAATTTTCTTTCAGGACCTTTTGTTAAAGTTTAGTTTTATTTCTTCTCCAGACCTGTGGTATCCCAATTTCTCACAAATAGTTATTTCTACACACAGGAGAAAGTGAACTAATGAATCTATAGCATATTTAAAGGGCAGAAGACCAAGCACTCACTTGTTGCTATCCTTCATTTTCTGAACATAATTTTATAGAAAAGTCAAGTTACCCTGGAAGATAGGTGTCTCAATTTCTTCTTAAGCTTTAGAAATGACTAATAAGTTGATCCAGCATCATTGAGTATTGTAATGATGCATAAGATAACCTTTGCAGAGGACTTAGAGATCAAATAAAACGATGCTTTTCTATCATAAAAAATGAGTTACTTTTAACTGCAGAATATTTTTACAACTCCAAAAATATTCTGTTAGGAATCAGATATTAGGAAGTTAGTTAATTTGATGAAAAATTCTAAAAGAGAGTAGAGAAATCTGATTTTGGAAAACTACAAGTTCCAATTTCAGAAGTACCTAAAGTGCGTATAATTTCCAAGACAATGGAAAAGATGCATTTATTTTGTATCAAGGCAAGGTAGTTGGTTACTCTTCAGTCTTGAAATGTGATGACATGTGTATCGCCTCTGCCAGTCTCTTTATTGAATTTTCCTGTCCAGAATGCCTATAAGCACGACTGGGAGAAGAGCAAAGCTAAGAAGTTTGACATTAAAGTGGATGCCATTCCCTTGCTGGCAGCCAAAGCCAACAGCAGGAACGTCAGTGATGTGAGTGTGGCCTCTGGGTCTGGACAGGGCAGCCTCAGGGGTGTGTCCTGGTGAGGGGTGCCTGGCAGTCTTACACTGTGCTGTCCCTGCAGGTGATGTACAAGAAGGACTATGAAAAGAGCAAGGGGAAAATGGTCGGAGCCCTCAGCATTAACGATGACCCCAAGATGCTGCACTCCTTGAAGACGGCCAAAAACCAGAGTGACGTGAGTGTCTTAGTGAACCATCCTTATCTTCAGCTGTGGCCATGCATGCTGTGTAATATAATCTTGGATGGCTGTAAACCTGACTGAACTCTGAGAGTTCAGGTGGCAAATCGATTGTGAAAGCCCAGGTAGTACCAAAGGTAGTACAGGAAGATGAACTCTCTCGTTCTTACCAGGGACAACAGTGAAGTTACTTCATCTCCTTAATGGAAGAGGAAGAGGAACAGGAAGAGAAACAAACTTGCAATATGACTTTCTTTACTGCTTTCCCTAGAAATGGGTTCAATATTATAATATGTACAATATACAATATATTCATTCATTCATGCCTGAACTGATTAAGATGGTTTGCAAATAAAAAGCAAGAAGTGAGAAAAATCAGATTAAACAGAAATAAAGTAGGTAAAATTAGATAAAGTCTAAGATCAAAAGCAAAGAATTTTGTTTAAAAATCTTATAAAATACTGAACTCATTTTAAAAACTTTAAAGTACTTACTAAAGATACAATAAAACTCTTTATCAAACTTGCTTTTTTAATTCCTATATGAAAGGAAATATTTCCCGTCACTGTATCAGCTCTGTATCAGTTAGAAGTATACCTGTGATTGAGTGTATTTTTTTTCTATTCACAAAATTAAAGATGATATTAGATATATGTATAATAAAACAGAAAAAACATCTTTCATATATTAAGAAAATGTGTAGAAAATCACCAGAAACCAAAGGTGAATAAATGTTTCTAGAATATTTGAAAAAAAAAATGTGTATGCTTTGATGGTAAAAGCCAGCGTCCAAAGGTATTATAAAATATGTCTTTACCTCGTACTGAAATAACCACTTCTCTAGAGTGGTGACTAGATACGTAAGGTCCACCTTATACCTGATTTTCCACTAAGTACTGAAGAAATTCATTTTCCTTCAAAGACATTCAAGTGAAAGAATTATTTTAAGACAAAAACTTCTTAAACAACAGCACTGGAGTGTTCTAATTTGCTCTGAGAAATATGAGCACAAGTAACATAAACATATTTATGACTGTCAGCAGCTAAGATTATATAAGACAGGAGCCTCGACCACATCCCTGCTGTTTTTCTGCAGGGTAGAAAATAGGTACTGGGAAAATACGAATAGTGCCCTTTTGATTAACATACGATGGTATTGCAAAAAATTCATGGAAATTGAATTAAAAGATATTTATTTCAGTGCAAAAATTTTTGAAATTCATGCATAGGCTTTTACATTATGCATTTTCCATGAACTTTTTGAGGAACTTCTCATATAGACAAGATGCTTTTATCCCATGAGCTTTATTTTTCTCTCATTTTCTCTCATTTTCATTTTCTCTTTCCTTTGGCAGAGATTGTACAAAGAAAACTATGAGAAGACGAAGGCAAAGAGCATGAACTATTGTGAGACCCCTAAATACCAACTAGACACTCAGCTGAAGAACTTCAGTGAGGTTCGAAAGGCTAGGGTTACCTCGGGGATTGGAGAGCCTTCCTTCTGTGTGATACATAACTGCTAACTTGAATTATGTGTATTTTCTTTTTCAGGCTAAATATAAAGACTTATATGTAAAGAATATTTTGGGACATTATGTAGGCAGCTTTGAGGACCCATATCATACACACTGCATGAAAGTTGCAGCTCAAAACAGTGACGTAAGTTTGAAGATAATTATTCATGCCTTGCAGTGACATTGCTTGGGACCACTAACTTCATGATCTATCTTTGTTCTTCCACATTATAGAAAAGTTACAAAGCAGAATATGAAGAAGATAAAGGGAAGTGCTATTTCCCTCAGACAATAACACAAGAATATGAAGCAATCAAGAAGCTAGACCAATGTAAAGATGTAAGTCAGTTGCCTTGCATTGTTGAAATTGGGTTTGAGATTCTTGTGACATCTAGTGGTAAATTTCACAGTAATTTAAAAGCTAATGTCTAGTGGTTAGCAGGAGATATTAAATTTTAAGACTTTGCATTTTGGGGACACTGACATTACTATGAAGAAGCCTATTCATTATTATATAATTTCAAGTTTTATAAATCTTTATTAATTTATATATACCTGAATTCAGAGCAAAAGGAAGACAACACAGGTTTGTGAAAGATGGGTGATCATCATTCAAGAAATTGACATGGAAGGTAGCATTGCCAAGCACTGTCCTTGGTGCTGAAAAAGTGGGGGGGGGATAAACAGTCTCTTCTGGAGTCTTCCTTGGAGCAAAGAAGGGGAGCACATAAACAGAGAATATATGAGGCAATGATAAGAAAAGTATTATAGGGGGGCCGGCGCCGTGGCTCACTTGGTTAATCCTCCGCCTGTGGTGCCAGCATCCCATATGGGAGCCGGGTTCTAGTCTTGGTTGCTCCTCTTCCAGTCCAGCTCTCTGCTGTGGCCCGGGAGAGCAGTGGAGGATGGCCCAAGTGCTTGGGCTCCTGCACCCGCATGGGAGACCAGGAGGAAGCACCTGGCTCCTGGCTTCGGATTGGCACAGCGCTGGCTGTAGTGGCCATTTGGGGAGTGAACCAACGGAAGGAAGACCTTTCTCTCTGTCTGTCTCTCTCACTGTCCATAACTCTACCTGTCAAATTTTAAAAAAAGATTTAAAAACAAGAAAAGTATTATAGGATGATAATACAGAATAAACAAAAAGTGGCATGCAAGAGAGTGATTAGATGGCACCTTAGAATGAATGATCAAGGAAGGCCTGAAATAGGAGGGTCCAGCCATGCCGAGATGATGGCAAGAGCATCAGGAAGAAGAGTCTGAGAAGAGAATAAGCTTTGATGTTTAAGGAATTGAAAGGATGAAATGAATGAACCATATGGGGGAAGGGGTGGTATTCGTAAGAGGGGAAATATTAGGACATAAAGGAAGGGATAGATTCTGTAGGGCTCATAAGCCTAAGTACAGTTTAGATTGAATACCAAGCACAGGACCTGAGTAGGAGAAGAAGAATCTGGATGCTTAGTTGCTACGGGAGACCAGAGATAACCTCAGAAGACAGAAGAAGAGGAGGGAGGAGGGCAGGAAAGAGAAAGAGGAAGTAAAAGCATACCAACCAAGCTTTCAAGAACAAAATAAACTATTTTATGCTGAAACCTTTGTATATGTTATGGTTTATTTGAACAAGAATATAAAGATACATTATGAAGCTTCACTAAAGAACATCTTCTTTTCCAGCACACCTACAAAGTTCATCCAGATAAGACCAAATTCACGGCGGTCACGGATACTCCTGTACTATTGCAAGCCCAGCTCAACACAAAACAACTTAGCGATGTAAGTGACCTGATTTGTGCAAGTGTGGGTGACCCAGAGTACTTGGCTTGTTTAAAATATGAGCATGTGCATTCTTACTCTTCATGGACTCATCTCTCATCTCAATGACGTCATTTTTCTAGATGTGTTTAATAAAGTGCAATAAAGATGCTAGGTTGAATTGTGAGCTGAAGAAAGTAGGGATAAAAAACAATAAAAAAAACTCACAATCATTAATGATACTACCTTACTCATTAAAATCTGTCACATACACACTAAAAATTCATGCCAATTTAACAGTGACACCAAAAGCATTCATTTGGATAAATAACAAGCATTTCCGACTCTGAAGTTTGCTAACAAAGATCTTGCAAAAAGATAAAGCAAAGTAACAAGAAAGATACCAGGCAATAAGAAGGACACTAATATAGAATGATGGCACAGAATTAAAACAGGATGACATCAGAGAGAGATGGATGATCATGGACATCCTAGGGCAGGAATGATCCAACCACAGGGAGATCAGGGGAAGAGTAGCTGTGCTTCTCAAGCATTCCCATTCATGCAATTGTCTGGTGACTCTGCTAAAATGCAGATTCTGATTCAGTAGGTCTGAATCACTGATGTTGTGATCGATAGACGTTTTGAATAGCTAACACAGGTAAGTCCTGAAGAGTAGCATACCCTTCTCAAGATAGCAAAATGAAAGACATAGTTAGTGCCCCTATAAAATGTGTTTTGGTAGCACAAATTAGCTGATAAGAAATTGATAAAGAAGAGAATGGTGGCACTGTAACCTAGAAGTGATATCAATTCATAGGCAACTTTTCTTAGCATGTTCATATTGTGTGTACCGATGAAGAATAGCTAAACAGGGGTGAGAGTTGTGGCACAGCAGATTGTTAACCCATCACTTGGAACATCTGCATTCCATATCAGAGTGCCTGGGATCAAGTTCTGACTCTGATTTCTATCTAGCTTCCTGCTAATGCATTTGGAAGGCAGTGTTTGATGACTTTTAAATACTTGGGTTCCTACCAGCCATGTGGGAGATTTGGATGGAGTTCCTGGTTTCTCTCTTTGGCCTGGTCCAGCTACAGCTGTTGCAGTCATTTGAGGAGTGAACCAGAAGATGGAAGATTTTTCTGTCACTTTGCCTTTCAAATAAAATAATTAATAAATAAATGTTAAAAAAAAAACAGCTAAATACCAACAATACTGACTCAGCTGCATTAGCAAGCTGCCAAAACAGTGCCATAGGTGATACCCAGTCACCAACATTCTTTTTGGACTGGCTAGGCTACATGCAGGCTCTGTCTCGGAAGTGCTTATTACACGGTTCTTCTCAATCTTATGCATTTTGCCTGGAGCTCAAAAATTCAATAACCTTGTTCATTCTTTCACTCCCTTCCTTTCACTTAACATTACCTTTTTAAAAATTCCAAGTCTTATGTTTAATAAAATTTTATATAACTTTTCAACTGTACTAACATTTGTAATTATTTTTGTTTTTGTTAGTGCTCTGATTATAGAATTCATATAAAGTTTTTTGGGTTTTCTTGTCCTCCAGGCACAGCAGTGTGAATCAGATCTGTGAATTTCAAAATTTCATGGACAATGAGCATTATCTTTAATTCCATTTTTCCATGAACTTTTTGAAATGCCATCATTTACCAAACCAGAATTCACAAAATGACAATTATTTTGATTATACTACAGTCCCTAGAAAAAGGAGCAAGGGTTCAGATCCTATGGGAGACTTGAATATCTCCTTGAGGAATTTTTCTGAAAAGGGCACCAATCACTTAGCTATATAAACTTCCCTACATAAGCTCAAGGAAGTTCCTGCCCTGACTTTTTAAATGTTCTCTATTTTGTTTTTCAGCTGAATTACAAAGCAAAGCACAAAGATGAGAAGTTCAAGTGCCATGTCCCAGCAGATGCTCCAGAGTTTATCCAACATAGAGTGAATGCCTATAACCTGAGTGATGTAAGTACCAAAGGCAAGAAACCTTTGTTTGGTGGGCATATAAAAAGAAGATGTTAGAGCATTTGAAGAGATTGACTTGGGAATTGTGCAAATGAACATCTACTGAGATTGTGACCAGAGTGAAAGTAGAGCCTCTAAGACCCAAATGCTCTTCTTACTCTTACTTAGCTACTAGATTTCCTTTTCCCTGGATCTAGGCCATGGGAAGCATTCTGTCTACTACCCCTCTGCTAAGGTCTAGAGTGTTACTAAACCTCTCCATGGAAAGGTCATGTTTCACCTCGAAGTTGTTGTCGCTTTATCTTATCCTTTATACATCAGGATAGTGTAGTCTTGACAAATATCACAGAACTTCGAAAAGAATATTTTTACTTAGTGGTAAGGAGAAAGAAGCTGAATGATAATAGTAGTTATACTAGCATTTGGTAGATATGATATTTATGGATGAATTAAGTCTATACATACAAATCTTTAATCCATTTTAAAATTTATACTGAATTAATCTGTGTTTGATGTTTCCGTGACTCTTTGGTTAAAATTTTCCTGTGCAGAATATCTATAAGCACGACTGGGAGAAGAGCAAAGCTAAGAAGTTTGACATTAAAGTGGATGCCATTCCCTTGCTGGCAGCCAAAGCCAACAGCAGGAACGTCAGTGATGTGAGTGTGGACTGTGGGTGTGGGCAGGGCAGTCTCCGGGGTCCTGGTGATCCATACCTGACAATCTGACACTGTGCTGTCCCTGCAGGTGTTGTACAAGAAGGACTATGAAAAGAGCAAGGGGAAAATGATCGGAGCCCTCAGCATTAACGATGACCCCAAGATGCTGCACTCCTTGAAGACAGCCAAAAACCAGAGTGACGTGAGTGTCTTGGTGAAGCTGTCTTGTTATCAGGAGATACCGAGAGTAGCCGTCTGCAACAGAATTTCATATTCCATATTTTCATTCCTCTCATGTGTACAGCAGACTGCTAGGGAGAACTTTAGAAACAGAATGAGTCCCCGGATTCTTGTACCTCTCACACTTGGGGAGACAAAGAACTGATTTGTACTTAACAGTCATTTTACTTGAAAAATATTATCAGTTAATATTTAATAGAATATTGATTGTAGTTCTCAAAACCTCTTGGAAGATTGTACCAGGTGTTTTCATATTTTCTTCTAATTGAAAAATGACTTAAAATAATTTTAAAAGTCTATATTTTAGAAGAAAATCACAAGTCACAGATAAAAATGAACAGTATATTTATTGTTGCTCTGTATTGACTTTCTTAATTTTGATCTCAGTCCAAGAAAAATATTCCATTGATCATGAGCCCCTCTGACCATCTATCTTAAAAAGAGAACATGCCTTTTGCCTGAACTTCAGGGAATTCATGGATTCCCTTCGGGCCATCTATCATCTTCCAGTTACAGTTCTCACTGTGGAAATATCAACATCTATTTTTGCATATTATAGCATATGTTGTATTTAAAAATGTTTAGAGAATCCCTTAAAAGCGGTAATAATGTTCAACATAGCGTACAAATATGAGACTACTTCAAAAAGTCCATGGAAAAGTGGAGTTAAGTTCATTTTAGTGCAGAACCTTTTTGAAATCAATGCATAGATTTTCATAAAGCACTTCCAAAAACTTTTTGAAGATCTCTTGTATTCGTTGTTCATGATGAAAGAAGAAGGGTTTTTGGATCATTTAATTTTAACTGTGGGCTGGCGCTGTGGCTCACTAGGCTAAAACTCCGCCTGCGGCGCCAGCACCCCAGGTTCTAGTCCCAGTTGGGGAGCCGGATTCTGTCCCGGTTGCTCCTCTTCCAGTCCAGCTCTCTGCTGTGGCCTGGGAAGGCAGTGGAGGATGGCCCAAGTGCTTGGGCCCTGCACCTGCATGGGAGACCAGGAGGAAGCACCTGGCTCCTGGCTTCGGATCAGCACAGCGTGCTGGCCTTACTAGCCATTTGGGGGATAAACCAACGGAAAAGGAAGACCTTTCTCTCTGTCTCTCTGTCTCTCTCTAACTCTGCCTGTCCAAAAAAAAATTTTTTTAACTGTGTTCATATGATTTGTAATGCCTTTTAAAAACTCATTTTGCATTTACTATGTTGTTTTGCAGCACTTTAAAATATCCAATTCACTACTTTCCTTTAATCACTTCACATTAAATTATGTCAGTAAATAGTGGTCACATGCTTAATACTATCTTGTTTGCTTTTCCCTTGTCAACTCAAGAAAGTTATACTCCCTATGGAGAATACCTATATATTAATCATTTTATTATTTTATTTATTTTTTAAATTTAGGTTTCCACTTTTTTAAAAAAAATTCATTTAATTATTTGAAAGGCAGAGTTACAGAGAGGCAGAGGTAGGGAGAGAGAGGTCTTCAATTTGCTGGTTTATTGCCCAGATGGCTACAATGGCCAGAGTGCGCAGATCAGAAGCCAGGAGCCACAAGCTTCTTCTGGTCTCCTACGTGGGTGCAGGGGCCCAAGGACTTGGGCCATCCTCTACTGCTTTCCCAGGCCATAGTAGAGAAGTGGAGCAGCTGGGACTCGAACCAGCGCCCATATGGGATACTTGCACTGCAGGTGGTGTCTTTACCCACTATGCCACAGTGGGTAAAGATGATTTTACTTTTTTTGGCCTTGATCATTTTATTTTTTCATCCTATCACTTAATCCATTAGAACACTAGGCACATAATAAATAAAAAATCTCTATTGATTGATTTTTAGAAGCCAAATGAGGTAAGCAATGGGTCATTCTCATTATATCCAAGCTAAGTGCTAAACTGCAGGTATAGAACATGCATAGACTTTTTTTTAAAAGATTTTACTTATTTAGTTATTTGAAAGGCAGAGTTACAGAGAGAGGGAGAGACAGAGAGACAGGTCTTCCATCTCCTGCTTCACTTCCCAGATGGCTGCAACATCCAGAGCCAGGAGCTGGAGTTTCTGCCAGGTCTCCCACGCAGGTGCAGGGGCCCAAGCACTTGGGCCATCTTCTATTGCTTTCCTAGGCCATAGCAGAGAGCTAGATGGGAAGTGGAGCAGCCAGGACATGAACTGGTGCCCATATGCCACAGGCAGAGGCTTATCCCACTACACCACAGTGTTGGCCCCTGCATAAACTTTAAAAATGGTTTTTAAAGCTGTTTGAATTATCCACAATATTTTATATGAGCTGGTATGCATGAGTTGGCATGAACATGAACAAAGGAGTCAAACCAATTTAGTCAAAACCATTTCTGCACACCAACGACTGTTCTGTTTCATCAGTTTCTCTCTCATAAGGGCAAACTGTTTTTAAATTGTCTTGTATATCCTTAGAAAGCTTTCATATTTTATTGTCATAAAACCAAGGTCTAGATTTTACAATGAAGTGATAAATTTATTCAGTGGAAGTAATTGCCTATAAAATATGAGAAGGAAGATCAAGTTCCCTAAGAAACAATCGCTACAGAAGATGTGTGAATCACATCAATACTTGCTAGACTGGTCATTGTCTTTGGTGCATGTGTGATCGTACAGTGACAGGATGGGTGTAGAATTATTCTAAGACAGTGGGTCAGAATTTTTCTCTCTGTTAAGGTAACTGGTGAGTGGATGTGATGAAGCTGGGAATTTGACCTAATTAGCAGCCCTCCCAACCATTGCAGAAAATCTGCCGATGAAGTTGCCTCCTGAGGCCAGGCAGCCATTTGCTTTAAGAGAACGCTGTCCATAAGGGCCAAGGTTACTTCAATGGCTCAGTTTCACAACCTTTTCTCCTTTGAGGTCTTTTAACTGCTACACTCTGAAGCTTCTTTTAAATTGTTACCAAAATTAAACTTGGTACAAGAAAACCTTTGCGATTCTCACTGGGTTTCTCTAATGTTAGGAATGTAATAGGTTGGAAAACCAACAAATTTCCCTTTAAAACTGACTCTAGAGAGCCATCATTTTATAAAATCCTAGCTATGAAATGAAATGACTACCATGTGACTTTTGTTCATTAGTTAAAAAAAAAATGCTTCTTTACTGGCAAACTTCAAAGTTTGGGCTACATTAATAGGAGTAACGCTTGTTAGTGGTCCCTGAGAAATCCTGTTTTAGAATAAAATAATTCCTGCCTGCAGCTGAAGCTGGGCTCCATTCCAGGTGTCAGCTGTGGCTCTCAAGAGTTGCTCTAGTTGCTCTTTGATCTAAAAAGAGATTTGGGACTATCTGCCCCTATACAATTTTCCAGGGAATTTCAACCAGGCATGACATGTGAATAAATTTAGGAACAGAATAACTAATTCAGATGTTTCTCTAACCAGTGTGTGTTGCTTATGAGAGATCTCTGTGATTCGAGAAATGCATTGAGGATTTATGGTAATAAGTGATAATTCTTATTCACAGCGTGAATATCGTAAAGACTATGAAAAATCAAAAACCATCTACACAGCCCCTCTTGATATGCTCCAAGTCACTCAAGCCAAGAAATCTCAGGAGATCGCCAGTGACGTGGACTATAAGCATATCTTACACAATTACAGCTACCCTCCCGACAGCATCAATGTGGACCTGGCCAAGAAGGCCTATGCGCTGCAGAGTGATGTGAGTAACTAGGTTTTCCCTCTTCCCTCTTTGGAAGGTGACAACAGAAAAGGACTCCTCAACTGGGCGATATTTTTAGTGCTTCTTGGGGGTCTCTGCCTTGTCCTCTGTGAGCAAGTGGTGTTGGGAATATTAAGCCCGCGGTCCTAGAGAAGCATGCCCTTCAAGGTTATAAAACTCGGGGCTGCCCTGCGCTCACCACTGTTTCGCTCTGGGAAAGTTACCAGCACTGCTCAGTCTGGAATCCTCCTCTGTACAACTGGGAGAAAACAAAAGAATTATTGCAAGGATTTAAATGCATGTAAAATACTTAATATGGCACCAGGTCCTGCTGAATTCGAAATAAACCTTCACTGTTGTTATCACTGCCATCATTATCAATAGCTTTATACCAAAACTTCTATTTTGCATGAAAAGGAAAATATCATCGAAAGCAAAGATTTTTATAATCGCTTCTTCTGCTGATCAAAACTTTAGAAAAACAGGCTGAGCTGTACTGTTGAATACTTTATACTAAAAAGTCTAGTGTTTTAAGTGTAGTAAAATACACATATCATAAATTTACCATCTTGATCATTTTTAATGGTATAGTTCAGTAGTATTAAATGTATTCACATTGCTCTACAACCAATCCCCAAAACTTTTTCATCTTGCAAAACTGATCCTCTATATTCATTAAACAATAATTCCTTGTGTCCTCCTTACCCTAGCATGGTGACTGCCATTCTGCTTTCTGTCTCTTTGAATTTAACTACTTAGATAGCTCACACATATGGAATCACACATAATTTTTGTCCTTTTATGACTGTCTTATTTCACTTAGCATAATCTCTTCAAGATTTATCTATGTTGTTGCATGTGTCAAAATTTTCTTCCTTTTCAATGCTGGCTAATATTCCATTGGGTGTATATACTACATTTTGCTTATCCATTCATCTTCTGGGAGGCATTTGGATTGCTTCTACATTTTAGCTATGCAGAATAATGCTGCTGTGAACATGGGTCTATGAATGCCTCTTCAAGATCTATTTTCAGTTCTTTTATCCCAGAAGTTGAATTGTTGGATTATATGGCCATTCTAGTTTAATTTTTTGAGATGCCACCCTACTGTTTTACACCCCAGCTGCACAGTTTTACATCTCCCCACTAATAATTCTATTTTATGCATTGTTAGCTTATTTGTGATTTATTTAATTTTTTTATATTTATTATCCCAAAGGAATTGTAAGCTTCACAAAATGATGGCAAATGCTTTCTTAATATTTTCATCCCCATTAAAAGAACCACACTAAATAATGACAAAGTGCATCTTCTATCTAGAGTATACATGTCAGGTACTACCTATGGCCAGACAGTAAGAGTAGCTCATTATCTTAATAGTGTTACAGATCTGTCTCCCTAATAAGGCTAGTTCCAAATAATAACTGCTCCCTTAAGTAAATTAGTAAGTAAAACTATTTAAAGTTGTACATTAGCCAATATAGAAACACTCTTAAGTTGGCCAGTACACAGAAAGGGCAATGTGTGTGAACACTTAGCACAAATAACTACTATGAAGTCTCATTAGAAAATGAACAAAGCTTTCAGTGTGGCCATAAGTCCTAATTTGACCATAGAAATGTAATACTTAGGGTACCAGGGAGCAATCATCTCACATTTAATTATTTAAACATAACAATTTCACTTTATTTGAAATCTAACTTTGAACATTTTCCAAACTGAAATTAGGCTTCCACATATTTCCATTAAATTGGCAATAACGATGAAATGGAACATATGCCAGTTAGAAGAAAACAAAAACTGTTAAACTCTTACCAAAGAAATGTTTAAAAAATACTTCATGTATGGAGGAGGAAAGCTGGTGAGAAAAATACAGAAACATGCATCATTTTGGGTAGAAAGTTAATGATATCATATAATAAGGATGATAGCAAGCAGACCAATGTAATCTTTGTCCTGGTGTTTTAGGTTGAATACAAAGCTGACTACAACAGCTGGATGAAAGGCTGTGGCTGGGTGCCTTTTGGGTCCTTAGAAATGGAAAAGGCAAAGCGAGCTTCAGACATCCTTAATGAGGTAAAGCTGCTGGGTGTGTCAGAGATTCGCATGGGGGTCTCGCTAAGAACCCCTGTGCCGTGGAAAGTGCCTCTCTTACTGCTTCGTGTTGTGATCACTGTTGCTGAGGGCAAACGCTTACTACATGCATGGATGAGCCATGTAGAACAACACGCCCTTCTCCCTCGTCAAAATCCTTTATGTTGGTCATTCATGATAGACATATTTCTTTTTTTTTTAACTTTTTTTTTGAAATTTATTTCTAAAAGTCACAGACAACTTTAAAAGCAACACATTTATACTAAGGATACATGCATGAGCAAAAAAAGCAGCACGGGAATACAAAAGTGAACATAGTAAACTTTTAATTAATACAGTATTCTGGATACAAGTAGAATACCACTAGATAAGAACTGTATTTACTTCTGAGATCTATGGTGATATGGGTTGAGATAAACCAAGGTTTAGGATAGCCACTTCACCATTCACATTTATTCAGTGGATAGACATATTTCTAAGAACACTCTGGAGGTATAATTCACATTTCATGAAATGTGAAATGTACACCTTGATACATTTTAATCAGTCCATGTAACTTTGCAGTCATTACAACTAAATTTTTAAATGCTGCTAAAAACTCAAAATTTGCTTCCAAATTTCCTGTTCCCATCTTGAACCCCAGGCAACCAGTGATCTGCTTTCTGTCTCTAAATTTTTACCTTTTCTAGAAATTCCTTTTGTATCTGACTTGTTTTCACTTTGCATGTTTTTTCTTTGTATGTTTTTTTTTTCAAGTGCTTGTAGCTCATTCCTTTTTATTATTCCTTTATATGGATAGACCATATTTTGATTATCTCTTTACTGGTTAGTGGAAATGTGAATTATTTCCAATTTTGAGTGGTTATAATCAACAGTTAGAAGAATCTTCTTTGGAGAACTTTATCCTATGTCAAATTCTAATGGTTTTAAAGTATTATAAACATTATTATTCAATCTAAGAAAAAGCAGTCTTGAGGTTCTGAAACCCCAAGTTTGTCTGCCCTGCCTCTGTCCACAGCTGACATTTGCCCCTGTTGTTAGGTGAACACCATCAAGGGCAGAGGAGTCAGTGGAGGTTGTCTTCCACCCTCGAGCTTCTGTTGTTATTTGGTGCTTTTGCTCGTTTTTGACAAAATCCATCTTATTCACTCAGATCTTTTATGGAAAGTTCTTGTGGGTTGGTTTTCGGAAGTCTGAAGTTGAAAACCTGCAAAAGTGGGATGTGTAATTTCACAAAGGAAGAGGATAGGAAAAATTTAAAGGGAAGAATGTAAGAATAAGGGTAGCTAGACGTTGCCGGCTCCGTGTTGGGACACCTCCCCAGTGCCTCCCCTCCTGTGCCTCTTCAGCACTTCAGTGGCAGTCTGTGTAACTCCCCACCTCAAGGCTTACAACACAGATGTCCTCTGACTCTTGATAATAACCAATAACTGTTGTCTTAGAGGCTTCAATTGCTGACAGAGTGACAGGAAGAAAGAGATTCCTGAGAACTTGCTGGTGTCATGAAAGACAGCCCAATCTCCCTGCTGGCTTTTTGTTAATCACTTAGTGAACTCTGGAACCTCAGATTGAAGGGAGTAGTAGAAGTCTGGCTCCTGGGTTGTATTGACCTGTACTACCCCAAATCATCCAAAGTGAAACTGATTTTTCAAACACTGCCTTGTATTCATTTTTCCCAAAAGCAGCAAAGAATCTAGTATTTTTATATCTTAGTATCAGAAAAAAAAATCTGTCTTTCTCAATTAAGAGCAAGGATTTTGACATACTAGCTTTAGCAAAAACTGATGTTTTCTCTTTTTGATTCACCAAACAGAAAAAATACCGCCAACATCCAGACACGCTGAAGTTCACCCCAATCGAAGATGCCCCGATCACAGTGCAGTCTAAGATTAACCAGGCCCAGAGGAGTGATGTAAGTGTTAAGCCCAGTGATATTGTGATTAATGCTTACTCATGCCAATACATTTGTATTTCAAATGGACGGGTCACCTGAAGCTGTTGTGCAAGCTGAAGAGCCTCGATTACGGGAGTAACTGCGTCCTTCTGGGCTGTTTGTTAACGTAGCACACCTCGTTTGTGTCTTCAGAGTGAAACATATATTGTACTTGTCTGTACTTTAGGCCATTTGACATTACATTCCATGGAAAATGTGAGAGAGACTTCTCTAAGTGAGAAGAAAAGCTACAAGCCTATTTCTTGGAGAGACCAGGAAGAATGCATACTTAGAAATACTGCATCAAATGAAGGATTTACAGTTAAAGTCAGAGCTAAGACAAAAGTCATATATAGTCAAAACCACCCAAAGTCCCTTTAATTGTCCGTACAATATAACAAAAGTGGTTGGTGGATTCCACCTGATTTAGCCTTTCCTGTACTCAGGAAAGTGTGCAGGCTAACATGGTGGTTGACTTGCATCCTTGAGTTAGTTTCCACCAGGGGCCCTGATTTAGGCCAAGCACTTCCTACTCCACATACCCAGGGATCTTTGCTAAGATTGAATCAGCACCAAGACAAGACCCTATGTAACTGCCTTGAAGGCTGTGGATATTTGCAGATGAGTGGGGATGGTACCGACAATGTCTTCTCTAAAGCCACCTGTGTGCAATATGACTCACCCCAATATTGTTCCTGTGACATTAAATGTCTCTTTCTAATTCATTTATTTATTTATGTATTTCCCTCCTCTTCCAGATCGCTTACAAAGCCAAAGGGGAGGAAATCCTTCACAAGTACAGCCTGCCAGCGGACCTGCCACAATTCATTCAGGCAAAAGTCAATGCCTACAATATCAGTGAGGTGCGTGTGTAGACTCCGACCCTGGTGTGCATGTCCAGCCTTTACCACCCTGGGCCTCTCAGTTACATGATGTTTTTCTTCCAGAATATGTACAAGGCAGACTTAAAGGATTTAAGCAAGAAGGGATATGACCTGAGAATCGACGCAATTCCCATCAAAGCTGCCAAAGCTGCCAGGCAGGCTGCGAGTGATGTAAGTCCTTCCATGGCATCACACCCAGGGGATTAGAAAGCATGGGCAAGTGGCCTTGGGGACTGATGGATTGCTCCAAAGTTGCCGTATCTACTGCAGTGCCCTACTGGAAGCAAGTCTGGTTGAGAACTATTCAGGAATGAAAGATCCCTAAACAGATCTGAATTTTCCTCACGGAAAATAATTTGTGCAAGAGTACTTCAGGTAGTATGTGAACAACAGAATTAAAAGATAAGTTTATTTTTGGTGGAAAAAAAGATCTAAGGCCATGTAGAGGTTTTTCAAATTATGCATTTTTCCATATACTTGTGAAGATTCCTCTTATAACCTTTCATCGATGAGTTCGAACTATATCCCTTAATTTAAAATTCTCATCTATGTGGCCTCACAAATCCACATTACTTGTGAAAATAAAGAAATGACCTTCCAAAGTCACGGTAGGCTCCTGATGGTGAAATTCCATCTCAGAACTTCTTGAATCTGTGAGATTTCCCTCTTTGCCTTTCTTCACTTTCCTTGATTACTTTTACAGACTGGTGAATTGGCACAAGTTTCACAGCCACTAGTAGACAGTAGCTTCCTTTCAAGTTAATGATTTTCTTTCTTATTCTATTTCACATTAACCTAAATGCGCGCTGAAATCACTTTGCTCTGTGAGATTCAAATACAATGCTCAAGCTCCCACTTGTTGGCCTACAGGAAGGGGAATCCCACCACTACCTCTGCCAGTACCTGAACTTTTTGTTTCCTCTGACCACCTCTGGTTTGCATACTGTAGTTTTCCTTGTGTTCTCCTGGGCCCTCCTCCTATGGATCTACTTCTTTCTGCTCTGCCTGACCCTGATATAAAACACAGCCCCTTTCTTTTGATCACCCAGAAAATCCCAAGCAACATTTTGCTGGTTGTCTGAAATGAAGTTTACATTGCACCAATGTAAATACACTGCAATCGAATACCACATGTCCTCGTCCCGGAGAGCCCCCCATCCAGAATTTCTCATGGACTCCCTTTCTCAGTGCTCTCTTCTAGCCACCTACCACCCGACACTCCACAAACTTTTCTTCACATCAGTTTCTGATTCCCAGGGTCCTCTCTTGTTCTCACCAAGGAAGCTCAACCCTCCCTCATTTTATTATGCAGATCAAATTAAGGTTTTCCCATTCCTGGCTCCGAGTGTCCCTTGAATACCCAGTTCTAGTAGTAAAATCCTGTAACTAATCAAATAGACAATTACTTAGAGCTCTTCCAGAGATTATGAAACACTTCTATTTCCACGTTTCCCACCAGTGTCTAGGTGAAAATAAACAAAAGAGAGCTTTACATTGTCACTGTTAGGAGCTATGCTAATGTCTCCATCTCAACCTTGCTTGGGTGGGCAGAAGCAGCTACAGACAATCCAAATGAATTCTAAATAGAATTTTATCTTACCAGATTATATTTAAGTGTACAGTTGGCTTTTGTTTCTGCTGGTTCTGCCTCTGAAAATTCACCTGAATATAAAAAAAAAATTTTTAAAATTGCCTCTATACTGAACATGTACAGAAATTTTTTGTCATTATTCCCTAAACAGTATAGCATCACAACTGCTTTTTAAATAGCTTTTACATTGTATTAGGTATTATAAGGAGACTAGAAATAAAGGATGTGGGAGGATCACATGGGTTGTTTGTAAATATTGCACCATTTTATGTAAGAGACATGAGCATCAACAGATTTTGGTGTCCTGGGAAGGTCCTGAAACTAATTTCCCATGAATACTGAGGGGCAACTGTATTTGCAGGTGAATAGCTAATTGTTTGGTTATTGAAGTCAAGAAATATCTGCTACATTCAAGTACTTCAAATGTGGCCCCTTATTCAGTAAAATCTTCAAAAGTACATTTAAAAAGATGTCCACCTTTGTTTCCAATAGGTTCAATACAAAAAAGATTACGAGAAAGCTAAGGGGAAAATGGTTGGCTTCCAAAGCCTCCAGGATGATCCTAAACTGGTTCATTATATGAATGTGGCCAAGATACAATCAGACCGGGAGTACAAAAAAGATTACGAGAAGACAAAGACCAAATACAACACACCTCATGATATGTTCAATGTTGTGGCAGCGAAGAAAGCTCAAGATGTTGCCAGCAATGTCAACTATAAGCATTCTCTCCATCATTACACCTACCTGCCTGATGCCATGGACCTGGAGCTGTCCAAAAACATGATGCATATACAGAGTGATGTGAGTGCCAGTCACCTCCCAGCAAATCCCCCTGTAAGTTCTCAGCCTGTCATGAAAGCAAGCCTGCCTGGGGCCCTCACTCCTCTGTTCTGCTCTTGCTGTAGAATGTCTATAAGGAAGACTACAACACCTGGATGAAAGGCATTGGCTGGATACCTATTGGCAGCCTCGATGTGGAGAAAGTTAAAAAGGCGGGTGATGCCCTGAATGAAAAGAAGTACAGACAACATCCGGACACCCTCAAGTTTACCAGCATTGTGGATTCCCCAGTTATGGTCCAGGCAAAACAGAACACACAGCAAATCAGTGATGTGAGTGCAACCCAAGACAGGGGTGGAGGATGGGGATGGAAGCTTTTCTTTGTTTTTTAAAGTAAATATCAGCTCAGCATTTTTATTCTTCTGAGCCCATATCTTTTCATTCTACCTTTATTAGTTTGAATATTTAATTTTAAAATTATAGTTAGTTTTAGTTTGAGCACTAACATTGTCTTTTCCTCTTATCTTGCTTTTTAATTTTTAAAACTTTTTTAATTGCCTGTGATATACTGTGATATTGGATAAATTTGACACAGTGTAAGAATTTCTATTCTAGTATTACATAAACATACCCACAGAACTTCAGCTTAAATTTCAGACACTTTTTGTGGCTAATCATATTTAATTCTATATTAAATTGTCATTTATTTTTCACATGTAAAGCAGTAACACAGGGTAATAATACAAGTGAATATATGTTTTTCCCCACAGAGTTCAGCACAGACAAGGAGACTTTTAGACTAGTGGAAATTAGTATTGTTTGCCTGCATGTCCATAAGCAGCATTTGTGCTTTGACTGAAGTCAAAGTTTCTAAAGGAAATTTGGGTGTATAGAAGGAACATCAAAAGCACCGATTAATTTAGTTAGTGATATTTTTGAGCATCTCCCATGTGCCCGGCACTACATGGTGTGTTGATGGTATAAAGACGAAATAGACAAGGATAAATGGGCATAAGAATTAACAATGTAGGACGCGAGCTTAAGACCAAGATATGGATATAGACAGACTATTGCTCTCCAGAGAGAAGAATGAGCCAATAAAGGCATTTGCTAAGGGAGCACAGAGGAAGTGAGAGCTGCCTGGCCAATAAGGGAGAGGTGCATTCCTGGTGAAAGGAACAATGTGACAACAGAGAAGAATGAATTCAGGAGTGTTTTTGTTTTTGTTTTTGCCTACTTGTTGAGGGTCTTGTATGCTAACTTGTAGAGTCTGGACACTATGGGTTAAATAATGGAGATAGTGAAGGTTTTTAATCTGTGGAGTCACCTTATCAGGTCTGTGTTGTAAAATATAGCTCTGGCGGCCGGCGCCGCAGCTCACTAGGCTAATCTCCGCCTGCGGCTCCAGCACCCTGGGTTCTAGTCCCGGTTGCCCCTCTTCCAGGCCAGCTCTCTGCTGTGGCCCGGGAGTGCAGTGGAGGATGGCCCAAGTGCTTGGGCCCTGCACCCGCATGGGGGACCAGGAGAAGCACCTGGATCCTGACTTCGGATCAGTGCAGTGTGCTGGCCACAGCAGCCACTGGGGGATGAACCAACGGAAGGAAGACCTTTCTCTCTGTCTCTCTCTCTCACTGTCCATTCTGCCTGTCAAAAAAAAATTTTTTTTAAATATATAGCTCTGGCAAAAAGTATGGAGACCATGTATAGAGGTGAGGGACAAGAGACAAGAAAGTGAACCAGAAGACTATTGTAGATACCCCAAGGAAGGCTCCACTGAACTTAAACTAAGGCAATAGCAATGAAAAACAGATATTTAGAAAGTAGAATCCATGAAATTCTGTGAATGCTTAGATATGGTTCCTAAAGTCAGTGAGGAATGAAAGAGAACTCTTAGATTCGTACCAGAAATTATTTAGTATTCAAGTATTAATTAGTTACTAGATCTCTATACTGTACTTGTGAAACCTATACGACATTTTACATAGGATATTCCACATGGATATGCTTGGAAAAGCAGAATGCATATGATGGATATTTAACAGATTGGAAGTCTGTGATTCTGGTTCCATCTTATTTTTTTTAAGATTTATTTTATTTATTTGAGAGATAGAGTTACAGAAAGAGGCAGAGGCAGAGACAGAGAGAGAGGTCTTCCATCCGCTGGTTCACTCCCCAGATGGCCGCAACAGCCAGAGCTGTGCTCATCAGAAAGCAGGAGCCAGGATCATCTTCTGAGTCTCCCACATGGGTGCAGGGGCCTAAGGACTTGGGCCATCTTTACTGCTTTCTCAGGCCACAGCAGAGAGCTGGATCGGAAGAGGAGCAGCTGGGACTGGAACCGGCACCCATATGGGATGCCAGCACCTCAGGCCAGGACTTTAACCCACTGCACCACAGTGCTGGCCCCCCATGTTAGTTTTTAAATTAAGCAATTTTTCCTCCATTACTAAGAGGAAGATAAGATTTCTATATCATATACTTTGATGTTATTCAATGAAAAGTATTTGTAATTGTCTAAAATAAGAAAATAGGGTAAATATAAAATGGTAAACATTTTAAGTATACTTGGTTAATATACAGATAAAGTATAAAAATATTGTAGGCTTTTACTGATGCAATTATAATTGGACAGTTTTCAATAGAAATTAAAAACTCATTCTATTTTCTGACTATGGATAAAAAACATAATCTAAATAAATAAATGAAAAGCAAAACAAAAGGAGTACAACCAACCAACCAAATAAATGAAAATGCCTAAAACTTTAAGCGGGGTCAACTCTAGGCTTGAATTTGTCTGGCTTTAGTGACTCCTGTTATTCACATTAGGATTTTACCTTTGAAGGTATTTTCTGTTCATCTCCAGCAGTCAAAGATTTCTATTTTCTTAAGAATGTTTACTCTCTTTTTTAACACACAAAGTTCTCAGGTCTTAGTGAAGATAAGAAAAATGCTCTTTAATTAAAAAAAAAAAAAAAAACGGAGGAGGGATGCCTTTGATGGTTTTTAGCAATGGAGACAGTGGGGCATTATCTAGGAGTAACTCCTATAAGCAGGCAGCTAATGAATTTTTCTGTTTGCACTCTTTGTAATGTGCTTTATGTTTGTAACTGTGTGTTGCAGATCTTGTACAAAGCTAAAGGAGAAGATGTAAAACACAAATATACTATGAGTCCTGATCTTCCTCAGTTCCTCCAGGCCAAGTGCAATGCTTACAATTTAAGTGATGTAAGTCTTTGGATGCTGTGGGGAATCTGGACATGACATAACAGAATGGATGTCTAGAGTAGGATGGTGCCTTCACAATTATTGTGCTCAACTTCTTGCATAGCCCCCCATCACCAATATCCCATGAGGATGGTTCTTCACCTCTTTGGCCCTTTCAAATGTAGGACAGCTCTAAAAGGAACAGTATTCTTTATGTTGAACTCACCATCTCTTCTGCTCATACTTATACTGAGTTTTCCTAGTTTTGCACATGGGGGTGGTTATTATCCTCCAGAAAAGTAAAAATAAATGAAATTCTCTAAACAGACCTAAAAATGTAAAGGTGACCACCAGGTTCTCTCCTGACTTTGCTTTCACAAGACTGACTAACTTTATTTTCTCTAGTTGGCCCTCTTCAGTATCTACCCAAACCGGATTTGGGTGAACAATCAGTGCAGAGTCCAGTCATTGCATGTGATGTACATAGTACGAGTTTGCTAATGTGATTTCCAAGAATAGCATGTGCCAGAGGGGGCTTCTTCAGCTTATATCTGGAAAAGAATGAATTAATCCCAGCAGTCGAGGAATCACTTTTTCTGATCAGTACCTAACATGCTGACACAGTTTTGGTTTTTCCATCCCAGGTCTGCTACAAACGGGACTGGCATGATTTAATAGCCAAGGGCAACAATGTGCTGGGTGATGCTATTCCCATCACTGCGGCCAAGTCATCAAGAAACATTGCCAGCGACGTGAGTAAACATTTTAGGTGAAATCTGGGTGATTGCCTTTTTAAAAAGTAATCAAATGTGTGCTTGTTCAAATTGATGCCTGATTGAATTAGTGGCATTCCAATTCTCCATGCATTATTGTTTTGAAAACCTGTCACTCTTTCAAATTTCTGTGATTCTTTTCGGTTGACCCCACTTGGTAGAGCTGTCATAAATCTGACAGCGGCTTTCTCTCTTGACTCATAGCCCAAATTACCTTCACTGACACATTCCCCTGACAGCCCACATTTATTTGCAGTGCCAACACCCTGACACTAACACATTAGATTCAAATGACTGCCTCTGTTATAATCATATTAAGACAATTGAAAAGATGTTCTACAAAGTGTGCAAATTATTATAAACCAAGTGGGAAAATCTATGTTAAAAAATAGAATTTTGATTCCTGTAAATTGATGCCCATTTCATCTGTGATTTAAAAAAAATAAAGGCGCACTTACACTTCTTATCTTTGAAAAAAAATTTGAAAAAGCATGCATGCTTTGCAGAGTTCTTAGTTACATACTACTCCAGGGGGCTACAATCTTGGTTTGAGAAAAGTGAAAAATCAACTAACCGTGTGTTCAGACCACATTGGGGATAAGGGTGTAAGAATTCTAGTTTTCCTTCTCGGGATAGTACTGAAAAGTCTTCCTCAGAGGTTTGCATGTAATGTATGTTACTATGCAAGACACTCATTTAAGGAGAAAGTGAAAGAATAGTTAATCCCTTTTTTAAAGCGCTTACACAGTGTTCTTTCTACCGTGCCTAGAAACTGATTGATAATCCTTTCACCTGCTAAATCCCTGTTTATGAATTGATGCTTAAACTACACAAGCTGAGTGTCTTGCAGGGTTTAAGTACACTTAAGTTTTCTTGCATAAAAATTGAAGTATTGGCCTACTGTAGGGTAGCTCAGTTTTTCATTCCTGATCCAGCACTGCAAGATCTTGGACAGCAGAGCTTTTGTAGTTCTGTTTTTACCGACAAGAAAGCCCACAGCAGTCCCTGCCCTTGCTGTTGCTTCTTAACTCGGTTGCAGGTTCTCCAGCAGGAAGCTGCTGACTGGGATGGGTGAAGGCTCAGCTAGTTAGTTGATAGGAAATTACACATGGGATTAGGAAAAGTCATATCCTTATAACACTAAGAAAAACAGATCTTATATTTGGTGTGTGCTATGTTCATATTAAGTGGTAAAATTTAGTTGGTTTTAAGTTGCACAAATAAATCATCTGTAGGACTCATAGCAAAGAAAAGAAAGTGGTCTAGTATTTATTATGATACCCTGATGAAACCCAGCAGTGTTTGAAATAAATGTTTTCACTCCATGCTTTCTGGAAGGGGACATGGTTTGCATTTCTGGTATACTCTTCCAGAAAGTCACAGTGTTCTGAGAACCTTTCTGAGTTTATAGAATCATTGCTCTCAATGTTATCGGTGGTGAGGGCTTTGCTAACAGGATTCTGTCTTTGCAGTATAAATACAAGGAAGCTTATGAGAAGGCAAAAGGAAAGCACGTGGGTTTCAGAAGCCTCCAGGATGATCCCAAGCTGGTCCATTACATGAATGTGGCAAAGATGCAGTCCGATCGTGAATACAAAAAGAACTATGAGAACACCAAAACCAGCTACCATACCCCCAGAGACATGGTTAGCATTACAGCTGCGAAGATGGCCCAGGATGTGGCCACCAATGTCAACTACAAACAGCCAATCCATCACTACACATACCTTCCTGATGCCCTGAGTGTCGAGCACACGAGGAATGTGAATCAAATTCAGAGTGATGTAAGTACACATAACACAACACACCGAGGTGTTGGTCCTTAAGAGATGGTCATTTCTCTGTGTTAGGAGAATTCTGAATGCAGTGAGATGGTTGAAAAATGTGCATTCGAATAAACATCCACTATTGAAAGATGGCCAAAAGGCATGGTAGGCAAGCTCACTGTACTTATATCACAATCACTGACATTGTCTTTATTAATTTATGGGTGAAAGATTAAACTGTGTTCTAATCTACCTTGATTCTCAACAAGGAGAAATAAGTGCTGCTTGTGGGGCTGCTTTAATGGTGACAGGTACATGAACATATATGCAAAATAGGAGAACTCCTTTTTTTCTGAATTCAGGAAGTTTTTATTTATTTTTTTCTTTTGCAGTATGACTTCAAGTCACACTGTCATCCATATAAATCTACGTAATGTGTCCTCTAAAACGTTCAGGAAAGGTTTGGTGCTCGCAGCCTGATTGATGGGGAACTGCACTGGGAGATGTTTAGCATTCAGGGCATTTCCTTCTGCAGGAGCTGGGTTTCTCTAAGAATTGTCCTCTCTGAAGGGAGGACATGGTATTCATTTGGTGCTAAATGAAAATCTCTCTCTCTGAGATCAGGAGTAGCTTTAAGTGGACAGTATGGGTGAAATTCAGAGTTTTGGAGTCTTCAATGAAATCAAAATGAAAGTCCAATTTATTGTCAAAAGAGTCCATTTTTCTAAAGCAGTACCTGTGGAAATGTGTGAGCTAAATTCCCTTCTGTGTTGTGTAATGCACCTGACAACAGAACTGCCTTTTTCTTATTTCCAAAGTCCAGGTAATGAACTCTGGCAGACACAGTCAGGTGCAAGCATGCTGAAAAGAGTTGCCAGTTGTTTCCCTTGGACAGAATTGCTGATCTCAGAAACAGCCCTTGAATATTCTCTTGCACACTTCTTCAATCGAGTTTACTCTCTTACAGAATGTGTATAAGGATGAGTATAACAACTTCTTCAAGGGCATTGGATGGATCCCCATTGGTTCTCTGGAGGTTGAGAAGGTCAAGAAGGCAGGCGACGCATTAAATGAGAAGAAATATCGACAGCATCCAGACACCATCAAGTTCACAAGTGTGCCTGATTCCATGGGCATGGTTTTGGCACAGCATAACACAAAGCAGCTGAGTGATGTAAGTGGTTTCCCTTCCAATGGATTTGTCCATGAGAAATCCCTTGTGATTACACCACTCACCTTCCTAATTCAATACGTGAGGATGCATCAATGTTAGAAAATGAACTGCTTTCACCAGTATAAGAAAATTTTGCTTTCAAAGCAACTTGGAACTTGAACATAGGGAAAACAGGGAGAGGCTGTTTGAAATTTGCTTTATTTTCTGAATGTGAGTTATAAGCATACTCTACCCATTGTACAAGTGAAATGACATTATTACTATTATCATCTGTCTGAATTGCAAAACAAGCTATTTAGTGCTCTGCATTGCATTAGTTCTCCCTGGCGATACAAGGAAATGGGCAGAATGTCCTTAACCCCTGTTCTGAGAGGCGGTCTTTGAGTAAGGTCTCTGGGGAGGAGAGGAGTGGTTTATTTGCAATGATCTGAGGTCCATTTCTGAGAACAAGACCCTTATTCCTCAGTCAGAGGCTGATTACAACGCGCAGTGCCTCACATCATTTGGTAATTTCCGAGTTCTGCTGAAATGCCTCTGCCAGAGAGAGAGAAATAAGCCAACCAGCAAAGGAAGGAAGGCTTCCTATGTTTTTCACCTCTGATTTTAGAAGAAAGGGAGCACTTTGCTAGTCTCAGATTTGAGAACTGTCTGGATTTTATTTTTCAGGATAGTTTCTTTCTCACCTGCTTAAAGATTAATTCTATTGTAGGGGTAGTAAGCGGTCAAAATTCTTTTGATTATTTTGTACCGAGGTAAGTGTTACTTCTCATGGCTTTTTTTCAGTTAGCTAGGAAAACTGCCCACTCACTGTATTAAGTGCTGCTCATCCCAGTGAATGCCATCCGTATCTACCCAGTTTCTCCAGTCGCAAACTTGGCAGCCAGCAGCGACCCCTCCCTGCGTGTACCCCAAATGCAGCGCGTTGCTGAGTCAACTTGCTAGCTAGCTCTCTGTCACGATGTTGAAATGCTTCTTTCAACTGTCACAATCCTAGTTCCTCCTGGCTTCTGTGTTCATATGGACGACTGATGGCCTATTTTTTTCTTATTACCAAGTACTTTATGAGACCAAAATATTGCCAACAGCTTACATGTTCAACCATTTAGCATTGGCTAATCGATTCGTTTGTTCAGCAAATGCTATCATGCACCCCACCCTGGTGTCTGCCTGAGGATCTGTTTAGGGGAGTATTCTCCTCAGCCTCCTCCTCTAACTACACAATCTGACCCCATGTAGAAGGCACAAGTTTGTGAACTGATCTTCCCCCAAAGGCCAGCGTTGACATCCTAGAGCCCGTGGGTTCCAGGCTGCATCTGAAGTTTCACTTTAAAAAGTGTAATTAACATTTCCATTGTAATCTAGGCATTCTTGAAGTTAATCTGGCAACCAGGGTGTCTCAGCACCAACTGGCGGAGTGCCCCAGGGGTCGCTGTGTGCACATGTGTGATGGGCATAGAGGTGGTCTCCAAACAGAATCAGTGGCGGACGCTGGCATGCGCTGGCAGCAGCGTCTGTGCTGGGGCTGTGGGAGATGCGGGTGCTTGGAGCAGGTCACGGGGAGCACTCTGCTGGCCATGACTTGAGAGACGCCTGCGCTGTGGGGGTTGCTTTCCTTCCGCTCGGCCAGTGGTGGGATTGGGAAGTGATTTTGCCTCCCTTCTCCTCCCCCTCCACCTCCAGTCCCTCCAGGCAACCTCATCATTTTCAGCCTCAGGGACCTGAAGGCTCTACCCCCGCCTGGACCTCTCCCACTTCTCCAGGGTTGAGCATAAATGCTACCCTCGAGAGAGCCTCTAGCGATCAAACTTACTTCACTGCTGCAATTATTTGGTTTACAACACATCGTGAATGTCATCACAAATAGTGGGTAGCATATACATTTCTTGTCTTTCTCCTTGACTATAAGCTCCAAGAGGTTGGAGCCGCCGTTTTCCCTGCTTCACTCACAGAACGTAGCAGCCTGCCTGGCCCCCAGTGCTGTCCAGCAAACTCTGGTGGAGTGAGGACATGGCTGTGTTTACTAGGAGCCCCTCCTGTGTCACTGGGATATGGAAAACTCAAGTGATGGCCTCCTTTTTCTAGGACTGGGTGCTTGATGAAGCTCACACTAGGCCAGCTAACGGTACTGGTGTGCTGCCTCTTTTGTTTACAGTTGAACTACAAGGTGGAGGGTGAGAAAGTGAAACACAAGTACACCATGGACCCTGAAGTGCCTCAGTTCATTCAAGCCAGAGTCAACGCCTTCAACCTGAGTGATGTGAGTATCCGGCCAGTGCCAGCCTGTAGCGGTGTACATGCACCTGTCAGCTTCCCGTGTAAGTGGAGCAAACTGAGGATGGCTCCTGTGAGTCTCCCTGTTAGACCCTCATGCTGCAACGTGAGATGAGCGGCCGCCATAAAATTCTGCTTAATGCAAACTTGAACAGCTGGTGGGCTCTGACTTATTAGTAGGTTGTAGTCACAGTAGGTTGTGTCATATTTTGTAAAAAGTGGAACAAAATGAGATAAACAACATCAGAAAATCCAGGAGAATATTGTCAGTAGTAAGGATAACTATTGCTTTATACAACTTTTTGTTTCTATTGTTATTAACACTTCTCAAAAAAGCATAATTTTCTTCAGAAACTTGTTTTTTAAGTATAAATGATCTCTCTTTGGTAGTGTAGACACCCAATTGGTGATGATTTTTAAATCCAAGATTGTGAATTAATTCCCTTAAAAAGGTACTAAATTGTAATTTTAAAACATTATCAAATCTGGATCAAATTGTTTTTTAGGTCCTATTTTAACCCCAAATATACATTTTTGGGTACTCATTTTTATGCTATTAGTTTCACTTTAAAATTTTCCCTTTATTTTATAAGTAATATTTAAGAATTATGATCAAGTAAAGCTGAGTGGTAGGTACCACATCCAAATTTTTTATTGTAGTGTTCATATCTTTCTATAGGTTTGATATGTTCATTACAAAAAATTTTCAAAAATTGTGTATTAGAGAAATGTGTATAGAAAAGTTAAAAAATGAGAAAATTATGAAGAATGAAATTTATTATTTGACTTTTGAAGCTTTACCTCTCTGTTGCTTTGTTATGCAATCATATACATTTTTCAGTCAGTTTAGATTATACTGCATATACAATTTTCTGATATTTTTTAAAAAGAATCTGATATATACCAAAGGGATGAGCCAATAGTTCTGATTTTATGCATTGTCTTAATAGAGAGGGATATGTTATGACATGTTCTATAAGAAACATTTTTTGTATCATTTTTTCTCTTTTTTGAAAGATTTATTTTTATTTGTTTGAAAGGCAGAGTTAGAGAAGGGGAGACAGAGAGGGAAAGAGATCTTCCACCCAGCCACTGGTTCATTCCTGAAATGGTCATAAAAGCCTGGGCTGGACTAGACTGAAACCAGGAACCAGGAGCGTCTTCCGAGTCTCCCATGTGGGTGCAGGGGCCCAAGGACCTGGGCCATCTTCCACTGCTTTCCCAGGCACAAAGCAGGGAGCTGGTTTGGAAGTGCAACAACTGGGAATTGTACCGGCACCCATATGGGATGCCAGCATTGCAGGCAGCAGCCTTACCCACTGTGCCACAATGCCAGCCCCTTCTCTTTTAATGATGTCAAATAATAAAAGAACATTTCCTGTTTTTGAAGGCTCACTATAAAGCAGACTGGAAGAAAACCCTTGCTAAGGGCTATGATTTGAGACCAGATGCCATTCCCATTGTTGCTGCGAAGAGTTCAAGGAATATTGCTAGCGACGTAAGTCTATTTTGAAAGCAGTAAACTCCATCTGTGTATACTTTTAAAATATGTATATGGTGTAAAGGACCATATGATCCACATAAGCAGAAAAATAAACTATAATAGGAAAAAATTGGATTTTTTGAATATAAGTTCACTTAAAGCCTTTAAAACTCAATACAGTGTACAAAAATCATTTAAAAACTATAATATTTGGAGCTCTCAGTATAATTGCTATGAACTTAAAAACTACTTTTGATTTGAATTTTATCAAGAAAAAAGTATTGGCATACAAAAATATCACTAAATTAAAAAGTCTCCAAAACAAAAAAAATTAAAAATAAACAACAAAATAACAAACAAAAGTCTCCAAATATTTTTTAAAATATATAGAGTTTAAATTTTATAATTTCTACAAAGAAAAACTCTGGTAAAATATGGAAAACTAGGGAGAATTTTACATTAAAGAATTTACATTAATTTTACATTAAAGAATTTTACATTACATTTTCTTTAAAGATTTATTTATTTGAAAGGCAGAGAGGGAGAGAGGGGGAGAAGGAGAGAGGGAGAGGGACAGAGAACGCAAGCTCATCTGTCCACTAGTTCACTCCCCAAATGGCCACAATGGGCAGTGCTGGCCCAGGCTGAATCCAGGAGTCAGGAGCTCCAACCAGGTCTCTCATGTGGGTGGTAGAAGTCCACGTGCTTGGCCTGTGTTCCGCTGCCTTCGCAGGCACGTTAGTAGGGGGCTGGACCAGAAGCAGAGCAGCATCCCGAGTGGCAGCTCAACCTGCTGCAGCACTATGCTGGCCCCACAGAAGAGAATTTTTTAAAAAGATTTACTTTTATTTATTTGAAAGGCACAGAGTCACAGAGACAGAGGGTGAGACCAAGAGAAAGAGACCACTTCTGTCTGCTGGTTCACTCCCCGAATGGCCACAACGGCCAGGGCTGGCCCAGGCTGAAGCCAGGAGCCAGAAATTCCATCTGGGTCTCCACGTGGGTAGCAGGGGCCATCATCCACTGCCTTCCCAGGTGCATTACCAGGAAGCTGGATCAGAAGCGGAGCAGCCAGGACTCAAACTGGCACTCTGATATGGGCATCATAAGCAGCAGCTTTATCCCATTTTACCACAACATGCCAGTCCCTGAAAAAGAGGATGTAGATAATTACTTTTTTATGAATTAAGTTATATTTTCTATATGAATTAATGTAATAACTTGATAGACTAAAAACTCATTCATTTCAAATCTAATACACCAATTTATATTAAAGTGTGTTAAAAATTTACTGATGATTATGCAAAGTTTATTAGATAATGTAAATTAAAAACAGTAAAAAGCTAATATATCAGATGCTCAATAAATAAACTTTTTAGTAACTTTTGAGTATATTCAAAGAATCTACTTATGAACAATCTAGATTTAAGCTACAAATTATTCTTTTTTTTTTTTTCTTGACAGGCAGAGTGGACAGTGAGAGAGAGACAGAGAGAAAGGTCTTCCTTTTGCCGTTGGTTCACCCTCCAATGGCCGCCACGGCTGGCGCACTGCGGCCGGCGCACCGCGCTGATCCAATGGCAGGAGCCAGGTACTTCTCCTGGTCTCCCATGGGGTGCAGGGCCCAAGCACTTGGGCCATCCTCCACTGCACTCCTGGGCCACAGCAGAGAGCTGGCCTGGAAGAGGGGCAACCGGGACAGAATCCGGTGCCCCAACCGGGACTAGAACCTGGTGTGCTGGCGCCGCAAGGCGGAGGATTAGCCTAGTGAGCCGTGGCGCCGGCCTACAAATTATTCTATTCTTAATTATCCCCAGAGCAGATATCAAGACCATTCACCAGAAGTATTTTGCTAGTTGTTTATTTTAAAGTGTTTTTAAAAACCTAGAAGTTGCATACACTCAGACTGAATTTTTTTCTTTTGCTCACTCTGCTATATACATTGTCTATCTCAAACTTCTACCCTAAAAAGTCTATCTGCCCTTTTCTTTCCAATAGTGCAAATATAAGGAGGCCTATGAGAAAGCCAAAGGCAAGCAAATTGGATTTCTCAGTCTTCAGGATGATCCTAAACTGGTTCACTACATGAATGTGGCCAAAATACAGTCAGACCGCGAGTACAGAAAGGGCTATGAAGCCAGCAAGACCAGGTACCACACGCCTTTGGATATGCTCAGTGTGACCGCTGCCAAGAAGTCTCAGGAGGTGGCGACCAACGCCAACTACAAGCAGCCCTTCCACAACTACACTCTCCTGCCGGATGCCTTGCCTGTGGAGCACTCCAGGAACGCCATGCAGATCCAGAGCGATGTAGGTCCCAGGCAGCAGCTGGCAGCACAGTGAGGGATCCCTTTCTTGTGGGTAGGAAGGAAGAGCAGGAAACACTCCATCCTACCCCTGGCTGGGCTCACTGTAATTACAGCTCTCCTCCAGAACCTGGAGTTCTAGGGTTTCACTCATCGGAACTATAGGTAGCTTTGCTGATGCTTTTATAACTACATTTATTTTTTTAAAGATTTTATGTATTTATTTGAGAGGTAGAGTTACAGTGAGAAGGAGAGACAGAGAGAAAGGTCTTCCATCCACTGGTTCACTCCCCAAATGGCCGCATTGGCCGGAGCTGCACTGATCTGAACCAGGACCAGGTGCCTCCTCCGGGTCTCCCATGTGGGTGCAGGGGCCCAAGGAGTTGGGCCATCTTCCACTGCCCTCCCAGGCCACAGCAGAGAGCCGGATTGGAAGAGGAGCAGCCAGGACTAGAACCAGTGCCCATATGGGATGCCAGCACCGCAGGTGGAGGATTAACCTACAGAGCCATGGCACCAGCCCCTATAACTATATTTAAAACTTTAGATATTAGGCCCAACACATGATATACCTATGAAAAATTAAGAGGCTTATATAGATGATATATAATTTCTAGTGCAAAATTCTGTAAACTTTTCCTTTCTTTTCCTCAGGAAAGTTAAATTTTTAAAGGAATTGTTGAGTTGGGATTTCCTCTTAAAAATCACAGTGAATGCAATGATTTTTATGATTCTTTTTTTCCCTAAAAGATGGTGGGAGTAAATAGCAGGTTATCCCCCCTCCCCTTTTGGCTTCTCGATGCTAGGGACTCTTTCTGAAATAACAATGTCCCCTTCTTGTTGTAAAGAACCTCTATAAATCTGACTTCACCGGCTGGATGAAAGGGATTGGCTGGATCCCAATACAGTCCCTCGAGGTGGAGAAGGCAAAGAAAGCAGGAGAGATTCTTAGTGAGAAGAGGTACCGCCAGCACCCCGAGAAGCTGAAGTTCACATACGCCATGGACACCATGGAGCAGGCGCTTAACAAGGCTAACAAACTGAATATGGACAAGGTGAGAGCTTGGCTGTTGGCCTCCGAGAACTTACGTGGTCCTCGGGCCATGGAGCCTGGCAGGACCTCTACAATATCCAGGAATTGTTTTCTTTCTAATGGTTGTAGTGGTGGTGGGAGAGCAACTCTGTCTAGGCTTCCATCTGTGTTCCTGTTATATATTAATGTTAGCCGTCGCAAAACACACCGGAACACCGGAGTAAGGGAAAGGGTTTATTGGGGAGCACCCAACAGACCGGAGTGAAGGGGTGGCGAAGGAAAATGAGAAAAATGAGTATAAGAGAGGAGAGGAGCTAGCAAGGAGAGAAGAGAGAGAAGAGAGATGAGAGGAGCTGAGAGAGAAGGCCAAGAGACCAGAGGAGGAGGCGAGAGAGAGCAGGAGAGAAGGGCCAAGAGAGCACGTGTTCAGGAACAGGCCCTTTTAAAACTTTGCCTGAGGGCGGGCAGGGAAGCAGGAGCAGCCAATCCCATTAGGATGGGGGTGGAGCCTGGCTCAGGTAGCTGGGCCAGGCGGCCACCTGGCTAAAACTGCCCCAGTTTCCTAACAGTTCCTGTCTCCCATTCTCTCTGTCCCTCTCTGCCTGTCTTCCTCTCTTTCTTTCTTTACTCTCATTTTGCTCCTTAGGCTATCTCTCAGTGTCGTATTAAGGATCCAACAGAACCACAAACCTCCACCTAGCTCAAAGGTTGGGGCAAGATGTCATCCGTTGCTTCAGTAGACGAGGGTTCCTTTGTTTGATGACTTTTTTGCATTGTGTATTCAGGTCCCTCCAGCCCACTTCTTGCCCTTTTATCCTGCTGTAAGATTATGTACCTCACCTTCTTGTTGCAGAGGCTGTACACTAAGAAATGGGACAAAGATAAGACCACCATACACGTCATGCCCGATACTCCAGATATCCTGCTCTCCAGAGTAAACCAAATCACCATGAGTGATGTAAGTATAGAACAACAGCCATAAGTGTGGAGAGAGAAGCTGGAAGCTTCCGTAGGACTCGGGGAACATTCATCTGCTTGTCAGCCACTGTGAAATCAGGATCTGCATTCTCACCCAAATAACAACAGTTGGTTGTGTTTGTATCTCATCCTTTAGAAACTGTACAGAGCTGGCTGGGAAGAGGAGAAGAAGAAGGGCTATGATCTGAGGCCTGATGCCATCTCCATAAAGGCTGCCAAAGCTTCTAGAGACATTGCCAGTGATGTAAGTGCTTCCATGGGGCCTTCCTCAGGCTGAAGAAGTAAGAACGAATGAGCCAAGCTTGTGTGTTCTGAGGAGCTGCAGTCAGCTCCACTGAGTGTCAGTGGTAACACCATCCCACGTAACATACAAGATACCTCCCTTTTGTTCATTATTTAACATAAAAAATGGGGCAGGCATTTGGCTAAGAGGTTAAGATGCCTGTGTCCTTTTTCAGAGTGCCCGAGTTGCATTCCTAGCCCCAATGCTTGATTCTAGCTTAATGTAGTCCCTGGAAGGCAGTAACGATGGCTCAAACAATTGGGCTGCTGCCACCCCCATGAGAGATCTGGATTGAGTTCCTGGCTCCCAGTTTTGACCACTACAGGCATTTGGGGAGTGAACCAGCAGATGGGAGTTGTCTTTCTATCTCAAATAAATAAATTAAAAATTTTAAAGAGTCTTGTTATAGATAAGTAGATCCTGGAGTATCTGACTCACTTATAGATAATTCTAAGCAGACACAAGGATGCAACCTACATGTTTTACCCAGGAGACCATGGCCAGGCTCTTTCCTGACTTTAAAAGTATGTGTGAGAAATCCTGCAGCAGCCTTTTCTGTTTATTAGACTGCTGAATGGGAAACTGTGCTTTCTAAACCATCCCAAGCCAACTTATCTATACATTGCTTTGATGAACTCAGTCCCTTTCTTTCCATAGTCTCAGTCTGGGAAGAAATTTGAAGTAAAACAACTTTGCTCTGGGCCCCGTGAGCTCCCTTCTGTCTGATTGTAGAGTAGCTTAAAAATCCTTCACCTGTGACGAAGCTAAGGGCACCCTGGGGATGATACTTTATCCTCTTTCCTTCACTGTTTCATCTCAATGCTTCTCTTCTGTCCACAGTACAAATACAAGCAAGCGTATGAGCAAGCCAAAGGAAAACATATTGGATTCCGCAGCCTGGAAGACGACCCCAAGTTGGTGCACTTCATGCAGGTGGCCAAGATGCAGTCAGACCGGGAATACAAGAAGGCCTATGAGAAATCCAAGACCTCCTTCCACACCCCCGTGGACATGCTCAGTGTGGTAGCAGCCAAGAAGTCCCAGGAAGTGGCCACCAACGCCAACTACAGGAATGTGATCCATACCTACAACATGCTTCCTGATGCCATGGGCTTTGAGTTGGCCAAAAATATGATGCAGATTCAAAGTGATGTATGTAAAAGCCACACCCTTTACAGAGCTTTTATCCTGGAGAATGAGCAAATTGTAATAAGTAGTGCCATTTTGCAAATCTTGAAAGAAATTCACATGCATTTTTCCAGTGAAATGTTTTAACTTAGATTGAATCCATTTCTTTTAACTAAAAGAGGTCAGTCCTACACACTAAAGTCTTATATTCCAGGATGGTTGCTGTGAACATTATTAAAGTCTGAATTCAGCAATACTAAATGAAATTTGGTTGCAGAAAGAATTTGTTGAAGGAAACATATCTAACAAAGAGGATCAAAAGGATGAAAGGCTCCAGACAGAGGAATGAAAAAGAAAGAAAGGAAATTAGATAATGTGATAGCTCTATTCCCTCACTCCCAACCAACTTTCCTTCCTCTACTTCCAACTTTGCAATTCCCTGTAGTCTGGATGAAGATATTGAGAATGGCACGGCTAGGGAATCTTTTGGAATGAATATAGGGAAGATGAAGGAGGAGATATAGAGTCAAGAATTCAGCTAAGGAACAATTTGGTGGCCTGAGGAACTGAACTTAAATTGCAAACCACATCATATTCTCTTTGTGAACATAGACGCCCAGCTATATTAAGTGAGAAGGAGAACACAAGTTCCCAAGTGAAAACAGCCATGGCACAATTACAGTGGTGATGCCAAGGCTAAGGGGAAAAATGAAATTTGCACAAAGCATTAGTGAGGTTTCTGGCATGTCAGAGGAAGTTTTAACAGTGAGGAATGATCCAAGACAGTGGAAAAAGAGAAATGAGATTCCCATAAGTCATCTGTTAATAAAGGAAATTTGAGAATTTTGGTAAGAAAAGTCGTCATAATCAAGGAGCTATAGTCACACGGCAGATGAATCTATTTCTTAGCACTTTTTCGTTATGAAGATATCAAGGAAGCACAATCACAACAATATTTTGCATACTTTTAATTTCTCATGCAAGGAAATGTGGAAAAGATAGAAATTGGAAAATAAAAATGGTTAAAGTTGAAGATGCCATTGGTTGAAGCCTAAAGTGAGGGTTAGGGAGTATTAAACACACGCTTGTCATTTTCGGGAAAGGCTTGATTTCTTCTTATTGAAGTTTTCCTCTTTTGCAGAATCAGTACAAAGCTGACTATGCTGACTTCATGAAGGGCATTGGGTGGCTCCCTCTGGGCTCTCTGGAAGCTGAGAAAAATAAGAAAGCCATGGAGATTATCAGTGAAAAGAAGTACCGCCAGCATCCAGACACTTTGAAGTATTCCACACTGATGGATTCAATGAACATGGTTTTGGCCCAGAATAATGCAAAAATTATGAATGAAGTGAGTCTTTCAGCAATGCAGTGTTTCATGTGCATCAGAGAGAACCCAGCTGTCTCTTAACATTTAATGTCCAGGTTTTACTAACACAGTTATAGAACAACATGGTTGAGGTCTACTTCACCTGGCGAGAGTAAAGCACTCTTGTAGGTTAGACTCTCTGAAAGGAGATGCTGAGACAGAATTTGGGGATCAGGGCATTTTTTAGGGACCAGTACCTATGGGAAGGAGGACCAGGCAGAGGGAGAAGTTGTACTGTGATGTAGTCCCAACAAAGCCTTGAACAATCCCACGGAGGGTTCCTGAGTGTCCTGAGTGTCACCTGTTGGAGGTGTCCTACATTGGACTTAAATGGGCAAAACTTTGTACCTCCATTCTGGTGAGTCTTTGTGGCCATCCGGGAAGGGCATCCTCCTGAATGAGACAGCAAACCCTGGAGGTGACAGCTAGAAGCTGTCTATGAAAAGCTGGGATAGACAGAAGTTCTTCCTTAAATGGGGATGTGGGTAGGGCATCTCCACATTCCCATAAAAATCCCAGCATTGTTACCTATAGTGAGAAAAGACTGGAAACCACAAATTAAATGTCCATCTATGTAGAATTGGTTGAATCTTTTAGATTATATCTCCTAATGGAATGCAGCTCTTTAAATGAATAAAGTAAATTATTTTGAGAAGGCTCAAAAGTGTCCAAAATATTTAGTAACAAAACAAGATGTATTATTTGGCATTTGGCATCATTTCTATGTGTGTTTTAAGATGCAGAGAAAACTGAGGAGGGAGATGCTCTCCCCAAGCTATAGGAGGGAGAGAACATCTTTATAGTTCACTCACATCCTCTCCACTGTGTTGTTTGAATGAACACTTTCTCTATTCATATTTTTAAAAGTCTAGCTAATTAAAATACCCATAATATTCATATTTATATTTATATGTTTGTGTGTGATCAGTGAGCTCATTTTAAGATTTTTTAGACCTAATTCATGTACTTTTCCCTAGCACCTCTACAAACAAGCATGGGAGGCTGACAAGACCAAAGTCCACATCATGCCTGATATCCCCCAGATTGTCCTGGCAAAGGCAAATGCCATTAATATGAGTGATGTGAGTATCACTGCCCTGGTATCTCTCTTTCCAGCTTATCTAAACCAGTAAACTAATTGTTTCTCTCAATTATGAGAGTGAATATTTTTAAATGATAGTAAAAATCTACAAATGAGAATTTTCTTTTTTTCTCTTTTAAGATTTATTCATTTATTTGAGAGGTAGAACTATAGAGAGAGGGAGGGAGAGATCTTCCATCCATTGGTTCATTCCCTGAAAGGCCACAACAGCTTCAGCTGGGCCAATCTGGAGGCAGAAGCTTCTTTCGTGTCTCCCACATGGGTGCATCAATTAGTAGGAAGCTGAATCAGAAGTGGAGCAGCTGGGACTCCAATCAGCGCCCGGATGGGATGCTGGAACTGCAGACAGAGGCTTAACCTAGTGTGCCGCAGCGCCAGCCCCAAGAATTTTCTTTCTCTAATCTTGCTTTGCTAAGAGTTAGAAAGGCCTGCTAATGCGGGTTGGGTGAAGCAGTTAGGAATTTGAAAGGTAGCTGGATCTTGTTCTAGGGATGAGTACTCCTTATCAAACTAAGAGATGTGGCAGGAAGAGCGGGCTTAGGAGCCAGGGAAGGAGAAAAGGGAAGAAAAGAGTCCCGGGACCTCATTCTTAGAGAGCCCCTTCACCATGTTTGTGAGCTGTTCCTAAGGGAAGGGTTAAGTGGAAAGGAAAGAGGAACATTTTGAAGAATTTGGAGTGAGCTCCATCACAGGAATGTGCAACACTTGTTAGAAAACACGCTGATGCTTTTTTTCATTTCCTTTCTCATCCTAACCACCCTTGCCAGGAAATCCTTTAATCCTACCAGTTGTTTCTTCTTTCCATTGTTTGAATTCCATAGGTTTTTTGATTTGCTGGCATTTCTTAAAAATTATAGAATCCTTATAATTATATAAGTAAAAGTGTTGATTATAAAACAGTGATTTTTTTGATGTAACAATGTAACTGTTTTGTAGTCTTCTTTTAACTCCTATTTGATAAAATGCATCAGATACGGATCTGCTGATTTTTCACATCTTTAACACATATTTGCAACTTAATAAAGATCAATAATTTTTTTTTGGTGATTACTTGAAAATATGTTTGAGTTTGTAACAGTTTTTTTTTCAAACACAGATTGCTTGTGAGAACATTCAGCTGCTGAACTATCAATACAACATTTTGCTTAAAGATAAAAATGATGTCACAGTGTAGATTGGAACACTGTTTGGGATGCCTGCATCCTACATCAGAGTACCTGCGTTTTCTACTAGTTCAGGCTCTTGATTCTAGCTTCCTGCTAATGCAGACCCGGGAGGCAGTGGTGATGGCTCAGATAGATAGCTCAGGTGAATGGCTGCCATCCGCATGGGAGACCTGTATAAGTACCAGGCTTCATCACATGTGGACCTCTGGGGAGTGAATCAGTGGCTAGGAGCTTGTCTCTCCTCCCCTCTCCCTTCCCCTCCCCCTTCCCCTCCCCCTTCCCCTCCCCCTTCCCCTCCTTACCTCCTTCTTGTCCCTTCTCAAATAATTTTTTTGAGAAACTATACAGTCAATCTAGGTTTTCCTATTTAGAAGAAAATCATTTCCTTTGCTTCTGTTTACAGAAACTCTACAAACTTTCCATGGAAGAGGCGAAAAAGAAAGGCTATGATCTCCGAACTGATGCAATTCCCATCAAAGCGGCCAAGGCTTCAAGAGACATTGCAAGTGATGTAAGTCCAAAGGGGAGGGGTCACCTGCTGGGGTTTCTATGTAACTGAAATAAAAAAGGCTGGAAACAGTAGTGGATAAAATGGGGGGTGGGAGGGAGCGTATCTGCAAACAGTAGCCTCACTTTGTTCTGTGAATTTTTAAAGCCTTACTTGTGTGTTTCCTTTGATATTTCTGAAAAAAATAAGAATGCCACCCATATTATGATCCTCATAGATGTCAGCTCTCCAAGTTAGGAGAGTAGGTGAATGTACTTTGATCTCTCACCAAAATTACACCTTGCAGAAATCCAAAGCCCTTCATCAAGTTTTCCTCGTGAAAGGCTGTGTTCAGGCCTTCTGCCTCTTAGGGCCTGACTTCCCAATAGGCTGTCCCAAGCATCGGTGTGTTGCAAGGGCCAATCGTTTGGGCTGATGACAGCTGATTACTAAATAATCAAGAGTTTTGCAAGGCAGTTTTTAAACCATTGGTAGCTTGACATCAGCCATGGTAGTAGTATTTATACCACAGAAATTGGCACACCCTACAAATTAGGGCTTCCTCCCTCTCCACAGCTAGTGTACCGGCACAGCGCTGTCAAAGCATATCACCTCCATGAAACTCAGTTCTTTCATTTAGTTGTTTTCATGAGAAATCCATTTGCAAGGAGCATTGAATGAGAGTAGGAGGAGGAACGCATTTTAGAGCACTCTTTCCTTGTACTTTCTCTTTCCTCTTCTGTTTTTCATCTTCCCTACATATCTACCCCATCTCTCACCTTCTGTTGTCCTGAAAATGCCAAATTCATCGCCCTCTTTCATAATGCAATACTTTGGCTCTCCTGGCTCCTGCTCTTTAACTTATACACTGAACTCCACAAGGAGATGCACAAAATAAAAAGCCTTCTACACATATCAGGATCTCCCCCTATGGAAATTGAGGTGATAAGTAGTAAACATTTTTCCCATTCGACTGGTTTAGAAAGTCTTAAAAAGAGCTCCATAAATACAAAACTACTCAAACATTATACTGTGCTTCATAACTGAACCAATTCTTATTGGTGAATGGCTGGATGGATGATTTCTTAAGGCAGCATTAAGCTGCTTGGAACATTCTGCTTCTTTCTCATTTTCTGTATTTATTAATATGTCAACAACAGAATATGTGTATAAGTTACTGTGGTGCATCATGACAAGGTCAGGGTCCTAATCCTTATGTCTCTAGTAAGTCATTCACTTCTCCGAGTCTGAGCCTACGCATCTATAAAAATCGGGCATAAAGGCCAGCACGTATGGCTCAATAGGCTAATCCTCTGCCTGTGGCCCAGCACCCCGGGTTCTAGTCCCGGTTGGGGTGCCAGATTCTGTCCCAGTTGCTCCTCTTCCAGTCCAGCTCTCTGCTGTGGCCCAGGAGGGCAGTGGAGGATGGCCTAATTCCTTGGGCCCTGCACCCGCATGGGAGACCAGGAGGAAGCACCTGGCTCCTGGCTCTGGATCGGTGCAGCGCGCCGGCTGTAGTGGCCATTTTGGGCGTGAACCAACGAAAAGAAGACCTTTCTCCCTGTCTCTCTCTCTCACCGTCTAACTCTGCATGTCAAAAAAAATGGGGCATATAAAATAACTTTGCTGTCTTCATCACAACATAGAGTTGTGAGTAGCAAGTGACATAGGTAAGTGTGGAAATGTGTTTTATGAATGTAGCATGCTACACAGTTTTTTTGAACTGTAGAATATTGATACTAGAATGATTTTGCGCCAAGAGAATTGCTCCTCATTCACATTCATCTTTTCTTCACAGTATAAATACAAGTACAATTATGAAAAGCAGAAGGGGAAAATGGTTGGCTTCCGCAGTCTTGAAGATGATCCCAAATTAGTCCATTCCATGCAAGTGGCTAAGATGCAATCTGATCGGGAGTACAAGAAAAACTACGAGAAGACCAAGACCAGCTACCACACCCCTGCAGACATGCTCAGTGTCACAGCTGCCAAGGATGCCCAAGCCAACATCACAAACACTAACTACAAGCACCTGATCCACAAGTACATCCTCCTCCCAGATGCAATGAGCCTTGAACTGAGCAGGAATATGAATCGCATCCAGAGTGATGTAAGGCTATTTTCTGTTTGGGTGATGATGGATCCTTTGCAAGGGAAGGGATAGCATAGCTTTATATTCCATAATTTTGTGTCTAAATTGATAAGGTGAATTTGCCTCTTTTCTTTATAGAATGAATATAAACAGGACTACAATGAATGGTACAAAGGACTTGGCTGGAGTCCAGCTGGTTCCCTAGACGTGGAGAAGGCCAAGAAAGCAACTGAATATGCCAGTGATCAGAAATACCGCCAGCACCCTAGCAACTTCCAGTTTAAGAAGTTGACTGACTCCATGGACATGGTGCTTGCCAAGCAGAATGCACATACTATGAACAAGGTAGAGAGAACAGTAGTCCTTCTACGTAGCTCCCAAGTGAGGGAAGGCTAGCAGGCTCTGGCTCTTGTTTGAGAAATTTAATCCCACTCCACCACTCCTTGGCAGTGGCAAACAATTCCAGAACATTCCCCTACTATGTTTTCTTCATGTTTTTATTTCCCTTGTTCCTCTGTGTTAGAAATTACCTACATTTTACATGGCCTACGCAGACCTCTGTGTGCCACAGCTGCGGAAAGAACACTGTATCATGGTTCATTCTGGCCTGGCTCTTTGTTCTCACTGTGGTGACTTTAGAAACGAGTGTCCCGTTTGAAATTAGATGGGCTGAGTTGGGGTTTTGCTGCTTGAACTCTGCACTGGGTCCTCCAATAAACCGATGTGAATGTAGCCCCCCCCCTCCCCCCCCCCCCCGTGAAGAAGCAGCCACACCCCTGTGGAATAGGAGGGAAAGTCTAGAACTATTTCAAGTTTTATCTTTTTTGTATATGAAAATAAAATGATGATGATAATAAAAAAAAAAAAAAAAGAAAGAAATTACCTACATTTTAAAGGACTATATATTAGGCACTTTCAATCCATTTTAGGTGATTAAAAACTTTTAAGAGATTATCTTTTAAAATCTGAGTTTATTTTTAGCATCTTTTCTGAATCATATGCTTTGTCACTCTTTACTACTTCAAATTAAAAGCATTCAAGTATTCTCTCATTACCTCTTCTCTCCTATTTGTCCTAAACAGTTATTAAAATTTCAAATCTCTTTTCTCCCACTTCCTAGCATTTATACACCATTGACTGGAATAAAGATAAAACAAAGATTCATGTGATGCCTGATACGCCAGATATTTTACAAGCTAAGCAGAATCAAACCCTATTTAGTCAGGTAAGGATGTATACAAATTTCCAATGTTTTGTCTTGAAATTTATTGAGCTTATAAAATGGTGTAATAGTAAATAAATGATATAAATGCTGAAGCAATAGAAATGAATGACTGAGACTGGTCAGCCTAGAGATGTCACAAAATATATCAGTTAAGAGCAAGGGTTTCTGCTATGCTGCATGCTCAATAGAGGCAGATATTGTCTCTGTTTTGCTTATCTCTGTGTTTATTGTGCTTGGCACAAGTTAGCAAATCAATCAGTAATTGTTGAAAGAAAAGAATTATGTCAAACAAACCTGATCTGAGTTACGGCTTTGGCATTTAGTTGGATGCTATTTGGAAAATCACTTACCCCAGTTTCTTCATCCTTAAAAGTGGGACTATAGAAGTATCTATAACATTGCCTAAGACACTGGATTACTATGAGGACCAAATGAAAAATTTTATGTAAAGTTCTCAGCACAATGCCTGGTACATAGAAAGTACTGAACAACTATTAGCTGCTGTTATTATTATCCAATTTTAACACATCTACATTCATTCAGTGAGTTTGACTCTGAAAATTTAGCCCATTTATTGCAATTTGTAAAAGGCATATCATCATCTACTACTTTTGACACATAGATGGTTAAAATTCTGTGGCCTGATTTTTTTTCTCAATTATGTGATTACCTGTGTTTGAAGCAGTGAGCCCAGACTACTTAAGAGCAGGAAGAAGGGGACCCAGTAAACATGATATGACCGTATATTTTCTGAGTAATAGAGTTTGTGCTCAAATAGACATCCAGGGTGAGTCAGAACAGAAAAATAAATTGAGCCATATGATACTAAAACAGCACTTCTTCTACTCTATTAAACACCTTTCTTTGTTGTTTAGTTTAGTTTTGTTTACCCATATCTTTGGAGAGAGGGTAGATGATGTCAGAATCTGATATCTACTCTACATACACCTTTGTTTATAATCTGTTAGAAACTTTAATATAAACAGAATAATTTAAGGAATTTCTTTAATTCTCAGAAATTCTATAAACTTGGATGGGAAGAAGCTTTGAAGAAAGGCTATGATCTCCCAGTTGATGCAATTTCTGTCCAGCTAGCCAAAGCTTCAAGAGACATTGCTAGTGATGTAAGTACCAGTCTGACTTCTATAATGTGTCGCTCCCCCTCTTCATGGAGGAACGACACTAAGCCCTGCCTAGGCTTCATATCCGAGTCACGGCACCATTATGTCGCTCCCCGTCTTCGTGGAGGAATGACACAGGACCCTGCGCTGTTCTTTTGTCTGCTCGGCCCTCCCCGGGTTTGCTGCTGGTTCTTCCCGGGTTGGCTACCGTCCCTTCCACCTCCGTGGAAGGGCGGTTCCCCCTGCCACTTTCCCCACTTCCGCGGGGGAGCGGCACACCGCCGGCCGGCTCTCTCGGGGGCTACACAGGTGTTCCTTCAGATAGATGTTCCCCTTAGATGTTCCTGGTGCATGTTTTCTCTCTCCTCCTTTATAGTCCTCTTCCGCCAATCCCAACTCGGCTGCCCACACGCCGAGTACGCTGCTCTCCTCCAATCAGGAGCAGGATCAGCTCCTGGAGGTCATCACTCAAGTTGGCAAGAGGCAGCTGCATAGAAGCTGTTTCCTCCTCTCCCAGCGCCATATTGTGGGAGAGCAGATGCATAGAATAAGTCTTAATTCCAGTAACTTAGTCTAGTCCGAGTTGCTCCCCACAATAATGATGTGTTTTTATTGGATCAAATAACTTAGTATTAGTAACTATTTTTATAGATACATTTTACCTTTCTTCTCATACCCTCTTAGTTGACCCAGAATTCACTCTTTCTTACTGTTCAAATGTCAACAAAGAGGCTTCCTGGGTATGGGTTGGTTCAAAGGACCTCTTAGATCCATTATACTAAGATGCTGTTATATTATAAAAATATTAAATATTGTGTGTTTATATGAGCTATAATGTGTTCTATACTTCTCATCTTATTACTATCATTATTATGATCACTTTTGTGATTTTGATCTAATAATAATGTAACCTTTTCCAATTAAATCTAAATACTGGAACTTATTTTTATTCTCTTAAAATAATATAGTTCATTTTGACCCATGTTGGTAATACGTTGTCATCTTGTGGAACTCTTTTTCTGACCTAAAATACTTAGCTGCTTTTATTCATGTGGAGGTACAAGAAAAGGATTTTAATAGGACAAATTTGAAGGGCTCTTCAAAAAGGTCATGGAAATGGCATGCTATGAAAAAATGGTGCATGGACTACAAATTTTTGGACGAAAATAAACTTTTTATTTTCCACAAACTTGTTGAGGATTCCTCATTTGATATAGCCTTTTGGCAACCTACTAAATATTTTGCTGTTTAATAAATTAATCTACACTATTAGCCTGTTCACCAAATCATGTCTTCATAACTTTTAATTTAGCCCATATTTTTCCCATAAAATATCACTCTCATAAGGATAGCATAAGAAATTTATTAAAAATAACCTAAAGTCAACACATACAAAGTATAGCACATCCAAATACATATATCTGCCTCTAGTAGGAATTAATTTTTCTTCAAAACCTCTCTTGAGACTCAAGGTTCCATTGGAAGCCTCTATTTCCACAAGACTAGCTGGTTTAAGAAAGTAAACATTTGTTACTAAGTTAGCATCAACAACCCCTTCTCTCATTTCAATTTTGGAAAACAAACAGAAAACTTAACTTGAACTTTTTCATGTTAATAAAAGAACTCTGTTTCCTCTGACTTCAGTTTAAATATAAACAAGGCTACCGGAAGCAACTTGGCCACCATGTTGGATTCCGGAGTTTGCAAGATGACCCAAAGCTTGTGTTGTCCATGAATGTTGCCAAAATGCAGAGTGAGAGAGAATACAAGAAGGACTTTGAGAAGTGGAAGACCAAGTTCAGCAGCCCAGTGGACATGCTGGGGGTGGTGCTGGCCAAGAAGTGCCAGGCCTTGGTCAGCGATGTGGACTACAAGAACTACCTGCACCAGTGGACCTGCCTGCCTGACCAGAATGACGTTATTCATGCTAAAAAAGCTTATGAGCTACAAAGTGAGGTCAGTTTCTATTAAGTTACATAGTTGTGTATTATTTCTTATTTCCTATGAGTAGCCATTTAGTCACAGAAGCAGAAACTAAAAAAAAGTTATATTGAAAATTTAAAATACATCTCTCTTGAAATACGCAGAATCAAGAGTCAAAGGTCCAAGTTACAATGGAATTTTGATGGCTTACTTTGTCCTTTCTCAGAATATGTATAAGTCTGACCTTGAGTGGCTGAAAGGCATAGGATGGAGTCCCTTGGGTTCTTTGGAAGCAGAAAAGAACAAGAGGGCTTCAGAAATCCTCAGTGAGAAGAAATATCGTCAGCCTCCAGACACAAACAAGTTCACCAGCATTCCTGATGCCATGGACATAGTTCTCGCAAAGACAAATGCCAAAAATAGGAGTGATGTAAGTAACTCTTTAGAGATTAATAAAAACCATTGTAGTGCCTGCTACCTGGTAGCTTCTCAATAACATTTGCTTAATAAAGGGATAGAATGGCAAAGCATTGTATCAACACAGCAGAGTATTTTACATTGAGTTCCTCCATCTGGATTTCAACTACCCTACACTGAATGACATGAAAATGAGTGTCCATTTTTGTCACCCAACACTTAGTCATTTACTTAGCCAGAGGGTGATGAGAAAATTGAGGAGCATAGTTTTTTCCTTAGAAATTTGAGTACATTAAAGACCCAGATTTTTTGTTGTGGTAGAGTGTGTAAGGAGGAGAGATAGTGAATGCTTTACATAGGCACAGTGGAAATATTAGGAAGAAGGTATTTACTACTGAATGATGATAAATCATTTAGCTTATTGGAATAAAGATAAAATGATAATACTATGTCACAGTAAAGAAGTAATATTCCATCTTCAACTTAAGTTCTTCTCTCTAACACTGACTCTAATACTTGGCATAAAATAGACACTCAATATGTATTTATTGAATGAAATAAATAAAAGATGGTAATGTAGAGTGATTCTGCGCAAAGAATGGAAGGATGACTAATCCTACTTCCTGAATATTAAAGTATAATTATGTGCACTGAGATTCTGAAACTGGTAAGAAAATTTAAATGGATATATGTAATAATAGCCATGAGGTTCTTTGGAGCACCTCAACATGTATGTCGTTTATAAAATGCTATATTTTTACATACATCAGATATATTGGGAGTTTTTAATAAATAAGTCCATAATTGACTTATACTAAGCATTGATAAATTAGATCGCTTATTTTCCTAATCAATCCTCAGATACTTTTTGCAGTGCTGTTTTCCAAAGTTTACAGTGAATGCTGAGCTGTCAGCTTCATTATAAATGTTTATTTTGTTTTGGTTTTGGGACAAATACCACTTGTTCTCCTTGATAGGTGACAACTAACTGAGCACCAAAAAGGAAACTTGTTAAAGTGAAATGAACACTATGAGAAACGGTGACTTGATCAGCCCTCTCCCTGACTGCTGATGAGCAGCTTAATATGTTATCCCTCTTAGTATTTTTTTTGTTTGTTCTACTTAATACTTTTGGTTGAATACTGTAATCAATACACTATTCTTCTTAAGTGCTGAAACTTAACTGAAAAGTGATCGCTGTTAAATATAAGAGTGGGAATAAGAGAGGGAAGAGATGTGCAATTCGGGACATGCTCAAGCTGACTTACCTCAAACGGTAGAGTTAGAAACATACCAGGGGATTCCAATTCAATCCCATCGAGGTGGCATGTACCAATGCCATCTCACTAGTCCCAGTGATCAATTTCTGTTCACAATTGATCGTAATGATAGGACTAAGAACCAAAGGGATCACATAAACAAGAATAGTGTCTGCAAATACTAGCTGATAGAATCAAAAAGGGAGAGAATGATCCAACATGGGAAGTGAGATACACAGCAGACCCATAGAATGGCAAATGTCCTAACAGCACTCTGGCCTCATAATCAGCCCTTAAGGCATGCGGATCCGGCTGAAATGCCCATGAGAGTATTTCAGGCATGGAAAGCCAAGACACTCTGGGGGGGAGAAAAAAAACCTAAATGAAAGATCTCCATGGGTGAGATCCCAGTGGAAAGAATGGGTCATCAAAGAAGGAGGTACCTTTCTCTGAAGGGAGGAGAGAACTTCCACTTTGACCATGGCCTTGTCTAAATATGATCAGAGTCAGTGAACTCACGGGGCTTCCATAGCCTTGGCAGCTCATGACAAGAGCCTAGGGTGATTACTGATGCCATAAACAAGAGTGTCAATTTGTTCAGTCAACAACAGGAGTCACTGTGCACTTACTCCTCATGTAGGATCTTTGTCCTTAGTGTGCTGTACATTGAGATTTCATGCTATAACTAGTACTCAAACAGTATTTTTCACTTTATGTTTCTGTGTGGGAGCAAACTGTTGAAATCTTTACTTAATGTATGCTAAACTGATCTTCTGTATATAAAGAGAATCGAAAATGAATCTTGATGTGAATGGAAGGGGAGAGGGAGTGGGAAAGGGGAGGGTTGCGGGTGGGAGGGACGTTATGCGGGGGAAGCCATTGTAATCCATAAGCTGTACTTTGGAAATTTATATTCATTAAATAAAAGTAAAAAAAAAAAAAGCCAAAAAAAAAAAAAAGAAAGAAAGTTTGAATACAATAAGCTGCCTAGTAAAGCAACAAATTTATGCAAATTACTTTACCCTTTTGGGAATCTGAGTTTCTTTTGTCTCCATAAAACAAGAGAAAAAGCTTGGACTTAAAAAGGTGACCAGAAGAAAAACCCTGAATCAAGAATCCAGGCAGAACCTGGGCCAGTTGGAGCCTTGAGCCTGTCTCTACTTTTGATTAGACCAATACATCTAACCTAGCACAAATAATATTTCCATTTTCTCTGCATTCCCTGGATGAAAGTGGTGCATGCCATTGAATAAATGACTTAGCTTTTAATTCTCAGGGAAAATTCTGCCCCCAGAGGGGACATTTGGTCACATCTAGAAAGTTTGGTCATCACAACTTGAGGGTGGCATGCTACTGGCATCTAGTGGATGGAAGCCAGAGATGTTGCTACATATACCACAGTGCACAAGGTAGTCTGTCTCAACAAAAAACCATCCAGCATATGCACCCATAGTTATGAGGCTGAAAAACTGTTATTCTCCACTGTCAAGTTACCATATTCTCTCCTGTAATGGATAAATATTTTGCAGGAAGATTATCTGACTCTTTGTAAACATCCTTTTTTTCATGAAAATTTTCACCCCTTAATTTTAGTAAATTAATGTGATTTATTTTGTTTGGGGTTTCTTTTGTTGACAGACATAAGGATGATTTGGAGATATTTGAAATATTTTTATAAATTCTCAGACATAAATCTTCTGAAAATCCTAATGTTTCAAATAGTTATGAGATATAACTATAAATAAGATACAAAGGAAATGAAACTCCCAGATTTCTAGGCATAATTTGAATGTTATCTTTTGATAAGCTGAGGGCCATCTCCTAATTAAACATTGAAGGGGAATTTTACAACACCAAAGATGGAAAGCCATCTTTTCCATTTGAAAATATTGGCAAAGGCACTTATCGCCTTTGTTTATTTCATATAGGCAGGATTATCTGTAACGCTGAAAAAGTTATCCATAATCTTTCTTAAAAGGTAATTATGTCCCAGATAAGTCAACAAACACTGCATCTATTTTCTGATGATGTCATCTGCTTATGTTACCAGTTGTAATATTTCATTCAGAGTAATTCAGATAAATTTAGTAATCTTGTTTGAAGTCAATTATGTCATTCACTCATCTAGCAACACCACTGAAAAATTCTTATTTCTCCTTTTAGAGACTTTATAGAGAAGCATGGGACAAGGACAAGACTCAAGTCCACATCATGCCTGATACACCTGACATTATTTTGGCTAAAGCAAACTTAATCAATACAAGTGATGTAAGTTTCTAAATTCTGCATGTGTTATAAGACAATTCATTTTTATCGGCCGGCACCGTGGCTCACTTGGTTAATCCTCCACCTGCAGCGCCGGCATCTCACATGGGCACCGAGTTCTAGTCTCGGTTTCTCCTCTTCCAGTCCAGCTTTCTGCTGTGGCCTGGGAGAGCAGTGGAGGATGGCCCAACTCCTTGGGCCCCTGCACCCACATGGGAGACCAGGAGAAAGCACCTGGCTCCTGGCTTCAGATCGGCACAGTGCCTGTCGTGGCAGCCATTTAGGGAGTGAACCAATGGAAGGAAGACCTTTCTCTCTGTCTCTCTCTCTGTCTGTCTGTAACTCTACCTGTCAAAAAAAAAAAAAAAAAAAAAAAAAAAGAAAGAAAGAAAAAGAAAAAGAAGATTCATTTTTATTACTTCTAGGTTGGTAAAGTTGTTTGGAAGTTCTTTTGAATCCCTGAATTATTTTCAATAATAAACTACATGTGGCTTAGACTCTTTATTTAGTGGCTTTTAGATCTTTACCTCAGGTGAGTTGGGGTTCTGTATTCTCCATCTGTTGCATATCATTGTTCTACCCCTCGTCCTAATTCAATGGTTTATAGCACTGTCCCCTATGTGAATAGGTACACCTTGTGGGAAAAGACCATTTTTGTTGGATCTGCAGTGTTTTGTACCTGACTCTAGTAGATACCCAATGAAATTTTGAATGAATGAGCATATAAAACCACACAGGAAATTTTCATTTTTATTATCATAATAACATAATCTCCTTAAATTTATAGATGTAAAAATTAAATCTTTAAAGCAAATTCTAAACTAATAGAATGACCTTAGCATTCAAGAATATATTAGAGTACTGCCACAAAGACTAAAATATAAATTCAAGATCAAGGGGCATTTTAAATAATCTGACTTCTTCATAAAAATATGTGTAACTTATATTCCCAATTGGGGTTGGAGGTGTGCTACAGTGGGATAAGCCACTGTTTGTGACACTGCATCCCATATAGGAGCCCTAGTTTGACTCCTGGCTCCTCCACTTCTAATCCAGCTGCTTGACATTATGCCTGGGAAGCAGAAGATGATGGCTCAAGTACTTGAGTCCCTGCCACCGATGTGGGAAACACTGATGGAGTTCTAGGCTCCTGGCTTTGGCCTGGCCCAGCCCCAACTTTAGTGGTCATTTTGGGAGTGAATGAGAGGATGGAAGATCTCTTGCTCTCTCTCTCTCTCTCTCTCTCTCTGCCTTTCAAATAAATAATCTAAAAAATAATAAAACATTAGCTCTTAAAAGCACTTAAAATGTATTCCCAGTTATTATGTTAACAAATGTGATGAAATAAATTATTGCACTTATACTTTCTTAATATTTGGACTTTCTTCAAAAAACTTTAAATTTTAAAAATTATGAAAGACTCTGTATTTTCCCTGTAAGATGTGGATCCTGCTTTGCATGATCCTATATTATAAGACAGACACTATCTCACAGTGTATTAGCTCCGTGTCAGACAGCCCCTTAGACATGATTTGTCCCCACTAGAGGAGTTAGATGGGAAGACGTTATTTTTTCTAATCAAAACTTCTAATGAAATAACATTAACTGGAAAACAGCACTCAAATGACATTCCATTTCTCTATCAATATATTTCTGCCTCATTCTCATAGGTATTTGGGAAGCATTGACATTTAATTTTGTAGATCTAGGTAATTGAAGAGCTTTAAAGTTTAAAACAGGACCATTAGCAATCAATGAACATAACTTCCAATTACGTTTGAGTGGTCTACAGTACAGTTACTGTTCTCATGGACTCTTAAAATATTTAGTGCATTGGATTCATTATTCTGCAGTTATTTGTGTAGAACTGTTTTCCCCAAAGTGATTTTCTTCATCTCTTAACAGAAACTCTACCGAATGGGTTATGAGGAGCTGAAGAAAAAAGGTTATGATCTTCCTGTTGACGCCATACCAATTAAAGCAGCCAAAGCATCCCGGGAAATTGCCAGCGAAGTAAGACTTTGTCCCCTGTGGCTACTGATTTGATTGCAATTTATCCCAGCCAAGCAGTCTCAATTTCATTTAAAACTGAATAAAGCCTTCTAAGGGGTAGCAAGTTAAAACAGAGTGAAGTGATCCTAGACATGCAGTATGGTATGAAGATAAGATCAAGGATACATTTATTATGTATGGAATTTGTACCTGACCTTAGCCTTTAATCTTTCCTATCAAAAAATCAAAATCCATTTCTCTCAGTAGGCTTAGAAAAATATTTAGAGTTAATGTGTTTGTAATTTGCCACAAAGATGGGAACCTAAGCTGATTTTTGAAAGGAATAAGATGCTTTTTTTTTCCCTTTAGTACAAGTACAAAGAAGGCTTTCGCAAACAGCTCGGCCACCACATTGGAGCCCGGAACATCAAGGATGACCCCAAGATGATGTGGTCCATGCACGTGGCCAAGATCCAGAGTGACAGGGAGTACAAGAAGGACTTTGAGAAGTGGAAGACCAAGTTCAGCAGCCCAGTGGACATGCTGGGGGTGGTGCTGGCCAAGAAGTGCCAGACGTTGGTCAGTGACATAGACTACAAGAACTACCTGCACCAGTGGACCTGCCTGCCTGACCAGAATGACGTCACCCATGCTCGACATGCCTATGATCTTCAGAGTGATGTCAGTCTGAAGTTCTTCTTTGCTCAGTAGAAGCTTGCATCTGTTTTCCTTAGCATAAAATTCCCTAATGTGAGAGGAGCTGAATTTAAACAACTGAGTTCCTCTCCCCTGGAATAATGCCCAAGCTCTATGCAATTACCCAGACATCTGGAGGCACCATCATTCCACCAAGAGAGAGCCAGAAAAGCCCCCATTGTTTTGGTGGAAGTCTCTCTTGATCTGGATGGTTTAAGAATTGAATTGTTCTCTGTATACTCCTGCTTAAAATGTTTTCTATATTTCTAAGCTGAATATTTTGTTGATTAATTACATTCAGTGATTTGTCACTTCCAATTTCAGAATTTGTACAAGTCTGATCTTCAGTGGCTGAAAGGCATTGGCTGGATACCTACTGGTTCTATTGAGGATGAGAAGAACAAAAGAGCAACCCAGATTTTGAGTGACCATGTCTACCGGCAGCACCCTGATAAATTCAAGTTTTCCATTCTCATGGACTCCATACCAATGGTTTTGGCAAAAAACAATGCTACTAATATGAACCATGTAAGTCCTTTCTTTGCTTGAGGAGGTATTCATTTTTCTTCTGTTTATGGAAAACTAATATCTATTCCAATAAAAGAAACTTCAGTTTTTTTGCTTGCTATTAAAGTGCTTTTGAAGTAAGTTTTGTGCCTCGTGTTACTGACACAAGGTTTCTAGAACAGAAAGTATCACAAATACCAACTCACAGGAAAGAGTCTTCATCATTAAGAATCCAACTATTTTCTTGTATGTATTCATTATTGGCCTATAATTGTAATGTCTTCCAATTTATTTTAGCGCCTGTATACAGAAGCTTGGGATAAAGATAAAACCACTGTCCACATTATGCCAGATACACCTGAAGTTTTACTAGCTAAACAAAACCAAGTGAATTGCAGTGAGGTAAGCATGATGCATGTGATGCATGACAGATTTTCCCTATGATGCTCTTTATAAATCAAACATGATTATTGATGTCTATTTCAGAAATTATATAAACTTGGCCTAGAAGAAACCAAGAGGAAAGGTTATGATATGCGTGTAGATGCCATTCCTATCAAGGCTGCCAAGGCCTCCAGAGATATTGCAAGTGAAGTAAGTATACCTGAGAAGTTCTTTGCCTTAGCTTTGGCTCAAAGATTTTTCTTCCCGCTGCATCTGTAGTAGAGCAGGTAAGTTATGAGGTTTAAACTGTTCCTAATAGTTTATTTTTTTCAGTAAATAGTTTAAAATAATGATAATGAAATTTTCAGTACAAAGGCTAAGTTCTAGTAATGGTTGAGTCCATAGGAACATTTATTTCAGAATAGGTCCATTTCTTGCTAAACAAAAGCACTAGATACTTGACCCTTGTTCAGATAACTTTTTTGGCCTTTCCACATGAAGTACTTCTTTTATATTCATTGTAAGATTCCTTCAAAACCCATCCAGTGAATCTACTAGGGCTGAATAAATAGGGCACATCATTCAAATTCAAGCCATCTATGTGAGCCATATGTTCATCTCTGCATCCAGTCATTGGCTACAGATCTTTGCTCTCCTTACAAGATGGGATTTGCTCATATTCCTAGCACTTTTTATTGTTTACTGCCTTTTTGATGAAGTAAAAAATATATTTCCCTTATATTTCCAAAATATGGATAGTAATCATCATAATATAAAAATAAATATTCAAAATCAGAGAAAGAGTAAATGTATTAATTTATACTAATATATTGAAGTACTTGTATTATCAAAATCAGGTTTATAAAGAATATTTAATGACCTGGAGATACATAATAAGGGAAAAGATGAAAAGATCACGTGCAAACCATTGGTAGTGTAACTCCTGTTTTAATTTTTATTCTTTCTATCTCAGACACATGCCACAAAGTCATCTCTGAGTGCTAAAATTGTCTAATTTTATTTTCTTTATATATTTCATTTATTTTCTAAATGATAACATATACATATTACAGTTATATATAATTTCTATTCTCAGTTAGTTGTTAATACTCTCAATTTCTTTCTTCTTTTAGTTCAAGTACAAAGAAGGCTATCGTAAGCAACTGGGCCATCACATTGGTGCCAGAGCTATACATGATGACCCCAAGATGATGTGGTCCATGCATGTGGCCAAGATCCAGAGTGACAGGGAGTACAAGAAGGACTTTGAGAAGTGGAAGACCAAGTTCAGCAGCCCAGTGGACATGCTGGGGGTGGTGCTGGCCAAGAAGTGCCAGGCCTTGGTCAGCGATGTGGACTACAAGAACTACCTGCACCAGTGGACGTGCCTGCCTGACCAGAACGACGTCATGCATGCCCGGCAGGCCTACGACCTGCAGAGCGACGTGAGTACTGAGGATCATAACGACATGCAAAGATGGGGAATAAATGAATTCATACCTCTGGGGGAAGGTAACAACAGGCAACACTAAGCTCAACAACTGTTGCAAATGGAAGTAGCGTACCTGCGTTCATTGTGAATGGTGTTCCTTTAACTCTCTAGACCAAACTGGAATCTTGTCTGATACCCTTCTTATTCACCAAACTGTATTTTCAAGAGTACTTTTAGTACTTTTACCTGATTTCATATCCTTTAGATGAAAATGCATTTCTAATGTGGGAATAAATATGTATTGACTCTGTGTCCACAGAATTTGTACAAATCAGATCTCCAATGGTTGAGAGGCATCGGCTGGGTGCCCATTGGCTCTTTGGATGTGGAAAAATGCAAAAAGGCAACTGAAATCTTGAGTGATAAAATCTATCGCCAGCCTCCAGACAGATTCAAATTTACCAGTGTGACTGATTCTCTGGAGCAAGTGTTGGCTAAGAATAATGCCATCAACATGAACAAGGTGAGACTTTTTAAAATTCAAAGTGTGTGGCTTCTAATATCAAATCAAAGAAGAATTACCCTTGGGAAAAGAAATATAGGACATTGAGCAGCAAAAGAATTTACCTACCTACAAGGGTACTTCAAAAATCATGAAGAAATACAGTTAAAAAATAAGTTTACTTTGGTGCAAAAAGCTTTGAAATTCATGCACAGTGTTGTCATAATGTGTATTTTCCATGAGGTGTTTTTTTTTTTTTTTTGACAGGCAGAGTGGACAGTGAGAGAGAGAGACAAAGAGAAAGGTCTTCCTTTTGCTGTTGGTTCACCCTCCAATGGTCGCCGCGGCTGGCGGGCTGCGGCTGGCGCACTACGCTAATCCAATGGCAGGAGCCAGGTACTTCTCCTGGTCTCCCATGGGTGCAGGGCCCAAGTACTTGGGCCATCCTCCACTGCACTTCCTGGCCATAGCAGAGAGCTGGCCTGGAAGAGGGGCAACCGGGACAGAATCCGGCACCCCGACCGGGACTAGAACCCGGTGTGCCGGCGCCGCAAGGCGGAGGATTAGCCTAGTGAGCCGCGGCGCCAGCCTCCATGAGGTTTTTGAAGACCCCTCATATCTATCTATCATCAATTTACATTCAGCTTGGTAGCTCTGGCCTGTGGGCCATATAAGGCCTGCAAAATCATTTGGTCTGGCCCTGCCAAGGCAACTGCAGGTGGGACTCAATTCATTCAATCTATAGCAGGTTAATTTTTAAGTTGACAATTTTGTATGGCCTACGAGTGATGTCACAGATATCCAAATGGCCCTTGGCAGGAAAAAAAAGGTTATTATCTATCTTTCCATCTGATGTGTGTGTGTATATATATACTGAAATATATATCACTCATAGTTCAACCTTTACTTCATGTATTGTTTCATGGTTTTGTAGTTTACTGGGAAATAATCTTTGCATAAAAGATGCTTTTTCTCACTCTTCATTGCTAACATACATTTCAGAGTATCAGTAGGCACTTGAACATATCTGTTCCACTGTGAAGTGATTACTTAAAGATGTGTGTAAAATTTTACTTATTGTGAATAAAATGTGTAACCTTTTCCTTTGTTTCTCAAATTCTTGTGGTCCTGAAATGCCTACTAATTTATTTGCTGAAACTTTCTCCTGATGAATGTATATATATTTTCTTTGATAGCGTTTGTATACAGAAGCATGGGACAAGGACAAGACCCAGATCCATATAATGCCAGACACACCAGAAATTATGTTGGCAAGAATGAATAAAATCAACTACAGTGAGGTGAGCAGATGCTAATTCTCTGACATTTGCATTATTCTCTTATTTCAAAGGATCTATTCCACACAGATGTACTTTTGTAAAAGATTTTTTATTTATTTGAGAGGTAGAGTTAAGACAGAGAAAGGGAGAGACAGAGAGAAAGGTCTCATCCACTGGTTCACTCCCCAAATGGCCACAACAGCCAGAGCTGGGCCAATCTGGAGCCAGGAGCTTCTTCTGGTCTCCCACATGAGTGCATGGCCCAAGCACTTGGGCCATTCCCTACTGCTTTCCCAGGGCACAGCAGAGAGCTGGATCAGAAGAGGAGCAGCCAGAGCACCAACATGCACCTTATGGGATGCTGGCGCTGCAGGCGGAGGCTTAGCCTACTGTGCCATAGCGCTGGCCCTGCTAATGTCCTCTTAAACAGCGGCTTTATAAAGAATGTTCTTTGTTTTTTCTAATGTGAAAAACTCTTGCATTTCAATCACCATCATAAATGTCCAACTTTTGAGTAATAAGAATTGTTTAGATAGCACAAATCACAAGAACTAATAATTTAAGCAGTAACCATAAATTAAGTATACCATTTTTAAATTAATTTTTGAAGTTAGGAAATTAGCAATAGACCAAATAAATGAGTTCAAAAAATTCATGAAAAAATTGAATTAAAAGCTTAGTTATTTTTTAAATTCATGCATAGTTTTTCCATGATATGTATTTTACATGTGCCGCTAGATACTATAGCTTAACTGTGGTAAATACATTTTCCACACATGATATATTGTTCTCAAACTGTAGAGTCAACATTTAAGATTTTTTTTTTTTTTTTTTTGCCAGGCAGAGTTAGACAATGAAAGAGAGAGACAGAGAGTTATAGGCAGTGAGAGAGAGAGACAGAGAGAAAGGTCTTCCTTCCATTGGTTCACTCCCCTAGACCCAAGCACTTGAGCCATCCTCCACTGCCTTCCCCAGCCACAGCAGAGAGCTAGACTGGAAGAGGAGCAACCGGGACTAGTACTCGGCGCCCCAACCGGGACTAGAACCCAGGGTGCTGGCAACACAGGCAGAGGATTAGCAAAGTGAGCCATGGCGCCAGCTTAAGATTTTTAATATATAAGATTATTCATTATTCCCTCATCATATATGTAGGTCACCTATGAGGACTTAAACTGAGCAATAAATATACCACTTATGGCAACATTGCAATAAATATTACGCTGTTGAAATATTTGCAGAATTGAAAACTTGGGATTTAGTGGGTCAAAGTAAAGGACTGAAATCACAGTACCACAAAATGACAGAGGGAGAGGGAGAGAGAAAAGGAAAAAGAGAGGAAGGAAAAGAAGAGGGACAGAATGAACGTGCCTGCCAATGTGTGCGTGAGCAAGGCGATTTCCCTTTCACTTTCAGTGTACAAAGGGCCACCTACCCACTTCACAGTCAGTTGCTTAGAGAAGTCAGCCTCCCTTCCAGTGCAGGAGTGTCCACCCAATAAGTTGCTAAACTGCTTTTGCTTAAGGATTCCCAGTGACAAGGAGCTAATCTCGTAAGTCAGTTCCTTTGTTCTGGAGAATTCCATCAGAAAGTGCTTTGCTGATGGACCGACCCAGGACATGCTTTCTGCAAATCCAAAGACTTCTGAAGTTGTGCAGTCTATATCTATGCCTACCTACAGGGACAGAGCCAGCTCCTCTGATTGCCCAAATATCCCCAATTCCTGGATATCCCCAGGAAAACAGGATACTCAGAAATGAACAAAACATTGTGCATGAGGAATGACTGGTATAGAATGTGTGTGTGTGTGTGTATTTATAAAACCATATAGAATATCATTAACTATCATATTTGCTCCTCTGGACATTTGGCCAACATTGCATACCCTGTGCTGCCAGGGCTCATTGGCAGTTATGCCAATGCTTGTGCACATGGAACTGGGGTCAACCTAAAGACATTACACATGGACTAATGCTAGGTTCTCTCTATCCTAAATGTATGCAAATGGTAATTTAAATCTCAGTTCCAACATGGGTGTTTATGCAGTTTCTTTTTCGATTGAAGCTATGGGTTTAAGCTTATGGGAATTTTTGTAAATCTAAGATGATCTCAGCTGTTGTATTAGTTATTTCTCCCAGCTTTGTGCCAGCCAACCATAAAAGATTATTTCACAGGTTAGGTAAGCATTATAATCTATCTTTTGCAGAATATAACCTAGATAATTTACTTAGAATAACCACTATCTTAAGTAATTTTGGAGATGCAGACTCTAATTTTAGTGTTTGTATATATAGCTCTTAATTGTCACCACAGACTAAAAACATCAAATCCTGCTTTCAAATCAGAAAAGATTAAATTTGTAGCTTGACCCAAATTGTAGGTCCTTAGTTATTACAGAAAAGCATGTATTGTATATGCAGGAATTTTAGGACATAAAGAGCCCCTATAACCCTCTGCTCAGTATTTCAGGGATTGTCAGCTTAGTCTGTTGAAAAAGATCAGAGATGCTATTGTATGGCCACTAGTTCCACAGCTCCCTGGGAAAAATCCTGAGTATGTAGCCTGCCTGAGCTCCTTTATCTGTCTTTTCACCATCAGTTTAGTTCAACTCTTTTGTGTTTTCTTCTCGTTTAGGACAGGAAGGTAAAATGCAAATTTACTGTGTCATTGTTTTCTTCAAAGATTTTTGCTGGTTCCCCATTTTCTGTAAAATTAAGCACCAGCTTCTCCCTGGGCCTCCCCACTGTGAATTTGCTCCCTGGTGCCTTGATCCATGTGGTTCCCTTTGCCCTTGACTGCCATCTTAGTCTCTGGAAACCTGACTCATCATTGAAAATCCAGCTCAGAAGGTCACTGGTCTATGGGAACTTCTCTTGTTCTCAGTTCAGAGTAAATTACTCCTTCCTGGAGCTATTTGTTAGTAATCTGCTTAAATCACCTCTTGTGGTTTGACTTTTAAGCAGTTGATTTCATAGCTTATCAACTTTTCCTTGAAAATGGGAAAGGCCTCATCCTCATCTTTTTTTTTTTTAATTTTTATTTATTTGAAAGATAAACACACAGACCAGAGAGAGAGAGAGAGAGAGAGAATGTCCCATCTGATGGTTCATTCCCCAAATATCTGCAACAGTAGAACTCAATCAGGCTAAAGCTGGAAGCCCGGAACTCAGTTGGGATTTCCTACGTGGGTAGAAGGGACCTAAGTACTTAAGCGATTGCCTGCTGCCTCCTAGGGTGCACATTAGTAGGAGGCTGGAATTGGGAAGTGGAGCTGGTACGCCCATCCAGGCACCCTGACATGGGATGAGGTGTCTCAAGTGACATCTTAACCACTGCTCTAAATGTCCATCCCCTCATCTTCATCTATGATTTAAAGTACCCAGAACAGTGCCAGATACAGTGCTAAATAAATGTGAATTGAATCAATTGCTATGACCAGCTGTTCATCTGGATTTTCCCACCATAGGTCCATAAGTTTCAGCTTAATTTTTCCAGTGCTTTTCAAACTTGATTCACTATTTAAACATTTTAAAACAGCATGTAATAGCTATATATTACATGTAGTTAATTTAACATAAGTTCTAAAATAAAAATCAAAGATGCAATGTTGTTTGTGTCATTTTAGTCTTAACTTTATCCAAAATGCAGAAGGCTTAGAATTCTCAGAGGTTAGACTATCATAGACATCATTATCTGTGGGGAATTTAGTGAATTATTTCAATATTCTGCTAGTTTGGATGTGAATTTAAATATATGACTGTTTTTGTGGTCCAAATTTAGAGTCTGTATAAACTGGCCAATGAAGAAGCAAAGAAGAAAGGCTATGACTTGAGGAGTGACGCCATCCCCATTGTGGCGGCCAAGGCCTCCAGAGATATCGCCAGTGATGTAAGTTCTGCTCCCTGTACAAGATCCTTGAAATATAGCATTTTCACTGAACTAAATCTTTTAAGAGAACTTTCCAGGAGCTGATGCGTTGGTGTGGAAGTTATCCTGATATATGGGTCTGGAAGTCTTCAGAAACCTAGTTTTTAGGGAAATGAAAAATTTGGTGTTTATAAAAGGGATTTGTAACCTGCGAGACAGAACATCTTCAGTGAAAGTTGGTCCATCAAGGACAGAGAAAGATTCATTTATATGAAGGGCTCAGGTTTTGAAGATGCTTATGTTAAAAATAATCACTATGCAGTTAGAAAAGTTAATGGAAAGTGTAACTCATAAACTACAGTTCTCCCAGTGAAAATCATGGCTTGGTTATAAGGAACATTTTAATGTACAGTATTAAAAGTGCACGTGACATTAGCTATTATAATTCACCTTGTAAGATTATGAAGACAACGATCAGTACCAGAGGTGGCTACTGCCCAAGCTGCACCCTTAACAAATGTCCTGGCTGTGTGGGGTTTGCCATGCAGAGTTAAACCGTCATTTTTCCTAGTGACCCAGGAGTTCTTAAGGAACAGGCTATTGCTGTAAAAATCAAGTCCCACTGTTCTGGAATATGGTGATATATTCTCTTACATTATTTATCAAGGTAGTGATTTAGATTACGTCTGAGGGCACTTCAAAAAGTTCATGAGAAAAGGAATTAAAATATAAACTAATTTACGGACAAAAATTCTTGAAATCATGGCCTAATTTTTGCAAAATATGCATTTCCATAAACTTTTTGAAAACCCTCATATTTTGGACTCTTCCAGAAGATAGATTTGTGCCAATAATATAATGAAGTAATATTAACCAGCATTGAGAACTCTGTGCTACAAAGTTTATTGCAGTATCCCATTTAGTCTTTGTAATAACCCTGGATATACATATCATCATTACCCAAATTGTGTGGATTATTTAAGCAACTTGCCCAAAACCAAACTCATCAGATAGTGGAAGTGGAGACTCCAGAAGACCTAATTCCTTTCCTCTGTACTCTACTGAATCCTGCTGATTCATCTGTATACATTGAGGATCCCATATCTGAAATGCTGGACACAGGAAGTGCTTTGGATTTTTTCAGATTTTGGAATATTTTCATATACAAAGGGACTTCAAATAGTTTGTGAAAAATGGAATTAAAAGATAAGATTATTTTTATGTAAAAAAGTTTTGAAATCTATTCATAGTTTCTTCATAATACATATTTTCCATGAACTTTTAAAAAACATTATGAAAATAATGTCTTTTAAACATTATGAAAGGGTGACAGAGAAAGACTGAAATAGGGAGAGTAAGAGAGATCTTCCATCAGCTGACTCACTCCCCAAATGCCCCCCAACAACCAGGGCTGGAGCAGGCAGAAGCCAGGAACCTAGAACTCCATTCAGATCTCCCGCATGGGTGACAGGGGCTGCCATTATCTGCTGTCTCCCAGGATGCATTACCAGGAAGCTGGATTGAAAGTGGAGGAGCCAAGACTTAACCCAGCATTGCATTATGGGATATGGGCATTCCAAGCAGCAACTTAACCTGCTGCACCACGACACCCACTACTTCCATTAACTTTTGACGATCCCTTGTACATAATGAAATATCTTGGTGATGGAACCCAAGTCTAAATGTAAATTTCATATATGTTTTATGTGTACCCTGTGCACACAGCCCGGTGGTGTTTTACATATAACCTTTCTAACATGCCTGCACTTTGACTGTGACCTGTCTCATGAGGTCATGTGTGGAGGTTTCCACTTGCAGCACCATGTCTGCACACAGAAATTTTCAGGTTTTGGAGCATTTTAGATTTCAGATTTTTAGGTCAGGAGTAATCAACTTAATTGTCTTTGAGAGTGGAAACACACATTTTGCACATTTGGCTCAGATTCCAGGATGAAGTCAATGGACATGGAATAATAAAAGCACTGCTGGCCATGGGAAGCTAGAACTCCTAACTGTAGTAGGAGGACGCGCTTACCATCTGAGTTGCTACATCAGCCTTACTAGTAGAATCTTTTTCAAAATGATGCAAAAAATTTGCTATTGCCACTGAACTGCATTAATCCAATAAAAATAATAAATTCTCCTCTGTTGCTGCTACAAGTGGTCCTTGCCGTAGAGCACTCCATGCTTGTAGGAACCAGTCACTCCTTGTATTGCTTATAAAATACCCACACAACCAAGTATGTTCCTTTCTTTTTATGATTTTATTATAAGATCCAATTCACCAGTTTCCTTGGTTCAAGTGACCTCTCCCTGACTGCCACAGGAGACATCTCTCTCCCCATTGTGTGCGCTTCTTACCTGCCAAACTGTTCCTTATTATCATGCCAAGGGTGATTCGGGATATATATCACAATTAAATTAGTTTCATCTATTTTACCACCTCTAGAAGCATCTAGGATAAAGGCCAGGATATGGGCTTAAGTTGGGCTTAAGCCAATTAAATTTTTATGAAAGTGAGAGAATTCTTGCAGACTTATAGCCCCGAAGGATCTACAATATAAACTGATTTGTGCATTTTCATTTCAGTACAAATACAAAGATGGTTACCGCAAGCAGCTTGGCCACCACATTGGAGCACGGGACATCAAGGATGACCCCAAGATGATGTGGTCCATGCACGTGGCCAAGATCCAGAGTGACAGGGAGTACAAGAAGGACTTTGAGAAGTGGAAGACCAAGTTCAGCAGCCCAGTGGACATGCTGGGGGTGGTGCTGGCCAAGAAGTGCCAGACATTGGTCAGTGACATAGACTACAAGAACTACCTGCACCAGTGGACGTGCCTGCCTGACCAGAATGACGTCATGCACGCCCGGCAGGCCTATGATCTGCAGAGCGACGTGAGTACAGCAATTGTACAGGAGCTGTGTACAGAAATCATTTAGCTATGGAAAAGTGATTCTTTTTTTTAACCACTTCATACAATTTTATTGTTTTACAATTCTGGAGGTCAGAATCTGAAATAGGTCTCACCAGATTGAAGTTACAATATCAGCAGTTATATTCCAAGAGACCTCGGGGGATATCTGCTAGAGACTGGCTGCATTCCTTGGCTCGCAACCCCCTTCCACTGCCTTCAGCCAGCAACATTGGGCCAACTCCTTTTTTTTTTTTTTTTTTAGAAAGCTTTCATTTAATAAATATCAATTTCATAGGTATAGCTTTAGGAATATAGTGGTTCTTCCCCCAATACCCACCCTCCCACCCCCGCTCCCATCCCACCTCCTACTCCCTCTCCCACCCCATTCTTCCTTCAGATTCACTTTTAATTATATTTATATACAGAATATCAATGCTATACTAAGTAAGGGTTTCAACAGTTTGCACCCACACAGACACACAAAATATAAAGTACTCTTTGAAGACTAGTTTTACCGTTAATTCTCATAGTACAACTCATTAAGGATAGAGGTCCTACACGGAGAGCAAGTACACAGGGACTCCTGTTGATTTAATTAACGCTTTGATTTATGGTGTCAGTAATCACCTGAGGCTCTTGTCATGAGCTACCAAGGCTATGGAAACCTTTTGAGTCTACAAACTCCGTCAGCAGGAAAAGTGATTCTTTATACACAACATGTTGGCTAATTCATGCTGGGATTTATTACTCAGTAAATGAGATTGGAACTATTCTTGCTTTAGTTTGAATATATTAGGAGTCCTTATGAGGAAGTGAAGTTTACAACCTGGACTTAGTCTTACCAAAAAAAAAAAAAAAAAAAAACTGGAATAAGTGATGCTAGAATTCAGAGCCCACCTGAGAAAGACATTATCTTTTATCCTTGTAAGGGGGAATGAAACAACAAATTTTTATTTGAAATAAATTTACTCTGGAGTGTTTTTTTTCTCCACTTACTTGTCAAACAAACAAGGTTATACTGATTTGAATGCTAATGCCTGCCACAACACTAAATGTTTTTCTTATGACACAAAAGATGTTGCTGTACCTGCAGGCAACTTGGCTGTTTGGTTGATGCTTCTTGCTCTTAGCAATGTAGTCCTCTTTGTGGAGGGGCGGTAGGGCAAGGACAGAACTTGATGCTACTCAGGAGCAGATGCTCTATCAGAAATCCGAGAGTGAGAAGCATGTTTCCTGCAACATGCATATTATAACATTTAAAGGAATTCCTAAGCATCAGAGGGCTTTGAGGAATAACACAGTGGCTGTTCCTAGAAACTGAGCAGCTGCTGTCAACATACAGGACTCTGTTTTGCAAAAGGAAAGGCCTGCGCAAAAACAGTGAGAACGTTGATGGGCTGCTGGCCATCTGTCTGTCAGGTGCCACTCCTGGTTGCCTTCCTCCTACTCTGACGTGATCTTAATAATGTAGGAAGCATTGGAAACTTGAAAAGCATTCCAGAGATGGAAAATGCCAATTGCTTTCATTCTTGCTGCTCTGCCTTCGAGGGCAATAAGTAGTCAACACAGGACAGTTCCAAAAGACTTTTCATGTAGGCTGAAACATGCCAGTTGATGTTCTCAGTTGGTAGCTGTTACAGGTGAAATTCTACCAATGAACTGAGCAGAGGCCTAATACTGCAGCTGTGCAAGTTGTGAATATTTGAGGGCACATAAAAATCTTTAGCAGAAAAGCATGCTTAAAATTAAAGTGAGAAATGAAGACATGGCAGGATGATTCGAGAAAGGAGTTTGTGCCTCCATCCAGAGAACTTGTAGGGAAGGGCCTGGGATCCTGGACCAATGACTTGGTCTCTTATTGCAATAAATCCTGGACAATGTTATAGCTGCCGAAGGTCTATCCTGGGGACACAGGGGCTCTACATCATTCGTATATGTCAGCTTCATTTTGTTCCCTTAAAAAGAGCGTGAGAAATATTTAGAAATATAAGGAAAAAATACATAGATTGTAGTAAGAACCCAAATCACTGGAAAATCCCACTCCTCCTCACATATTTACCCACATTGTTTCGTGTGCCATTTTTCCAATTAGTATGATGTTAATGGCATTTCTACATAGCATCAATGTTTTCAGAAAGTGAGGCTTGTGATGTCTGCACAGTGTTTCATTTGTGTAGGCTTGAAATTGATTCCTGGTGGTCACTGTTGGACCAGGTATGGGCCCGTGTGTTTTTTCTCCCACTCTGGAGTGGCATTCTTTCCCTGTGCACGTAGAAATGATCATTGAAACAATCATAAGATATTAGCTAGGATCGCTTCTTTCCTAACAGCCCAAAATGTTTGATAATTCTTTATTCGGTTAGGAGACATTTCTGGGTCATCTCTGAACACTGTTCCTCTGTCCGTCTGCCTAGTATGGTGAACTGTATTGCTGTGAAAACAGATTGCACTTTAATTCTATTTGCATTTTTACCCTACATCTCTTGGTCTTGATGAAGAGTTTCTGCCTTTTTTCTCTGCTTAGAATATTTATAAGTCCGACCTCCAGTGGCTGAGAGGCATTGGTTGGGTCCCCATTGGGTCTCTGGAGGTGGCCAAGTGCAAGAGAGCAGCAGAGATCCTGAGTGACAACATCTACCGCCAGCCTCCAGACAAGCTGAAGTTTACCAGCGTGCCTGATTCTCTGGAACAGGTGCTGGCCAAGAACAATGCCATCAACATGAATAAGGTGAGCCCCAGCTGCCTCAAGCTTTTCCAAGATGCTCAAAGATGGCATTACACATTAATGCTTGCAGGAATCAGAGTTATCCACGACAATGGGGGGTCATGTTGACCTTTAAAATCACACACTTGAAACCTTCTAAATAATATCTGCAATTGCTCTTTCAACTTTGATAACTAACAACACGACTAAAACTTCCAATGAAATACCTTATATCCAAATCTGGCTTGTTTTTTCCAACTAGGTGGCTGATGACTTTTTTTTTTTAATGTAAAATACAGTATTAAAATTTATTTCACTTGTTTAGTCTGGGCCACAAAGAAAAACCGTTTGTTTGTTTTTTTTTTTTTTTTTTTTTGACAGGCAGAGTGGACAGTGAGAGAGAGAGACAGAGAGAAAGGTCTTCCTTTGCCGTTGGTTCACCCTCCAATGGCCGCCGCGGCCGGCGCGCTGCGGCCGGCGCACCGCGCTGATCCGATGGCAGGAGCCAGGAGCCAGGTGCTTTTCCTGGTCTCCCATGGGGTGCAGGGCCCAAGCACCTGGGCCATCCTCCACTGCACTCCCGGGCCACAGCAGAGGGCTGGCCTGGAAGAGGGGCAACCGGGACAGAATCCTGCGCCCCAACCGGGACTAGAACCCGGTGTGCCGGCGCCGCTAGGTGGAGGATTAGCCTAGTGAGCCGCGGCGCCGGCTATTAGTTTTAAAAGTTAAAAATTTTAACATTTTGTCACATTCACTTCATATAAATACGCATATATGCATATTTTAGTTAGTTTATATGAAGTGAATTTTAGTTAAATATGCATATATGCTATTTTTTCTTAAACAGAAATATTAGTATCATAAAGAGAGGGATACATGACAATGATCATAACATGAAGAAAGAAGGGTATATTGTCATGTACGTGGTATAATTCTGTGATGCAGCATTTGTAACTGTACCAGATGATATGATATCTATACAGTTTTGTACTACCTATGATTATAACTCCAGATTTTTTGTAATCCCTATTTCAAAGGGTTTTAAATCAACCTATTTCTTTTACAGCGTTTATACACAGAAGCCTGGGACAAAGATAAAACTCAAATCCATATAATGCCTGATACACCAGAAATCATGCTAGCAAGGCAGAATAAGATCAACTACAGCGAGGTATGAGGAAAATCTGTGGTGCTATGCATATGTTTGCTTACCTACACTTGGTTTTACGGAGATCCTGAGCCTCATCTCTCAGGGTACATGTGGCTGTTTCATATGAACATGCAGTCCATCGAGACTTTCTGCTCTGGTTGAATGTTAGTTTTAGAGGGTTCCTCAGGCAAGTTGAAGTCCTATTGTCTTTCCAGTTTGTGACCAACCCCAGTGTGGGTCAGTGAGACTGGATAGTGTTTGGGCATGTTCAAGGGGGAGGATTGCCAGATAAAATACTGGCCCATTCTTTGCACTAAAACAGTATTTGCTGTTTACCTGAAATTCATGTTCAACTTGATATGCTGTATTTGTATTCAGAAAAGCTGGCAACCTTTCCTGGGGGGCCTCAAATCATGTGTGTCTCTTCCCCACCTGGGTCTGGAATAAAATTAGGAAATAAAGGAATAGAAACAGAAGTCAAGATCTCAAGTGTTTTCTAATACTGAAGTTAGATTAAAGGGTGCAATTATAAGAGAGCCAAATGGGTCTGTAACTGAACCTCAGGATTAGGTTTCCCCACCCAGCACAGGCTGAGCTGGACTGGAGCCGGGGCGGGGAGGGGGCTTCCTGGAGTCCAGAGGGACAGAGGACACCAGGTCTGATCCTAAAGGGAGAATGGGGAGGTGAGCAGAGGCCGACCCTAATTCTATCCCTGCTAATTAGATGATCAGTAAATCAGTGCACCTCTCCAGGGCACAGAGACTGAAGGGACAGAGGAAGGCCAGCGGTAACGTAATCAAGCTTCTTTCTTTTATACAAAGAAAACCTCGAGCTTAGGGATGAAGTGTTCTCTCTCATCATGATTTTTTTTTTAAATTTTTTGACAGGCAGAGTGGATAGTGAGAGAGAGAGAGAGAGAGAGAGAGAGAGAGAGAAAGGTCTTCCTTTTGCCATTGGTTCACCCTCCAATGGCCGCCACAGCCAGCGCGCTGTGGCCGGCGCACCGCGCGGATCTGATGGTAGGAGCCAGGTACTTTTCCTGGTCTCCCATGGGGTGCAGGGCCCAAGCACTTGGGCCATCCTCCACTGCACTCCCTGGCCACAGCAGAGAGCTGGCCTGGAAGAGGGGCAACCGGGACAGAAACCGGCACCCTGACTGGGACTAGAACCCGGTGTGCCGGCGCCGCAAGGCAAAGGATTAGCCTAGTGAGCCATGGCGCCGGCCCTCATCACGATTTTTTTAATAGTAAAATGAAATTTTACAGATGTGTGTTTTACTAATATGGTATAACCAATATTTAGAGTATTTTTAAAATATTTATTTGAAAGATCTGTTTACTTGACAGAGAGGGTGGGAGGGGGGAGAGCAAGAGAGATCTTCCATCTACTGGTTCATTTCCCAAAGGCCTGAGAGAGCCAGGGTTAGGCAAGGGCCAAAGCTAGGATCCAGGAACTCCATCTGGGTCTCCAAGGTGGATGACAGGAACTCAAATACCTGGGCCATCATCTGTTGCCTCCCAGGCCCATTAGCAGGCAACTGAACAGGAGGTACATAGAAGATAGGACTTGAACCAGGCACTCCAGTATGGCTTTGAGAGTCCCAGCTGGTAGCTTAACTTACTGAACCACAACTCCTGCTCTCTCAAACTTAGAATTTGTTTAAAGGTTTATTTTTTACTTACTTGAAAAGCAGAGTTACAGAAAGAGGGAGAGACAGAAAGAGCTTCCATCTGCTGGTTTACTCTCCAAATAGCCACAATGACTGGAGTTGGACTGACCTAAAGCCAGGAGCCAGGAGCCAGGAGCCAGGAGTTTCTTCCAGGTCTCGCACATGGGTGCAGGAGCCCCAAGTACTTGGGGCATTTGCTGCTGCTTACTGAGGTGCATTAGCAGGGAGCTGGATTGGAAGTGGAGCAGCCAGGAATTGAATCGGCACCGATACTGGATGCCCACGCTGCAGACAGCAGCTTAACCTTCTACACCACAGCATTGTCCCTCTCAAATTTACAGTCTTAAAGTTGAGATTATAGTCAAGTTAATTGTGTTTTAAGTTGTACTTTATTTATTTTTTTGCTTTTGAACATGTTACCTGGTGGTCATAAAATTTTGATAATGAAATCAAATATTTTTATTTGTGCACATTATATTAAATATTCTGCCATTCGTTTTTTGCTTAGTGGCATAATACAGATTGGTGTTTTGTCTATTGATATGTTTTACTAGATTATATTAATCTATGTTTATATGTATTTCACTTAATATACAAATGATATTAATCCATAATGACATAATAGACTAACATGCCAATCGATATTAATATTCATTGCCATATGCTATTTAATTCTGTTGCTGCATAGTATTCTTCATAGGAATAGCATTTATTTACTTTCCATTATTGTGAGAAATTTAGACTGTTTCTAGTTCTTATCCCTTCTAAAATTATATGATGTGTCACTTGATAATCTTCAAATTGTTGCTGCCTGGTCTTTTAACTCTGCCTCTCTTTCTGTAGAGTCTGTATAAACTGGCCAATGAAGAAGCAAAGAAGAAAGGCTATGACTTGAGGAGTGACGCCATCCCCATTGTGGCAGCCAAGGCCTCCAGAGATATCGCCAGTGACGTGAGTACAAACCCGGATATTTATGTAGGTGGAGAAGCTGGGGAGGCAGGATCATTATTACAGCAGGCAGATGCAGCTGCTTGCCAGTTAGGGCACACTTACTGATCAGTTTTCCTAAATCAAAGATATGTTTTTTATTTGAAAAAACTCACATATTTAACTCCAGAGACTTTAATATCAAGGTACTATGGGGAGGTGGTACCCTAAATTTTGATAAAGATTGAGTCAGAGTACAGTGATTTTAATGTTTATTATTATGAGAAACCTATCTCCATATTTTGATAGCATAGCTCTTCAGAGAAAAGAAAATGCCCAAAGAGTTTTTAAAAATCCCTTGGCTCCATGTATTGGTTCAACATTAAAGAAGATCCAGGACAGCCAGGTCAAGGGAAATGCCCAACTCCTGCTCTGTAATTTTTGTCGGCTCTTTGAAAAGTTACTTTAAGAGCTTCCTTTTGAATTGTTTTTAAACCAAAAGAAAGAAAAAGTGGGAAAAAAACTCAGAAAAATGGTGAACAGGTATCTCTGGAGGAAGTGGGTCCTTTGAAGAATTCAGAGTTCTATAAATTTATATTAGTGGCTTGCCTGAATTAGAGAGAAAATAGCCAGAGTTGGTCCTGATTGCTACCAACTGCAAAATGCTTTGTGATCAGTGTTCAGCCCATTTTCTCACTTGAGGAATCCCAAGCACCTGTCTCTGACAGATAGGACATGCAGAGGGAAACACGATCCTGTCCATTTTGGAGTCAAGTGCCCCAGTAAAAGTCAGAAGGGCTAGTTGTGGGAGGGATGATGGGTGTGTTAGGTGGGGGATTGGATATCTACAGACTCAGGGGTAGCATTCTCAATATTGTATGTAAGATTTCTGGGTTGATTGATTTCACTGGCCCAAGAAAAAGAAAAGGCAATACACGGACTGATTGATGTGAAAAATATTACTGCCTTTCTTTCCAGGCACTGAGTGTCTGCAAACCATAGGACTTTGTAGTTTGGCCTGTCTTCCCATTAGGCTATTGCTGTGAAGTCTAATCAGAGTTTAGGATGAGAAGATGAACTGATAATCGGATAATTCTATTTCTCTGCAAGCATTACTAATTTAAAAATCATGCCATTTAAATCAATGAGATTTTGATCTCTTTTTATTCACTTTTTATTTTCGAAATGGCCACTTTCATTTCAGTACAAATACAAAGATGGTTACCGCAGGCAGCTTGGCCACCACATTGGAGCACGGGACATCAAGGATGACCCCAAGATGATGTGGTCCATGCACGTGGCCAAGATCCAGAGTGACAGGGAGTACAAGAAGGACTTTGAGAAGTGGAAGACCAAGTTCAGCAGCCCAGTGGACATGCTGGGGGTGGTGCTGGCCAAGAAGTGCCAGACGTTGGTCAGTGACATAGACTACAAGAACTACCTGCACCAGTGGACCTGCCTGCCTGACCAGAATGACGTCATGCACGCCCGGCAGGCCTATGATCTGCAGAGCGACGTGAGTACCTAAGATCTGCAGTGTCCATGCTTATTCTGGTAAAACATAGACAATGGCCTAGGGTTAGATAGACCCCTCAGCCCTCAGAGGGATGATGTTTCTTTTCTTTGCTCCCCATTTTTTTTGAGAGACAGCATGACATCAAGAGACTATATCCAATTTTGCCTTCATATTTCAAAAGACGTGGCTATAAAATTTAACTATGCAACATTTTCCAGTCTTTTTTTGTTATTATTTTTGAAATCCAGTGTCATAAGGTCTTCAGTCATACTTGATTTTGTTTGCTTTCACCAGAACATTTATAAATCTGATCTCCAGTGGTTGAGAGGCATTGGTTGGGTCCCCATTGGGTCTGTGGATTTGGTCAAGTGCAAGAGAGCGGCAGAGATCCTGAGTGACAACATCTACCGCCAGTCTCCAGACAAGCTGAAGTTCACCAGCGTGACTGATTCTCTGGAACAGGTGCTGGCCAAGAACAATGCCATCAATATGAACAAGGTGAGTCCCCATGTAGGAGGAGATAAAAATGCCTATGATTAACATAGTCTTCTTTCTTTACCCAATTAAATTGCTATCTAAAATACCAGTGATTGGTTGAGTTCTTATTCAGTTACTTGAGAATTACAAAAATCTATGGCAGAATTTTTGCTTTGATGTCTCTTATAATAGGCCACCTATATTTGGGGTTCGCATTGTTTAAAACTTATGAAAGTATGTTATAGATTATTTGGCATCTTTCATGTTGGGTACATATCTAGGTAAGCATAGAAATAACAAGATGCAAATCTCTATAACTTTTATTCAAAATAAATCTAGAGATGGCACATCCAGGTTTATTTGTAGTTAAACAACAAATATCCAAGAAGAAAAACCATGGGGAGGATTTGTTAACATAGCCACATACAGATATGGATGTGTGTATGATTTTCATTTAATTTGAGGGTGACTGGTTACTTACACAGAGACACATTCTGCTTTTCTGTATATTATTTCTTTTTGTATATTACAATACATTTATATTTAGTTATGACAAACATCCTATAAAATCAAAGTGGCTAAGAAGAGTGTTAACAGAGAGCACATAACACAAATAGCAGGGGGACTGGCTTTCAGCTCTGTTATCATCTCTTAATTGCAAACTCCTGTTTACAACAAACATTTTTATTTTTCATAGCGCTTATACACAGAAGCCTGGGACAAAGACAAGACTCAGATCCATATGATGCCTGACACACCTGAAATTATGTTGGCAAGACAAAATAAAATGAATTACAGTGAGGTAAGGCCATTTATTTCCTCTCTGGCCACACTGATTTTTATTGATGCAGAAATGTCAGAGTTATAACTTTAATCCTCATTATGCCAACTAGCTGAGTTTTCTTTTTTTTATGCTCAATATCTTAGCTTGAATATACATATTAATATATATCTAAAAGGTAGATAGAAAGATAAATAAATAGATAAAATTGTCTCTACATCAGAAGGGAAAAAAATCCCTCAAAGTCAACTACTAATAACTGAGTTATATAATTTTAGTTAAAAATGATTGTGTTTCTCAAATTAAATCATTATTCAATGTCTCCTATGAGTTTTTCTTCAGCTACCTCATGTATAAAATGAGATAAAGATGCCTTTTTTGAATAATGTGTTTGATAAATAAATGAGATAAAATATATACCTTTGCCTAATGTGGAATCTGGTGCAAAATAGTTGCTTAACACACTTTAATTTCTTCCCTTTATACTCTAATAATTCACCATGAATACTAAGTTTATTTAATATGCCCAAAATAACTTGGGGTTTATTTATGAGAACTGAAATGATCGTTCCTAAATTCACTCATTTCAAAATTGCCTGAGGACAATAAAACTCATCCTTTTATGAACTGTCTCCAGTCTTCTTAAACTTGTCATCATAAATCTTGGCAGTGTAGAAATAGTGCTGTATAAATAGCTGCTTGTACAATTGCTCTTGCCCAAGTCAAGAATTTATCTGGTTGATTCAAGAAGAATATTAATTTCTTACACATTCATGTGTCTTCATTTAAAAATAAAGGAGGGAAGATTTTTCTTCAGTTTGAGATTACTGAAAAATTTAATTGATCTTTAAGACTTGTCCAAATTTATCATTTTACCTATATTAATTCCTTTTGCCTATAATAATGTAGCCCTAAAGAGCAGACAGGCTTATATCAAATAATCAGGACAAGCATGATGGAGTAGATATGATTTTGATATATTGATTTTCTCAGATAATCAATATATCAAGGATAAGTCAAGGATAAATCTGATCATGAATATTTGACTGGCCTTGGCTTCAGTCCTTATTGAATGAGCAGTTTTTTTCTTGGCCGTGGAACTTCTTCCAAGAAGCTTATGTTGCCTATGGCAGCAGTAGTTTCTTCCCGACTGTAGGGAAGCTCCTAAACCTCTCCTTGTAGGAGAGTCAAGGTGAGTTGAGGTGAGTTAAGGCAATTAGGTGAGTGAAGGCAATTTCTTTTTTTTCCCAGACTGCCGAGAGGAAAGTGGGCTTTTTTTTTTTTTTTTAAGATTTATTTATTTATTTATTTGAAAGGCAGAGTTACAGAGAAGCAGAGGCAGAGAGAAAGGTCTTCCATCCACTGGTTCACTCCCCAGATGTCCACAATGACTGTAGCTGCACCAATCCGAAGCCAGGAGCTTCTTCCGGGTCTCCCACGTGGGTGCAGAGGGTGCACCCTGGGCCATCTTCTGCTTTCCCAGGCCATAGCAGAGATCTGGATGGAAAGTGGAGCAGCTGGTACCTGAACCAGCACCCATATGGGATGCCAGCACTGCAGGCTGAGGCTTTACCTGCTACACCACAGCACTGACCCCCATGGGCTATTTTTTAATTCTAAAATTTTCAGCTGGATTTACTTTTGTAAACAGCATGATTGTTAATTACCTAAGAAGTATTTTCTGAAGACTGAACTTTGGAGTGGCCCACTTAAATTTATTCTCAGGCCATCATCAGTGATACCTTCATTCCATAAATGTAAAAACAAAGCACAACAAATATATCTGATTTTTATCTCTTAGCTTCTCATGTATTCAAGTCCTTTTGGATAAGTGACTTACCCAACAAGCTTTAAGATGTAGCCTTGATGATAACTAAATGTGTTCTCTTCTTTGAAGCACTGAATCTTTTTCAAATGTTGGGGAAAAAAGGAAGCTTTTTACTTGAAATAGAGTTTTTTCCATTGATATTACAATGATATATCTGAGCATTTCTCTTCAAAGGAAAAATACAACAGATGAAGTATTTGACTCTCCAGTTACAAAAGAAACATTTCTAGATATTTTTAAGAAAAAAATGTACCCTTTCAGTTTTATCTCAAAATACTACATTTATTCACATTTTAAATTTTGTTTGTTTGATAAACAGAAGGATAGAGGGAGAGGGAGAGGGAGAGAGAGAGAGAGAGAAAGAAAGAAAGAACGAGTGCTCCCATATACTGGTTCACGCTCCAAATGCCTGCAATGGCTGGTGCTGGGCTAGGGCTTAAGCCAGGAGTTGGGAATTTAATCCAGTCTCACCCATGGGTAGCAGGGACCCAGCTGCTTGAGCCATCATCATGGGCTCCTAGGGTTGCACATTGGCAGGAAGCTGGAGTCGGGGGCAAGAGCTGGGAAGTGAACCCAGCACTCCAATATGGGATGTAGGCATCTTAACCACTAGTCTAAATGCCTGCTCCTAGTCTTATTTTTTTAACTTTTCCTATAAATGTCATCTTGAAAAAGACATAGACTTCCACATCTCAGTATTGCTCACCATAAACACACAATAGCATCTCTCTAGGTCTTCTAAGTCATTTAAATAGTAATGTCTGTGAATCATATTTATACTTCAGATACTATTCTAGTGTTCTTAATCTCATTAGAGAATGGGACATAAGAATGAGAAAATTAGTTTTAATTATTTCTGTCACACTTTTAAAGAAATTTCCTTACATTGAAGTTTTAGCTTTAACAAGTACTCTGAACAGTAATGCCCTCCAAATTCGTAGATCCTCGTTGCTTTCCCCTTAAGACCACAAGTGATTTCTAAACCCTTTTCCAGGCCTGTCTACCACTGGTTTTGTGTCTACTTTAACAAACCCTATGAGTCTCTTAATAGAGGAAAGGGAGAACCTGAAACTAGAGATTAAATTATTCAGTTGTGGAGTGACTTAAGTGCTACATCTCTGTAGCAGGGTGTAGAGACAAGCCACCTTCAAACCTCAGCTTCACTCGAGGTAACTCAAAGGGTTTCCAGGGGGAATGCGGTTATAGGTAGATTTGAGGAATTCGGTTAACATAACTTCGACTTCCATGAATACTCTCTTCCAGCTTGTCTACTAAGAACACAACCATACTTCCTCTTTCATAGCTACTTTCCTTTTACTCGAAAACAAGAAAAGCCTGGTTTAAAGCTGGGGAAAGAAACCAGACAACTCAACGCCATTTGTGCTCTTGAATTAAATCCTGGGAAGAAAAACATTACTATAAAGGACATGATTGACGCAATTGGCAAGAATTGAATAACCACTGTTTATTAGATAATAAAAGATATGATTAAATAGTAATTTTATATCAATATTAAATTTCCTAAATTTGCTAAATATATTGCAGTTACACAAAACTGTCTTTATTCTTAGGAGACATGTGGTGAAGCATGTAAGGGTAAAGAAAATGATAACTCCAGTTTACTCTTAGTTGGTTGAAATATTGAAAATAAGGGGAAAACAGAAGACAAAAGGCAGATGTAGAAAATATATTAATAAATTGGATAGTTTGGGGTTCCTGGTATCATTCTTCTAACTTTTCTGTAGGTTTGAAATTTGTCAAAATAACAAAAAATAAATTTTAAAATATCAAAACATGGTAAAATATTTGACTAATTATGTAAAGATTTTATTTTTAAAAGAAGAAAAAAAGCACATTTGCCCCCATGGTTACTGTGCTGCAAACCTAAGATTATTAAAACAACAGAACTCTACCAGACAATTGACTTCATGAATGTCTACTAAAATCTTTTTCAATTGAGGCATCATGAACTCCCATAAGTCACAGAGATCTCACTGAGACACTTAGTAAATTTTTACTTTTTATGTTCAAAAATTTATAAAATATAAATTTAAATACTTATATGTGGTAAGAGGATATGGAATCAGTCAAAATTCTTGCAGGTGGTTCACAAATACAAAAAGCTACAGACTATTTGTATACAGTTTGTTCAATGCATGATTCTCAAAACTATACTCTTATGAAACACCTGTGTGTTATCTTGTGTGCATCTGTCCTGCTACAGAAACTCAACTATGGTAGTATCTGTGAATTCTCAGAAAAAAAATTAATAAATAGAATTTTGTCAGTTCTCCCTCTTTGGCTTGTAAGCCATTGGTTCCTACTTCTCCTCGTGTCTTGTAATTTCCAGGAGTTGACAAAATAAATGCCTAGAGGGCAAATCAATATTAACACAGAGAGATTCAAAACAGTGGATCATCCTAGTTCAGCCCTATTTTGATATAGACACATGCTTATAGTGATAGTATTGTTTTATTATATAATCACATTCTCTACTAGTAAAATTGTTCTGAATTCACATCTGTAATTAAATACATCAATATTTTATGGCTGTCTCATGAAAAGAGCATGTGTTGAATAATCTAGTACATTTTTAAACTATTTCAGAATGTTTATTTTTTGTTTAAGATTGATTTTTTTATTTGAAAGGCAGAGAGGCAGAGGTAGAGAGAGGAAGGGAGAAAGAGAGAGAGAGCGAGATCTCCCATACACTGGTTCACTCTCCAGATGGCTGCAATGGCCAGAGCTGCACTGATCTGAAGCCAGGAGCCAGGAGCTTCTTCCGGATCCCCAACATGGATGCAGGGGTCCAAGGACTTGGGCCATCTTCTACTGCTTTCACAGCCATAGCAGAGAGCTGGATTGGAAGTGGAACAGCTGGGACTCAAAGCAGCACCCATATGGGATTCTGGCACTGCAGGCAGCAGCTTTACCAGCTACACCACAGCGCCAGCCCCACAATCTAATACATTTGAAAACTATTGATTTAAGGTCGGCACCGCGGCTCACTAGGCTAATCCTCCGCCTTGTGGCACCAGCACACCGGGTTCTAGTCCCGGTCGGGGCACCCGATTCTGTCCCGGTTGCCCCTCTTCCAGGCCAGCTCTCTGCTGTGGCCAGGGAGTGCAGTGGAGGATGGCCCAGGTGCTTGGGCCCTGCACCCCATGGGAGACCAGGAAAAGCACCTGGCTCCTGGCTCCTGCCATCGGATCGGCGCGGTGCGCTGGTTGCAGCGCGCCGGCCGCGCCAGCCATTGGAGGGTGAACCAACGGCAAAGGAAGACCTTTCTCTCTGTCTCTCTCTCTCACTGTCCACTCCTGCCTGTCAAAAAAAATAAAAATAAAAAAAATTAAAAAAAAAGAAAACTATTGATTTAGTGTATAAAATCTGTAAGAATTTTCACAAAGAGAAGTTGTGATGTTAAAGTTTTCTGAATAAGAAATTTCCATTTAACCAAATAGCTTGGATAAACAGAAAGTAAAAAAATTTTTAAATGTATTTAAGGCCAAACACACTAGTGTAATTCTGTATCTAGAAGTTGTCTTCCTTTGACAAAATTAAAAAATGTTTAGAGAGAATGAGAGCTTGAAATCTAAACATTGCTGTTTCTTTCCTCAGAATTTCTATCGTCAGGCCATGGAAGAAGCCAAGAAAGAAGGCTATGACTTGAGAAGTGACGCCATCCCCATTGTGGCTGCCAAGGCCTCCCGGGATATTGCCAGTGATGTAAGAGCTGATCAAGTCCTAACATTTGGTACCAATCAGGCCAGTCACCTGCAAGGGGAATCGTGTTCTTGGAATACAGCTGAAAGTCCCTTTAGCCATCATCCACCTTAACTGCCTTCATTGCATAGACCAATAAATTGAGGCCTGAGGCAGTAGCTAACTTGCCCAGGATCACAAACATCCCGTTGGCAAAACCTAGACTGCACTGTGGTTCCTTGGATTCTTTTGGTCTTTCTATACTAGGAATGAGTGCTTGACTCTGATTAGATGAACTTACGTTTAGCTACTCATAACACTTCACAAACTCTCCTTAGGATACACTCAAAGCAAAGTTGCCAGAAGAAGCAAATTTAACTGAGTTGTCCCTCATTACTTGAAGGATGGATAGCGCAAAAGCTGAAGGTCTTCTCCCTGTAGTGGCCACACAATCAGTATCTCTTTACCCTACAAATGAAAACATCAAATTCCTGGCCATCTTTCAAATTAACCCACATTGTAAAACTGCCTATTTTTATAGGTCTTTATTTTTCATAATTGTGAAAAAAAATGCACCTACATTAAATTGTACCATCTTCACCATTTTTAACTATGTAGTTAAGCAATGTTGAATATAACATAGGATACCTTACCATATATAAAGGAGTCATCTGTGGAGTTCTGTAGAGATGGGCCAAAGAGTATAGCACCCTCTTCTTGGGGAGTCACCTTGCCCCAGTGTGTAGCACCACACCAACAGATAACAGAAAACTGCCTGTTATCTCAAGAATTTATAACACAAACATCACTGCAGTAAGAACAGGGAACCATTCTCATGCCTCTTATTTACTGGCTTCTCTCTTTCAGTACAAATACAAAGAAGCTTATCGTAAGCAGTTGGGCCACCACATTGGTGCCCGAGCTATACATGATGACCCCAAGATGATGTGGTCCCTCCATATTGCCAAAGTGCAGAGTGACCGTGAGTACAAGAAAGAATTTGAGAAGTACAAGACAAGGTACAGCAGCCCAGTGGACATGCTCGGTATTGTTTTGGCCAAAAAATGTCAGACCTTGGTCAGTGATGTGGACTACAAAAATCTTCTGCATGAGTGGACCTGCCTGCCTGATCAGAATGATGTCATTCAAGCCCGGAAAGCTTATGACCTCCAGAGTGACGTGAGTATCCCTGTCAATAGCAGGTTGCAACCTGTTCTTCCTAGGGCCAATGGCCTGCACCTTGTTTGTATATTTCAAGTAATGTACAACAGACTGTCTGAAAGGCATTTTCAATGGGGAGCACTATAATTTTTTTTTTTTACAATTTTTGCTCTCCCTCAAAGTTTATATGTAAAAGAAAATAAATATTATCAGTTCTATACAGGTAGATCTCTTCCTTGAAGACTTAGGCTTCTTTATCTTAATCAGATGCAACTTAGCCTCCAGAAATATATAGAAAATGTTTGACTAAAAACATAGAAATGTGTGTGCATGTCAATGGAATGTGGTGCAGAGGGAATGGGAAGAAAAACATATTATGCTACATTATATGAATAAATGCTTACATATTATATGTACAGACAGGAAAATATTGAGACAGCCTTTTGTAAACCCCAAATCTGATTAAAATTTAGCATGTCCTATTGAGAGAAAAATAAAATGAATAATTAAGGAAATACCTATATATCTTCCCCAAACACATTTCCTTTATACATTTGGTATGTTGTGATTTTTGAGGATGGCTGCACAGGCGAGGGTTTTTGTTATTGCAACACTCACACAGCATTGGTCTGAGCACATTTCCCAAGGCTAGTGAAGCACTGCTCTCGTGTAAAAACCGTGTAATACCCTCAAGGGTTAAGACCACGTTTTTGCTTAAGTAAAAAAGCTTTCATCATTCTTGGTACCATACGCCATACAAAAAAAAAATGCCAGAAAATAATATGCTTATGGTTTAGTAATGCTATAAGTAAGTAACTTATTATTCTGGGAATTTTAACTGTTTACCAGTACTTTTATATTTCTCTAGTATGACACATTTGGCAACAATGAATCTGAAACACTAATTTAATAAATTGTTTCTTGTCTGTTGACCTATAGAATCTGTATAAGTCAGACCTGGAATGGTTGAGAGGCATTGGCTGGGTTCCCATTGGTTCTTTGGAAGTTGTCAAAGCCAAGAGGGCTACAGAGATACTGAGTGATAACCTCTACCGGACACGACCAGACACGTTGAAATTTACCAGCGTAACTGACTCTCTGGAGCAGGTGCTAGCCAAGAACAATGCAATAAACATGAATAAGGTGAGTCTTAAATCCTCACCATTGGATATCAGAAGTTACTATAGAAAAAATTTTGACACTTTGTTATATTTTAAAAATTGCTATAAGAATTATACTTTTTAAAATGACTTTTCTACTCTACTACTATAATTATTTAGTGACACATCAAAATATTAAGCTAATGTTAAAATAACAGGTGCTATAATAATTTCATAATTCTTTCCTAGACAGATTTTTCTGTAAAAATTTAGGAGGCAGGTACATTAGCAGGAAGCTAGATTGAAAACAGAAGCAGCCTAAACTTGAACCAGCACTCAGATATGGAATGGCACCGTTGCACATAGTGGCTTAACCCACTGTGCCACAATGCCAGTCCCTCCTAGGCAGATTTTAAGTGTTGCAACCCAGTGAGACTTTTCAGAACTGTTAAATTCTTTAACAAAGAATTTTCTTCAATTTATAAGAATTTTTAACAAGAAACAAAAGTAGGAATTAATGCACCTTTAGTAATTTTATTTCTACATTTAAAAATTTAATCATACATTTCATACAAAAGAAGTGACTGGCATATAATCAAAAGAAAAATTCTGTGATTACTAAAATAATTTTTCTCACTTTTTTTTAAACAGCGCTTATATACTGAAGCCTGGGAAAATGACAAGAAAACAATCCATGTCATGCCTGATACACCAGAAATAATGTTAGCCAAGCTCAACAAAATAAACTACAGTGATGTGAGTGAACTGCTCTTGGAGTAAACGGGCAACAATAAACTACTGTAACTGCCTCTTTAATGACTTGCTTTGATTAGTTTACCACACATGCTCCAACTAACATAGTCAAAGGAGGAGTTAGTTCTTTTTTGATTGAATTTTTGGCTATGTGGTAGGTCCACAAAATAGTGCAGCCTTTATTAATGGGACATCAGGTAATTTGTAGTGCTCAGGGAGAAATTCATCAACACGAATTATACTTTTAAAGCCTTTATGTAGAAGTTGGTGGGGGATCAAGTAATTTTACTCATCAGACGTTTAGTAGACAGTCACTGGGTTGGAACCCAATAAGTCACCATGCCCTGTGTTGTTCTGCTACTTCAAATGTTACTTTCAAGCATTTTTCTAGGCACCTTTATTTTGATCCTGAAACTCAGATCCACAATTTGACCATGGGCCATGATGATGGACAGTCCACTGCAAAATGAGAAAAACATACTGATAATGCACTGGGTTTTTCCACAAAACCAGATCTATTCTGTTTTTAAGCTTCTCCTTATTCTTTCTCTTGCTTTAGTATTAGGGTGCTCTTTCTTTTATATTATGATGGCAATAGTAAGTAGTTGTGTTTTTTTAACCTATGCTTACTTAGCAAATCTTGGCAACCAAATGTTGATTTTTCCCCCACTATTTTTTTTAAATAAAATTTTTTGTAAAATAAAATCCCAATGTTTAGAACAGATCCCTTAAAATTCTTAAGCATCTATGAATCAAAACAATCTATCACCCCATCCTAGTACTTTGTTGGTTGTTTCGGCAGTTTAGATGAGGACAGATAAAATAGAATAATATATGACACCATTTTTAATGAAAAAAAAAAACAATGGATTGTGATTCTTGTTTCCACAGAAACTCTATAAACTGGCCTTGGAAGAGTCCAAGAAGGAAGGCTATGACTTGCGTGTGGATGCCATTCCCATCCAAGCAGCCAAGGCATCGAGGGACATAGCCAGTGATGTGAGTAGATGTTGTTAAAAGAGGTGTTTCTTAGTCAAAGATATTGACGAATAGCAGTTTTCATAGTTTTTCTTGCCAGAAATTTAGTCCCTACAAGTCTCAATTCTGTTTAGAGGTTTTCCCATATACAATGTTGCAAGTTGAAGAAAAAGCACAAAATACTGTGTCTGTTATCCCTGTCATCACACAGAACTTAACTGTTTTTAAAAATAAGTATTCTGTGGACACTAAAAATGGGTTCATATTTTTGAGCTTCAGAAATTGAGAGGCAGTTGATGCAGATATTTGTGAAATCAAAGAGGCTGATACCACATGTAAAGTGGCCAAGATAAATGTGAGTCCTTTCTTCCTATTACTTCTTTCTAAAAGAAGATTAGGTGTCAGATGCATTTCAGAGTTTTGTTTGATCCTTTTTCACCATCATCTCACCAAGATGCCCATAACTGGACACAGTAACAGATTGCAGAGTAAGCTAAGCTTCTTCTCAGTACCCACTTGCTTCCCTCCCTCTACTGCTTTTCTTACAGCAGAAACACCTGAGGGTGTCCGCATCCCTCATCTTGTACCACATCTCCTTGACACCAAATCCAGTTTTGGAAAGCCCAAAAGACCTTAGACTTAGGCTTCATCCCTTAAATAGCACAACTTTTTCCAGTGGTTAAGCCATAAAAACCCACACTATGATTATCTTATGGTAAAATGAACCCATGATCTGTCCTTGAATATTAAAAGTAGAATGAGCCTTAACCCCAAGGCATGGCTGTCTCATGGTAGAAGTTCAATGATTTTGACACATCAGTGAGTGAAATATTCTCTGATGATGCATGAACTTCAATGTGACATGTACCCTCAACTAAGATATCTGCTGTAGGTTCTGATAAAAAGGACAATAGTCTAGTCTTAATGTCCAGAATTTTTAGAAAAACCATATGTCTTTAAGTGGATGCTTCATTAGATTGTACAAGATGTTTTACTTTTTATTTATTAAGCAATCAAATGTAAACCAGGTGATGTAGTTTGGAGAAGGGGAAAAATATTGGTAATGAGAAGCTTTCCATTCCAGGCCCAGCACTGCCACCTCTTGTGACGTGACCTCAGACAAATCACTTAGCCTTCTAGGCTTCAGATTCCTACTGTATAAAATGGAGTTGATAATATTCACCTTTCTTGCTGGCGCCGCGACTCACTAGGCTAATCCTCCGCCTTGCGGCGCCAGCACACCGGGTTCTAGTCCCGGTCAGGGCGCCGGATTCTGTCCCGGTTGCCCCTCTTCCAGGCCAGCTCTCTGCTGTGGCCAGGGAGTGCAGTGGAGGATGGCCCAGGTGCTTGGGCCCTGCACCCCATGGGAGACCAGGAGAGACACCTGGCTCCTGCCATCGGATCAGCGTGGTGCGCTGGCTGCAGATGCCATTGGAGGGTGAAACAACGGTATAAGGAAGACCTTTCTCTCTGTCTCTCTCTCTCACTGTCCACTCTGCCTGTCAAAAAAAAAAAAAATCACCTTTCTCCTTCATGATAGTAGTGAGGAAAATAAAGAGAAATAACGTGTGTTCTCATTACACTCACCTCTCTTTTCTTTCTTCAGTACAAGTACAAGGAAGGCTACCGCAAGCAGCTCGGCCACCACATTGGAGCCCGGAACATCAAGGATGACCCCAAGATGATGTGGTCCATGCACGTGGCCAAGATCCAGAGTGACAGGGAGTACAAGAAGGACTTTGAGAAGTGGAAGACCAAGTTCAGCAGCCCAGTGGACATGCTGGGGGTGGTGCTGGCCAAGAAGTGCCAGATCCTTGTAAGCGACATAGACTACAAGCATCCCCTTCACGAATGGATCTGCCTGCCTGACCAGAATGATGTGATTCAGGCCCGGAAGGCCTACGACCTGCAGAGTGATGTGAGTGGCTCTACTAACCTTCAGGCGCATTCTGAAAGGCTTAAAAAAGGAAGTTCGAAGTTTTTTGTGCTCTGAAACTTTTGGTAGGCCAGTAGAATTCATAGATACCTTCTCAGACAACGTTATAAAATGCATAGAATAAATATATTGGCTTTAAAGAAATTAACCATGGGCCAGCGCCGCGGCTCAATAGGCTAATCCTCTGCCTGCAGCGCCAGCACACCAGGTTCTAGTCCCAGTCTGGGCGCCGGATTCTGTCCCGGTCGTTCCTCCTCCAGTCCACCTCTCTGCTGTGGCCCGAGAGTGCAGTGGAGGATGGCCCAAATGCTTGGGTCCTGCACCCACATGGGAGACCAGGAGAAGCACCTGGCTCCAGGCTTCGGATCAGCGCAGTGTGCCAGCCGCAGCGCGCCGGCCGCAGTGGCCATTAGAGGGTGAACCAACGGCAAAGGAAGACCTTTCTCTCTGTCTCTCTCTCTCACTGTCCACTCTGCCTGTCAAAAAGAAAGAAATTAACCATGTCAAAATATGGTGATGAAAATATGAAGCCAAATATGTAATGTGATGCTTTTGCTTTTTCATCAACACATTAGACAAAAATACTTACTGTGAGTGTAGTAACTAGCTATGGGTATAATATCTACTTTAATTTCCAAGAGTGATTAGCATAAATATTTCAAAATATCGGCAACAACTCTCATAGTAGATGAAGATATTTGTAATTTCTATTGCTGAAAAAATCATGTGTGTTAATACTGCTATAATCTATTGTGTATACTTATAATGAAATGAAATGCTGTATTTCAGTTAGAAGTTAATGAAAATAAGGATGTTTTCATTGATACCACGTTAAGTATACTTGGTTTAAGACAACCTAAATTTCCTGATAAATTATCACATTATCCTTTTGCTGACTAGTTAACTTACAGAAGTATTGATTATAACTTGTAGATGAAAGGTTAAGAATAAACTATACGTATTTTGGAAATTTTTCTAAGAAACTGAAAGCAATAACTTCCTAAAAATATATTGGACATTTTTGTTGTCAGCCAGTTGATTGTCTTTTGTAGACTCAAATCTCACTTGTATAGTAACTCCTTGTTTTGATCAGGTTCTAACTAAATTGTCCCTTAAGAAAGAATAATAAAAGTAGTAGCATTGTTAAAAAAAATTCCCAGAAGCCATGAAAACAAATAATAATATTATTATTATGAGAAAAATTTTCCTATAGCCAATTATTTTTAATGCAAAGCAAAAAAAAAGGATAAAATGTTTTTTCTAAACTGGAATTTGAACACAAGAAAAGGGACTGAGGATGAGATAATTAAGATTAAAATACATGTACCCTTCTAGTCACAAGAATGTACAGAGAATTGTGAAAACAAAGATGCCATTTTTGTTGTCTCCAGAAAATAGGAACTCAAGAAGTGGTCAGCCAGTAGTGTTTATGCCTTCTTTACATCGTACAACTGGCTGGTATTCCCATACAAGGAGGTGTAGGCAGTCATATCAGAGAATAAACACTGTTTCAGGAGACAGGCATTCCATAAAGTAGTTTTGTGTCATTGAAATTGCTTGTTATTAAAAAGACATTATAGTCTTTCAGACAATGCATATTGACTGCCCTCTATGGCAAAGCATTTGAGTAGCCATTATGGACAACATAGGCACTCCTGTGTGTCTTCTTAGAAATTTACACAGATAAAATTCAGAATTATATGTCATCTGTATACTTTAGGTACCAGGCTGCCTAGGTAATGTCTATAAATATTTGGCATTATCTCATTTTCAGGCTGTTTACAAGGCTGATCTTGAGTGGCTCAGAGGCATTGGCTGGGTTCCCATTGGCTCTGTAGAGGTTGAGAAGGTGAAACGAGCCGGAGAAATCCTGAGTGACAGGAAGTATCGCCAGCCTGCAGACAAGCTCAAATTCACAAGCATTACAGACACCCCAGAAATTGTTCTGGCCAAGAGTAATGCCCTGACAATGAGCAAGGTGAGTCTCCCATGGCCAGGGTTGTACCTTTCACAGCCTGACTCATAAAGTGGAACGTGCTCTGAGGAAAAGGCCTGATCCACCTGTAGGCATCCAGCAGGACATCTGCTTGGACCGGGGTGTCCTCTGTGCTCTTCCCGACATGTGCTCCCCCATTCCTGCATGCACATGGAAGCCTGGGATTTCCTTGGAGTAATGCACACACCCTCCTGAGCTATGACCTGAATACATCACAAATGCTTTACCTGCACCTTCTCCCTGACAGAGCAGACCTTCTGTTCTTTATCCAACCATTAAGGAACATAAGCCATTTAGTACTTCATTCTGAAGACTGGGAAACATGCAGTGTTTGATAGCAGTGCCGGGACAAGCTCAGATTAGCTGCTTGGTTTGCTCTTCCACCATAGGCTGTGGAAATCCACTTCTAAATGTGAGCTGCATGGCCGGCACCGCGGCTCAATAGTCTAATCCTCCGCCTGCGGCGCCAGCACCCTAGGTTCTAGTCCCGGTTGGAGCTCCAGATTCTGTCCCGGTTGCCCCTCTTCCAGGCCAGCTCTCTGCTATGGCCCGGGAGTGCAGTGGAGGATGGCCCAAGTCCTTGGGCCCTGCACCCCATGGGAGACCAGGAGAAGCACCTGGCTCCTGCCTTCGGATCAGCGCAATGCGCTGGCCGCAGTGCACCGGCCTCAGCAGCCATTGGAGGGTGAACCAACGGCAAAGGAAGACCTTTCTCTCTGTCTCTCTCTCTCACTGTCCACTCTGCCTGTCAAAAAAAAAAATTAAAAAATTAAAAATGTGAGCTGCTATCTCCATTTTCAGTTTAATTAGATGATCGTTTCTTTCCTGCAGAGTTCTAACAGTCTGTCTGTGCCTCATCCAGCAGGTACACCCTTAATCCTCATATTTTAGGTTGAATTGAAGTTAACTGGGTTCTCCTGCACCTACCTGGACACCTTCAAATTATTCATTGTGAGAGCAACTGTTCAGCTCGGAATATGAAATTGGCTCTCAGAAAACTCCAGAGTATGGAGTAGAAAGCTTTAGAAACTGTGTTTTATACCATGCATGTCACAGCAACACATTAATAACAATTGAATATAGTACAGAAATTCTTGAGTACTTACTATGACTCAGCCATTTTACATATATTGTGGTTAATCTTCAAAAAATACTCAATAGAAAGATAGGATTATCCCTAAGAAATGAGGTGTGGGAGGAGTTGTATACTTTTCTCATGATCATACAGCTTTGAAAAAAGTGTAGCTGTGTTTGACCTTGGGATTCTGAAGTCTGGAGATTTCTACAGTATCACAGTCTGTAAACAATCTCTGTCTTGGGAGGTCCTACAAGTAAGCTTGCGATTCACTGGAAGAAAATAGTAACTGAGATCCTTCTATTGCTTCATATTAGCTAGGAAACCATCATACACCTGTTTAAATGTTGTCATATTTTATTCTACCTTTTTGCTCCCCTCACTTCCAAAAAGCCTTAAGAGGATCTGCTTTATAGTTAAATGTGAGTTACATTTGATAATAACTGTAATGTTAGTGGCCTTAACAAAAGATTTTATACCTGCCTCTCCTTCCCTCCTCCCACAGCATTTATACACAGAAGCTTGGGATGCTGACAAAACCTCTATCCATGTGATGCCAGACACCCCGGAAATCTTGTTGGCCAAGAGCAATTCTGCCAATATCAGCCAAGTAAGAGATTACCTGATTGTCATTTTAAGTCTTTTTAGAAATAGTTCAAATGCTTTTTCCCAGCTTAACATTTCTGTTTTGAAACTGACCTATTGGCTTTCTAAAACGCATTTATTTTCTGTTGTGTATTGTCATCCACCTAGAAACTTTACACCAAGGGATGGGATGAGTCAAAGATGAAGGACTACGACCTAAAAGCAGATGCTATTCCCATCAAAAGTGCCAAGGCCTCCAGGGACATCGCCAGTGATGTGAGTGCCTTCCATGGAACTCCTCTTGGTCTCCACCGTGCTGAACAATGCATGGCGTGGTTGGTAGACCACACTTTGTGATTGCTTCCATGTATATTTCCCTACTCTCACTTCTTGCTTTCCAAGTCCTAACCCATGATTGTCACAGAAAAGTAAAATACATTTTAGAATTAGAATTTCTGCATGGAAGGGTGTCTCTAAGGTAGATACATGATTTCATGACAGTTATTTTTATGGTATAAAATGCTAATATAAAAGTATTCAGAGATGTCAAATGTTTAAAGTGTGAACTTCTTACTTCTAGTTGTCTGTAATTGTCAGCATAAGCATGGTCCTAAAACTGGATTTCTAACACTGTATTTATGGCATTTTAGTACAAATACAAAGAAGCATACGAGAAACAGAAGGGCCACCACATTGGAGCTCAGAGCATTGAAGATGATCCCAAGATCATGTGTGCCATCCATGCGGGGAAGATTCAAAGTGAAAGGGAGTACAAGAAGGAATTCCAGAAGTGGAAGACCAAATTCACTAGTCCAGTGGACATGTTAGGCATCGTGCTGGCCAAAACATGTCAGACTCTGGTCAGTGATGTTGATTATCGCAATTACCTGCATAACTGGACATGCTTGCCAGATCAAAATGACATTATCCAAGCAAAGAAGGCCTACGAACTGCAAAGTGATGTAAGTCACATGAACTCTGGGGAAGGGAGGTTGGGAAGACAAAGGTCTGTTAAGAGTTCAGTCAGTGCCTTTGTGGACAGACCACAGGTTGTATGCTATACAACCCTAGAAGGGGGCAGGGCATTCACATTGTTTAACACAAACCCTATATTTAGGAGTTAAGTCCCAGGACACAGAAAATAGAGGTCACATCCTTTATTCCCTAGACTAGATTCAAAACTAATTTTTTTAAGATTTATTTATTTATTCATTTGAAAAGCAGAGTTACAGAGAGGCAGAGGCAGATGCAAAGGGGGGGGGGGGGTGTCCTCCATCTACTGGTTCACTCCCCAGATGGCTGCAACAGGCAGAATTGTGCTGATCCGAAGCCAGGAGCTTCTTTTGGGTCTCCCATGCGGATGCAGGGACCCAAGGACTTGGGCCATCTTCTACTATGTTCCCAGGCCATAGCAGAGAGCTGAATGGAAAATGGAGCAGCAGAGACTCAAACTAGCAACAATATGGGATGTGGGCACTGCAGGTGGTGGCTTCACCCACTGTGCCACAGTGCCAGCCCCACAAACTATTTTCTTCATTGCAACTTCTGACAATGAAAATATATTTCAGATAAATGTATATCATCTGAATATTTTTAAAAGATTCATTTATTGGAAAGAATAGTAATTCTGTCTTTGAAAGAGATTGAGACAGAGAGGTCTTTCATCTGCTGGTTCACTCCCCAAATGGCTGCAACAGCCGGAGCTGAGCCAATTTGAAGCCAAGAGGCAGGAGTTTCTTCCCAATATCCCCTACTTGACCATCCTCCACTGCTTTCCCAGTAGCATTAGCAGGGAGCTGGATCAGAAGTGGAGCAGCTGAGACTCAAGCTGGAGCCCATATGGGATGCCAGTGCTGCGAGCCGGGGCTTTAACCTGCTGCACCACAGTGCTGGCCCCTATCATCTGAGTATTTTTAAAATCATTCCCACTGTTATGTTAGATCCAAAGCTGCAATAATATTTCTTTGGGTCACTTATGACAGGATTCAAACTGGTTAAGATTCAATAAAATTTCCCTTAAACAGTTTCCATGACTAATTTTTTTGAAATATCAAATAATTTATCATAGAATACAGCATTATTACTATTATTACTCATGGGCAGTATTAATAATTATGCTGTTTCAAAGCACTTTTCCATGAATGTTAAAGATCCTGAATTGTGTAAGATCGCAGGTCTTAACTCGTGTGGAAGCACCATCTCCCGTGTACTGTACCTGTCAGCTAGTGGGTGGGATGGTTAACATCTGGAACAATCTCTGTGTCTCACACCTTTGTAGAATGTGTATAAAGCTGACCTGGAGTGGCTGCGTGGCATTGGGTGGATGCCGGAAGGCTCCGTGGAAATGAACAGAGTGAAGGGAGCTCAGGACCTCCTGAATGAGAGACGCTACAGAACGCGACCGGAGGCCGTGAAATTCACTAGCATCGTTGACACTCCAGCAGTTGTCCTGGCAAAAGCCAATTCTCTGCAAATGAGTGAGGCAAGAACCCTCTTACAACTAAGCTTTCATCTTTCTAGATTCTGTTTTCAGATAGTGCCACCAGCTTGAGCACGCAGACTGCTCTCTTCAAAGGAGTCTAGAGATGGCAGCAACTCTCGACGCTTGCCTGGCTTAGTGAAAGTGCGTGCGAGTGGGACTCCCACAGCAGTCAATGTGCCACTCACTCGGAAGCCCTAAAGTAAAAAGTGTTCCTCCATGGCAATTCAGAGAATCAATATTTGATTCCTATTAATACTAAGACATGTAGCATCATGTTTCATGATAAATGGACAATAATATATTAGGATTCTCTAGACAAACAGAACTGAGATACATATATGCATACAAATAGAAACACACATATGTACATGCAAAAATACTTTAAGAAGTTTGTGGGAAATGGCATCAAAAGATGTATATTTTGGTGTAAAGAATTCTGCAATCTAGGCATATTTTCATAACACACATTTTACATGAGCTTCTGAAAGTACCCTTGGCGGGGGGGCGTGTGTGAGAGAGAGAGAGAGAAAGTGGCTCATGTAAGTGTGCAGGCTGACGAGCCTAAAATTTGCAGGGTAGGCCAGCAGGCTGAAGAGCCACAAAACAGTTGTGGTTCCTGCCCGAAGGCAGGAAGCTAGGAGAATTCCTTCTTGCTTAGAAAGTCAGTCTATCCAGTTTGTCAATTGATTGGGAGAGGCCCACCCACATTACAAGGATACTTTGCTTTACTCAAAGTCTAGGGATATAAATGTTAATCTCATCTGAAAAATACATTCACAGAAACATTCAGAACAATGTTTGACCATAGATTTAAGTGCCATGGCCTAGCCAAGGTGACACACAAAATTTAGCCATCACAAACATATATAGAAGCATTTGTCCAGATAATAGAGGCTTACTATTTCAGATTCCCATTCAATTCCTGAATTAAAATAGTGTTTCCCTTCCTTCCACAGAGGCTGTATCAAGAGGCCTGGAACAAAGACAAAACCAACATCAGCATTCCTTCAGATACGCCAGTCATGCTGCAGGCCCAAATCAATGCTATGCAAATCAGCAATGTAAGAGGCATAAATATGGAATATAAAAGCTTTTATAGGATAATATCTGTCAGTTTGTGGAATAGGTTATCATGGACAAATCATCTACCGTAGAAATGTTCATAGCTTTTGATTTTACATATTTTCTATTTAGCTACCATTCCCAAAGTAAAGAAACACAAATTGTCTCTTTTAAACATCAGTTCAGATACATGCTGAGTGCCTATACTGCAGGAGTTAGGACACCTGAATGCTATTGGTATTCCTTCAATCTTGAAATCATTGAAGCCCTAGTCCATTGTCTATTGTCTTCTTAGGTCTTTTGATTGATCTTAGGACTCTCTTGATTGACATTTCAAGGCCATAATAAAGCCAAAAGAAAAGTTTTAATTACATTCAAAGGACAAGAAATGTATGATTTTTTAAAAAGGCAGAGTCAGAAAGAGAGAGAGGGAGAAAGGTCTTCTATCCACTGGTTCACTCCCCAAATGGCTGCAACAGCTGGAGTTGAGCTGATCCAAAGCCAGGAGTCTTTTCTGGGTCTCCCATGTGGTGCAGGGGCCTAAGGACTTGGACCATCTTTTGCTTTCCAGGCCACAGCAGAGAGCTGGATCAGAAGTGGAGCAGCTAGGATTCAAACTGGCACCCATGTGGAATGCCGGTACTGCAGGTAGTGGCTTTACCCACCATGCCACAGTGCCGGTCCCAAATGTATGATTTAAAAAAAAAAAAAGATTTATTTGTTTATTTGAAAATCAAACTTATGGAGAGTGAGGGTGTTACACAGATTTTTCCATCTTCACTCCCCAGATAGCCACAATGGCCAGGGTTGGGCCGGGCTAAAGCCAAGAGCCAGGAGTTTCTTCCAGGTCTTCTACATGGGTGGCAGGGGTCCAAGCACTGTGGGACATCTCCTACAGCTTTCCCAGGCACACTTGCAGAGAACTGAATTGGAAGTGGAGCAACTGGGACTCAAACCAGTGCCCATAAGGGATGCCAGCATGGCAGGAGACAGTTTTACCTGCTACACCACAATGCCAGCCCTAAAATGTATGATTTCTGTGTCACATTTCTTTATCAGAAATCTCTTGAAAGTCAAAGGGCAAAATTAGGAAAAATTCTTATCAGGTCTTATCTGAATATTGATGAGGTTTATCTGGCTTCACCATTGACTCTTAAATTCCAGAATTATGTGATAGAATACTTTCAAATGTATATTGGGCTGAATGTAAGTATTTATACATTGATACAGTTAAATGCTTCACTTTAAATTTTTTATCAGAAATATCTAGTACTCTAAACAGCCCACAATCAAAAGAACTCAGAAATGAATTCTTTTTTATTATTCTGTGTTCATTATAGTATGCCCTATTATTTATGACTATTTTGCTTATTTTCAACACTAGTAAACAAATGTGTTTTCCCTCAATAGAAACTCTACCAGAAAGATTGGGACGAGGCCAAGCAGAAAGGCTACGACATACGAGCGGATGCCATTGAAATCAAACACGCCAAAGCCTCCAGAGAAATTGCCAGTGAGGTATATACGTCCTTCTTTATTCTTGTGATTTTTCTCTTCTATAACACAAAGAGGGGGACTATTTTTCAAGAACTTTGATTTTTTTTCAAATCTATGTATACAAATGTGTTTCATTTTGTGCTAAAGAATTTATTTAAAAATACTAAAATAGGATAAAAAACATTAAGGTTACCATGGATGAAATATGTATGTAACTCTTGCAGTGGTTCTAAGTGGAAACAAACATCATTAACATGCTATACAAAGTTCTTGAGAAAAATTCAGGGACCAACACAATGTCATTTGTCTCCAAAATATTTTTTATAAGCTCTACAAATGTAAGTCACATGATGGTTTCATATATAAGTTTTAAGATTGAAACCACACATTCTGTAAGAGATTTTATACCAAAGACTGATGTATAATACTGTTATAAAACCTTTAAAATTCATGTAATACTAATTTAAAACATACAAACACCCAAAATAATTATCCTACCAAGTCTGCCCTCAAGCCCAGCTATCAGCTTTTAGCTGTCTTGTTGCCTTTCTCCGGTGCTTCTCTATTTTCTATCTCAAGTATCCACCTGTATTTTTCCTTTTTGTTGCCAGTTTTACATCTAATAACCATAGCTTATCCCACAGTATCACCTTGTACCCGATTTTTTCTCTCTCCCTTCAAACCTAACTTTCCTATGTTGTTCAAACGTAAGAGACAGACCGTCTTCCTCTGGTCTTAGGACACTCATCACAGAAAAATTCTCATCCACAGATGATGACTGTGTTGTTGTCATCTTGTGATTCAAGCCTACAACCTTTGTCTCCCTGAAACATGCTTCTCTTTTGTCTGTCTCCAAAAGTACATCCGTGACCTTCCTGTAGCTGAGGTACCTTCAGTACTCTTGGGAGATTGTCTGCTCTAATGATCCATTTGCCAGGCAACCTTGGTGATGTGGTTACCTTCACTGTGCCTTATTTTCCCTATCTGAAATACATGACTACAATAGTATCTATCTCATGGAAATCTTATAAGGGTTAACTGTGATTGTAATCCTTACTTCTCAACTAATTTTTAGTGAAAAGCTCATCTCTTAAATGTGGATCAAACTCACACATTTGAAGCTCTTTTAATGGTGTCCAGCAGAAGGTAATTTCTCAGCAAATGTTAGCTACTATGGTAGTTTTTATTATTAATCTTATTCACCTCACTATTTCCCTCCTCATTTACTCATGTCCTCCATGGAACCTCCTAAAAGAGTCCTATATAATGTCTCTAAAGAGAACTGAAATAGTCAATGAATGCCCATATTGAGCCAGTTTACATTAAGGCCACAAAAACATTCTGAAGTCACTTAAAGAAAAATCCTCCTAATGCATTGTTTTCATGTGTCTTTTTATCTGATTTTTCTCAACCTCAGTACAAATACAAAGAAGGCTACCGTAAGCAGCTGGGACACCACGTGGGTTTCCGCAGCCTGCAAGATGACCCCAAGCTGGTGTGGTCTATACATGCTGCCAAGATCCAGAGTGACAGAGAATACAAGAAGGCCTATGAGAAGTCTAAGTCCATTTACAATACACCATTGGACATGATGTCAATTGTTCAAGCCAAGAAATGCCAGGTCCTGGTTAGCGACGTTGATTATCGCAATTATCTGCACCAGTGGACGTGTCTGCCAGATCAGAATGATGTGATCCAGGCTAAGAAAGCCTACGAACTACAGAGCGATGTGCGTATATTCTCTCGGGGGCGGCGGGGGGGGGGGGGTTGCGGTTGTATGTTTAATCACAGTGTGTTCCCTGGAGGCATAATTTAAATGGTAATCGCAATAGAACCTAACATATTCTGTACAGTTTGTGGTAGAAGAGCTTTTCTCAGACATTTTCTATCTTACAGAGGCATCCTTCTTAGTAAACCTTACTGAGATGAAAATAGGTCTGTTATTCTGTGTAATTACGGAGAAAACTTCAGCCCCAGATGTTCTGACTCATTACCTTTGGTTAGATATGTAAGTTTCAGGAATAGGTGTAAGCATAAGGAAATGTTGGACTTCAAAGCTGTCTGACTCAGAAAAAGAAAGAGGTATAGGTACACATTTTTTCCCTCATTACATATACATCTAAGGATCTTTTTCTCCTAAATTCCTACAGATGTTATTCCCAAGGATACATAGAAGGCAGACTTCAAGTGGTGAGCATAGAAGCTCAACTCAGTATAAAAAACAAAATTATGTGCTAAGTCTCTGCTGATCCAACAAGTGCCACCCATGAGCCCTGTTCCAATTTCTGTAGGATACTGTGACCTTCTCCCAGAGATGTGTGCCAGAGACATAGCACCCAAACATTAACACTTAATTTTGTCCTTGAGTTTTGTGGGATTGGCTAGCCAGCTGATTTAAATAAGGGTGCTGTGTGGTTTGCAAGGATCACATTCTTGCAGGCAAATTTGATTTTCTCCCACTGTGTCTCTCATTCGTGTAGAATGTATACAAATCGGACCTGGAGTGGATGAAGGGTATTGGATGGTTGACAGAGGGTTCTGTGGATGTGATGAGAGTGAAGAATGCCCAGAATCTCCTGAATGAAAGGCTGTACCGTACAAAGCCTGAGGCTCTCAAATTCACCAGCATTGTTGATACCCCGGAAATGATCCAGGCAAAAATCAATGCTGTACAGATCAGTGAGGTAAGCTGAGTGGATGGTGTTTTCAGACCAGTGGAAGAAATCTCAGTCAAGAACTTTCAATGTGAACTGTAGTATCAGCATCAGGATCCTGAACATGTGTGTATCCAGAGAGCTTCACTGACTCTGTCAGTTAGTAGTCTATGCATACTACTTGCTTTGATACAGCTTTGGTCAGTACTGCTGTGGTGGGCACCTTCATGTACCACAGATTTGGATACCCTCTTTGATCTCATTTTGAGACACAGACTGTCATTCAGGCCCAACACTTAATATCATAAATCACAAAATTGCCGCTTATTCAATCATGAAATAGGGCAACCCCAACATTAGACATTTTGACATTATTTGGTCCAAGAAAACTAGGTTATTTGCAAGGTGAATTTACCTGCCAGATAATTAGTTGTGAAAGAATAAAAAAGGATTAATCTTATCCCCATGCTTCTGACACATTTAAAATTTATATGGTATCACATGTGAATGTATTCTTTAAAGTCATTATTGGCATTGTAAAAGAAACACAATAAAGACCAAATGTTATCTACATTTATATTAGAGAACATGCTTGGAGAACTTTTCACTTTACTTATGATTGTGTTCATGTAATAGTAGATTTCTCTACTAATCAAACGTCCCATTGTTTTTCACTTTACCAGCCATTGTACCGCGATGCCTGGGACAAAGAGAAGGCTAATGTGAATGTGCCAGCTGACACTCCGCTGATGCTGCAGTCCAAACTCAATGCTATACAGATCAGCAATGTAAGACACTACACATTGATTTGCTTTGCAGAGTGCTCTCGGCCTAACCAAACCTTTTATCAATATACTCCATAAAGAGTCTGGCAGATGGCCTTTTCCTATCATTCCTTTTATTTCTAATCTTTAAGCTAATGGGAAACATAAAATGTGTATGTATTTATAATACTGAGATGTGTATTTCTATCTTTGTTGGAAGGAAATATGCAGTGGTTTCTCTAAGAACACAGCATAAAACTTATGGATGAGGTTGATATTTAGTTCTCCTTTTTAGTGTGAACATCGTGTTGCCTTTTCCCTTTCAAAACCAAACATCTGTTTGTTTTTTAATCTGGTTTGTACATGATTTACTCTCTTCTAAATTTGCTTCTTCAAAAAAAAGTATCAGGAGAGGGCTTTACTAAAATTTGTTAAGGATCTATTTGGATCTGAGGTCAACAAGAATTCAGCTTATTTTATAAATCTTACAGCAAAATTAGTGTTTAATGTAACTGATCTAGTCTTGAGCACATTAGTAATGCTGACCCGATAGCTCCCTCTTCAGAGTGACTGTGGCATTGCAACCTCCTTTTGCAGAAACACTACCAGCAAGCTTGGGAAGACATGAAGATGACTGGTTACGACTTGCGAGCAGATGCCATTGGGATCCAGCATGCCAAGGCCTCGAGGGATATTGCCAGTGATGTAAGAGCTCCTCCTTGCCTAGCCTTAATAACCACTAGCTGGTAGACACTCAGTGAGTTTACCTTCATTCCCACAAAATTATATTCAAATAGAAGGCAGATCACTGTTTTTCAGTATGGTGTTTTAAGATCCCAGATACAAAAGCAGTTCTTACAACTTGAAGATTCACCTACACTTCTCTCTGCAATTCTTATGTATAAGCACATGTTTTTAAATTTACTTTTCAGTATCAAAGCCAGGTAATATACAAGTACTTAGAGAAATTTAATGTGTACAGAGAATTCTGTTCTTACTCAAAGTGTGGCATGCATGCTGCTGGTGGTTCTTGTGATAAGTTTATGCAACAAAGGACAACTATTTTTTAAAAGTTACATGGTTGGATAAAATGTGTGCTAGAAAAAAATACTAGTTCTTCTCAGGTAGGTTATAATTTTTAAACTAAAAATGTTAAATAAGTTTGCAACTTAAAATACATTTATATAAACAAAGAATTAATTTTATTTAAAGTAATATGAAACACAAGCAGGACTTTTTTGTGACAAAACATCTCAGGATGATACACGGTGACTAAAGTTTGGGAAACACTGGACAAGGTTAAATTGTGAGAAACTACAGAAGCATAGTTGTGGCCTTGGGAGTTCTCACAATGTTTTCACGAACAGGGATGTAGAAGACCAACAGAAATGTAAAGGAGTATAAAAGTTAGAGTGTGAAATTTAAAGAAAAATGGGATAAACAATTCTGAGATAGAATCATCTTGAGTAGGCTCTCTGGAAAAAGCGAGTTTAGAAAAACTACTCTTCCTTCTCCTTTTCACCTCTACCAGTATCTGTACAAAACTACTTATGAGAAACAGAAAGGCCATTACATCGGATGTCGCAGTGCCAAGGAAGACCCTAAACTGGTTTGGGCTGCAAAGGTGTTGAAGATGCAGAATGACAGGCTGTACAAAAAGACCTACAATGACCACAAGGCCAAGATCACCATCCCAGCAGACATGGTGTCCATCAATGCTGCCAAAGAAGGCCAGGCATTAGCAAGCAATGTGGACTATCGCCAGTACCTGCACCAGTGGTCCTGCTTCCCTGACCAGAATGACATTATCCAAGCAAGGAAGGCCTACGACCTGCAGAGCGATGTAAGTGCACCCCCTTGGGAAGGAAGTCTGCCGTGGCTTGGCCTATTTGACTTCACTGCTCTGGAGAGCACAACGCCTCCCTCCATAGGCCTTTCACTTCAGCATTTTCCAGAATGTGTGAAGCGCCTACCTTACTGCCAGATTTGTTCAGAAGGGTTTATTTTCATTGTTAAATACACGACTAGAATTTTTACGTAGATTTATTGATATGTGCAGGGTTTGTATTTTATTAAACATACGAATGTTTGTATTGAAGAAAGACAGGGCTGTCTTCATTGGAGTTATTCTCAAAGGTTAGCAGGATATGGGCAATTCATTTGTTCTCCTTAATTTGGTGTCCCTCACAACATGATGTTTCATTAATTTATCTAAGGCATTTTTAGATTTATTTATATTTTATGCACATTCAATCTTTTGGAAATAATGGACTCCATAAGGTTATTTATTTCTTGTGTAGAATGGAAACTTTCTTTTAATTACATGAATTGGTTTCCTTACACTTTCCTTACACTTTTTCATGATGAATGGGTTTTTTGGAGCAAAGTATACTCATCACTTAAAATGAAGTTGCTACATGGTGGATTTAGGCCAGTTTCTAGAGAACTGGAGTCCGTTCACATGAACCACATTTATACATGCATACCAACCAAAATCCTAAAGAACAAAGAAGGAAAACTTCAGAATCTGTATGTATATAATATTCTTTGAGAATACCTTCCTCTGAATTTTGGGTACCCGTCAACGTTTAAACACAAAAGCAGATAATGTAAATCTTTATAAAGTAGACATTTTCCAACATTTTTCATACTCTACCACCATTTTATGCTTATATCTGTATGCTATAAACTATATACTAAAATTCCATTTTTCAGCAACATGACAACTTTTTAAAGTGTTTGTTTTCATTTATTGGAAAGGTAGAATGAGAAGAGAGACAAAGATTTTCCATCTCATAGTTTCCCCCAACGCCTCCCCGAATGCCCACATCAGGGCTGGGCCAGCCTGAAGCTGAGATTCTGGAATTCCATCTAGGTCTCCCACATGAGTGGCAGAGGCCAAGCACTTGAGCCAGCTCCTGTTGCTTCCCGGGATGTATTAGCAGGAAGCTAGATTAGAAGCAGGGGAACTTGTCTTTGAACCAGCACACCCGTATTGTGTGCAGGCAACCCGATTTATGCCTGAACCCACTGCCTACTCCCATTATGACTGTTTATAAAATTAATCACTAGTATTTAATATAGAGCAATTTTAGTGGCTGAAAAAGAGTGGTTCATGATGCTATGAAAACAGAGATCAAGAAAATTCTTCAGAAAAGTGTGGATTTCTTGGGGATGTAAAGGGGGAGGAGAGCAGAGAGAGGTTCTTGCAGGATGAGCAACATATGCAAAGGGTCTGATGTGACCCACAGACTGGCAGCCAGCGTGAGCAGAGAATGCAAGGCCAAGGAAGCACACGTGCCACAAGGCTGGGACAATCGGTGCGGACTGGTGCCAACCCTCTGCCCCCCTAGTCTATGTTAAGGATTTTGATCTTTGTCCCAAGAACAATGAGAAGCCATAGGACAGGGGAAATGTTGTAACATCAAATTTGAATTATGCATTTTGGAAATATCCTTCTGCCTGTTGTGTAGCAAACTTACTTGGGAGCCCATTGTTCCTGCTTTAAAAGTCTACATCAGCTGATATGATGATTGCCTAAATATTATTTTAAAAAGTTCTTTGAAGCACACCTACTCCCATAGGGAGAGCTGCTTCTGTATCACTGTGCTTTTCAGGATGGACGTAAGCACCCAGCACAGACCCACTGCCACCAAAAAGGAAGCCAAACAGCACACTGCTGGGCCCAGGGCGAGCAGGAGAGTGTGGCCAGGGCTCTGTTGTTAATGATTATCTGCAGAAGACAATGTATGTAACACACAACCTGGTTCCTCACGTACATCTCGTCTCACACACCAACCATATTCTGCCTTGCTTTGTCTTTCATCCCAGGCCATCTATAAGGCTGACTTGGAGTGGTTGCGTGGCATTGGCTGGATGCCTGAAGGCTCCCCTGAAGTGCTGAGAGTCAAAAACGCCCAGGAGATCCTGAGTGACAATGTGTACCGGACACCTGTGGTGAATCTCAAGTACACCAGCATTGTCGACACACCTGAAGTTGTCCTTGCTAAATCCAATGCTGAAAACATTAGCATTGTAAGTCACTTTTCCTCTCTATGAAATTTGAAGTAGTGCTGTAAGTAAATAATAATTAACCTGGTCAACCATTTCTAGGATAATAATGTTGGTAATAAAAATTTTAATGAATCTTGAAGATAGCATGGTTTTGCTTTTGCTAATGAAGTTTAAACAAAAGCTCAAAGGATTAGTAAAAGTGTTAATACAGACTTCATATCAAATGTGAGTAATTTGTATGAAAAGATTTTAGAAATCTTTGCCTTCATGTGCAAAGATTTTGGGTGAGAGCTGAAAGAAAAATTAAAAGTTGTGCTCCTCGACTTGCAGAATTACAAATTGTGAAGTCATTTTATTATTTGTTCTTCCCACAGCCAAAGTACAGAGAAGTTTGGGACAAAGATAAAACTTCAATCCACATAATGCCAGATACTCCAGAAATTAATCTCGCCAGAGCAAACGCTCTTAACGTGAGCAATGTAAGTATCAGAGTAGACTCTGATTTGTTGGAAAAATCATCTGATCAGTACTGTAATTCCAGCCTCATATGATCCTGGAACTTTTCATAGCCAAGCGTGAGAAAATTGGCCGCGTGTGGGTGGGGAGGGTGCGTCATTAGTCTGTGAGCAGGAGTGAGAAGAGCAGCAGGTTCCTGGCTTGTGTCCTTGGACTGGGCCAGTTACAGTGAACCAAAGTCACAATGATGACAGGGAAAGGGGCGTAAGCAAAAACAAGATGAAAGAGAAATGAAGAGATGCAGAAAGAAGAAAGGAGTATTCGTGGCAGATTCAGACGAACTTGGGGTTTCTTGTACTCACAGATTTTCTAGGAAATTATGTTACCGAAATTGACCACAGAATAACACTGAAAGCACACAGCAGGAAGTCAAGAAGGTTATTGAACACTCTCATTTCTCCACTCCAATGCAAGTCCCCCTGATGATTTCACAGGAAAACTCTTTTAAAAGTTCAAGAAGTAGCTAAATCTCTACGGAGACTCATGAAAGACGGAAAGTCATCGCAGTAATCAAAACCTGGCAAAGATAGTTCCATAAATGAAAGCAGTAGGCTCATGATGGGAAAATTGGAAGTATTAACAAATTGGATTCAGCAGTACATTCAAATAACATGACACGCACAGCTGCTGCTCATACAGAGTCTCAAAGGGTTTCACATTCAAAAACTTAGTAATGTACTAGGACAGAAGAGGAAAATCATGTGCTTATTTTGTCAGATTTAGAAAGCGTGTCACCTTATTCAATACCCATTCTTATCCTTTTTAAAAAGATTTATTTATTTATTTGAAAGGCAGGGTTACAGAGAGAGAGAGAGGGAGGGAGGGAAGGAGATCTTCTATCCACTGGTTCACTCCCCAAATGACTGCAATGGCCAGGGCTGAGCCAGGACAAAGCCAGGAGCTTCTTCTGGGTCTCCCATGTAGGTGCAGGGTCTCAAGCACTTGGACCATCTTCTGCTTTCTCCAAGCCATTAGCAGGGAGCTGGATGGGAAGTGGTGCAGCCGGGACTTGAACCCGAACCTATATGGGATGCTGGCATTGCAGGCAGTGGCTTTACCCACTGTGCCACAGCACTGGTCCCATACTGATGCTTATATTTTATTTTAAAGAATAATATTAATAAAAATAATTAAAATTTTCTGGGCATGACAGAAACATAAATCTCAAACGGCCACTCATCCTTGGTCAGTGAGCTTCTCATTCAGTCCAGGGTTGAGAGGAGGGTGCCCAGGAAACCTTTGCAGAAGGTACTGATGGAGGAAAGTTCTCGCTGGTAATGCTGGGACTGTGGAAGATTAACAATGAGAGATGAATATTGGAAAGAAAGAGACACAACTGTCCTTGTTTGGCAAAAGAAACAATTTTAACCCTGGACAAAGCAAGTGAATCAACCAAAAAAAAATCAGTTAGTTAATAAAGAGAATTCAGTGATGCGACTGTCTACACATGTTAAGAAAGCTCAAGGAAGCACCATCGTCATGGATCACCAAGATTGCTCGCGTGTGAAAGAAGCAGGGCCTCCAAGGAATGGCTCTGCCTCAGTGCGAGTCTCCAGCTTAGCATCCTTTCAGCAGAATAATGAAGCTTTGTGGGCAAACAAGTCTCATCATGGGCCAAACTTCTCTGTCAATTCTACTGTAATGAGCCACTTGGGAAATAAGTTCCTTCAGTGTTTGGGAAGAAAATACAACTATAGAACATTGATTTTTTTTTTTTTTTGGTGGTGGTGGAGGGACTAGGATTAGTGTCATGGTGTAGTGCATTCTTAAGTGGCTGAATTGAAAGGCAGTCAGTTCTTCATTACAGAATAGACTTCTCTTCCATTCAATCCACACATTGTTGGCAGGAGAATTCTAGAAAACCTTATAAGCTCTCTTTGTGTGACAAATTTCTCAGCTGAAAAGAATCTTTTTTTTTTTTTTTTTTTTTTTTTTTTTTTTTTTTTTGACAGGCAGAGTGGACAGTGAGAGAGAGAGACAGAGAGAGAAAGGTCTTCCTTTGCCGTTGGTTCACCCTCCAATGGCCGCCGCTGCAGCCGGCGCACCGCGCTGATCCTGGCAGGAGCCAGGAGCCAGGTGCTTTTCCTGGTCTCCCATGGGGTGCAGGGCCCAAGCACCTGGGCCATCCTCCACTGCACTCCCTGGCCATAGCAGAGAGCTGGCCTGGAAGAGGGGCAACCGGGACAGAATCCGGCGCCCCAACCGGGACTAGAACCCGGTGTGCCGGCGCCGCAAGGTGGAGGATTAGCCTATTGAGCCACGGCGCCGGCTCTGAAAAGAATCTTACTATTGATGTTATGAGATGAGCAAGGCTACTATTCCAAACTATGCCAAGAGTAGCTAACTTCAGATATTTAGGTTTTCATGAGAACAGTTTGCATTTTCGAAGAGACCAAACATCTCAAATGAATGCTAACCAAAATTTGCAGACATTTTCTTTACACACATGGTATCACCATTACTATAATCTTGAAAACACACTGTTTGAAACTGCTTCCATCATTTTTTAAAAATATTTATTTAAAAGGCAGAGCTAGAAAGGGAGAGAGAGAGAGAGAAATCTTCCATCTGTTTGTTCATTCCCCAAATGGCCACAATGGCTGGGGCTAGGCCTGGGCCATGCTGAAGCCTGGAGCCTAGAACTTTATCAGGGTCTCCCATGAGAGTGGCAGGAGCCTAGCACTTGGACCATCTTCCCCTGCTTTCCCAGGCAAATCAGCAGGGAACTGGGCTGGAAATGGAGCAGCCAGCACTCCTGTGGGATGCTAGCATCGCAGACGATAGGTTAGCTTGTGCCACAACGCTGGCCCCCACTTCCATCATTTGGAAAGCATAACTTTCACAGAGTATCTTTATGTGTTTTCATGGATAGGAAAGCAAATTCACATTAAATTGACTTATTTAATCTTCACTCTAGCTTCATTAATCAGATACTGATGTTTTGCCTTATCAGATAGGAAAGTGGAGACTTTTAGAAAGTTAAGGAATCTGCCTGCATTCTCAATGTGTGAAGTTTGTTTTCAAGCCTGGAACTTTTTTTTTTTTTTACAAAGGAAAAATATATTTGGCCACATAAACAAAGATTTGTTATGTGAGAAAAAAACAGTCTAACAACATAAGTAATAAAATAAGGTAAAAAGAAAGTGCAAGGGGCCAGCGCTGTGGTGTAGCAGGTTAAACCGCCACCTGCAACGATGGCTTCCTGTGTGGGTGCCGGTTTGAATCGTGGCTGTTCCACTTCCAATCCGGCTCCTTGCTAATGGCTTGGGAAAAGCAGCAAAAGATGGCCCAAGTCCTTGGGCCCCTGCACCCGCATGGAAGATCTGGATGAAGCTCCTGACTCCTGGCTTCAGCCTGGCCCAGCCCTGGCCGTTGCAGCCATCTGGGGAGTGAACCAGCAGATAAAAGATATTGGAAGATCTTGATCTCTCGATCTCTCTCTCCCTCTCTCTCTCTCTAACTTTGACTTTTTTTATTTTTAATTTTTTTTATTTGAAAGGTAGAGTTACAGATAGAGGTAGAGAGAGAGGTCTTCCATCTACTGGTTCACTCCCCAAATGGCTGTAACAAATGGGACTGGGCCAGGCCAGAGCCAGGAGCTTCTTCCAGGTCTTCCACATGGGTGCAGGGCCCCAAGCACTTGGGCCAGCTTCCACTGCTTTCCCAGGGCATAGCAGAGAGCTGGATTGGAAGAGGAGCAGCAGGGCAGCTCCTGCCGATGCAGCCATCTGGGCAATGAACCATCAGATGGGAGACCTCTCCCCCTCTCCCCCTCTCCCCTTCTCCCCCTTTCCCCCTCTCCCCCTCTCCCCCTCTCCCCTTCTCCCTCCCTCCCTCCCTCCCTTTCTCTGTAACTCTGCCTTTCAAATGAATAAATAAATCTTTAGGAAAAAAAATGGAGCAGGAGGGACTCAAGCTGCCACCCATATGGGATGCCAGCACTGCAGGTGGAGGCTTTACCTGCTGTGCCACAGTGCAAGCCCAGGTCTTTGGATTCCAGATACCACTTCCTATTCCTGTAGAAAGGGCAGAGTGATTGTTTTAACCTATTCTCTTTTCTCTAACTGGTCTTCAGTTCTGGAATCTCAGAACGGTAGCCCTGTGGTGTTTATTCTACTTGAGATCTTGGAGTTATTGGTAAAATTGAATCTGGAATTATACTTTGTTTTTTTTTTTTTTCTCTCGTCCAGAAAATTTACCGTGAGGGTTGGGATGAAATGAAGATGAGCTGTGATGTGCGCCTGGACGCCATCCCTATCCAGGCTGCCAAGGCCTCCAGGGAGATTGCCAGTGACGTGAGTGTGGCCTTTTTTTAACTTCTCAGCTTGTTAAGCAAATGCCTGGGGTGCACCAAGAGGACGTGCTGTGATTCATCTGCTTTGTTTCTTCATGTCCAGTATAAATACAAGCTTGACCACGAGAAGCAGAAGGGACACTACGTAGGCACCCTCACAGCCAGGGATGACAACAAGATCCGGTGGGCCCTCATAGCTGGCAAGCTTCAGAATGAAAGAGAGTACAAGATGCACTGGGCCAAATGGAAGAGCAAGTTCCAAAGTCCTGCGGACATGCTCTCCATCTTGCATTCTAAACAAAGCCAGACCCTGGTCAGCGACGTTGATTACCGCAATTACCTGCACCAGTGGACCTGCATGCCCGACCAGAATGACGTGATTCAGGCCAAGAAAGCCTACGAACTGCAAAGCGATGTGAGTGGACTGCCCTGTCACTTACCATGAGTCCTGCAAAGTTCATGACATTACACCCTTGAGTCACCATGTCACGTCCTTCTACAGCCAGGAATTTGATACTAGTTACACCTTCTAGTAGGGCATTGAAATCACAAAAGCCAGGAGGAGCTAGGCTTTGTATCAAGACATAACTGGTAGTGTGAATACAGATCTGAAGTCTATCTGGTTGACAGAGACCACTGTGAAAATGCGATTGCTACAGAATGTAGGTGGCAACTGAGGATTCTGTCTAGCAAAATGTTGGCAGCCCATGGAGGAGATGTAGGCATAGACATTTTTTGTTGTTGTTGACACAGAGTTTATAAATTTTTAACTAAGTTGCCACAATTTCTAAATCGGAAAAAATTTTGTAGATGAATCTAGGACTTTTCTATTTCTCTTGAAGATTCAGAGGGTGCAACTCTGAATATGCTTTATCCCTTGCTAATAATAACTGGACTGAATTTGGGCTAACCCTCTTTAAACAGAAAAATAATATGCAGGTACTTCACAAAGTCAGTGAAAAAGTAGAATGAAATGTTTACTTTGGTGCAGAAAAGCTTTTGAAATCCACGTGGTTTTTGTGGGTTTTTTAATGACATTTATTTTCCAGGAACTTTTTGAAGATCCCTCATTTCCTTCGGTTTGTTAAATGACGTGGTCTCCTAATTAATTTTCTTAAGTTATCTTCCAGACTGTAGAATATATCACCCTTCTGTCACATAGGGTTTGCATTATTATATTTCCTCATTAGACCAGTGGATGGGCTAAATAGCATGAGGTGAACAAGGTTGCTGGATTCATTCTGGCCTTGTTTTCACAGGCTGTCTACAAGGCTGACTTGGAGTGGTTACGTGGAATTGGGTGGATGCCCAGTGATTCTGTGTCTGTCAATCATGCTAAACATGCTGCGGATATCTTCAGTGAGGTATGCCAAGGTTTTGACCTGCCTTTAAGGGAATTTTCCCAAGAAACGGAACAAAAACACATAAACCAAAATGGAGTCCCATCATGTCAGCAATTTTAATCGTTTTAGTTGCTGTAATTTAAGCCAGACATTTTTCCAAAATAATCCTGTATTTTCCCCAACACATTAAGAGAGTACATTCATCCTATAATATCCATCCATCCTATAATATCAAATGGTACTGGGAGTCACATAAATGGAGAAAATCTATCTGCAAGAGTCATACACTTGGGAGAAATTTGTCCGGTTGAAAAAACATACTGTGTTGTGATACACACAAGAATAAATTATGTAGCTTTGGGAGCTAAGAAAATGTGCTACTTTAAAATCTGTGGGAGGCACAAGAAACCCACACACATGTTTAAAAAATACAATGCTAAAAAGAAAGCAAAATTACCAAGAGAATGCCATTCGATATGTCACCTGTGCTTGTAGTACAGAGGGACCCTTAAGTTTAGTGTAGCTTTCTTGCTCATCAGGATCAAGCACGACAGTTACCTAAAAGATACTTTCTTTCCCATAGAAAAAGTATCGCACAAAAATAGAAACGCTCAACTTTACCCCGGTGGATGACAGAGTTGATTATGTGACAGCGAAACAGAGTGGTGAGATCCTTGATGATGTGAGTATATGGTTCTTGTCATTTCCAGAGCTTTTCCAGCTACGTAGACTCAGCACACAGTCACGGTCTGAGAGAGAGAGAGTTTAATCACTGAAACTGCTATTGCTAGCCATTGCCTGGACCATATGATGTTTTCTTAATAGCCATCCTCTTGCCCCCTTGCCTCTTACTCTTAGATTAAATACCGGAAAGACTGGAATAGCATCAAATCCAAGTACACCCTCACAGAAACCCCACTGCTGCACACCGTCCAGGAGGCTGCGCGGATACTGGACCAGGTATGGATCCTTACCTGGATGCTGGCGCTTTGGGTGATGATGGAGAGCCACAGAGACCTGAAGGAGATGCATGCGCTCCACCTATCCCTCCCTTCGGACTCCTCGTTTTAACCCCTTGCTGTGGCTCTCTGTCTTTTAGTACCTCTACAAGGAAAGCTGGGAGAAACAGAAAGCCACAGGTTACATCTTGCCTCCAGACGCTGTGCCATTTGTTCATGCCCATCACTCCAGCGATGTTCAGAGTGAGGTAATCTATCCTGGTTATGAGTGTAACTTCGCAAAAGCTGGGCCTTGTGCGTGAAACCTTCCAGTGATGCCTAAGGCATGGACAGCATCACAGGGTGTTCCTTTGCAGTTTGGCAGACTGAGCTGGGCTTGGTGGTGGTGGGAATACCTGTTCTTTCAGTCCTTTTCCCGTGGACTGTGGGTTTCCTTCAGTTTTCTTGGCTTCTTTAACAGCTATTGTTTGAGTTCTTTATTATCTCTTAAATTCTCTGCCCTCCCCTAAAATCTGTAGGCCTTCAAATAAAACTATTGCCAGAATGAAAAATACACTATATATTTTTTTCTATTTCAAGGTGGTTTCTTCACATATTTATTTATTTCAATGCTTTTTGTTATTGGTTCTGGGGTGGGGAACACACAGAAAGTTTTGGGGAACAGGTACTGAGTTTTCTGGTGTTCTTTAGCAGGTGGTTGGGCCTCTTTTGCCTTGTGTGCTTGTCAAAGCTGATGGAATCTGTTTTCTTCTTTCCACCAGCTGAAATACAAAGCTGAACATGTGAAGCAAAGGGGTCACTATGTTGGTGTTCCAACGATGAGAGATGATCCCAAACTGGTGTGGTTTGAGCATGCAGGACAGATTCAGAACGACAGGCTTTACAAAGAGGATTATCACAAAACAAAGGCCAAAATCAATATACCTGCTGATATGGTGTCAGTTGTGGCTGCCAAGGAGGGGCAGAACCTTGTCAGTGATATTGATTACCGTAATTACCTGCACCAATGGACGTGTCATCCCGACCAAAATGATGTGATTCAGGCAAGGAAGGCCTATGACCTACAGAGCGACGTAAGTGGTTTTTGTTTCTTCTTTATGCAGCAATAGACAGTGCGTTCTGAGGCTGATAAGCAGCATTCCTGAAGCACCAGTCTTTGAAACTTTGGGCCATAAATACTTAGTTTGCTCCCAAAAGGGAACTGAGACTGGATATGAAGTACAGAAAGATCAAGGGCAGTGTTGACAGATGGCTTTGCCTACTGACTGCATTGCTGAATAACTTTCAAAGTCAGTTTTTTTAATTAGAAAAAAAATATGCTATTTCTGCTATCAGCATCTCCTCAGTCTCCCTCATATGGGAAAATAGCATCTGCTTTTAAGTTGGCTTGAGTGGGAACCAAAACTGAGCTGTGGTTTTTATTATTAGATGACAGAAGTCAAGGACTCAGGAATGCCTCATTCATGCTTTGCCAAACATCTCATTGCTCAAGGCAGTTAGGAAGGCATTGCTTGCAAGGAGTCAAAGAAAAAAAAAAAAAAAAAAACAGGAAAAAAAAATACTGATTAAGCTGGAACAAGGGCCCAGCCTCCCTCATGCAAAACCTGGGTAAAGCTAGGACAGAGCATGACATAGGCCACCTCCCACAGACGTCTGAATCAAGATCTCTGCCTGCTTCCAGCCATCTGTAGGAGCAGAACAGAAACACGATGCATTTGATTTAGTTATTCAGGTGCTCAGAGCGGGTAACCTTACCAGGCTTCTCCTCATTAGCAAAATGGAAACAGGAAGTCAAAGGCAGCTGCAGCGTAGATGCTGGGCTTGAACATCCCACCTGACCAGCTGCTGCAGCAGAGTGATTGGTGTGGAACTAATCCGATTAGCAGCCCCTCTCAGGAGCTCGGACAGAAGTGGGCAGAGATAGACTTGGCCAGACCAGAGGAATTGCCTCCGGCTTTCTTACAGATGCACGAGCAATTGCTTGTGTGATTTTTTTTTTTTCCTAATCCAGATGCCTCCCCCTAGTTGTGCATAACTAAATGTACGAAGTCCATCTAAAACTGCAGCCTCCTTGGCAAAGCTTTTAGGGCCTTGACTCCCACAGCGCTTGAGTGGTCTTGCTCTCACAGCACTTAACCTCTTTGCACTCCGTGAATGGCTTCTCTCCACTCCTATTCTGCTTTTGACTGATTCCTCAAAGCACCAATAGTTAACAGTGACTTCTGCCAAGTCACAGGCTGAAGACTGTTGAAATCACGATTGAGTGAATGAGACAGGAGACAGTGAATGAGACCAAAATCCTTTAAAAACCTCTGAAAAAATAGTTTGGAATCTGCTGTCTGGAATCCTGTGTCGTTTACTTCTCCATCATGTTTCTCTTCCTGCTCCAGAATGTCTACAAAGCTGACCTGGAGTGGCTCCGAGGCATTGGGTGGATCCCCCTGGATTCTGTGGACCATGTACGGGTTACGAAGAACCAGGAAATGGTGAATCAGGTATGCAAAGCCGATTCCTCTTCTAACCTGCCCATGCAGCAATAGGTGCACTGTGGGGATAGATCCAGAACAATCATCTCTGTTCATTTGCAGATAAAATATAAGAAAGATGCTCTTGACAACTACCCTAACTTTACAAGTGTGGTGGATCCTCCTGCGATTGTTCTGGCCAAGATTAATGCCGTCAACCAGAGTGATGTAAGTTTGTGTTGTATATGCTGGGGAGTTCGTGTCTGTCATCGAATAGATGAGCTTAACTCTAGATAATTGCATGTTAGAAATGGGGAGGCAGAGTTGGGATACTATAAAGTAATCTTTGAGGGGAAAGTTCTTAAGAGTCGCTAGCAGGTGATATATACCCACTTGTAAGTATATGTGTGTGTGCGTGTGTCTCCAAATTATTCTATTAGATAAATTGACTAAAATCCAACAAGTTGGCTAGATCTTTAAATGTAGACTAATTATTGTGTTAGATAGATAGATCTGTAGGTATATCCTAAGAAAACGTAATCAAAAGGTTTTGTTTTGTTCTGACTCCTTAGGTAAAATACAAAGAAACATTTAATAAAGCCAAGGGCAAGTATACATTTTCTCCAGATACACCACATATCTCCCACTCCAAAGACATGGGAAAACTCTACAGCACTGTAAGTCCTATTTTATGTAATAACTCAATTCCTAATTTTAAGCCTTTGTCAGTGTTCATATTCTTGGCTGATTCTGTGAACAGCAACAATAATTTTTATTGCACTTAGTTTATTAGAAGTAGCATATTATTCAGGGTACATAGTGTTTATTCAAGTTGAGCTCTCATGATATCCCAGGCACTATAAGAGGCACTGAGGGACAAAGTTCAATGAGACCAGGGCTCCAAGAGCCCATACAAGTAAGAGGGACAGGCATGTAAGTAAAGAGCTAGATGATAATGTAACAAGTGCTAGAAAGGCCCTGGGTGCACATAGCACAGAGCAAATGGATGAAAGATGATTTCTCTTTAGCAACCACATTCAAGTATCCCCAGCTAACAAGTCGAAGACTTGCCCTCCAAAATTTAGTTCAGCCAATTCAAAGGGAGAAAGGGAAAGAGGAGGAGAATGAGGAGGAGAAGATGAAGGTGAAGAAGATATTTATGTGTATGCCCAATGGGGAGCAATCACAGATGGTTCTCTCCCTATGTCCAAATTTATTGTATTTTCAATAGAACTGTAAATATAGTTAACTCTGTTCAGCCAAGGCACTCCCCTGTTTTAGTTCATCACACTAAGGGCTATAAAGATTTCAACCTTGCCTTGAACATAAATGTTTTACTTTGATTTTTCTCATTTGAGTGATATCTGAAAGAAGTTGAGTGCAAACTTTTGTTGACATGTGTTTCTTGGTTCTAGATACTGTATAAGGGGGCATGGGAGGGAACCAAGGCCTATGGCTACACCCTGGATGAGCGCTATATTCCCATCGTTGGAGCTAAGCATGCTGATTTTGTGAACAGTGAGGTTAGTATGACCTTTTCTTCTCCCAGGTTTGGGAGTCCTCACTGGGGGACAAGGGACTGTTAGAAAACCCCATTAATTCTCAATGTTGGACCCACTCCACAGCTTAAATACAAAGAGACATATGAGAAGCAGAAAGGTCACTACCTGGCTGGAAAAGTGATCAGTGAGTTCCCTGGCGTGGTCCATTGCCTGGATTTCCAAAAAATGAGGAGCGTGGTAAGCCAATGTTTGCTTTAACACAGGATTCGTGCGCCTTCAGTTGTACAAGTGTGTCTGCCTATTTATAACCTGCTCTTTGGTTCAGAACTAGCTGGGAGATGGATTGGTATGGAAAGACTCATTCTTGAGGTTTTCCACACTCCTGTCTGCCACTCTGGGGACCCTTGAAGGATGTGCGCTTTCTCCCACCTGCTCTGTCCTCTATTAACACACTAAGGGCTCTCTTTGGAGAAAAGGATGAGAAATTTCAGCAGAAACAAAAAATGTACTAAAGTATCATTTTTTAACCTTAGTCTATTCTAGAAATACTGACCTATAATGGAAATAAGGCTCAAAAAGAGTTTGATCTGAATAATTTGTTTTCATTCCTTTTTAATATTCAACTTTTAAAAAAATGTTATTTTTTAGTTGAACTACAGAAGAGATTATGAAAACACCAAAGCAAATGTTCACATCCCCAACGATATGATGAATCACGTGTTGGCTAAAAAGTGCCAGTACATCCTCAGTGACCTGGAGTATCGACACTACTTTCACCAGTGGACTTCTCTTCCCGATGAACCCAAAGTGCTACTTGCCCGAAACGCCCAGGAGATCTTAAGTGATGTATGATGTCCTTTCTGCAGCTCGATCTAGTTATAGGCTTGCCCAGCCCTGCCTGGGTCGACCAGGCTCCAGTTGGCTCTGTGTTCCCAAACTCTGCTGCTTTTAACACAACATGGCATGAATAACCACCTCGTGGTATAAGAGTCCCTCTGACACAGTTGCAAAACATTTCATCTGTTTAGGACTAGACAAAGATTCAGAGATTGTCCTTCTCCGCTTCCTTAGGCCAGGGAGTGCAAGACCTTCTAGCTGGTGAGAGGCCCACCCCTTGTCCTCTGAGCACTAAGTACCACCAAGAGATAAGAGGAAATTAGTGAAATGCCAACTGTAAATTCAGAATACCTGTCACGTTTTATTGGTCTTTCTTTCTTGCAGAATGTATATAAAGATGACTTGAATTGGTTGAAAGGCATCGGCTGCTACGTATGGGATACACCCCAGATCCTCCATGCCAAGAAATCATATGACCTCCAGAGTCAGGTGAGCTGATCTTGCCAGAAGGACTGGTTCCTCCTGGGCTATTGGAACCCATGGTGGTTGTCAGTGCGCTGATTGCCAGGATGTCTCATGCTCAGGAAAAAAAAAAAGTCTCCTATCCCCAGTCAGACCTCTCCTGGTGGCCTGCTCTGGTGCTGGGCTTTCTCAATGGGAGTCCCCTGTGGTATAAGGCCATGCACTTTTGTTAGAGAAAGCCATCCCGCAAGTATTTCATAGCAAACTATTCTAGCATCGTTACCTTAGCTCATCAGGTTAACTCACAGAGAATAATATTTGAACACAAATAGATGTGTTTTGAAGCACAAAACAGATTTCTGGAAAATGGCCAAAGAGATGGTTCCACTCTGATAGGGCAGACCTAATGGGACACTGAAATTCAGGAGCTGTTGTCAGGGGTGGGTGATGGGTGGATATGGGAAGGCAGCACAGGGAAGAAGGGCACCTGGCAAAGATCCACATCCTTCTCTTGGCTTTTGCTTTTAAGATTTATTTGGTTTAATTGAAAGGCAGAGCTACAGAGGGTGGGAGGGAGAGGCAGAGAGAGGTCTTCCATCTGCTGGTTCACTCCCCAGATGGCTGCAATGGCTGGTGCTGAACCAGGCCAAAGCCAGGAGCCAGGAGCTTCCTCCAAGTCTCCCACATGGGTGCAGGGGCCCAAACAGTTGGAGCATCCTCCACTGTTTTTCCAGGTGCATTAGCAGGGAGCTGGATTGGAAGTGGGAACAGGTGGGACTTAACTGGCAGCCATATGGAATGCCGACACTGCAGAGGGCAGCCCAACCCACTATGCCACCTCCCTCCCCTCCACCCACCCACCACCACAGCCTCTTGGTCAAGACAAACTGTTCGTTTCGGCAACCATACAAAGTGTCAGCACTACAGAATGAGACCTCTTGGTTAGGACTGGAGCAGAAACCCAGAAATACAGACGCTTCTCAGTTGGCACAGAGGTGGTAACAGGCCTGAATTTTGCCATTTCCAGTGACTCTTGTTTCTCTGCACAGCTACAATACACAGCAGCAGGTAAAGAGAATCTGCAGAACTACAATCTGGTCACAGATACGCCACTTTACGTGACTGCTCTTCAAAGCGGCATCAACGCCAGTGAGGTGCGTCTTCCTGTGCTGCTTTTTCGGGGACAAGCTTTTTGTCTTTACATGGTTTCAAACAGCGGAAGTGAAGAACCTATTCTTTTTTTTTTTTTTTTTTTTTGTGGTCGTAGGTGAAATATAAAGAAAATTATCATCAGATCAAGGACAAATATACAACAGTTCTTGAAACAGTGGACTACGACAGAACCAGGAATCTGAAAGATCTGTATAGCAGTGTGAGTGGAGTTTTTTTCCCTCTTGTATTTGAGCCACCTTTTCCCCTTTAGAGACCATAAAAGGCGCCCTGTTCCTGTAGGGCTTTCCGTTTTTTTCGCCAGACCTTCAAGTTCTTTCTTTCTCACATGAAATCATTGTGTGTGCAGTTAATTTAGTCCCAAGCTCAAGAGAAGACTTGGGGATGGTAGGGAGTGTCTGGCAAAGACAGAATGGGAGGAAGAACTTGGCACTTGGAGCTAACCAGAATTCATTCTCCCATACTCACACAAAATCTCTTGACCCTCCAGAACCTGTACAAGGAGGCCTGGAATAAAGTGAAAGCCACCAGCTACATCCTGCCAACCAGCACCTTGTCCCTGACGCACGCCAAGAACCAGAAGCACCTGGCCAGCCATGTAAGTCACATACAAACACAACAGGCTCCCCTCTCTGCCTCATCTGCTCCACACTCCCAGAACTTTCCAGGCTGGTTCTTCTGTTGCCAGAGGCACCCCTAGCACAACCTCGAGGTGCCATGCAATCATTCCAGATGCTTGGTGGTCATGGAGTCTGCGTGCTCAGTGCCTCCTCTCAGGGCCCAGTAGGCCAGAGAGAATCAGAAGGACTTGTGAGCAATGTAGTTTTGACCTCTGAGGCTGCCTGTCTGCAGATGCCATGGACCGAGAGTGTCTGTGTTCATCAGAAGTCAGGAGAGGCAGGAGTCATAACATTCCACACAAAATAGACTCTTGGTCTGCAGAATTATGTGGGTTTGGGGCAAAAATAAACCAATGGATATGATAGCTAATTATGACTCAAACTGCAAGAATGGTTAAATTATTTTTGCAGCAAAATATGTAAAACTTGCAAAATCATTTGAAATTCTGCCTTTTATTAAATTTGGAGGGGGGACCTTGAGAGGAGAGAGAGAAAGAGAATGAGAATGAGCGCAAGCTTACCTGTTAGATCATGCCCAAATGCCCGCCACAGCAGCCTAGGCTGAGGCCAGAGTCAGGAAGAGCAAATGCCATCTGGGTCTCCCACGTGGGTGGCAGGAACCCAGTTTCGTGAGTCATCACCCGCTGCCTCCAGGGGCTGCACTGGTGGGAAGTTGGAGTCAGGAACCAGAGCCAGAAATCAAACCCAGACTCTCTGATCTGGGATGCAGGCATCTTAACCTTGAGACTAAATGCCTATTCCTAAAATCCTACCTAAACAAGGTGGTGTTTTCACTGGTATAGCCATGATTACTTTTAAAAATCCTAGATCACATGAGCTGTTTAAATACAGGATAAAGTCTTGTGATCTCTAACCCCAAAGCTCTCAAGTAAACCTTTTACTGTGAAATTTCCTATCATCTTCATTACAGCTCTAATGAGCCCAGTTCTCTTCAGAAACATTAGCTATATCCTTCTTCGTAATTGTGAACAGTTTATATAACACTGTACGTATCATTTCTCAAACGTGTTTTGATCATGTCCCATGGTGAGAAGTTTATTTTACATTGCAAGTCAACACACACACAACCCCTGAGACTATGTGAGTTTCTTCTGTCCTACTAAAGAATGCTGGCTGCTACACTGGACAATGCACTCTGGTAATCCTGATTCTGTTCTACTCATTGAAGTGCGAATGTCCCAGTAAACCAATTTCACACATCTCTAATGGATGTAGAGATGCCCAGTTTAGAAAAAGACTTTATTAGATAATATAATTAATTTTTACTTAAAGGAAAAATTAAGGTATATGACTCTAGCTAGATGCAATTCTGTTTGGAGGACTGCAAACACAGTAGTCCAGAGAGCCAACTTTTCATTTGGAAAGAGGAGTTTAGTAGATGGGACTTACAAAGCCCGGTAGAGGCTCTATCCCTTGGTCATGAAAAAAGTTGTAGAGGCAGGTTCTCAGCAAGCTGTTTTTGGAACAAGGTCAAGCATAGAGAAATGAGTTCTTCAAAAGAATTCCACACTTATACTTTCTTAAAACAAATGAGTTTCTCTGAATGTTGTCTTTGTAGTTGAAGAATATATTAGATGTAAGAAGCTGGAATTTTCTTTCTAGAAGATTCTGGTGGAAATTTTTGTTGGTCTCCATGCATTGAAGAGCTTGGCTGGAATACTGATCCAAACACTCCCAGCTCCCATTTTTTCACTGAGTGTGGGTCTCTGACTGCGAGGGGATTGTTATTTTTCCTTCATGTGCTGGGTATAGAGACTTTCCATCTCTGCCTTATCCCTTGGCTCATATGATCACGGGCCATTAGTTAAAAGGCAACATAGCTGAAGAATTAAAAATTCCTCCTCCCATCCCTGGGGAGTCAGCATTGTGGTATAGCAGATTAAGTCATTGCCTACGATGCTGATACCCCATATGGGAGCTTGTTCAAGTTCTGGCTGCTCCACTTCCAATCCAGCTCCCTGCTAATGCTCCTGTTAAAAACAGCAGAAGATTGGCTGGCGCCACAGCTCACTAGGCTAATCCTCCACCTTGCGGCGCCGGCACACCAGGTTCTAGTCCTGGTTGGGGCGCCGGATTCTGTCCCAGTTGCCCCTCTTCCAGGCCAGCTCTCTGCTGTGGCCAGGGAGTGCAGTGGAGGATGGCCCAAGTGCTTGGGCCCTGCACCCCATGGGAGACCAGGATAAGTACCTGGCTCCTGCCATCGGATCAGCGCGGTGCGCCGGCCGCAGCAGGCCGGCCGCGGCGGCCATTGGAGGGTGACCCAATGGCAAAGGAAGATCTTTCTCTCTCTCTCTCTCTCTCTCTCTCTCTCACTGTCCACTCTGCCTGTCAAAAAAATAAAATAAAAAAACCAGCAGAAGATGCCCCAAGTGGTTGGGCCCCTGCTACCCACATGGGAGACTTGGATGAGGCTCCTGGCTCCTGACTTCAGGCTGGCCCAGCCCTGGCCATTGTGGGCATTTAGGGAGAGTGTCTGTCTGTCTGTCTCTCTTTGTAACTCTGCCTTTCAAATAAATCAATCTTTTAAAAACCAAAAGCAAAACAGTTGGTCATAATGATGTTTTTTAAAGTCTCTTAGAAACTGAAATTCAAGAAAGACATTTCTGAAACAGCAGGCTTTTTAAGTTATCAAAAGCAGAGATTCCTGAGCACAGTTTTATTTTCTTCCCTTATGATAGTAAGCTATTGTCACAAAGTAGATTTTTTAAAATTGCACAGTCTTGAAATTGAGTTGGTTGTGGTAGCTGTTACAGTACTAGTGTTGGTATAGGCATTTTAACACAATAACTGAAAGTGTCACTGCTGTACAGTACAACAGCTATTTAGTTAGCATCTACACTGTACTCCTATTAGGTATTATAAGTAATCTAGAAATGATTCAAAGTGTACAGGAGGACTGTGCAAATGCTATGCCAATTTATGTAAGAGACTTGAGCATCCGTGGATTTTGGTATTGGGGGACAGATTCTGGAGCCAGTCCTCTGCAGATACTGAGAAACAGCTGTGCTCTCTCAAACTGTGTTTCTTCTTTCTTCTTTCCTCTACAGATCAAATATCGGGAGGAATACGAAAAGTTCAAAGCTCTTTATACTTTACCAAAAAGTGTTGAAGATGATCCAAACACAGCCCGGTGCCTCCGAGTTGGCAAGCTTAACATTGATGTAAGTCATCTCAAAGGCTTTGCTTCAAACTGAGGACAAGCAAAATAGCCGTGCTTTGTAACTCAGAACATTGCTCCAGTAAACAGTGAAAATGACACTGATTGTGGATATGTGAAAAAAAACTAAGCATCATTTCAGTTCATGTTGATTTTAAAAAAAAATGTCCCTGATACTGTTGTAGAGAAAGTGTTGTCCCCACCCTGCCCCCAACTGCAGGGTCACCCTGACTTCTCTGGTGTGTCAGAAGACATGTAGACACCTTAGCACAATTTCCTGCATAACTGGTGTGTAATTTGAACTTCACAGCGCCTCTACAGATCAGTTTATGAAAAGAACAAGATGAAAATCCACATTGTGCCTGACATGGTAGAGATGGTGACTGCCAAGGATACTCAGAAGAAAGTCAGTGAGATTGATTACCGTCTGCACCTCCACGAGTGGATCTGCCATCCCGACTTGCAAGTCAACAGTCACGTCAGGAAGGTCACAGACCAGATCAGCGATGTAAGCCATTGTGGTGCGGTTGTCCCTCTGCTGCCCCATCCCAGACTCAGCTGCTTCTTTACCTCTGCCTTTCTCTCCTGCTTTGTGTTTATCCGTGAGTCTGTCTTGATTCTGGAGCAGTCCCTGGGTGCTTGCCCCACATGTGACTGATTCTGTTGCAGCCACGACCTCATTTTGCATGATGTCTTCTGCTTTTTATTCTACAATGGCATCTGGGTTCAGAGCGTGCCTATGTTCTTGGTGTTAAAGTCATGGCCACTTTTTGTGCTCATCCCCTCCATCTGCTGAAACCCTCTAGATCGTGTACAAGGATGACCTCAACTGGCTGAAAGGCATTGGTTGCTATGTCTGGGATACTCCTGAAATTCTCCATGCCAAACACGCTTATGACCTACGCAATGATGTGAGTTGGCCTTGTTCTGCTTTGTTTTTGACATATTTCCATCTGTTACATAGCCTGGAGTCAAGAGGAAGATTGTAAAATAGCGATGTTGTCAGAGACCAGCTGTGGATTAACTCATATTAAGGATGGCTGAACTGGATGAAGATGCTGGGATTAGAGCAGCCATTTCTCGGGAGGCATGTGACTGTCCTGTTAAACAATGCAGTCCAGCTGTGTCATTGTCCTTGATGGAGAGGGACCCTTGGCTTCTCTTTCTACTGTCCGGACTGTTCTGGATGTATTAACACATAATTCTTATGACAGAAAAAAATTCATTTGTTAGGAGTTTATGATACTAAAGACAAGATCTCTTTGGAAGGAGAGAACTTGCCAGGCAAATAAATATCATAGTGAACATGTCAGTAAGAAAGCTTAACTTTCCCAGAAGAGCAGTCATCAAGACTTCTAGAAGACTCTAGAAGCCCCATATGAATGTAAGGTAGTGCTGATTGTTAAAAAAGTATCCTGGTCTGCCACATAAGTGCTGACAAATGCAAACCTCCATGAACTTCAGCAGTGTCCAGTATACTGAGAGATCCAATGCAGCCTCGCTTTCTTCCCTTTGGCAGATCAAGTACAAAGCTCACATGATGAAAACAAGGAACGACTACAAGCTGGTCACAGATACACCGGTCTACGTGCAGGCTGTCAAGAGTGGGAAGCAGCTAAGTGATGTGAGTGCTCCCTGGGGAATTTCCTGTGGGAAGTGATAGAGACAGGGCTGCCACCCAGCCAAGGGCTGGGTACTGCCAGGCCTTTTGTAACTGAGAAGCCAGAGTAAGTACCATAGAAAAGGCACTGAAGGTGCTGCCTATAGCCCTAAAGCCTGAAGCGTTCAAGTGGTTTCCTGGGGGAAGTTGTAAGTGATCTGCGTCTAGGAATACTTTGTGTGTTAGAGCTTCCACTGTGGTCTATGTTGCATGCTGTGGTCTATGTTCCACTGTCTAGGCCTTCTCATAAATGAGGGCCAATTATGGTAGAATAAGAAGCAGGCAGGAGTTACATACAGGCACTGGAGTTCCATCTCTCCCAGAAACCATCTATGAGGCTTGTGAAAAGCACTTAACCTTCCAAGCCTCTGCATTCTTCTGTGTAAAATGGAAAGTGTTTTTATGTAAAGACCTACTCCAATGCCTGACATAGAACAGAAACAGCAGGCATAATGCTGCTCTTATTTTTAAAAAAAGTTTTTAAGAATTTGTTTGAGCGGCCAGCACTGTGACGTAGTGGTTAAAAGCCATGCCTGCAGTGTTGGCATCCCAAATGGGCACCAGTTTGAATCCTGGTTGCTCCACTTCCAATCCAGCTCCTTGCTAATGCTCCTGGGAAAGCAGCAGAAGATGGCCCAAGTGCTTGGGCCCCTGCACCCACATGAGAGACCCAGAAGAAGCTCCTGGGTTCAGATAGGCCCAGCTCTGGCCTTTACAGCCATCTGGAGAGTGCACCCCCTGGTGGAAGATCTCTTTCTCTCTAACTCTGCATTTCAAATAAAAATAAATAAATCTTTTAAAAATATTTTAAAAATGCTGAGTGAAGGATAGAGAGGGGAAGACAAAGAGATCCTCCATCCACTTGTTTATTCCTCAAATGCCTTTAGCAGCTGGCAGTGGGCCAGGGCAGAGCCAGGAGCCTGAAACTCCCTCCTAGTTCTCCACGTAGGTAGCAGGGGCCCAAGCACTTGAGCCATCACCTGTTGCCTTCCAGGTCCATTAGCAGGGAGCTTGATTGGAAGCAGTGGTGGGACTCCATCCCAGGCGCTGGATGTGCCCCAATGCCTACCCCAAGCTGTTCTTTTTGAAAAAATCAGCTCCATAAGTCTACAATATTAGATCCCCACACAGAGTTGGGATGTTGAGACCTGTTATTTTGGAACTTCTAGTGGCAAAATGCTGGTGCCACCTCTTCTTATGCCTGAGCCATTTCTTCCACTTATTTCTCAGAGTGGGTAGCCACACCCTGGCTCTGTTCCTATTGGATATGACATAGTAATAGATCAGATAGAGTCCTCTCAACAGAAGGCAGAAGGCTGCCTTTTTTTTTTTTTTAAGGGAAACCTGGGTTTTCATCTCCCTTGCTTCTTTCTAACAATGCCGCTGCAGTTGAAGTAGGTTCACTTTCTCTCTGCGCACAGGCTGTCTACCACCACGATTACGTGCACAGTGTCAGAGGCAAAGTGGCGCCAACCACCAAAACCGTGGATCTGGAGCGGGCCCTTCATGCATACAAGCTCCAGAGTGAGGTGAGCCCTGGGAACTCAGAGGACCCCGCAGAAACCCAGAGCCGTGGCCGCCCTGGAAGCAGCCTCAGCTTGGGCATCCTCGTGGCCTGACCTTCGAAAATGTAAATGACCTTTCCACATGAAATGGAGGAACAGGAAGAAAAGTAGAGAATCAACTGACTTCTCTCTTGGCAGGCAGGATCTTCTTATGAACTAATCCAATCAATAGTAAACAGGCATTTTTGGAATAGTACTTACAAGTTACAAAGAGGGCCAATATACTCTCTCTTCTTTCAAAAAGCCTAAAATCAGGATGGCAGAAGCAAGGCATTTAATCATAAAAGGCTACTAACAGTAAGAGTTAATGCTGAAAATTTCCGTTGGAATTCAGAAGAGAAAGACCCTGGACCCCACCTGTGTATTTTAATCTCCCTATTCTAGTACCCAGGGGGTACTGCTTTGATCTCAACTTTAAATGCTACTTCCCTTCTTGAATATTCAAAATAATTTGGTTTTTAATATGTTAGCGTCCGCACTGTTCTTTATTCCATTGCTCCCCTGAGAACCACACTAAGTGAGGTGACAGACAGAAACTCCTCCTACCTCCCCCTCGCAGTGAATATGCACCTCCCAGCAGCTTCATAGCCTGATGTCAACACACAAAGACGTCTCAGGGGTTGCTGTTGGCCTGAGTGGGGCTCACAACAGATGCCACTTGGCTGCATTTCTTCATTTCTTGTTAGATGCCATGCAATCAACCGTGCATAAAAAAATGGCATTTCAACCATGGTTCCCTTTTTCTAAAACAATAGGTTAAGAGTTACCTGAGTTTTTCATGACTCTTGGAACTTATTTGATTTCTTCTTGGAATCAGTTCATTGAGCACAAGTACGTTAGGTATCTGATCAAAATCCCAACGGGAGCTGTGTATGATTTGTTTACCTCAGATGTTATTGATGCCACTTGCCATTGTACTTACTCTTCCTCATTCTGGCAGAATCTATACAAAACCAGCCTTCGCACCCTGCCCACTGGATATCGGCTTCCCGGAGATACTCCTCATTTCAAGCACAACAAGGACATCCGATACATGAGCAGTTATGTGAGTGGTCTCCTCCTCGTTAGGCTGTGGTCTGAGGTTGGGGAGGGAAGGAACTAGTGTTAATCAGTAGCTTCATTTCATCTTCCACTCACATGCTTTCAAGGAGTGCTATAAAGTTGGCTGCTTTTACAAGCCAGCGGTACTGTGGGGCAGCCCAGTGGGGTAGGATAGGATGTTCATGGGAGATCTGGCTCAGGGCCTGTGGCCCGCGGTCTTGGTACAGAAGCGTTCTGACCTATCCCAGATCATTGACTGGAAATGAAGCTTCATAAACTGCCACTGCCTGCAGCTTGCTCAGGTATTGGCTCTGATATTACCCTTCCCCACATCTTAAAAGATTAGATTGGAACTTGATGCATTTACCCCATGGGTAAGGCCTAGAGAAGTTTGACTATCCCAGTGACTCTGGTCTGCTGACTGTGCTTACGAACCAGCCATTGTTTGAAGACTAAGCTCTTGCTTCCATACTACCCTTCAAGGTCCTGGGAATCAACTGTGCTAGCAAAAGAGGCTCCATAGCCTGTGGCCCAATAGTGTTTCTAAAGCAATCAGTCAGAGATCTTAACAATGTAATGTGTCATTTAAAGAATTACTCCAGAAAGCCATTCATCATTCTTAAAAATATTCTCCTGTTCCTTTTTTGTATTTCCTAATTTCCTAGTCATATTATGTTTTTCTTGCATTTTGTGTAACCACCCTACAAAATGGATTTCACCTAAGGAAGGTTGGAATTTATTCCTTTCTGGACAAGGCTTTATTTTCTAACAAACAATTTTCAAGACTAAAATAAATATTGAGGCTTTGTCCCTGGCTTTTCTTAATGCTTAGAGAACAATTTTCAAATAAAGATGACATCTCTTTTCTATTTGAGAAATATAATGCTCTCTCTTTACCCATCATCACTCTCATTCTGACTTTGCTTTTGTAGTTTAAGTACAAAGAAGTTTATGAGCACATCAAGGCGAACGGGTACACTCTGGGCCCCAATGATGTTCCATTTGTCAACGTCCGAAGAGTCAACAAAGTCACCAGTGAGGTACTGTGAATACGGATTCACTGGGGGAAACGCTGAGTTTCAAAGACCATGACTTGTTTGAAAAGGAGTAAGAATTAATTGTATTTAAGCTGTAAATGTGCATGTCAACAGGGAGTAACAGAATCCTTTGTGTCACCGTTTATTGGTTTTTGTTTTAAAAAGATTTATTTATTTGAAAGAGTTACAGAGAGAGGCAGAGATAGAGAGAGATAGGTATTCCATCCGCTGGTTCACTCCCCAGATGGCCACAACAGCCGGAGCTGCGCTGATCTGAAGCCAGGAGCCAGGAGCTTCTTCCAGGTCTCCCACGTGGGTGTAGGGTTCCAAGGACTTGCGCCATCTTCTACCACTTTTCCAGGCCATAGCAGAAAGCTGGATCGGAAGAGGAGCAGCCGGGACTAGAACCAGCACCCATACGGGATGCCGGCGCTTCAGGCCAGGGCATTAATCTGCTGCGCCACCGTGCCGGCCCCTGTGTCACTGTTTTAATACTAGTATCTCTTTGCAGTGTTATTCTGTATTTGTAATGTCATCACAGGGACCCAGTTCTGTAGATTACGATGCAAAATCTTCCTAAAGAAGATTCTTTCTTCTGACAATTGTATTCAGAAATCTTTAAACAGATTGCCTTTTAGTCTGACTCATGACCCTAGTTTTCTACATCAGTTATTTGTGTATCCTATCCTTCTCTATAACCATCTGATGGAAAGTGGAAGACTTGGGATCCTTCACCTACATTGAATTAGTATCACTTCTCCTTTTTTCTTTAATCTCAGTCATTTCCCATAGCCTCTCCAGGCTCTTTGTGTGAAGTATTTGATTGTTGATTAGTCAGTTGATGCTCTCATTAACCCTCCCCTAACCATCGCAATGGCTTTTCCTCTAATGTAGAGACTGTACCGAGAATTGTACCACAAACTCAAAGACAAGATTCACACAACGCCTGACACTCCTGAAATTCGCCAAGTCAAAAAGACACAGGAAGCTGTCAGTGAGGTGAGTATTAGGAGAGAGACAGGCCGCGGAACCCAGGGATGAATGTCAGCCATCTGCACTCTCTAATTGTGTGTTTCTGCTTGTTGCTGTTGTTTTCCTTTAGCTGATCTACAAATCAGACTTCTTCAAGATGCAGGGCCACATGATCTCCCTGCCGTACACACCGCACGTGCTCCATTGCCGCTACGTGGGAGACATCACCAGTGATGTAAGCGTCTCACGGGGCTCTTTCTGGAGGAGTCTTACCAAGGGGCAGGGTTGTTTTCAGCGTTTAAGACATCCGGTGGTTTTTGAATGCCCTTCTCCACTGAGAACTTCTAAACTGTGTGTACAGGTTGGAGATGAAATAGTGGGAAGGTAGAACTCCACAAATCTCCACAATTCTCCAGCTACGGCAGTAGTAGTAAGAGCACCATTTGGAAAATAGAAGAGTTGCCACCATTCTCCATCACCCAGTGACCACCATTCTACATTCTATGCTGAGTCGTTACCGCCCCTCCACTCTAAGTGGCCGTGTCCCGGATCATGTTAATGACTTTCTTCCGCACATACCCATTCCTACCTCTCTGAGCAACTTCCTGATACTGCTTTTTAAAATTCCCCTTGGATGTTTCCATTTCTTTAAAGACCAATCCATTCAATCTCTGCTTTTCTCCCATTGATAGTATAATAATAAAATGATGTTAATGTTTTCCTCCAAGCTCAGAGTTACATACTTAAATGAGAAAACTCGACTTACTTGAGTGCAAGCAGGTAACAGATAACACAAGGTGGATGTGTTGAACCAAAATGAAAGAGTAGAGACCCTTTATCTGCAGAGGATACTTGCAAGACTTGGACTTGGGAGCTGCCTGAAACTGCATAGGATCAAACCCTGTGTATATGCTATGTTTTTTCCTATACATGCGTATCTAAGATAAAGTTAAATTTATAATTAGGTATAGTAAGACATTTTAAAAAATAATAAGATAGAACAATTTTAACAATGTAATAAAATGTACTTAAAACTTATGAATGTTTTATTTCTGGAATGTTCCACTTAATATTTTCAGACTATGGTTGACCATGGATAGAACGGAAACCAGGGAAAGTGAAATTGTAGATAAAGGGGGACCACTCTATATCAGTAAAGAAGTACAACAACTCTTCTTTTTTCCTTATTTATAATTGCTCATGACCACTTAAATTCTGTGTTTGCCCCACAGATTAAATACAAAGAGGACTTGCAGATCCTGAAGGGACTTGGCTGCTTCTTGTACGACACTCCTGACATGGTCCGCTCCCGGCACCTGCGGAAGCTCTGGGTGAGTGCACTCTTCACAGATGCCTTGGCACAGCTTCAGACTCCCTGCCACCAGCATCCAGCAGCTGGGCAGAAGGAATCCTAGCCTTCAGCTATTTTTAAGGGGAAATTTACTACTCGCCCCCTTTGTCCAGGCCGTGACCTGATTAAGATGATCTATACCTCGTATGAAAGAGGATGAGCTTAGTTACATGACAATTATTTTCTTGTTTACCTGAGAAGACAACCAGGATACCTGAAGGGCCTGCTCAGCTTGCAGACACTGGCCATTTAAAAAGCAATGTTGACACACAATTCCTTAAATGATTAATCAACTTGCATTTCTCTTGTTATTTTGTTAGTCTAACTACCTGTACACTGACAATGCCAGGAAGATGCGGGACAAATACAAAGTGGTACTTGACACCCCAGAATACAGAAAAGTGCAGGAGCTGAAGACTCACCTGAGTGAGGTAAGTGTGCTTTGCCTGTCCCTATGGGTGAACCAAATTGCTAGATATGAACGGAATTATCACAGTGGTGCTCAGTTCCTCTAGTGATCAGTTTTCAGGCAGCCGCAACAGCGAGAACACTTCCCCTGTGCCCTTAACGGAGGAGTGACCGCCATGTCTAAGCAAGTCAATTGACTTCACAGTATGTTAGTTTGCTTATTTTATCCCTTACGGTAAAATGAGGGTATTCATTCTTGTCCTTCCTGTGAGTAGGACTGATGAGAGGTTTTACTTGATTTTATAGGTTAGAAAGTCCTTCTTTCTTATGATATTGTTATAGTCTCCAAATCAGACTTATTTCATTTGTTTTTTTCTCTCTCAGCAACACTGTTCATGGCAGTGCTGTTTGGTCTTTGACAGCTCCCTGCTCTTTGCCCACTCAGTAACATTCAGACTATTCAGTTTCATTCCATCGGCCTGCCTAACAGTGAGGCTCTGGAATTATTGCAGTTACCTGTCTCTGGCTTTCTCACCTGACTACTTGTCAAGTCTTTGAGGACTGAATCCCACCTTATTTATCCATGTTTCCCATAAGGCCCTGGCCATAATAGATGCCCCTGTTTGCCAGTGAGTGACTGTGCTTTGCAACAGTTATGGGCACTCCACAAATGTAAATGATTGCTCCTTTTATAGGTCAGTGGGTGATTCTCATTCTTCCATTAGTCTGTGTTGTGACTTCATCATTCTCTCTCTTTTTTTAAAAGTTTTTATTTAATAAATGCATTTTAATAGGTACAACTTTAGGAACCCTCCCTGACTCCCATTCCACCTCCCTCGCCCTCTCCCATCTCCTTCTTCATTATGCATCATTTTTAGTTTGATTTTATATACAGAAGACCAACTCCATGTTAAGCACAGATTTCAACAGTTTGCACCCACCCCCCCACACACAACACGTAGACTACAGTTTGATACCAAGATTTTCAGTCAATTTTCATAGTATAACTCATTAAGGACAGAGGTCCTACATGGGGAGTAAGTGCACAATGACTTCTGTTGTTGATTTAAGAATTAACACTCTTATTTATGACGTCGGTGATCACCCGAGGCTCTTCCCTTGGGCTGCTAAGGCTATGGAAGCCTTTCATGACCACAGACTCCATCAGTGTTTGGACACAGCCATAAGCAAAGTGGAAGTTTCTCTCCTCCCTTCAGAGAAAAGTACATCCTTCTTTCCACTGAGGTCTCACAGAGATCCTTCATGTAGGATTTTTTTTTTTTTTTTTTTTTTTTTTTTGCCACGGAGTCTTGACTTTCCATGCCTGAAATGTGGCTTCATCATTCTCAATAGTACTGATGGCTGCTTAGGAATGTCATGCTCTTGAACTTAGAGCCCTGGCACTCCAAATGTTGCCCTTAGATAGGCAACCGCCTATACACTCAGGGAGCCAGAGTCACAGGGTGATTCATTCTTCAGCTGTCACGAGTACTACATTGAACCCATTTGCTTTCTTACCAGCTTCTCTTTGTATTTCACCCAGAGCCCACACAGTAAAGTTTATCGCAGTAAAGTTTCACTTTGGCTTTTCTACCCTGGCTGAGTACAGGAATCAACTTCGGAATATTTGGAAACTACCCCTGAGTGGGCTCTGAGCCTGGTTCCACACCACACTGGTTCTCTGTGTCTGGGCACTGGTGTGCTTGTAGATGCTCCTTAGGTAATCCCAGTAGGCATCATTTACTGCAAACCACTGCATCACATCTCCTCTAGGCACCAAATAATAAAATGTTGTTTGGGAACTTAAAGTGCCTTAGAATAAAGGTACCTCAATATCTTTACTTCTCCTGGATATCTGGGTTCAGAAATTTTAGTTTCTCCTCTTCCCAGTTCCTACTGGTCTTTTGTGCCTATTGTGTACCAACCCTGAAGAGGGAGAATGGATCTTTTCCAGTAGTGTAGTTTCCACCACATCTGCTTTTCCATAAGAATGGCCCGGGCTCTGTAAAATACTGTTCCCTGCCTCTCCCCTGAATTCAGGAGGTCAGGGATGCAGCCTACAAGTTTGCTCTTGATCAAGACCCTGGGAAGTTGTTGCACCGGGAAATTTGGGGATATACTGACATAGTTAAAAGTTTGATGGCTAAAGAGAATTCAAGTAACTGACTTTTGAGTTCTCTTTCAATTGTATAGATCCTGGACATGCGTATGTGCATTTGGAAGCAGGGATGTTGTCCCAAGAAGCATAAATAAAGTCTATCAAATAAATAAATAAATAAAGTCTATCTAAGTACATGGGAAACATAAGTCAGAGAATTACAGAAACGGTATGGGAGAATTGGATTTTAGTCCCAGTTTTATTTCAAATTAGTTATATGACCTTATATAATTCAGAGTTTCAGTCCCACAACTTCCTCAGCTAAAGAATTGGATTAAATGATTTGGGCTCCTTTTTTTTTTTTTTTTTTTTTTACAGGCAGAGTGGACAGTGAAAGAGAGAGACAGAGAGACAGAGAGACAGAGAGAAAGGTCTTCCTTTGCCGTTGGTTCACCCTCCAATGGCCACCGCGGCCGGCAGCGCACTGCGCTGATCCAATGGCAGGAGCCAGGTACTTATCCTGGTCTCCCATGGGATGCAGGGCCCAAGCACTTGGGCATTCTTCTACTGCACTCCCTGGCCGCAGCAGAGAGCTGGCCTGGAAGAGGGGCAACCGGGACAGAATCCGGCGCCCCGACCGGGACTAGAACCCGGTGTGCCGGCGCCGCAAGGTGGAGGATTAGCCTAGTGAGCCACGGAGCCGGCCTGGGCTCCTTTTAACCACACAATTCTGAGTTTGTCAATTTGGCTTACTCAAAATTTAACCTGGAAAAAACTAAGTTTTCAGTTAGTTTATCTCCCTTTTAATAATAACATTAAAAACAGCCCCAAACATAGGAGCTGCATTTTAATTTGCAGAAGTATATAATTTAATTTTAAAAAACTGATTTCTATATACATTATATTTTGTATGTTCAACTGGTATTTAATCCATTATTAGAATTCTTTTTAGTATTCTTTTTTTAAAGATTTATTCATTTATTTGAAAGGCTGAGTTTACAGAGAGAGAGAGAGAGAGAGAGAGAGTTAGAGACATCTTCCATCTGCTGATTTACTACCCAAATGCCTGCAACAGCCAAGGCTGGATCAGGCCAAAGCTAGAAGCCAGGAACTTCTTCCGAGTCTCCCACATGGCTGCAGTGGCCCAAGCACCTGGGCCATCCTCCACTGCTTTCCCAGGCACATTAGCAGGGAGTTATATCTGAAGTGGAGCAGCAGGTTTCGAACCGGTGCCTATATGAGATTGGTGTCACAGACGGCAGCTTAACCCACTATGCCACAGGGCTGGTCCCCCATTTATTCTGTATAGTTTGCCTTATTATATTAAATTCTCTCAACATTTATTAGGGTACTACTATTTTCCTTTGCCTAAGCACTAGGTGGCGAAAAGATCATATTACTGAGTTACTGCATTCCATGGGCCCTTGGTATGGGAAAAGAAACAGACACCAATGTGGTAAATGGTGTTTAACAGGAATGATCAAGACAGCATGGATTCTAGGAGTTTGCCATGCAGTTAAGAGTGAGAAGGACATTCTAGGCAGGGTGGACACTATGTGAAAATGGCCATGATTTCAAATAGCACAAGAGGAGTATGGAAGAGCTTGGAGAAATGAGGTTAGAAGCATGGGTTGAAACCATATCATAAAGACGCATAGGTGTTATATTAATGATCTTGAGATTAGAGTTATCTCTAAGCATGGTAGATCTGAGCCTCATGAAAATCTGTCTCTCAGTCTTGTGAAATACAGGTTGGCCGTGTGGAGCTGCCACACAGAGGAGTTGGGAAGGTGGTTTAGGAAGCTGTTAAGATTGTGTAGAAACCAAATCAGGGCAGTGGTGGTAAGAAAGCAGTAGAAGGACCAGGTGTCAGGACTACTGCAGAGCTGGGATTCAGGACCATTAGATGTGGGAATTAAGAGACTCCTCAAGTTTCTGCCGTGGCTGACAGAAAAAGGAATCCTTTAGCAAAATGGAGCAAATAGGAGCAGAAGCAGACTTGAGAAATTAACCAAAAGAGAAGAAATGAAGAAACATACAATCGTCTTGGCTGAGAAGGGAGAGGAGAAGGACATGGGCTTCCAGCCAGAAAAGCCTGAATGGAGGGGGCCGTGGAGTCTGCAGATGGAGGAGGAGAGCTGGAAAATCAGGGGGGCTTATGACATGATTCAGGGGGTAATGGTTAGAACAGGTTCAAGACAGGACGAGAGAGAACAGGACCACAAACCCAGCAGCTCGTGAACAGACTAGACGTCTCATTTTTTGATGCAAAAGGGAAAAGAAAAAGAGCTCAGGAAGAAACTAAGTGGCTGGTTTATTAGAAATAAACAGATTGTGGTGGTGGGAAGGCCCCGGCCTCTCCTGTGAGGAAGCCCCAAGGCCATATGCAGAGAACACACCATGTCAACAAAGCTGATGTGTTTTCTGCCCAGCTCGTGTACAGAGCTTCCGGCCGGAAGCAGAAGTCCATCTTCACTTCAGTTCCTGATACTCCTGATCTTTTAAGAGCCAAACGAGGACAGAAGCTTCAGAGTCAGGTAAGAGTGAAGGTTCCTAAATCTGCCCCACTGACATCACACGGACACTTACGTGAACCCGACCTCTCCTGCCTGGTCACAGATTCTCGCCTTTGGTTATTTTGCCCTTTGCTTCAGCTGTATGCTCGTTAATGTAGCCATTCAAACAGCAACTTTCTTTTTTAAAAGACTCACTGCTTTTATTTGAAAGGCAGAGTGATGGAGAGACAGAGTCTTCCGTCGGCTGGTTCACTCCCTAAATGGCCATGGCTAGGCCAGGCTGAAGTCAGGGGTCAGGAACTCCATCTGCGTCTCCCACGTGGGTGGTAGTAGCCCAGATACTTGGGCCATTATCCAGTGCTTTCCTGGGCGCATTAACAGAGAGCATTGGATCAGAAGCACTGTAGCTTGAACTGCCATTTAATATGGGATGCTGACATCACAGGTAGCAGCTTAATCCACTTTGCCACAACACCAGCCCTAGCAAATTTCTTTGCACCGTCATAATTATGTTTTATGTAAGCAAGGGATACCATGTCTTCCTTTGTAACATTTGTCATCGGATGAGCGGTCTGTGGACTTCAAGTAATAAAAATGATTGCTTGATCATCCCACAAGTTCTGCCTATTGTCCACAGTCAAATGAAACCACATTTTATGCAGTCAGATAAAAATGGGGGGAAAATATCTATGAGAATCCTCTCACTCTTCTACTGGCATTCTTTATCACCTGGCTTTCGATTGGACCTAACTGGAGCAGGTATATGTTTTCAAATGTGGGACATAAACAAATTAACAGAAATACATTTAGTAAAAAAACAAGCAAACCCAGACAGGTAGACACTGCCTTCCCATTTAAGGCTTAGAAGTGAATGAAGAGAGTTGAATACTACATACTAAGTGGTTTGTCTCTGTACTATCTTACCCTATTCTCTTACTATTCAGTATCTGTATGTTGAACTTGCCACCAAAGAAAGACCCCATCATCATGCTGGAAATCAGACCACAGCCTTAAAGCATGCTAGAGATGTGAAGGACATGGTGAGCGAGGTAAGATGGGGATTCAGCACTTGAAGCACCGGGCTAAAGAAAAAACCCTTTGTTAAACCCTTCACCTGCTGTCTGTGATCAGAGGGCTCATTACTACAGATTGTGTTCAGCATCATCAAAACACAGAGGATAAAGCTGTTCTCTTCAAGAGTGTGATGTATTGTGTCTGTCTGCTGGAGTTGTGACTTGCTTGTGAATTCGTAAGGATGGAAGACACGTAAACTGAAGTTTGCCTTTCTCTTCTACTTTTACTTCTTAGAAAAAGTACAAGGTTCAATATGAAAAGATGAAGGACAAGTACACCCCAATTCCAGATACACCAATCCTCATCAGAGCCAAGAATGCCTACTGGAATGCCAGTGATGTATGTATCTCTCCCCTCCCTTCTTTTGTTGTGATAGGGAGAGCTGAGGTAGAAGTATGTCAGAAACAAGATAGTTCAGTCACATTTGTGGTTCAGGATCATGGACAGTATAGATCAGGAAAAAAACCACAAACACTAAAACAACACTGGTCAAGCAAAGTAGCAAAGAATAATGTGGAGAGATGCTAGAACCCTTGTCTTCTCAGTTCTCTCCAGGGCAAAAAGATGACTCTTTCTTGTAATTCTTCAGTAGCATATCTTAGGAATCCTCAACAATTAATTTACTTTTCCATAAAATCATAGTCTTGATGTCACCCAAATACGGATTCAATTCTGGATGCTGTCATATGCCTGATGTTTGACTCTTAGATAATTTGTCAGATTTTTTAGAATCTCTCATCCTATAAATGGAATGGGGATGAGAATCACAATAATAAGTTGAAATAAGATAATGTGTATTTTCTGGCACATTTCTGGACCTTTAGTTGAGACTCTAAATATCCCCCATCTTCTTTTAGTTGCCAACATTTAGACCTTGCCAATGACACGTGACACATTGGTTAGAAGTAGGAGGGACAGGTCTCATTTTCCATATCATGTGATCGAGGACAAGACTGCCTGTTCACAGTAATGATGATACAAAGTTAATCAACCCACAGTAGATAGCCAGAATCTACCAGTTTTGTGTCTTAAGAGGCCAACTGCAAGTTCCTTGTGCTCACTACCAGGATCAGAACCTCCTAGTGGACTTGAAATATTGGTATGTAAGCTAGAAGCTTAAGCTAGCTTCATAACTCTTCAAGTTCACAATCTAGCCCTAGGATTTCAAGGCATCTTAAGGTAGTTGTGATGGTCTATGTCATAAGTATTTATTTGGAGCTAAGAACTAGTTGCAAAGAGGTAATACCGGTTAGTGCTTAAAATAGAAGCTAAGGAAATCACATTCCCCTCAAATCCTGTGCTTTAGGATATTTTTGCCTTCTTGTGACATTTCCCCATCTTTGTCACTTCAAGGTTATTGTTGAATATCAATTTGAACCAAGCGTAATTTGCATCTCATGGGAGTAGCAACCCAGTTAAATTGGCTCCTGGGGTTCATGATGCCCCACTGGTCAGCCCCATCCCTACGGCCTCAGCAGTACTAATTCTGCTAACTCTAATCTTAAACTAGTCCCATATAGCAAGGGTGGTATCTGGCATTAAATTCAGTGGCTATCCCCCTATATTGAGCCAAGTGACTTTATGAGATTATCCATCTAAAAGGGGAAAGCTGCAAAGTCAAAGAAAAGACACTTCTGTTATATATTTAATCAGATGCCCATAAAAGAAAACTGCTTGAGGTTGAAAGGCTGCCCAGAGAAGTACCCACCTTGTGTAGATGAAATTAATCTTCTAGGATATTCTTGGGTTAGAACAAGAACTGATTTCTCTTAAATTATCACAAAAGTAAAGATTATAATGAAAGAAAATTTCAGGACTGCTTCGTGCAGAAGACATTCCAGTACCAGCATTTAGAAGAAAAATCTTTCTCCCCTTGCCATCTATATAAATATATTCATATATTGGGCTGACTAAGGTTATGTTTGGTCTTCTTCCTCCCCCAAAACGAACTTTTGGCTTATTTTTACATTTAAATGAGCTTGTTATTTTAAGCAGTCTTAGATTTATATAAAACTGGCAAAGATAATAGAGGAGGCTTCCATAAATCCCCCACTCAGCTCTCTCTGATGTTAACACCTTACATTACCATGGTATACTTGTCACTACAAATGAACTAAATCATCTGCATACTTTGTTTGGGTTTCATTCATTTTCCCTAATTGTCTTACTTGAATTTTCTGAAACTTATTCTTGGGAAAACATAAGAGAAGTCAAGCTTAAAAGAGCTCAGTTATTTCATTTAGTAGTCCCTGTGATCTGTAATGGGCTTTTTCTCTTTCTAGCTACGCTACAAAGAAACATTTCAAAAGACCAAAGGGAAGTACCACACTGTGAAGGATGCTCTGGACATTGTTTATCATCGCAAAGTCACAGATGACATCAGTAAAGTATGTCATGAATTAATCCTACTTGTGCTGGGCTCTGTAACCCCCCCATCATTAAAAAGATATTTTTAAAAATTAATGAATGTATTTGAGAGGGACACAGACATAGAGAACTCCCATCCATGAGTTCATTCCCCAAATGCTCATCACAGCAGCCAAGGCAGGGCTGGGCTGAAGCCAGGAGCTAGGAACTCCCACATGGGTTGCAAGAATCAACTACTTGGGCTATCACTGCTGTTTCCCAGGGTGTGCTTTAGCAGGAAGCTTCAGTCAGGAGCCAGAGCCAGGTAGCAAACTCAGGCAGTCTAACGTGAGATGCGAGTGCCCTACCAGGATCCTAACCACTAAGCCAAATGCCCACTCCCTCCCTGCCCCCATTTTTAATCATCCTCTGTTTTCTAAATGACAGAAACAGACCTTTTTACATTGCTTCTGGGTAAGACTCCATGGCTCTCTGTATTTTTACAACAGGTGAAATACAAGGAGAACTACATGAGACATTTGGGAATCTGGAGGTCTATTCCCGATCGCCCAGAACATTTCCACCACCGGGCAGTCACGGATGCCGTCAGTGATGTGAGTGTTGAAATCTTCCATTTTCACAAATTCCTGTTCCTGTGGTAGTTAGGAAGTCGAGCACTGCACTAAGCCGATGAAATCCCTGACTAGATTCAAGATCTTGAGTAGGGATATGTAAATCATAAAAGTCAATTGCTAAGTGAGTGAATTGCAATTTAAGAGAGGGAAAATGTATTCAAATTTATAAGCCTAATTTTTCTTCTAAATGTATGGTATCATAATACATAACTGGAAGTGCTATTTTTCACCTAGGAAATAGCCTATATTTGATCCATTGGAGAGACAATATCATGAAGCAATTAAGACCCATAACAGAGCCGGCGCCGTGGCTCAATAGGCTAATCCTCCACCTTGCGGCGCCGGCACACCGGGTTCTAGTCCCGGTTGGGGCGCCGGATTCTGTCCCGGTTGCCCCTCTTCTAGGCCAGCTCTCTGCTATGGCCAGGGAGTGCAGTGGAGGATGGCCCAGGTGCTTGGGCCCTGCACCCCATGGGAGACCAGGAAAAGCACCTGGCTCCTGGCTCCTGCCAGGATCAGCGCGGTGCGCCGGCTGCAGCGGCGGCCATTGGAGGGTGAACCAACGGCAAAAGGAAGACCTTTCTCTCTCTGTCTCTTCTCGTCAGGACTCTGCCTGTTGCCCAGCGTCACGGAGGGCCATCGAGGGGTGAATCCACACGTGCTAAAAGGGAGGACTTTTCTTTTTTTTCTTCTCTTCTGGTCCCTCAAAAAATAAAAAAAAAAAAAAAAAAAAAAAAGACCCATAACAATGCTCATTTAGAAAGAAATTGCAGCTCTCTAAATGAAAATATAGCTGCCAAGTTCATGATATACTTTCTAGGAAACTATGCCTGTTAATTTGAATTGCTTTCAATTAGTATGAAAAATGAAAATTCTCATATACCATGGCATAATTCACCATAAAATGAGCAGAAATCAGTATTACTGAAAACTTTTTAAATAATGGTTTTAATACTTTATTTCTCCACCTGTCTCCGGGGTCAGAGTCTCTATTTGTCCCATGCGTATGGATGCTAACACAATGTTGTTTGGAGATAGGTTCTTAAAACACTTTGATGATGTTCTTCTTCCCTAGATAAAATATAAAGAAGATTTGACCTGGCTGAAAGGTATTGGTTGCTATGCTTACGATACACCTGACTTCACTCTGGCTGAAAAGAACAAGACTCTGTACAGCAAGGTATCTACTTGGGGAGAATGGCTACATCTATTCAATACATACCTACAGAGAGAATTAGTACTGAAGAAATAGCCTTCCTTACCCCCTATTCTTCCTCTAGACTCTCTAGTTGAAAGGCACACTGAATTATTCACATTCTGTAGGAATTTCTTTGGTACTTACCTCCTTGACTATAGTCGCTTATTTGAATTTGATGAGAAGTCATCTCAGTACAACTCATGGCTCTCCTAGAATTCTTTCCCTATTAGGTCCCTCTGGGTGATTTGCCCTCTTAGAGCTGATACAGTAGCAAATATAACATGGGGTGCTTTTAATGCACAGATGATGCGTGACTTGAGGCAAACCACTTAGCTTTATGGCTTCATTTTCCTATTTACAAAACAAAGCAGTTGAATTAACTTCCCTTTGAGCTATAAAACTGGAGTTAGTCAGCTTTTTCTGGAAAGTGCCAGATAGTACTTCTTTTTTTTTAAGATTTATTTTATTTATTTGAAAGAGTTAGAGAGAAAGGTAGAGACAGAGAGGGAGGTCTTCTGTCCGCTGGTTCACTCCTCAAATGGATGTGGCTGAGCTGATCTGAATCCAGGAGCCAGGAGCTTCTTCTAGGTCTCCCATGTGGGTGCAGGGGCCCAAGAACTTGGAACTTCCTCCACTGCTTTCCCAAGCACATTAGCAGGGAGCTGGATTGAAAGTGGAGCAGCCGGGACTTGAACCAGCACCCATAAGGGATGCTAGTTCTGCAGGCTGGGGCTTTAGCCTGCTGTACCATAGCACTGGCCCCTAGATAGTACATATTTTAGACTTCATAGCCCACTAGTGCATATTCATTCTAGAACATACTCTTATTTTTTTCATTACAACCTCTTAAAATTATAAAAGCTCTTTATAATTCACAGGACTTTTTGAAAACAGGTGGTAGGCTGCATGGGTCATAGCTCACATCTGCTGAAAAGATTATTATTGTATGATTAATTACTGGAAAGCTATATTCAAATTAATGGGCTAAAACTGATCATCAAGTACTTGCAGAAAAAAAAACCTTGCAAGTAAGCTATTCATAAAGTATGAAACAACAAAAAGAATTTGCTTAGATTTTGGTCCAATATGGAAAATAGTTCTGTTTGACATCTATTCGATGAAGCTGTCTTCTAGTATATATTTTTGGCTAGTTTGTAAGGTTTCCTAGCAAGTCTACCTTTCATTGCCTTGGAAACAGAGTAAACACTCAGTAAATATTTGTTAGCTCTATGAATGAAGAATCACAAGTATATAAGATAAATAGCATGTGTCATTCTTAATCACAACCTGTTATCAACTAATCTGTTGTATTTTCTCTAGTATAAATATAAAGAGGTATTTGAAAGGACAAAGTCAGATTTCAAGTATGTCGCCGACTGTCCAATCAATAGACATTTCAAGTATGCAACTCAGTTGATGAATGAGGTATGTATGAACCAATCCACTAAAACCTATTTAGTTCCCATAGGAAGTCCATAGAGTTATTTGTTTAAAATCCAGTGCATAGAGGACAAGAAAGGCATCCTGAAGGTTCACCCAAAATAAATATAAGATTTGAAAAGATTCTAATGTCACCAACAGATAGGCTCTGGCAAAACCATGAATAAGCAATGAAGGGAGTATTAAGAGTGGTGAGAGGGCCAGAAGTCAAATGCAGCTCTGTTTGCACTGACACAGGGCAGCACAGCCCCATGAGTGTTGAGAGCAAGAAGGTAAAAGATTTTGTTGAATGTCAGATGACCTCCCTTAAACAAAATACTGTGTGCTGGTGGGGGACCCTGAAGTTCAAGGTTAATTTAGTTTTTTCCACAAAGATACCAAAAGGAGAGTGGTTAGGGGAGCCACCCCTCTGCAGATAGTAGTGATTCATGTACTCACATGTATTGCGAGGATTACTTCCACATATTAGTGCACAAAAATAATCATTTGTACCCGGAATTTCCCTTTATATTCTACCTAGTCATTCCTGTAGCCATCTTTGCAATAATTTCAGTTAAATTTATCTTAAGATGACTGAAATAAGCAAGCTATGAATTTATTTGTTTGAATGTTTTTATAATTAAACCTGTATTTAATTTTGAATTCTCAGGCTTTCCATGGATTTCTATAAGTTCTAAAATAATGATAGTAAATTTGTAAAACTTAGATAAAAATGAAAATGTCAGTAGTATACTAAATATGATTTTTATGGTTTTTAAAAATTTTTATATTTTACATTTTCAGTAGGTTTCTAGGCTGAACACCTCTGAAGAATTATTGTCAGTAGCTTCCTAGGAAGGCAGTCTTGATATGTTTTGCTTCTATTTCACAAAGGATTTTCAGTTCTCTTGTGTAATCAAATAAATTCATAAGTTTTAGAAGATGACTATAACTTTTCTATGAATATTTTAGCATCAGGTATGCTTTTGGATTCTCACAGCCTTAGCAGTAATCTTGTAACTTGTCAGTACCTCATTTTAAATGCAGTGCAGATGCCATCAAACCTAACAATGGCAACAGTATCCTATGTACAAATAGACAATGCTCAGTGTCATAACTCAGATCTATCCCAAGCTCCAGCTTCTTCCAGGTCATCTTGCTTCTGTTGACTCTCTTGCCTCCCTGTTTTGATTGCCCTGGGTGCTTGGAGAACCCACTTCTGGAAATGATATGCTTTGACTCTGGAGTATTTACTTTGGGACATTTCTGTGTAGTCTTGAAGTTGTACTCTTGCTATAATCTGATATGATGTTTGAGCAGAAAAAATACAGAGCTGACTATGAGCAGCGGAAAGATAAATACCAGCTGGTAGTCGATGAGCCTAGACATCTGTTGGCTAAGACTGCAGGCGACCAGATCAGTCAGGTACTGTGCTGGGGCTAGCCAATGGCCCAGACAGAACTGTTTTTCTCATGAGGTGTCGTCCCGTCTGCTGCAAGGATGTCATAGGTTCTGCCTATGATATTGGGCTGTCCTGTTTCCAAGTATATGTCTAGCCACCCAAAGAGCCGGTGAGCTATTTGAGTGTGCCAGTCCATGCTCTGTGTACTCACTGGTGCTGTGGTGAAGGGAAAAAAAGAAAAGCTGGGTCTTCCCACCATTTATTCTCCTGGAGAACCTGTTTGTAAATGGCAAAATGCATTGCAAAAGCTAAAGAAGCAAACAACGAATGAAAGGAGACAAGAGGGAACTCCTTTCTATACTTTTCTTTTTTAATGATGTCTTTCTCTATAAACCATTTTGGTGGTAACATAAGTGAGCCTAGCTCATTCCCCATTCCCAAGGACTGCTGGGTGGTCCATTGCAAGTGCTACAGTCACTCTGTGTGGCACAATCACATATTTGGTGTCTTCCTTCACCCACACATCCGTGTGAGCACATAAAGCGTGTCTGCCTACATCTCTTCACTCAGAGGTGATGGGGATATAGAGCCATGTTCTCTTCTGTCTTCATAAGTCTCTTTTGTGCTTCACTGCTCTTTGCATGGACAGAGAAAATATAAATCTAGTGCCAAGATGCTTCTGAAACAAGGATGTAATGAAATTCTGCGTCCAGATATGTTGACTGCTCTCTACAATACTCACATGTGGAGTCAGGTAATGTCGGTGGGGCATGAAGGAGGTTTAGAAGTCTTGGGGCATTCCCTTCCGGGCCGTCATCGATTTCCTCTCCCTGCTCCATGCACATGCTGATTTCACATAAAGCTCACGAATACTCCTTCCTTGTAAGTGAACTCTGGATGCAGCTAAGTGTCACCATGGGACAGATGTCATCCTTATGTATTCTGACACTGCTGGAACTTCTGCTATGACTGACTGAGACTCCTTCAGACACGATTTCCAAATTGATGTAACATTCATTTGTACTTTTTAGTATTTCCTCTCAGAAATAGATTCCTTAGAAATTGAGGACACCAAGTAGACTCAACATCATGAAGAGGTCTGAATGTGTAATGTTTTCATTGTTCAGTTATCACTGCAGCTGTGCCATTTGGAAGAGATGAGATGAGGATTATCATGCTGCTCTTTGAATATTCTCCTTCTTATACTACATCTCAAGTTTGATGCTAAATTGTTAGGTTACTTCCAGCCTTTCTGATCTCACCCATATTTGTTTACAGAAATGCTGTTAACACTGCCTTCCTACAAGGCCAAGTGTAGCATATGTTGCTACCTTTCCACCCCATGATGAATAGCAAATTTGAAGAAGCAATGACAGTAATGATTAGTTAACTACTACATTCAATGTCAGTATAATACCATTATCCCAGACCCTTTGCCTAATTTTTAAATCGGTCTTTTAAACTAGCAACTTGTTTCATCATTTCACCATCAAGGCAACACGTGTGAAATGAAGAGAATGCACCCTTGGGATAAACTTCCTGTTTGCCTGAACTTTCTCCTTCGTCCTGATGTGATCATCATAGTTGTGCATGAAATCCTGCTGTGCTTTCTGTATCCGTTCTGCTTGAAACAGCTTATGTGCATGAAAAAAAAATTGTGACTTGGAAATTACAAAAGTAAATGCACTTTTTAAAAGGATAAATACTTCAAAACTATATATATTCACTATTATTTTACATCTCTCTTTCATCTTTGAGATGGAAAAATACCTAAAATGATCATACATATTCAATGAAATATGTTGGGAGTGAAACAAAACTTATCAGAGTCCAGAGAACAAGGCCCTAGTCTGGCTCTGAGATCTGAGATTCACTCTACTTGTACCCCTGGCTCTGTCCTATAAGCCCTTGAGGCCTCAGTTTGTTTCAATATATATAAAATGTATTGGAAGATTTTTATTATCTGCTCACTCCATTACATGATTGCTGTCATGTACAAACTTAAATTAAACATTTCCAGTTAGATAAAAAGCCCCATGACACTTTAATTCTGGTGTTTCCAGAGCAAAATTAGGTTTCTAAACTGCCTGTTTTCTCCTTTGAGTTAACTGGTTCTTTTCTCCCCCAATTTAGATCAAATACAGGAAACAATATGAAAAATCAAAGGACAAATTCACCTCAATTGTGGATACTCCAGAACACCTGCGTACCACAAAAGTCAACAAACAGATCAGTGATGTAAGTACAAGAAACACTGAACAGATTCTCTAACCCGGGGGACATTCTAGATCATGAAAATGTCTGAAGACTGCTGCCACTAAGTGGAAGGCAGCCAGGGACATTTAAAGTCCGATGCACAGGACTCTTCTTTCACAGTAAAGAATGGTTCCAGCCAAATTGGCAGATATGCTGGTTGGGAAACATTGAAGCCTTGGCTGGGCGCATGCAAGCACCTGTTGAATTGATAGAACTCTGTCTCCTCTAGATTCACTCAAAAGCAACCTTTGTGTTTGTATTTTTGCATTATAACTTGAGAAGTATAACCGTGTCTTTCTGCTTTTTGATGTTCTTCAGATACTTTATAAGCTGGAATACAACAAGGCCAAACCCCGAGGCTACACCACAATCCACGACACGCCCATGCTGCTGCACGTCCGCAAAGTCAAAGATGAAGTCAGCGACGTAAGTGCCAGCATGGGTTCTCAGCGCCTCTGATCGTGGCCTCTTCCTAGTGAGATACAGCAAACCCTGGTCTGGCTTCCTCTTCCTGTGTAACAGCCACCTTAACACTTAGTGGCTTACAGTGACAACCAGCTATTTTGGTCAGGATTCTGTGGGTTGACTTAGCACAGCTGAGTTCAACTCCATGTGCTGTTGGCAGACATCTGGGGCTGAGCAGGGCCAAGAAAGCTGAGGTGGCTCGCTCACAAGGCTGGCAGTGATGACAGCAGTGGACTTGGGAGTTCAGCTGCTGTACAAACAGAAATCCCTCTGTCTTAGTCTGCTTTGTGTTGCTATAACAACATACCTGTAGGTTGGCAATCTGTAAAGAAAAGAGATTGATTTAGCTCCTAAGATTCTGGGGGTTGGCAAATCCAAACATCATGGCTTCTGGTGAGGAGGCCCAGATGTATTACAACATGGCACATGGTGTCACATGGTAGGAGGCTGCTCTGTGTATGAGAGTGAGTGTGAAGGTGAGAGAGAAAGAGAGGTATGGCATATGGCAAGAGAGGAAGCAAGAGACCACAGAGGGGCCAGGCTTGCTCTTTTACGACAACACACTCCCACTGGAACCTACCCACTCTGCAAGCCCAGCAGCAGTCCCTGCACCAGAGCAGTCCCTACCCAGTGAGCTCCCACTAGGTCCCACCACCTTTCAACACTGTTAGGTTGGAGAGTTAAGTCTCAACATGAGGTTTGGTGGGGACAAACCATATTCAAATTACAAGTCATGCCATATGACTTGGACATTTTACAGTACTGTGACTAGATTCAAAAGTGAAGAAGTAGAAGTTTCCAGATCAATTAATGGCTACTTCTAGAACTGGTTTGGCATCATGTCTGCCATATTTTACATGTCCTGATTCAAGGGGTAAAGAGATATACATCCCCTCTGGATGAACAAATAGTAAGAGCATGTTGCGGAAAACCATGTGAGATGGGGGTATTATTGAGGCCCTTCTGAAAAATGCCATGTGCCACACACGCTATTAATATTTGATAAGTTTCTATCTTGACTAAGAGGCACAGACTAGCTGCTATATTCTATTACAAATTGTACTCATAAATTTTCATATATCTAGCTCTGTTCTTTTTTAAAAAAGATTTATTTATTTATTTGAAAGGCAGAGTTACAGATAGGCAGAGGCAGAGAGAAAGGTCTTCCATCCACTGGTTCACTCCCCAGATGGCTACAACCAGCAGATCTGGGCCGATCCGAAGCCAAGAGCCAGGAGCTTCTTCTGGGTCTCCCACGTGGGTGCAGGAGCCCAAAGACTTGAGCCATCTTACACTGCTTTCCCAGACAATACCAGAGAGCTGGATTGGAAGTGGAGCAGCCAGGACTCAAACAGCGCCCATATGGAATGCTGGCACTACAGGCAGCGGCTTTACCCGCTACGCCACAGAGCTGGCCCCTAGCTTGATTCTGTGGCTGAAAACAATCAATATTGTGGTTAACAACAACAACAACAAAGTTCAGTGTTTAAAAAAATGTATCATGGGTACATGAACTTCTGGGTACCAGAAGAGAATAGTCAAGGCAACTATGGAATGACCCATACCCATCCCAAAGCCTTGACTATAGCTAGAGGTCAGGAACCCTTCAGTAGATGAATAAATGTTCATACTGTTGACCTTCAGACTCCATGAAAAAAATTGCATATATTCAGTGCTCTGGTATCTGTATTAGGGAGACAGAAATGTATGAAACATTTTAGAAATGTTAATAAGTTGGGCACTACACACTGTGCACATCAGTTGTCTACCATCAGGTAAATCGCTTCTGTGGGACAGTCTCTTCCCAACACTGCAGAAAAATGAAGCATTTTCGACATCCATTTCCCCAAACTTTTTGATGATAGGAATACCATGGGCTATTGATAAAAAAAATATGAAGGTTGAGGCCTCTCCCCTAAAGATACTGCTGAGTAAGGCTCAGATTGGGCCCTAGATCCCTGAAGAGTGAAAATGGATGGAGCTAGAAGCCCAGATGAGGAAGTTACCTCCAGAGGCTAAGCCTTCCCTGTGCCCCTCCTGCCTGCCCAAACCCACATATACCACAGCCTGCGAGGTATGGCTCTAGCAGTGACAACAGTGATCACCGTAACCATTCATTCATTCACTCCTCAAATCCTTATTCAGCTTCTATGCACCTGACACTAGGAATGAAATGATGAATGGCACACAGCATTTACCCTTTAGGGGGCTTAGCTTAATGGAAAGCAGGCAGCCAAACAAATAATTACAATATGATATCATACCAGCTAGAACTGTGCAGCATAGAAGGAGAGCAAGACTGACTGTGCCCAAGTGAGCTGCTGGAGAAATGCTTCACTGCTATCAGCAGTTTTCATGATGTTCTGATTTGAGGATTGGAAAACCTATGTAGGTATCTGTCCAGTTTTCCATGCTTAGGCTCAGGGACATAAATTCTAAGGCGACACTGATGACCATGGTCAATGTGTCCTGGGGGAGTAGGTCTTAAGATCAGAAATGGGACAGTGCTTCTCTGTGTAGCTACATCCTTAATTCACACCAGGTTTTTTAAAACTCTGTCTTCAAGGGCGTTGTGCACTCTAATCGTAGTTTTAATATCTTGGCTTGGAAGACACTTAGTAGGCTGCTATAAAAAAATTAACCTGTCACTGTTCCCTCCCACAGCTGAAATACAAGGAAGTTTACCAAAGAAATAAATCTAACTGCACGATTAAGCCAGATGCTGTTCATATCAAGGCAGCCAAGGACGCCTACAAAGTCAACACCAATGTAAGTTTCAGGAACGTCTCCAAGCCTGAGAGGGGATTTATCAGCTGCGGTGGATGGAGCTCTTGGTAGCCCAGATCTAGCAAGTCAGGCCCCAGGAGCACGAGTGATAAGGCTACAATTAAATACTGCCTTTGCCCTCACAGAGGGGCCTGAGGTAGAGCAAGGGTGGCCTCACCACCACGCTGTTGGTGCTACAGCCTCCATGGTGGGTAGCTGAGAAATAGACGGTCAATTGTGAAAAGAAGGGTGCATTTTGAAAAGGGCTTTAGCAGCTGTCATTCTCTTCCTCTGTGTCTCTGTGTCCCCCTCTTGCACCAAACTCTAGAGCCAGCTGCATCTGAACGAGAGCACGTTTGAGCTACTTGTTATCTTCAGGAGTTGGCCTAGATCTTCCTCCACTCAGATACTCCTTGCACTGACTCATTCCTTTGGGTGGGGCATCTTGCAGCCTAAGCTGGAGAAACAGTTTTGTGAATTTAGAGAAACTCTATCTTTTTGAAAATATGTAAATGGTTGTATAATGAAACCATTATAACCCAACTGGTGCCCACAAATAGCAGAGAGAACATATATTTATTAGAGCCAGCCAACTGAGACAGATGCCTGGAGGAGCTGGGAGGTAGCTTGCGGGAGTCCTGAGGATCGACTGGGAGATGGGTTGAGGGACAGAATAGATGTGGGATCATTCAAATACAGGAAAGCGTACATTGTGGAATCCAGGTAGGTAGTGGCTCTGTAGGTGTTCACTTCAAGATGTTTGCAGCTGTTTTGTACATTTAAACTTTGAGGGGGGGGGCGGTCTTCCATCTGCTGCTTCACTCCCCAAATGGCAGCAATGGCTGGAGCTGGGCCAATCCAAAGCCAGGAGCCAGGAGCTTCTTCCGGGTCTCCCATGTGGATGCAGGGGACCAAGGACTTGGGCCATCTTCTACTGCTTTCCCAGGCCACAGCAGAGAGCTGGATTGGAATTAGAGTATCCAGGGCTCGAACCAGTGCCCATATGTGATGCCAGCACTGTAGGTCGCAGCTCTACCTGCTGCGCCACAATGCTAGCCCATGAAATTTTTATAATTTATTTAATTGTCTAATTTATAAAGCACTTAGAAAAGTACCTGGCACAAAATAGCCTCAGAGTTTCTTTTTTTTTTTTAATGCATTCCTGAATTTAGTTAGGAATTAAAAATACTTGATTCTGAAGGTGATTGGGCTAGATCAGAAAAGTTGGAGAAATTGTAGAATCATTTCATGTAGAGGCCTTTCAAAATTGTAATCCTTATTTTGGGACCAAAAGGTCCTAAGTGATGACCTCAGAATGATTGACTAACTGCATAAATTGTACAGAAATTTTAACTGAGCCTCTGTTTTGCATTAAGAACCCTGATTTGTGATGTGTTAAAAATGTCCTGTGCCATATGTGTTTATGAATCCAGCCTACTGACTGAAGTCGTTTTTTTCCATGTTGTTAAAAACAGCTGGACTACAAAAAGCAGTATGAAGCCAACAAAGCCCACTGGAGGTGGACCCCTGACCGACCGGACTTCATCCAGGCTGCCAAGTCATCCCTGCAGCAAAGCGATGTACGGTGGGAGACACACAGGCTGCTGCAAGGGTCTTCATGACAGCCCCTTTTGTGGGCATTAACCCAGCTCCTTGAAGAGCCAAGGAGGAGAAGGGGGGTGGGGGAATGAAAGGCAAGCTCAGGAAGCAATCCTGGCCTTGGAGCCTGTTCTCTTCCTCCTGGGCCCAGGCCCTAAAGGCTGGGAGTGTTGGCTGAGGCCGGGGAGGTAGGAGGGGTTGCAAAGGAGGAGCCCAGCACGCAGTGAGGGCCGGGAAGCCCCTCCTCTCCTTCATGGCCCCTTACGAAAACTGATACAATCAAGCATCCAGCTTCCTCCTGGGCTGCGACACTGTCCCTCTTCCTTTCCTTTCTCCTGCTGTAGTTTGAATATAAGCTCGACCGGGAGTTCCTCAAGGGCTGCAAGCTCTCTGTCACTGATGACAAAGACATGGTGCTGGCTCTCAAGAATTCTTTAATAGAAAGTGACGTAAGTACCCAGTCCCCTCCGGGATGCCTAACCTCACTCAGGGCCATCGTCTGTGACTGTGTCCCCAGGGCCACCCAGGAAGGGACAGAGGCGAGCTGCTTCTGTAGGGGCTCAGGGGTGGGTCCTGAAATCTGGCCCTCCCTCAAGGGACCCCAGTGGCCTGGTTCGGCAGGGCAGCAGCTGTGCGGTGGCCACTAAACCCAGGTGATGGGTCTTGAGATGTACAGCACCAGACCGTTCACACAGCCGCACCCAGGAATCTGAAAGTCTGCCTAGAATCTATTGGGAAACCTAATCATTCATTTTCCATGGGCTCATACTCTTCCGATATGAGAGGTCATCAGAGCTTATGGAAAGTGCATATTATGAAAAAAAAAAAAACCTAGGGATGTTGGAATCTTTTAATTCCATTTTTCCATCAATTTTTTGAGGGAGCCTTATACTGTGGGTTCCTTGTTTGTAAAGGAGAAATAACAATGACTTCCAGGGTTTACAATGACATAACTGAGAAAGTTCTGAACTGAAATCTACCTGTAAAAGACTCATCATCAGATCCATTTTTATGTTAAAACCCCAACTTTCAAGAAGTAAGGGGGGGTGGGAGCCCATGAATGTTTCCAAGATTTCCAAGAATCAAACCTTTTACTGAGTTTAATGATCCTAGTTTGTCAGTGATGCCATTCTCCCAGCTTACTAAAAATACGCAGCATACCCAGAGGATCTAAAGCCAGACTTTTGTTCACTCTTATAGTTGAAATACAAAGAGAAACATGTCAAGGAAAGAGGAAGCTGTCACGCTGTGCCCGACACCCCTCAGATCCTCCTGGCAAAGACCGTCAGCAACCTGGTGTCCGAGGTAACCCCCAGCAGCCCATTTGCTCTGCTCCCGTCCCGGCTTGCACTCCAGGCAGGTGCCTTAACCAGCTCTCTGTGGACTCCCGCAGAACAAGTACAAGGACCATGTCAAGAAGCATTTGGCCCAGGGCTCGTACACAACACTTCCAGAGACCCGGGATACCGTTCACGTCAAGAAAGTGACCAAGCATGTCAGTGATGTAAGTGACTGTCCATGGGACTCTTGGCAGCAGCAACGCCATTTAACCTTAGTAGCAGGTGAAAGACTGCAGGCTGCCTTTTTGCTTTCAAATGCTTTCCTTTATGTAGTTTCCCTGATACCATGAAAACCTACAAGTGACTCTTGAACTCTGGTTCAAAAGAGAATCCAATATTTATCAGCTTTCCCCTTACAGCAGATGTAGGTTCTGCCATAGGACTTGTTACCAACCTGTTAATAATGGAAGGAAGCATTTTGCTTAAGGTGGCCCTCCTTTTCTTTTTTTAAGATTTGTTTATTTACTTGAAAGTCAGAGTTACACAGAGAAGGAGAGGCAGAGAGAGAGAGGTAGGTCTTCCATCCGCTGGTTCACGCTCCAATTGGCTGCAGTGGCCAGAGCTGTGCCGATCCAAAGCCAGGAGCCAGGAGCTTCCTTTGGGTCTTCCATGCAGGTGCAGAGGCCCAAGGAATTTGGCCATCTTCTACTGCTTTCCCAGGCCACAGCAGAGAGCTGGATTGGAAGTAGAGCAGCTGGAACTTGAACCAGCACCCCTATGGGATGCCAGCACAGCAGGCCGTGGCTTTACCACTACACCACAGCGCTGGCCTGGTCTCTCCTATCATTAAACTGATAAACAGTTTTAGAGAGGCCTCAGTATTCTCTGCCCACCATATCCTTATCAATAACATAATAATTGTGGCACAGGCAGAGTATTGCTTATCCAAAATACTTGGGATGAGAAGCATTGCAGATTTCAGGTTTCTCCAAATTTTGGAACATTTGCAATACATGAGATATCTTGGGGATGGCACCCAAGTCTAAGCATGCAATTCATATACACTTTATACATATATCATGAAGGCTGTTTTGATACAGCATTTTGAGTCTGACTGCATTTTGACTGCAACTTGCCATAGGAAGCTGGGTGTGGAATTTGTTACCTGTGGTGTCATGTTGGTGCTCAAAAACAGTAGGCTTTGGAGCATTTGAGATTTTCATGGTAGGGCTGCTCAATCCATATTGAGTCTTATTTGGTTCCACACGTTTCAAAAACATAGAAAAAATTTACAGTTCTCTAAAGAAGACCAGGTGGTTCTACTGTTGGGTTCCAGGAAAGAATGATGGGCGAGAACTAGAATATGGGCCACAGAGCTCAGCCCCAAACTGATGCTAAAGGGGGAGCCTTATTTCCTTGGGGATCACCTCACTGTTCAAGTAAATCAACTCTGTTTCCAACTGCCTCTGCTCACATAAGTACTTCTCTGTTTTAGACCAATTACAAAAAGAAGTTTGTCAAGGAGAAAGGGAAATCCAACTACTCCATCATGCAGGAGCCACCAGAAGTGAAACACGCTATGGAAGTGGCTAAGAAACAGAGTGACGTACGTTTCCCTCCCAGCGTTCCCAGGGGCCCATTTGAGGATGGACCCCAGGCTGGTGCATGCTCTCGCTCCAGTGTGTGTTCATCCTAATTCTATAGCTGGTAGTTTGAAAAAATATAGTGGTGGGAACTGGCCTAATTTTAAGTAAAAAGATTGCTTATGCTTAATGAAAACTTCTGGAAAGATGATGAATCTCATGTAAGCGTTTTCTTCTCCAAATCAAGGTTGCTTACAAGAAGGACGCCAAAGAGAGCCTGCATTACACCACAGTGGCCGATCGGCCAGACATCAAGAAGGCCACACAGGCAGCCAAACAGGCCAGCGAGGTATGGGTGTGGCTAAAATATCTCTGGTCTCCAAAGGCCACTCCCAATAAGTAGTCAAGGCACTCATCACCAAGAATGTGTCACCCACTTCGGTTTCCTGTGATTCAGGTGGAGTACAGAGCCAAGTACCGCAAGGAAGGCAGCCATGGGCTAAGCATGCTGGGGCGCCCAGACATTGAAATGGCCAAGAAGGCAGCCAGGCTGAGCAGCCAGGTAATGTAGATGGGCAAGTAGCAAAAATCTGTGCACGAACAAGCAACACCTAGAATGAAAGTACAATATTATCAAAGAGACTCTGGGCCTTTTAGCATTGTAGAGATGTCAAAAGTTACATCATGGAAAAGTGTGCTGAGGACCTTGTCACTATCCTCCTAGGTCTTTCTCAGTCTCCATTTGTCCACTGTGGGTACACATTTACGCATCTGTCTGCTTAACTGTCATTAGGTGACAAAAACACCTGCTTGTCAGGTCCTCTGGAAGCTCTCACCAGGCAGTAAGAGTCACATTCTGAGAGTCTGATTCGTACTTGAGTCGCCTGTGGGAGACTTCTAATATATGAGAGTCATGAAATTCTAACTTCTAGAACCAACCAGATGAAATCTTAGTCTTTCATTCAACATGGAAACATTGAATGCCTGGGCTAGGAACTGTGGATGACCAGATGTCTTCAGACCCCTTGCCTGTGGAGGAATGATTATAATTGGTAAAACAAAGTTTCATCAAGATATGCACAGGTTGCTGGGGTGAAAATGCCCTATGCTAGCTGATGTCATAGGAGTGGTACTGAGAAGGTGGATTCGGAAACGTGTTGCCCAAACCAGAGTCCCACATCACCTAATTTCCCTTGTTAGACCAGTTCTGTAGAATGCCCCCACATTATGACAGGTTTTCAGACCTGGGTCAGACACTCCATGATCTACCACCAGAAACAGAAAGTTTTTGGTCCCATAGGACTTGAACTAAAGATTATCTTTTTTCTACTCCAATTTAGAGATCCCATCTTCTTCTTCATCACCTGTTCTGTTCAAATATTCATTTGAAGAACTAATTTGGGGATATATTTGGTTGTTGTAGGAACTGACTTTTAGCAATACCAGACTTAGAATTCCAATATATTTAGAAGATATCAAGTAATAATTCCAGGTGATGAAACAGATTAGAATTATAGAAAGAAAAAAGGATCAGATGACAGATGACAATTAAATACGATTTTTAGAGTTAAAATTTTAGTACAGTAGTTTTATTATAAATTAATGGAATCATATAACATTTGGAACCAAGCTACAAAAGTCACTCACAAAAAAAGACTAGGAGTAATGAAAGGTAGCAAGAACTTCCTAATATAAAAATGCTTACTATGTTTTTTATTTCCAAAGCCATACCATTATCAAGTTAAAAGCAGATAAATGGCTGGCGCAGCGGCTCAATAGGCTCAACAAGCTAATCCTCCGCCCCTCTTCCAGGCCAGCTCTCTGCTGTGGCCAGGGAGTGCAGTGGAGGATGGCCCAGGTTCTTGGGGCCTGCACCCGCATGGGAGACCAGGAGAAGCACCTGGCTCCTGGCTTCGAATCAGCGCGATGCGCCGGCCACAGCATGCCAGCCGTGGCGGCCATTGGAGGGTGAACCAACGGCAAAAGGAAGACCTTTCTCTCTGTCTCTCTCTCTCACTGTCCACTCTGCCTGTCCAAAAAAAAAAAAAAAAAAAAGGCAGATAAATGATTTTGATGTTTAAAATTTGAAAACTATTGCTTTTGGAAATCGAGAGGGTCATGTTTCTTTCTTTCTTTTTTTTTTTTTTTAAAGATTTTTATCTATTTGAAAAGCAGAGTTACAGAGAGAAGTAGAGACAGAGAGAGAGGTCTTCCATCTGCTGGTTCACTCCCCAAATGGCTGTAACAGCTGGAGCTGAGCCAAACCGAAGTCAGGAGCCAGGAGTTTCTTCCGGGTATCTTACACAGGTACAGGGGCCTAAGGACTTGGGCCACCTTCCACTGCTTTCTTAGGCCATGGCAGAGAGATGGATCAGAAGAGGAGCAGCCGGGACTTGAACCGGCGTCTGTATGGGATGCCTGCACTTCAGGCCAGGGCTTTAACCCCCTGTGTCACAGTGCCGGCCAAGCGGGCCATGTTTCTAATCCTCAGAGATTCCTTTGATCTGGAGAAGCGGATTCAGCCAGGTCCTTTTATGAGCTTGGCTTCCCGAGTCCACATTTTTGTGAACGGCTTGCCCCAGGATTGACCACTTCATGATGTGGCCCTGGCCAACGGGGCCTTCAGCAATGTGTGGGCTCTCCCCGTCTGACTTTGCTATCTCGCTACGTACTCCAGGCAGAATACCTCAAGGGACAAAGCAGAGGGCACGGGCACGGCGCCGCGTCTTATGACACCCCTATGATGAGGCACCTTAAGAAAATTAATGTACTCATCAGCGATGTAAGATGACACAGCAAACCCATCTCCGTCTCTCTCTTTTTCTCGTCTACGGTCTTGGTCTTGGTCTTGGTCAGAGGACTGAACAGCTGTCTTTCTGTTTTGTGTTAGAATGTGTAGATTGCTGTGGACGTTTGTCAAAGGCCATTCTTTTGCACTTGTCCCTCTTTCCCTGCATGACACTTTCCCTCTGGGAGACACCACTTGGAATAGGAAAACAGATTCCAGGTGGCGATGGCATCCCTGTGTTCCTGAGGCTGCTGACACCGATGGAATTAAAAGATGAACTGAAGACCAGTGGAGAATCTCCTCACCAACCACACACAAACCCTGCATCTCCTGAAGTTACTTACCATGTTGACGTTTAATACGTTTAAGACCGGTGTTTAATATAGTTTCTTGGGTGAATCACAGCATGAATCAACAGAATAAGCTTCTTACAATGTTTACTTCGTCCTTTGTCTTAGTCTTCATAGCAGGAAATTGTCTAATCCATAGGCCTGTTCTTCCATTTATAGAAGCACCAGTATACAGTTCAATTCCCTGAAAAGGAGCCGAACAGGTAGATGTTGGAGCTTTAAATGCAGTTAAGCTTTGGAGAGGGGAATTAATTCATATCCACTTCCCTACACGACATCCATACTAGGCCCAACATCTGAGCCGGCTGGAACCAGTGACTGCTGCTGTGGCCACTTGATGATGGAGGGCGTTGCTACTGCACAGGCTCCTGTGGTTTCCAAGAAAAAGACTTCACCATCCCACAATGCCACGTGCACGTAGTCTCAGCACATCACTCCTCGTCCAACGCCACTCTAGGAGTTCCTGAAGTCCCAAGTCTGATGCAGGTCCTCATCTTTCAAACTGGTAGTTTTTAGGAAGACCCAGTGATAAAAGGAGGCCCGAAGCACTGACACCACTCATGCTAGCACTTGTGTGGGTTGCACAGGCCTGGAGGCCTTCCTGTGGAGAGGGGAGGCATAACAGTTTTAAAAAAATATGAACATCGGAAATTTAAGTGAACTCAAAATTGAAGAAAAAAAAAACTGAAATGGAACCAGTGAACGTGCCGTTCTTTGAGTAAATACTTCTCCCGAAGCGAGTTGTTTTCTAAATGAAAAAAGAGGACTTTGAGCACACTTCGAAAGGAAGCTGCTCCTCTCGCACCCTGGATGGATCCTTGCTGCTTTCCTTCCCACCCCGAATGCACAACTGGCTCACTTGTCTCTTCTGTGCTTCCCAGCTCTTGGGAACATCCCCAGACTTAGGGGTTTCTGCCTCCCTTAGGAAAAGCTGTCTTTGAGTCCCAACAGCAGCTCACAGCTCCGGCTCTCCTAGCAGCCATTCCATTTCTTTATTTTCAAAGTGAATTTCCTTGGGGAAAGAGCCGTTGTAGGATGTCTACACTGCGCTGTCCTAGTATGTGCTGGTCCTGATTCCACCTCTGTATCTGTCTCGGTGCACCTGCCTTCCTCTGTACGGTTCTGCATGCTTGGTTTTCCCTCTGCATTTCCACCGTGGATGGATTCAAGGTTGGCATGTCTCAGCACCGTGAATGCATTTTCTCTGATGTGACAGGCTTCATTGTTGTTCCGATTTGAGTGGTCTTGTGTTGTCTGTGCTGCTGGGTTTGTCCAGTTCGGGAAGGTGGAGTACAGTCACAAAGCATGAGGGGTACTGGTTTAAACGTCATCAGAGTAAAGCTCTCTGGATTTGGATTACTCACTTGGGATGACTGAGTCTTCTCTCTCACCTGTGACAGAAACTCCAGGTTTCCCTAGAACCGAATAGTGCCCTTGTAGAATTGGCCGACATTCAGACGTAGCTCATTTTTCATTCTTCCTAGAGCGACTAGTTAGTAGGATTCACTTTTGGACTACACTCTGATAAAGGCATGAGTCAGTTTTTCAGTATGATGTTTCTGCCACTGTCTGTCAATTGGTTAGATTTTCATATATGTAAATCATTTTTATTACCTCATCATAATGACTGTCTCTTCCTTTCATTCCAGCAAAACACATGTATTTATTAAGTAATTAGTACTGACAAGCACTGTGCTTATTTTAAGACCAAAGTTTAGTCCTTTTCATATCCTAAGTACCATTAATCTTATTTTCCTCATAATTCTAAAGTATCTCATTTTTTTCTTCTAATCTAGAATTCTACATAGAGCTAATAATCTCCATACTATATTCTGTTTTTTGATTCAAGATCAATTCTTGTCCAAAAATTTAAGTGACCGTGGATTCTCCCAATTTTAACAGATTCTTTACTTCTCAGCCTTGATCACTGACAACCCCTCTCTGAATTCGTTACAGTAGACCTACAATGTTTTGGGTTTTGCTAGTTAGAAGAGCCACTGTACTCTGAATCAATACACTAGATCACTTCTCTGAATTCAGCCTGAAGCATTTTCTCCTTTTTTTTTTTTTTGCATTAGGAAGAGATGATTATTTTTCATACCCTGGATAATACAGAAATGAGCAAGCCTTATACTATGTCACTTGATCATATACTTAATTGTTGTCCTCACATAATTATTATCAATAATGCTCCCTTTTATTCTTAAAAATGTCCCCATTTGGGTAATAAATTTATAAATAATGAATATTCTTTGGTATTTATGTTCTCAAATTGATTGGTGTTCAAGAATAATCAAAATGTTTGCATTTGCTGTTAGGTTAAATATCGAGAAAATTTCGACAAAGAGAAGGGAAAGACGCCAAAATACAATCCAAAAGACAGCCAGCTCTACAAAACCATGAAAGATGCTAATAATCTTGCAAGTGAGGTATGCTTTCTTTTTTTAAAAAAATAAAAACTGTGGAAAAATATATATAATCATAATACTTGTCATTTTAAACATTTTAAGTGTACAATTCACTAGTATTAATTACACTGAAATGTTATTTAACTAATTTAACTCTTATTTCTGAAACTTTTTCATCACCGACACATAACACCTATAACCATTCAGTGGTAACTCCTCCATCCCTTACTCTCACCATCCCGATCATTTGTAATCTATTTTGTGACTCCATGAATTGGCTTCTTTTAGGGATTTTACAGAAATGAAACATGCCGTATCTGTCCTTTTGTGTTCGTCCATATTGCAGTGTGTAGTAAACCTTTCTCCATTGTGTGGCTGAGTAAGATTCCATCACATGTATACACCACATGTCTTAATCCATTCATCAGCTCATGGCCTCTTAGGCTGTTTCCATCTTTGGGTACTGTGAATGAGGTATGGTTCCCTGTCACCGTCTCGAGCACTGGGGGGCCATGTGATTATGCTTTCTGTTTTCTGCTTGCATGATCTCCTGCTCTTCTTTGTTAACACAGGTTAAGTACAAGGCTGACCTGAAGAAACTGCACAAACCTGTGACTGACATGAAGGAGTCTCTGATAATGCACCACGTGCTGAACACAAGCCAGCTCGCCAGTTCTGTAAGCTGCATCGTTTGCTCTAGAGCCAGCTGTGTCTCCCGTCCGCATCTCGGTTCTCCTCTGAGCTCACATGCACCCCTCTGCGACTGATAACACTAAACTCAGTGGAAAGCTGTTCTCTTGTCTCAGCGCAGTCCTGTGCATTACATTCATCTCCCAGTCCTCCATGGACTGTAACACCTCTTGGTATATGAAAATGCTTTCATTTTTAGGATGTTAAGCTTCTGTTTCAACTAACCATTCCTTTCCCTTCTTCTGAGGACATAGAGCTACCTTCACCTACAGCACCTCCTTGGAATAAGCCATCTGCTATTAACTGACAATACTGGAATTAGATCTCCACCTTGTGAAACTTTTCCTTAACCCCCACCTAACCCTTGCGAATCTCAGTTTGGTCTTGACGATGCTGCTGTGAAACTGCCTAATCCTGAAGAGGAAACCAGGAGGGAGTGCTGAGCAGCTTTCCCACCAATGTCCCTTTTTTGCCCCTCCCCTCAGTACCAGTACAAGAAGAACTATGAGAAGAGTAAAGGCCACTACCACACAATCCCTGATAATCTGGAGCAGCTTCACCTAAAAGAGGCTACAGAATTACAGAGCATAGTAAGTTGATCCAGACTGATTTCTTTCCCCTAAGCATATTCATCTACAATGCCAAGAGACCTCATGCCCTCCCTCCAGGATAGGACTTATCCTTTTTTTTTTTTTTTTTAAAGATTTATTTATTTTGAAAGAGTTAGTAGAAGAGACAGAGATCTCCCGTGTGCTGGTTCATTCCCCAAGATGGCTGTAATGCCCAGCACTGGGCTAGGCCGAAGCCAAGGGCCTTTATCTAGGGCTCCCACCTTGGCCATCTTACATTGCTTTTCCTAGGCCATTAGCAGGAAGCTGAATTAGAAGTGGAGCAACTGGAATATGAACTGGTACCCCAATGAGATGTTTGTGTTGCAGGTGGCAGCTTTACCTGCTATGCCACAATGCCAATCCCAGGACTTATCCTTTTAGTTGTCATTGTTTGAGAAAATAAAGATAGAAGGAGATTTGAATTTAGTAATATTTTGAAACACATTTTTCTGTTATAAATTATAACCCATATAACTACATTTTGTGGAGAGCATATTGTATTGTATACATGCACTGTGTGTTATTCCAGGTACTGACAGGGACTAGAAGCATAGATTGTTTTACAAGGGGGACAGACCCCTCTCAGTGATCCCAATGTTCCCCACGGGTGCTTCCCAGGTAGAGAAACACTACAGTCCATGATAGGAGGTCTGAGGAGGATTTTACGTAGACATGATCATTGATGGAGTCTCTAGGTATTTAAGAAATTGCTGAATTTGTAAAATAACTGAAGATTTTCTTAGGAAAGAACTTGCTATCATGTGATCTTTTGTTTAAAAAATTCAGCATTATGCAATACCCCATTTGGGCATTAAACAAGAGGGCTAACTCACTAGCAAGGTCCTCAAATCATCTGTAAAGTAGCCCGTGTCCCCTGGCCTCTATTCTGGTGTCTCAAGACAGCTGAGATGGAACACTGCAGTTAGAACCCTGTGTGAAGCAGGTCCTTCACCTTTCTTTCACTTCATCCACTGTGGTCTCTGAATGGTTTTATGGCTCCCCCATTCCTAATCATATTATGTGGATGACAGAATTGTCTTTATTTATTTTTTTTACAAAGGATGAATTTTTGTATTTGGAAGCAGAGTTACAGAGTGAGAGAAGGAGACACAGATCTTCCATTGCTGGTTAACTCCCCAAATGGCCGCAATGACCTGGGCTGGGCCAGGCTGAAGCCAGGAGCCCGGAGCTTCTTCCAGGTCTCCCAGATGGGTGCAAGGGCCCAAGGACCTAGGCAATCTTCTGCTGCTTTCCCAGGCACATTAGCACAGAGCTAGATCAGAAGTGGAGCAGCCGGGACTCAAATTGCCACCCATATGAGATGCCTGCACTGCAGGTTGTGGCTTGATCCGCTGCACCACAGTGCCGGCCCCAGGAATTGTCTTTCTAAACAGACTTGGGGATCCTTTGAGAATGCCAAATCAACATGTAAACTAGGTTTTTTTTTTGGTTTTTATATCAATTTATATTGTTTGTATTAAATATATGACTGGCCAGCGCTGTGGCGGAGCAGGCAAAGCTGCCATCTGCAGTGCTAGCATCCCACATGGGCGCCAGTTCGAGTCTTGGCTGCCCTACTTCCAATCCAGCTCTCTGCTATGGCCTGGGAAAGCAGTACAAGATGGCCCAAGTCCTTGGGCTCCTGCACCCGCGTGGGAGATTCAGAGGAAGCTCCTGGATCCTGGCTTTGGATCAACATAGCTCTGGCTGTTGTGGCCATCTGGGGAGTAAACCACTGGATGAAAGACCTCTCTCTCTTTGCCTCTCCTTCTCTCTCTGTTTAACTCTGACTTTCAAATAAATAAATAAAACTTTAAAAAACATATGACCAGTTATGACCCAGAGTTTTCTACTCACAAATAAAGTTGTATGAGTTATCTATTCAGTCAAGACCCTGAGTCTCTGATAAAAGTTCTTATGAAAGAAAAACTGAAAACTTTTACCAGAAATAATGATTAATAATGATTAACACTGTTAAAGTGTTCACTTCTATACATCAAACCTTGGCCAGCATTATCTATGGACAGTTTCCCCCATGCACTGGCATTTTTTTTGACTTTTGGCAATAAATCTTTTGTCTCCTTGAACTGAATCCAAATCCTGATTACACCTTCCCAATGGTAATGGTTTTTACCCAACCACACCCCCCACCGGCAACGACAAAAAAGGTACCAGATCTGAAACACAACAGGAATCTGTTTTGAGTGGCAAGGAGATGACATAACGGGTCAGTTAAAAAGTACTGTCCTTACACTGGTCTCTGGCTAGGTCTAGGAATTGCCTGGAGGAAGTATATCTAACAAGGCTTTTCATCACTAGGTGAAATACAAAGAAAAGTATGAAAAGGAACGGGGAAAGCCCATGCTGGACTTTGAAACACCAACATACATCACTGCCAAGGAGTCTCAGCAGATGCAGAGTGGGGTAAGTCCTACAAAACATACCACACCGCAGAGATACCGTCAAGCCAACAATGCACACGGACTTGCACAGCCACACATTTCCAGTCTCCTGTCATCCAAAAGGGGAATATGGTGTAAGTTCTTCACATGTGATCCCTAAAATCATTTCCATCCTAGAAACCATACAGTTTAGTTATTTGGAAAAAAAAAATCCAAGTAGTACATATTGACCATATATGTTTTATTTCAACAACCATTTTCATAAAATTAGAACAAAGCCAACTATTCCTATCTGTGGAACAAATTATACTGAATATAATTGAGTTTTTTTAACGAATGCAAAGCTCCTTCCACACAGAGGTGCCATTGGCTTTGGGATGCTCTGCTGTCAGTAGGATGTCTCAAACCAAAACAAACAAAGGGATCATGATCAAGATGTTTATCAAGAATCCAGAAAACCTCAAGTCAATGTGACATATTTCCCATTCTAAAATTGCAACACAAGCATTTTAAAAACATGTTTTTCATTTTAACCAAGAGTAGAGAGAAATGAAATCTTATTTTGAATCTTAGAAAGTCTGTTTTTATTGGGAAACAGATTTATTTGGAATTTCTGTTTGCCTGTCCTCCATGAGTTGTATCTCCAACTATAAAGATAAATGATTTCAATAAAAGCTAGGTATAAGTTTGTGGAACATTCTGGTGTACAATGCCAGGCAACCAAAAGTTTCAAATAGTTTGAAACAATTAGTGGAGTAAAGAATCTGTGGGGGTTCCTTGCACTATTCTTACAGTTTTTCTATAAACTTAAAATTCTGTTAAAATGAAAGAATGCAAAAATGGAGTTCCAACATCTACCCCAAGCCTCTCTGTGAGACCACCTATCCAGGGATTAGAAAAGAGACAGAGTAGGGGTTGGGAGAGTAGCTCTTTGTCTCAACCATGCCTCGTTGTCTGCCTGATCTATTCAGTGATGTTTTTAAGAAGGTCATGATTATGAAAAAGGCTGTTTGTAGTCAGTGTCCTCAGGCCCTTTCCTCTAGGCTTTGGTTTATTTTCTTCCCATGAGTAACCTTTAATTTTGAAATAAACTCTTTTGTCACCTTAAGAGAAATGTGGACTATTTCAGGAGAGATGACCATGGATTCAGTGCCCATCGCAAACGGCTACTCTTGTGGCGGAGAGCCAGCCCAGGCACGTTAAACAGAGGAGGGAGGGTCCCATCATAGTTTCTCAACCTCTGAGCTTCCTGGGGGCCATTTGCTCTCGACAAAATATTTCTAGAACAATCAGACATGTTTCAAATGTGTAATCATTACTAGAACTATGCATAAGAAGACATTTAAAGAAATAAGTGTTATATATTTTTTCTTCCTAGGATTGTGAAATGAATTGTGGCAGATTCTTTTTTAACTTGCCTTTCCTTCCTACTCATATTAGAAAGAATATAGGAAAGAGTATGAAGAGTCCATTAAAGGCAGAAACCTGACGGGCCTGGAGGTCACGCCTGCTTTATTACATGTCAAATATGCAACCAAAATAGCCAGCGAGGTAGTGCCCACTTGGTCTTTTCTTTCCCTCTTGACCCAAATAATTGCACTAATGACACTCATCAATGTGCTCCTTCTACCACTTCCATCCCCACCTAACTGTGGGTTTCAAGCTGGGTTCACAAGTGTTTGGTACTACCACCTAATCCATTACCCATGTTAATTCTTCTAATTTTTAAATTGAATACCTAATAATATATGCTTACCTTAGCATTCTATTAATTTCTAGTTGTTTATTTGATATTTAATATTAACCTATGAATCTTATACCCTTACTTTATTCATATCTTTACTTACCCAACCTTGAGTTTAAAAATTGGAAGAGTTTACTTTTTACATTTTTGGCTTTTCACTTAAGAGGAACAACCCAGGCTGTCTTGTCAGTGTTGTTGCTTTTATTTTGTGACATAGAAAGAATACAGGAGAGATCTAGAGGAGAGCATCCGTGGGAAGGGGCTCACTGAAATGGAAGATACACCTGACATGCTGAGAGCAAAGAATGCCACCCAGATCCTCAATGAGGTAGGCCCACAGCCAACTGCATGTGTCTAATTCATATAGCATCTTCATCCCTTCCTCGCCAAGTTATGCTAGAAATAGAGAGGAGAGAGTTTTTAAACTTCAAGTTCCATAGTTAGCACAATATTTCACCATCAAAAATATATCTCAACTTCTGGTGAGTACATACTAAAATACTGTCTTTACAGTGGTTATCATAACCTCTTATTACTCTATTATTCTTATTTAATCTTGATACATTTGGTGTGTTCATTTAAATTTAAACACTACACTGGAGTGGTAAGTACATAAATTTCATCCTAGTTGTGTACCAAGCCAGATTTAAAATTTGCTTTCAGTGTTAACTTTTTAAGTAGAAAAGGCTGAAAATATTTAAAAGGAGGCCTTTTATATTCACTCTATGCATTTATTATATGCTAGTTGAAATTAACCTTTTTTCATTTTTTAAAATGCTACTACAGAAAGAATATAAGAGAGACCTGGAGCTGGAAGTCAAAGGAAGAGGCCTGAATGCCATGGCCAATGAAACTCCAGATTTTATGAGGGCCAGGAATGCTACTGATATTGCCAGCCAGGTGAGTGTTTCCATTCTGAGTCAATCTTTCAAGAAACTAGCTGCGATGATAAGGAGGTAGCATTGTCTCGGTTATCTTTTGTTTTCTTTTTTAGCATTTATTCAGTGAAAGAAATATACAGGCTCTTGGCTTCAGCCTAGCACAACCCCAGCCATTGCGGTCTTTTGGGGAGTAAACCAGCAGATGGAAGATCTCTGTGTATCTTTCCCCTTCTCTCTATAACTCTGCCTTCCAAATAAATTTTAAAAATCTTTTAAAAAGCAAAAACCCATGAGACTAAATCACACACCCCAATCCCCTTGCCTTTCCCAGCTTTCTGCTTCTCTGAGTCTATGAGCAACAGGGATGTTCAGAGCAAAGAGCAGAAGTTGGGAAAATGAAACTGCTGCTTTGAGCTGAGGCAGGCTCTGACATCCTGGCCTTGTTTATTAGTCAACCTATTTCACATTCAGCATCAGGAATTCCTTGCTTAGAATATTTTAGGAATTCTTTGTTTCCCTTCCTTTCAAGGCCTAAATTTGAAGGTCTTTGGGCATCCTACCTTGTCTAATGTTAATTGGTCTGGGTCTTTTGTTTGCTCTCAAGTAACCAATCCATGCTTAAATATGTGTTGATTATCTGTCTCTTGCCCATGTCCCACCTTGCACCCAACTAAATAATAAATCTTTCAATAGCTGGGACCTTCTTTGTGTTTCTAACTTTAGTATAGCTATGTCCATGATAGGAAGCAATGTCTGTTGAATGGCAAATGAATTAGTCTCTCTGGAAAAAGAAATACTGATCCCCTCTCAATCAAACCAAGCCAACAAATGTTTGCACATCGTATATTTTACCCAACTGCTGAATGTCCTTTTACAGATTAAGTACAAGCAATCAGCAGAAATGGAAAAAGCCAATTTCACTTCTGTGGTTGACACTCCCGAGATCATTCACGCCCAGCAAGTCAAGAACCTTTCAAGCCAGGTAAGGATATACATCAGAATCCCACAGACTGCCTCCCCTCTGCACATTTACGCCTGCAGAAGCTTCTTCAAATTATAGTTTCTTCCCAATAAGGCAAAAGGGTTTGTCTAGGATGTGGTTTTGAGTCAGAGTTGAGATTTCTCTATCAAATTTGTAATAGATTATAGAAAAGAATTTTAAGGTACTAAAGGTCTCTGACATGGAATAACTCATAATGAATCACTATTTTATATGTCAAGTTTCTTATAACAAGCATGTAAAATTTGCGTGCAAATCTCAAAAACGGCCCATACTATATGACCAATCACCTCTAACAAAATTGAGACTGTGTCATCAACTCTAGCCACACAATCTAATCCCGATTCCTCCCATGATGGATAATTTTCACCTTCCCACAAAAAAAGAGCCTAGGGCTGGTGCAAGTCAAGGAAGCCCAAGGAAGAGTCCATGGCGGCTGCCTAGGTCGGTCCGTCTTGCAGAGTTGCCAGTCCCACAGTTTTCTACAGCATTAGAAACACCCTTAGGGCTTGCCAGGAGGCTCAGTCCTGGAGCCGGAAGCCCTGATCACACCTGCTTGAGGTTAGCAAAATCTCATCACCAGCAAAGACTGGATTTTGAGAGCCTCTTATCACTTCTGTTTCTGGCTCCTGGCCAACTGGCTCTGTAGCTCAGCAAGGAGGACGGCCTCTCAAGGCATGCCCCTGGCTCTCCCTGAGCCTCCACGCCTGGAACCCCACTCCTGTGGACCACCTGGCAGTGGGTCCTCTTCATACCTTCTCCTGGGAAGAAAAGACGGAATTCTGTGACAGCATGCTGCTTTGCACCCTCCCAACATCCGAGACAGTCAAGAAGACACAAAGCACTTTCCCTCTGCTGAGCCAGAGGCCATTTGGAGTCCCATTATCCCTATAGCGTTCATCTCCTTATTTCTTGGAATCTATTCCAGAAAAAGTACAAGGAAGATGCTGAGAAGTGCATGTCATATTATGAGACTGTGTTGGACACTCCAGAAATGCAGAGAGTCCGGGAGAACCAGAAGAACTTCAGCCTTGTAAGTTGTTCTGATGCAAGGCATAGCCCACCCCTACCATGATGCGGATGAGGAGCCCTCAACAACTCCATCCATGCTCCAGGAAATATGTACTCAGCTCTTCTCTGAGCTCACCTTAAATTTCAATCTGAAATCACAGCAGGAAAGACTCATCTCTTAGTTTATTGGTGGCTTCCTGTCTCTCAACATGTACTACCACCATCTTCCATTAGCAGTGACATCCTCTTTTTCAGTTGAAAACCTAATCTTGTACATTTTAAGGTTTTAAAAATGAGTGTCGCTGGCACCACGGCTCACTAGGCTAATCCTCCACCTAGTGGCGCCGGCACACCGGGTTCTAGTCCCAGTCGGGGAGCCGGATTCTGTCCCGGTTGCCCCTCTTCCAGGCAAGCTCTCTGCTGTGGCCAGGGAGTGCAGTGGAGGATGGCCCAAGTCCTTGAGCCCTGCACCCCATGGGAGACCAGGATAAGTACCTGGCTCCTGCCATTGAATCAGCGCGGTGCGCCAGCCGCAGCAGGCCGGCCGCGGCGGCCATTGGAGGGTGACCCAACGGCAAAGGAAGATCTTTCTCTCTCTCTCTCTCTCTCTCACTCTCACTGTCCACTCTGCCTGTCAAAAAAAAAACAAACAAACAAACAAACAAACAAAAAAAAAAAAAAAAAAAACAGCAGAAGATGCCCCAAGTGGTTGGGCCCCTGCTACCTACATGGGAGACTTGGATGAGGCTCCTGGCTCCTGACTTCAGGCTGGCCCAGCCCTGGCCATTGTGGGCATTTAGGGAGAGTGTCTGTCTGTCTGTCTCTCTTTGTAACTCTGCCTTTCAAATAAATCAGTCTTTTAAAAACCAAAAGCAAAACAGTTGGTCAATAGGCTCAACAAGCTAATCCTCCGCCCCTCTTCCAGGCCAGCTCTCTGCTGTGGCCAGGGAGTGCAGTGGAGGATGGCTCAAGTCCTTGAGCCCTGCACCCCATGGGAGACCAGGAGAAGCACCTGGCTCCTGCCATTGGATCAGCGCGGTGTGCCGGCCGAAGCGCGCCAGCCATGGCGGCCATTGGAGGGTGAACCAATGGCAAAAAGGAAGACCTTTCTCTCTGTCTCTCTCTCACTGTCCACTCTGCCTGTCATGATCAGAAAGAAATAGAGTGTCTTCCCAAAATTCTTCTTTAAAAATTTCCCTTTGGCTATCATAAGACAGTTAAAATATTTAAAACAATATTGAAATCTTAACAAGATATTTACTCTTTCTTCATAGCTGCAATACCAGTGTGACCTTAAAAACAGTAAAGGAAAAATTACAGTTGTTCAAGACACGCCAGAAATACTGCGTGTTAAAGAAAATCAAAAGAATTTCAGCTCGGTATATTTACTATTTATTTTCCATTGAAGCTAACCTAATAATTCCATTCTCTTCGTAAAAGAAAAAATACTAGCCTGTATCACACTGATACAGACAATTAACATCTAACACACCTAGTTAATATTAGCAATGGTTTGTTAAAATTCCCCATACTTTGCTCCAGAATCATCACTCCAGAAACTATTTGAAATAACAACTTAAATCTGCTAACAAAGTAACTTTTCTTTTTACATTTTTAATCCCAGCACAGTAACATGTGTTGTCTTGCTCCAGAAGATGTTTATTTATTTATTTTTTTTACATTGTGATTTCTTTTCTTATCCCTTCCCAAAATAATTGACTGACTTTGCATTTCTTTAATGGAATTTGTGTTTTACTTGGGAGTGGTTTTTGTTTTCGTGGTTAATCAACAGTTTCTGTTTTTTCTTATCCTGTATTAATACCTGCAATAATCTTAAAAGAAACCTCAAGATCTGGAAAGTGATTTGTGCTGATACATGATTGAGTCACTGGTGCTGACCAGGGAGGCATCACAGGCAGTGCTCGGGCACTTGCCCAAGAACATTGTCTAGTGTGCTTTGTTTTCACAGAAGCCAAGTGTCCTAGACTTTCTCCAGGAATCGTGGGGTTTTCCTTTCTTCTGTGTAACACTCTCCTGATTCTGAATGCCCAGGTTTTATATAAAGAGGATGTCTCACCTGGAACAGCAATTGGAAAGACACCGGAGATGATGAGAGTGAAGCAAACCCAGGACCACATTAGCTCGGTAATGGCACGATGCACTCACTCACTCACTCACTCTCTGCTTCCCTTTGAATACTTACAATGATTATTAACTGTATTCAAAAACTTTGTCAACAGAAATAGCTGATTTGGCTAAATAGGTGCTTGTGGTCCATCACCACATAGCGATCAGAGGCATCTCATACACTGTGCAATGCCATGGTAGATTTCATGAGGGTCAGGTTAGAGATGGAAATTGAAGAAGGTTTTAAGAAAGTAGACAGTGTTAGAGACAAGGCATTAACCTTCCTAGATACATGCATATGAATTTAGCTGTCCTAGTTAAATGAACTGCTGGGTATAAAAACCCTAGCGTTCACTAGTCCTTTCTTATCTGTGTTTTCACTTTCCATGATTTTAGTTACACAATCAATTGGGGTCTGAAAATACCTAAGTTTTGAATTGCAAGCCATTCTGTGTAGTGTGATGAGATATTACAATACCTTGCAATGTCTCACATGAGACTTGAATCATTCCTTTGTCCAGAGTATCCATGCTGTATAAACTACCCCCCTATTAGTCACTTCATTTTACTTAATAGTCGCCCCAAAGAGCAGACTAGTGATGTTGGCAGTTCAGATAGACCAAAGAGAAGCCATAAAGTACTTCCTTTAAGTGAAAATGTGAAAGTTCTCAATAAGAAAAAAATCAGATATTGAGATTGCTGAGATCTATAATACATTTAGGAAATTATGAAGAAAGAAAAATCCACTCTAGTTTTGTTGTCACACCTCAGACTGCTTACAACATGGCCACAGTGCATCAGAGTTAAGATGGAAAAGGCATTCAACTTATATATGTATGTATGTACAGGAAAAATAACATAGTATATCCCGAGTTTTGGGCACACACCAGAGGTCCTACAATGTATAAGATAAGGGAGGGGCTGCTGTGTACAAGAAAGCCAAGTAGTTACCAGTCTGAGTGGAGATCCCTACCTTTGCTTTCAAAGAGTCAAGACAGAGACCAAGCATCCCTGGCCTCAGAAGTGTTCTCCTCTAACCCAGTATCAGAATGTGTCCCAGTCATACTAAGTATAGAGCTTGGTCTATTTAAACTGCCACTTTAAAAAAATTGTGGGTCTGCTAATCAAGCATGCATATGTTGGGGAGAATAACTATTATGTGTATAAATAATACCTTTTCCCATTTTCGCATCTGCAGGTGAAGTATAAGGAAGCAATTGGACAAGGAACTCCAATCCCTGACCTGCCTGAAGTGAAACGTGTCAAGGAGACTCAGAAGCACATTAGCTCGGTAAAGGCCCACACCCTCAGCACTGGTTTGTGTGACTGGGCGCGTCCCGGTTTCTTCCCCTAGCTCCCTCTCAGGCCTTCTTCTACCAAGGCCCTCGCCCGCCTTGGGGGTGTTGTGAATCCTCCCTTGGTCCTGAAGGGGCAGTACAGGCTGAGAAAGTAGATAAGAAGCCTGCCTTTGCATCATCACAGAGCAGAAGGGACTTGAATTACTGATCATTATGCTTCCATTTCTAAAGTCAAATGTGCAAACGATAGTAATAAGGTTACAGAGATGACCTTAACCCAAGCCTATACATGTGAGTTGTCTTTAAAAAGTTCATAGAAAATATGCGTTATGAGAAAACTACGCCTGGATTTCAAATTTTTTGCACCAAACATTTTAACATTCTTTTTCCACGGGTTTTTTGAATATTCTCATAATACACATAAGAATCATATAAAATGATTGTTTTGTATATATTTATGAATGATAGGATTCCTCAGTGCCCAGGAGTACCCCAGGTAGTCTTGTGAAGTCTGCAGCCGTCTTTCCCTTTCCAGCTTTCTTGCCTTGTGTTCTCTGCTCTCTGCGTCTTGTAAGCACAGTACCTGTTTCAGGCACTGGCTGTCATCCACCTTATAGAGGAAGCCAGCTCTCTAAAAGAAACATCAGGCACCTGTGCATAGTGTGTATTGGGTTAGGGGATCCCCTAGACCTGGACCATCAGGTTAGCTTAAGCTTTTCCTGACCTGTCAAGTGAGCCCCAATTCTGCACACCCCCCCCTTTCCCAGATTCTAAGTAGTAGCTAGCTACTTCCAAGAGACTATGTGAGCTCTAGGGATTGGCTCTTGGCCAACATAAATGAGCACCTTGCTCTTAGAGAGCCCCCTGGTCGTTGGAGGACTGAGCACTCATTGATTTCCACTGGAAGATACTGGATCATTTCTTTTGCAGGTTACATGTTCTGAATTCCTTGTGGTACGAACTTCATTAGAGTTTTGGGGCCATGGCCCGTTTGTTTCTCTGATTTGTAGTATCGTGCTTTTCCCTAATTTTGTTTTTTCTGTTGTCTGTGATCAGTCCTGCTGCTTTCTTGGGTAAAGGATAAAGAAACACAACCTTGTTATCAAGACAGCAGATTATCAAAGATGCTGAAAAGTTTCTGAGCAAAACAAAGATACCACTAGCTTGTTAGTGATTTTAGGAAATAATCTGTGACACAAACTCCTAGGTTTTTTGCCTTGCTTCCCACCCCATGTACTAGTACATGATAGAATCAGATCATTTAAAAAGAATTGATGCATTCAGTTCACAGACTGAAAATTCTGAACATTAAGAAGGAAGGAGGGCCTGGCATTGTGGCACAGGATAGGCTGCCACTTGGGAGGTTCACATCTCCTATCAGAGTGCCTGGTTCAGGTCCTGGCTACTTCACTTTCCATCTTGTTTCCTGCCAGAAAGGTGATGGCCTAAGGACTTGAGTTCCTGCCACCCACATTAAAGACCTGGATGGAGCTCCTGGCTCCTGACTTTGGCCTGGCCCAGCCCCAGCTGTTGGAGGCATCTGAAGAGTGAACCAGTGGATGGAAGATTGATCTCTCTCTCTGTCAATCTGCCTTTCAAATACATAAATATTTATTTAAAAAAAAAAAATAGGAAGTGGAAGGAAGGAGACAAGAGGCTGAGAAAGTAGATGTATCTTACTCTTTTAAAATTTACAGTACTTTGAAACTAACTCCAAAAAATACTATTCTATTGTTTTGAATACCCATTCAAAAAACACCATTATATGTGATCAAGCAATCATCAGTACAGACTTCAGGGAAAGATTTTTCCTGACAAACTGATTAAGTCTCTTCATATCAAAGATACCTACAGACTAAGAACCAGCTAGGAATTATGATTAGAAAATAGGAATAACTAGGAATTATTAGGAAAAATTAGCAATTATGATCAGAAAATAAAAAGCAGAAAATTCTTAGCAACAGTATTATAGATTATATATTATTATATTTTGGAAAATTTTAAACCAAGCACCCTATTTATTAAGTTCAAGTCTATCTCAGTCCCACTTTATTCAAGACACAAATACTGAATGTAATGATGTTTAGATTTTTCTCATTATTAAATGTATTGTCATTATTTAATGCATTTTAGGAATGCACTATGTGTTGGCTGCAAAAAATGCATTATTTAGTTCTTGGTGTTTATAACAGTAAACTAAATACTTAGAAGAATATAAAAATTTATGGAATTTCTTTTCCTTATTCCTTGAGTGTCATATGTGAAAGGTTGTTTTTACAAGTTCCCACCAAATAGCCTCCATGTAGCGGTAACCTGAAGGATTTATGGTTATTTTACCTTTTGGGGTATTCTAATTATTTTCTACAGGTTATGTACAAAGAAAACTTGGGAACAGGCATTCCAACCACTGTCACTCCAGAGATTGAGAGAGTCAAACGCAATCAAGAGAACTTTAGCTCGGTATTTACAAATATATCAAATAAAAAACTACTGCCCTTTTAAAAAATTTACCAGAATAACCATCACCCTTTTTAAAAAAAATAACATCTTAACAAATTCTGTGTGTGTTTGTGTGTATTACCTGACCAAATCATCTCAACTTAATACAAAATGACCCACTTTTCTGATTTCCTTTAACATTTTCACCAACTGACCAGTGTGAGTAGTTAGATCTGAAATACCATAAGCAGAATTAACATAGGATTCCTCATCATTATACTCATTTCTCATAACTCAGTGCTTTCCGTTACCCCCTTCCAGCCTTAGAATTAGCACTGTAGAGTTCTGACTCAAAATTGTGAAGTTAAAAAAGTAAAAGCATTGTCCGTACTAAATATTATTTACTAATGAAAGATTAGCTCCTTACCACACCCGATGTTCTTCTCCTTTCCTTAGCCTTTGTGCTTGTTTTGAATGTCTTCTGGATACTTTCTTGTATCTCACAGGTTTTGTACAAAGAAAATCTGGGGAAAGGAACCCCAACAGCTATCACTCCAGAGATGGAGAGAGTCAAACGCAATCAAGAGAACTTTAGCTCGGTATTTCTTAGGGGACGAAAAAAAAATCCCTTAATATTTTTAACACATTACAAATGTAAAATTACTAAATTCATATAATGAAAAGTAAAATATTATCTCAGTTTTCAGTACAAATCTAATGTAGTATTTAGCTCTGGTGTGAAATTTTAACTGCATTTCTCTAAAACATAGCTATTCATCACTTCCCTTAAAATCCTGTCATACTCATTATTTCCTTCTTCCAGTCCTCTTTTAATAACAATAGGTGTTTCTAACCGGTGTGGCACAAATCAAAAGTAAAACCTAACACCTCTTCAAAATGATGTTAATTGGAATTTTCTTTGTTTGTTGTGTTTTTGTTTGATGCATTGTATTTGTAGCTTTTCTTTATAATGTGATTCTTAAGCATTTTTATTCAGAGATAACACAGCAGTTCAGTTACTGAGAAATACAAATTTACTTTTCTCATTTATTTTTTTGTACAAGATATAAATGAGCTTTCCTTTGGAATATTTTCAAGATCAATGAAAGCAGTAATTTAGCTTCTACTATTAATGTTTATTTTGTTCCCCCAACACTATCTGCCTACCTGTCTTTTTTTCTTTTCATCCTTCCTTCCTTTCCCTAATTAAATGCTCCCAACATTTCCTTATAGATATTAATTTTAGTTAACTTGAATACTATTTGCTGAGACCTAATCCTGTAGTCTTTGAGGAGATACATCAAGCCACTCTGACCTGGCCAGTCAGGGACAGAGAGCGTGCTGTGAATGGCTCGATATCCAGGGCAGCCTAGAGTGGCTCCACTTCTTAAAGGTTTATTTTATGCTATCATAAAAAACCAAAAAAATACATTGAGACTTTTTAAAGTTCAGATCTACCTAAAAGCTGGCTTCAGGCTGATGTGACTGTTGGTTTTGTACACACAGATATTGTACAAAGAGAACTTGAGCAAGGGGACACCCCTACCTGTGACTCCTGAGATGGAGCGAGTCAAACGCAATCAAGAAAACTTTAGCTCGGTATTTGGAAGAAAGCTCCCTTAACTCCATATTAAACAAAATAATTTCTATAAAACAAACTTCTGTTTGTCCCTTTATAATAATCAATTTAACAAATTCTTTCTTAAAAATCTCACTGAGGCCTTCCCTTTTCTGGATCTTTTACTCACCATCTGATTCTAGTATTTTATATTTTCTACACTAGTCCATTAAAACTTTTGATTCCTTCTCTTTTCATCTGTATGTTATGCTGGGACTTTGGAAGTTAATTTCTTTCCGGACAGAAGCCGAACCTGTGACTCTTTTTATCTAATGTTTCTGGGTTAGCATTGCAAGAAAGGATACCAGGCTGGAGGCCACATATAGAATTCGTGGCTCTTGAGAACAGGAGTCACCTGAACTTAGATACTATTCACATATATATAAAGATTAGCACCCAAAAAAAGTCACTCTTTTCACAGTATTAGAAACAAAAGAATCTTATTTTGAAACTTATTCTAAACATGCCATTTCATGAGTAAAAATTCAGGCCTTCTGATTTCTTGTAAAACATACAGATCAGATCATTAATGTATGGTCAGTGTTATTGTCTCTTCTATCATTATTGTTCTTCCTGTAAAAAAATCTAATTCCCAAATAGTCTGATGCTTCTACACAAAGATCGTAAATTCTCATGTCCTTAAGATGGAGAAACAAATGTCAGTAGGAAAATGACTAAATTTACTTTTGAAGGTAGGGGAATTAATCTAAATGTTTTTCATTGTAAGCTGAAATATTTTCAAAAAGTTTGATTCTTTAACATAACTTTCAGTAACTTTGGTCCCACTTTCTTTTTGTTTTTAATTACTACCTACTAACAACCTTTCAATTGTGTTAAATTTCAATGTAAGTTAATATGTCTTTTGGAATGTTATTTTCTCTGGATTCATTATTACTGTTTATGAAAGGTTTGCACCAATTTTCAAAATTATCTTCAGGTTATTTCATTCTATATTAAAGTACACTAATATTTGGTCATAGCCAACCAGGGTAACTTGGGTAACCATTTCTGCTCATTTTCATACAGGTTGCATTTATGCAGATTTGTCCAGTGGTGCATAAGCCTTTTAGATTCTGTGGGAAATAAACAATACCATATATTAAAACACTGACTATATAACTGACCATTTCTACAACTTGAACTTACTCAATGAAGACCAATTTTGCCATATTGCATAGATTTTGGCCTGTGGTTTTAATTATCTATTATACTGTAAGACAAACCTGCATAGGGCAAATAAATGTTAATCTATTTCAAAAAATAATTTTTCTATTGTACATTGAGCAGTTCAGGGCTCTGATAAAATTATTTGTATTCTTTCCTTTAATTCTAAACAGAAAACAATTTTATATATGGGATCCAATAAAAATGAGCATCAAAAATTCCTAGCAATTCAGCTAAGGAAATACAAAACATGTTCTCACCTAAATCTGTGCTTGAACAAAGAGGTGCACTAGGTGAAATCTGCATTTCCTGTTTGATGTCTGTAGTCTCAAAGTAGGTTCCCCAGGATACAGGGCCATTTTTATTGCTCTTGTTTTTTCTGGATGTTTTCTTGTGTCACACAGGTGTTGTATAAAGAAAACCTTGGAAAAGGAATTCCAATCCCCATCACTCCAGAGATGGAGAGAGTCAAACACAATCAAGAAAACTTTAGCTCGGTATTAAAAAAAAAAAAAAAAAGAAAAGAAAAAAACCCTAACTATTTTTAAAACATTAAAAAAAGACCAATAACCAGATTTTTAAGAGTCTAATCAACTCATCCCAATTAAAATCTGACCGACCCGTCTTCTTCCCAATTTAATACTGCCACTTCCTGTGAATCAGTTTCCCCATTTTGGTTAAACATTAACATATAATCAGTTGGCTTAAACAAATTTTTTTAAAAGGTGTTTGGTATTACATTCCAGTTTGTAAAACCGTAACATTCTCAGTGACTAAGTATCCTGCTTTGGCAAGTTTTATTTGAAAGTAAAGCTTTAAAACATGATTCTGCAAAGGTCTGACTGTTGGCCTTATTTCCTATCTAACCTTCTCTGTCTTTACTGGTATTTGCAGATATTTTCAAGTTTGTTTTTTTAGCATCTTGCACTTGCCCCCCATTGGCCTTAAAGATAATTCTTCCTGATATGTCCAACTAAAAATTAAATCCTTTTGACTTCTTTTGAAAGACAGCAAAAGAAGATGTATGTATCTATCTTCATATATGTTTATAAAACTCAAATATCCCAATGTGGTTTATTAATAGCATTTCCAAATCAAAAATAACTTCCTTGATTTTCTTTGTCTCTTGTCTGTTTCTATTTTTTTTTCCCTCCTTATAACAAGCTGGGGAAGGCTAATTGCGGCTTTCCATGGTGCTGCCGAGATTAGTTCAAGCAACAAAAATAACAAAATTTTCTTTTCCTATTCTTAGTTTTGCTGCGTTCCTTTGCCTTTAGGATCTGCTAGTCCCTTTCCTCTAACTCCCCTCCTCCTAAGTCTCCAGAAGGGGAAAGTGCCTGACTGCTCCTGTTCTTCTGGATGCTTTCTTACCACACAGGTGCTATACAAGGAAAACCTGGGGACAGGAATTCCAGTGCCCATCACTCCAGAGATGGAGAGAGTCAAACACAATCAAGAAAACATTAGCTCGGTACTCTGCAAACCAGGGGGAAGAAGATGCTACTTAACCTCAATTTTCAACTGACCCTTAACATTTACTCTTTTTTTAAAACCCTCTTCCCTTCCTTTGCTTCTAAATGTATCCTACTTTGCAAAACGACATACTATCTCATTTTGTTAACACAGTACATTTTAGTTTTTACTTCTTCATCTTATATCTTTACATATTTAAAACAATAACGAGCCTTTAGTTGGTGTGGATAAAAACAAAGCCAAGTGTTAACCATTTCAAATCCTGGTGTGATTATTTAGGAGGCACCGTGCTCATGCAAATGAAGAGAATAACCCGGATAACTCCAACAGCTTTCTCCCAGCAGCTGAGGGGTTTGCTCCCTGGAGGGTGTGGGTGCCCCATCCCAATAATGGCTTCTGTGAAAGCTGTACAGAAGCCATACAGGGCATCTGTCAGCCTAACTCCTGGCTCCTTGCACTCCTGTGTCATTTTGTAGCAAGGAAGCTACTAGCCTTACCCACAATGCCCCACAACAAATGGAATGTCACTTATGGCTGTTTCTCTGATGCCCTCTCATTGCACAGGTGCTATACAGAGAAAACATGGGCAAGGGGACCCCTTTACCTGTCACTCCTGAGATGGAGAGAGTCAAACACAATCAAGAAAACATTAGCTCGGTACTCTGCAAACCAGGGGGAAGAAGATGCCCTTAACCTCAGAATTAAACTAAACCTTAACACTTACTCCTTTTTAAAAGTATACCCACTTCCCTTCCTTTGCTTCTAATGGATCCTATTTTGCAAAACGACATACTGGCTCATTTCGTTAACACAGTTCACTTTCATTTTTACTTCATCTGATGCTTTTAAACATTTGAAATGAACCTGTAGTTGGTGTGGATAACAACAAAACCAAGTGTTAACCATTTCAAGTCCTGGTGTGATTGTTCAGGAAGCCGCGTGCTCATACAAGTGAAGAGAATAACCCGGATAACTCCGACAGCTTTCTCCCAGCAGCTGAGGGGTTTGCTCCCTGGAGGGTGTGGGTGCCCCATCCCAATAATGGCTTCTGTGAAAGCTGTACAGAAGCCATACAGGGCATCTGTCAGCCTAACTCCTGGCTCCTTGCACTCCTGTGTCATTTTGTAGCAAGGAAGCTACTAGCCTTACCCATAATGCCCCACAACAAATGGAATGTCCTTACAGCTGTTTCTCTGATGCCCTCTCATTGCACAGGTGCTATACAGAGAAAACATGGGCAAGGGGACCCCTTTACCTGTCACTCCTGAGATGGAGAGAGTCAGACACAATCAAGAAAACATTAGCTCGGTACTCTGCAAACCAGGGGGAAGAAGATGCCCTTAACCTCAGAATTAAACTGAACCTTAACACTTACTCCTTTTTAAAAAATGTCTTCCTTTCCTTTGCTTCTGTTGTATCCTACATTGCAATTTCAAAATAGTTTACTTTGATTTTTAGTTCAGCTGATATTTTTTAAAGATTAAAAAATAACGACCCTTTAGTTGGCGTGGATAACAACAAAACTAGAGTTAACCACTTTAAACTCCCATGTGATTATTTAGGAGGCACCGTGCTCATGCAAATGAAGAGAATAACCTGGATAACTCCAACAGCTTTCTCCCAGCAGCTGAAGGGTTTGCTGCCCTGCAGGGTGTGGGTTCCCCATCCAGTAACAGCTTCTGTGAAAGCTGTACAGAGCCATACAGGGCATCTGTCAGCCTAACTCCTAGCTCCTTGCACTCCTGTGTCATTTTGTAGCAAGGAAGCTGACCTTACCCATAATGCCCCACAACAAACGGAATGTCACTTATGGCTGTTTTTCTCATGCCCTCTCATTGCACAGGTGCTATACAGAGAAAACATGGGCAAGGGGACCCCTTTACCTGTCACTCCTGAGATGGAGAGAGTCAAACACAATCAAGAAAACATTAGCTCGGTACTCTGCAAACCAGGGGGAAGAAGATGCCCTTAACCTCAGAATTAAACTAAACCTTAACACTTACTCCTTTTTAAAAGTATACCCACTTCCCTTCCTTTGCTTCTAATGGATCCTATTTTGCAAAATGACATACTGGCTCATTTCGTTAATACAGTTCACTTTCATTTTTACTTCATCTGATGCTTTTAAACATATTTAAAACAATAACAAGCCTTTAGTTGGTGTGGATAAAAACAAAACCAAGTGTTAACCATTTCAAATCCTGGTGTGATTGTTCAGGAAGCCGCGTGCTCATACAAGTGAAGAGAATAACCCGGATAACTCCAACAGCTTTCTCCCAGCAGCTGAGGGGTTTGCTCCCTGGAGGGTGTGTGTTCCCCATCCCAGTAATGGCTTCTGTGAAAGCTGTACCTGGCATCTGTCAGCCTAACTCCTGGCTCCTTGCACTCCTGTGTCATTTTGTAGCAAGGAAGCTACTAGCCTTACCCATAATGCCCACAACAAACGGAATGTCACTTACGGCTGTTTTTCTCATGCCCTCTCATTGCACAGGTGCTATACAGAGAAAACATGGGCAAGGGGACCCCTTTACCTGTCACTCCTGAGATGGAGAGAGTCAGACACAATCAAGAAAACATTAGCTCGGTACTCTGGCGAGAAAAGATAAAACTACTTGTTTAACGAATTAAACTACTTTTATAGTTTAGAATAATATGTATTAATCCTTTTAAAAAATTTGTGAATTCATGACCACATTTATCCTTTCCTAGAAGGCTATTCCTAGCCTTAACCCCATAATAACAAGATTGCTGTCGTCTACAATTTAAAGTTCTAATAACTGATTTTCATATAAAATATCCCTTTGCTTACCTCTCCCCAAACTCATCTATCCACTACCTCTAAGGTCTTTTTGTTTTATGCACCTGTGAAATCTGGGGGAGGAGGGCGACTTGAGGCGGGTATAGTAGGTGTGACGGGGCTCTCTCTGGAATATGGCTGTAATGGCTTTATTGGGTTGTGGCGGTGATGACTTTTTCCTGTCAGATGTGGACAAAGAGACCTTGGGAAAAATAACCCCTGATCCTCCTTCAAAGATAATGCTGTTAATTATGATCCAGGCATAGTTTAGTAACCATCAATTTACCTAAAAAGGAAAATGTCACTAGAATGGTTATTTGACCAGTTTTAGGGATTTTGTGTTTTTGTTGCTTTGTCTTTATTGTCTTAAGTGATAATTTCAGTAAATCCTTCCTGGTAAACTTGTTCTTGGTGACATCGTGTACGTTGATAAACTGGGGATTGCAGTTAGCTTGGGAACTTCAGCTTTCAGTAGTGAGCTGCCTTATGGCCCTCAGTGCTGATGCCATCTTAGCTTTCTCTGATCCTTTACTGCAGTGCTTATGAAATGCTAGTATGTACCAGAAACTCCCAGAGGTTTGTTAAACCAGATCGCTGGGTTGTGTCCCAGTTGCTTATTCCATTAGTGTGAATATGGGACCAGAGAATCTGCATTTCTAACAAGTTCTCAGGTGATACTGACCCTGCTGTCCAGAGGCTCCACTTTGAGAACCACTCACTATTCCATGTGCCCAAGAATGACAGGGTTGAAGATTTGTCTTCATGTGTCACTGTGTCTCCTACTGGTTTACCAAGATGGTGATGTAACAGCTAAAAACACACTTCTCCTTACTGATATCATTGATGTTGTCCTAAACTAAGACAAGAGGCAGAGGGCACCACAGGGAAAGAAGTAAGAGAAAGCCTTGGCCATATCTGAAGGCCTGCAAAACTGATACTGATAGGTCTGTGACAGCTGAAGTGCCACAAAAATGTTCAGGCACCAGCTGCTTTACTGGAACAACCTCAACCTTATCTAGCTGAGTTGAGTCCACTGCTCCTTTCATATGATCTGTTGGGGGCTTGGCACTCATAGGCTAACGTTAAAATGATGGTGGTCCTGCATCCCCTCTGGGAGCACTGTAGTTTCTCCTGCCGTCTGCCAGGATTTCAGGGCTGGGTCCTACTCTGGAACATGTGTGTTGCTGTAACTACACTCAACTTCCTTTGAAAATACACTGCTTTCCATCTAACCTTATTGCCTTAATAGTTTGGCACCCTAAGTCCCATCAAAAATGATCCATTCCATTTCCTTTTTTGATAACTGTAATTCTTTTTCTTTTCTTTTTGGCTTTGTGGATCCCTTGGACTCAAATAGGTCTTGTACAAAGAAAATGTGGGGAAAGGCACCCCAACCCCTGTCACTCCAGAGATGCAGAGAGTCAAACGCAATCAAGAAAACATTAGCTCGGTATTGTCTTGAGAAACAAAAGTGCTTTTAATTTTGCAAAGTAACCTCTGCAGTTTGGCCTGCTCCTAACCCCATCCCAGGTTAAAAACAAAATTGCCAATTACACCTGAATCTCCTCTAAATATCATAGTACATTTGCTGTTGCCATTAACTACTTTTAAGCTTTCTTTATGAGAGCTGTTCTATTAGTAGATTAATCCTAGCATTTGCCTTCTCTGCCCAAATTGTACCATATTTAATAGTGAGTATTGCCTCCTAGTGACTTTTGGGTATGACTGTATCTCACAGGTGTTATACAAAGAAAACCTGGGGAAGGCAACCCCCACACCCTTTACTCCTGAGATGGAAAGAGTCAAACGCAACCAAGAAAACTTTAGCTCGGTATTTCAAGGAAAAATGTATCACTGAAAGTTAACAAGCCACTAATTTGTCTCACAGTGTTTCCAAAATTTTTGTGTAGCTTTTAAAATTCCCTGCCCACTTAAAAAAACAAACCAACCCCACCAACTCATACTGATTTCACTTCTTTCTTCATCTTTTGCTTCCTACCATAACATCTTAATGGCTTTATCTTCCTGAGGCGTTTCATATAGCAGTGTGATATAATTGAGCCATAACACCAGCTAAATGATGATTTTTCAGAACTAGTTTTCTGGTCTCTGATGTCTGGATGCTCTCTTGGCTCCCCCAGGTATTGTACAAAGAGAATATGAGAAAAGCAACTCCGACACCTGTTACTCCCGAGATGGAGAGAGCTAAGCGCAACCAAGAAAATATTAGCTCGGTATTTCCTAGGATTAAAAAACAGTAGTGCAACAAGTTGGAAAATAACATTTTTAACATCATGAAACCATGCCTTTCTCATTCCACTGAAAAACACACTAAAATATTTTAAAAAGAGAAATGCAACATCTTGGAAAGTAATGTTTTAACACCATAAAATGCGTACTTTCTCATTCAACTGAAAATTGACATTATAATTAACATATTTGTGCTTTTAAATTCCAAGTGATCATACTAAATATAACAATTTAATTCCCAGTGTTTTCTTTCCCCTTTCACCATACTCTGAGGTAGTTTTCTATAACCAATTATAACAAACTGATTCCCTAACATTCTCAATCCTCTGCTTTCCTTTATTTTTAGGGTATTCTGTGAGACAAGTAACACTCTGAAATGGATGCCTTTTTTGGCTTTGGTATTTTGAGTTTTTAGTGCCTGGAGAACTTTGATTTCTGTATTAGTACGTTGGATTACACAACCTGGACATAGCCTAAGCAAAATTATCATTTTTTTTAAAGGATAGTTCTTTCCATTTCCTTAGTATCAGATTTGGTGCCAAATACCATCAGATATGCTGGTGCTGGTATTACAATTCCAAGCATATTCAAGAGGCCACTTTCTTCATTTTCCCTTTAAAATTATACTGTGCCCCTCTCTCCTTTGAAAATGAAGTTTTCATTTTCAAAGCCAAACAAATCCTTTCTCTGCTGAAGCCAGTCCCACCCATCCTCATCCTAGCCTGTCCCACTGTTGGTCGCCAGCTGATTCAGCTGGTGGGCTCGTCCTCATCAGCTCCTTTCATCTCCATCTGCTGGAGAGTCTTTGAGGCTTCAGAATTAGGACAGCACCAAGATCTTTACTCATTCCTGGTCTCTCTTTGATAGGTTCTTTATTCTGATAGCTTCCGGAAACAAATACAAGGTAAAGCAGCCTATGTGTTGGATACTCCAGAGATGAGACGGGTGAGGGAAACCCAACGGCACATCTCAACCGTGAGTCAGAAATTCTTTGCCTTGGGTGGCCGGCCTGTTGGAAAATGTAAAGAAGGAAAAATGGGCACACCATTGTATTTTCATTAAGGTAATTTGTGACATTTCAGGTGAAATATCATGAAGACTTTGAGAAACACAAGGGTTGTTTCACACCAGTTGTGACTGATCCTATCACTGAGAGAGTAAAAAAGAATATGCAGGACTTCAGTGACATCAACTACCGAGGTATTCAGAGGAAAGTGGTAGAAATGGAACAAAAACGAAATGACCAGGACCAGGAGACTGTTACAGGTAACCGAGAACAAAAATGACATTACCTACATCAAGTCAAGTATAAACGATTTCAATCTGTTTTGAGTATGTTTAAAAGAAAATCCCCATGATCTCAGTTTGTAAAGCTGACTTCTGTTCTACCTTGTCTTTGTGCTCTGTCAAGGCATGACCGGAACCTCTACTGAATAAGAGTAATTCCATCCTCCTGGGGTTGTTTAAATTCATGCCTTGCTTTTCAAGTTATTGGAAGTACACAAGAACACTTATCTGCCCTGATCACTGGTTTTCCTTTCAGGTTTACGTGTCTGGCGTACTAATCCTGGCTCAGTTTTTGACTACGATCCAGCAGAAGACAACATTCAGTCCCGCAGTTTACACATGATTAATGGTATGTTATGCTGCAAAAGGTATACAATGTCAGCAGCACCATATAGTGGCCTAGCAATTGACCCTTAGGCTCTGAAGCTCCCAGGGTTTTTAATTTTAACATGTGCATTCGGCACAAAAACACATATGATGAAGAACTATACGTAGATTTTAATTTTTTATACTAAAACTTATCTTTTATTTTTTAAGATTTATTTATTTATTTGAAATAGTTACACAGAGAGACTAAAAATTATCTTTTTAAAAATTACTTAAAATGGAGAAAGACACAGAGATCTTCCATCTGCTGATTTACACCTCACATGTCCACAACCACCAGGGGTGCGCCAGGCCAAAGTGATGAGCCCAGAACTCTATGCAGGTCTGCTATGTAGGTGTTAGGACACGAGCACTTGAGCTATCACTGCTGTCTTCCAGGGTACTGTATTTGTAGGAACCTGGAGCCAGGACACGAACATGGGTATTCTGTTAGGGGATGCAGGCATCTCAAGCAGCGATTTAACCACTATGCCAAACACCTGACCTCCAAACTTATTTTTTAATTCAATTTCCCATAAGTTCTGAAGTACCTGCCTAGTGCCAGTTCTCAAACAAGTGACTTCTAGCCTACAGATGAAGAGTCAGTCTGTAGTTACACCTTGTAGTATACTCCCTGACATGGAACACACACCAAAAAGAGCATCTAAATTTGGTAGTTAGGGAGGACTTTGTAGAAAAACTGAAGACAGAGTTTGATATAACTATTACTTGTCTGTTCTTTTTGGTGAACCAGGAAAATGGGCAGGGTGGAAGTAGTAGTTAAAGACAGACTATTGGATATGAAACCTGGCTGCACCACTTCCTGTATTATGACCCTTGGCCATTTACTTGAGCTCCCAATTTGTATCACAAGAGTTCTGAGGGCGTTATCCATGGAAAGCTACTTAAAAACCCTGGTTTGCAAATTAACACCTGAGATTCAGTAGCTGTGAAGCATTATTACCATAGACATTTCATTTTTGCTACACCTCTTTCAATCATCTCTCGCAGTCCAAGCTCAGCGCCGGAGCCGGGAACAGTCGCGATCTGCCAGTGCACTGAGCATCAGTGGGGGTGAAGAGAAGTCTGAGCATTCAGAAGGTGCAGACCATCGCCTCTCCACCTACAGCGACGGGGGCATCTTCTTGTCCACAGCCTCAGCAGGTACCAGTGGATGGTGCTGACCGTAAAGGCATGGCTAGGCAGCTTACAGATAGTACTGTAAGGGATATTCTCTGCATAGAAAAAAAAATTGGATACTTTCTTCAAATGAGCAAAGACTATAATTGTGGAGAGTTACCTGAAGTTACATGTTTCATTGTCATTAATTTTATTAGAACCTCCCTTCTTGGAATCATTATAGTTTGACATACTATAATAGCATACTGGGCCGGCGCCGCAGCTCACTAGGGCTAATCCTCCGCCTTGCGGCGCCAGCGCACCGGGTTCTAGTCCCTGTCAGGGCGCCGGATTCTGTCCCGGTTGCCCCTCTTCCAGGCCAGCTCTCTGCTGTGGCCAGGGAGTGCAGTGGAGGATGGCTCAAGTCCTTGGGCCCTGCACCCCATGGGAGACCAGAAGTACCTGGCTCCTGCCTTCGGATCAGCACAGTGCGCTGGCCGCAGCGCGCCGGCCGCGGCGGCCATTGGAGGGTGAACCAACGGCAAAAGGAAGACCTTTCTCTCTCACTGTCCACTCTGCCTGTCAAAAAATAAAAAATAAATAAATAAAATATCATACTTATATAGGAATAGCACAAAAGATACACATTAAAACATGTTCTTCCATGCAGCACAACTCATAAAAGTATAGTTAAATGGCTGGAATCTACTATATGATAAAAATGTAACACCATTTAGTTGCTGTATTAAAAAAGAAAAAACCTCGAATTCTGGCATGGTTCAGAAAAGAGTTAACAGGTTTATTTATAATTTATATAAAGTCGCACTGCTGAAACTTGTCCACTGTAACATTTTAACTTGCATTAATGCTTCACATGCCAGCATTTATTACAAATCCACACACAAATGAAAATGAAAAAAAATTGCCAATACTTGATTTATTAAAGAGTTTATTTAAAAAGTAGACTTACAGAGAGAGCAGACTTCCATCCACTGGTTCACTCCCCAAATAGCTGCATCAGCCAAGGCTGAGCCAGGCCAAGTCAAGAGCCTGGAACTCCATCTGTGTTTCCCATTTGGGTGGCAGGGACCCAAGCACTTGTGCCATCTGCTTTTCCAAGTGTATTAGCAGGAACCTGGATCAGAAGAGGAACAGCCAGCACAGGAACTGGTGTTGAGATAAGGGATGCCTATATCGCAAGTAGCAGCTTAACGTGATATATGGCAGTGCTGGCCCCCCAGTAGCTGATTTCTGTCCCCCCATTTTTCCACTTGAAATTATTTACTTAGGTACCATTTGACACCATAGGAAAAAAATATCTAATATTCAGAACTTTCAAAAGCTGGAAGAGAAAAATCTTTGAGATTATTTCCCATCATAGTAGATGCTTTTTGGGATTTAAGATTATTTTTATTTATTTGAAAGGCAGAGTTAGGGAGAATCTTCCATCCCCTGATTTGCACCATAAATGGCCACATTGGCCAAGCCAAAGCTGGGAGTTTGTAACTCCATCTGGTCTCCCACATGGGTGGCAACTGCCCAAGTCCTTGGGCCATCTTCTCTGGCTTTCCTAGGCACATTAGTAGGGAGCTGGATTGGAAATGGAGCAGCCAGGACTAGAACCTGTGCTCATATGGGATGGGGCATCTCAGGAGGCAATTTAACTCACAGCCCCTAGAAATGATTTAAGTTGGGGAAAAAGACAACAGTGCCCAGATTAAATAACATCTAGCCTTGTTTTCTGCTTGCAAACTGCTTTTTCCTTCTTTTCAGCTTACAAACATGTAAAAACCACAGAGCTCCCACAACAGCGATCATCTTCAGTTGCTACCCAACAGACGACATTATCCTCTATCCCATCCCATCCATCTACTGCCGGGGTAAGTAAATAATGAAGAACTTACTCAATGCATTCTTGTTTTCCAGTGTGTGTAAAATGATTATAGGTATTTCAGCCTTTATTATTTAATGATTTTTCTACTTTAAATAATTAATGCTTTTACATGTTAATGGTTAAATCTTATCAAACCCCAGTTAATAAAAAGTACTATACAATTTGTTTTTTAAAGATTTGAAATTAGGCAGAGAGAGGTCTCATCCACTGGTTCACTCCCCAAATGGCCGCAACTGGGCTAATCTCAAGCCAGGAGCGTGGAGTTTCTTCCATGTGGGTGCTCAAGGAGTCAGGCTATCTCCCGCTGCTTCCCCAGGCCATAGCAGAGAGCTGGATCGGAACTAGTGCCCATACGGGATGCTGGCACTGCAGTTTGTATCTCTACCTGCTATGCCATAGTGCCGGCCCCTATACAATTATTTTTTTAAAATAAAGGCAAAGTATTTGCTTCTTGGAATCTTTCAAGTATGTACATATACATGCACACACGTATATACATGCAAACACTTAATATATACTGAAAAGGTAATCGAATCATGTTAACCATTCACCAGGCTTTTTAAACCCCCCCCCTTTTTTTTAAAGATTTATTTGAGAGGTAGAGTTACAGACAGAGGGAGAAACAGAAAGGTCTTCCTTCCATTGGTTCACTCCCAAGTTGGCCAGAGCTGCGCCACACAGTCTCCCACACGGGTGCAGGGGCCCAAGGACTTGGGCCATCTTCTGCTTTCCCAGGTCACAGCAGAGAGCTGGATTGGAAGAGGAGCAGCCGGGACTAGAATCGGTGCCCATATGGGATGCTGGTGCCGCAGGCGGAGGATTAACCTACTGCACCATGGCGCTGGCCCCTTAAAAATCCTTATTCATGTCATCAAACAATAGGATTAAAATGTTTTTGTAGGACTACAACTATCTTCTGAGACCCATTGTTTCTTATGAAAGGAAGATGATAGACATTTTTCCCCCTGAAGTCAATAAATCCAAGGCACCAAAATCCTGATGGCAATAAAAAATAAATCCTCATATGTCAAGACAGGCGTTACGGTGCAGCAGGTTAAGCTGCTACTTACAGTGTCCACAGCTAGCTCATACTGAGTGCTTGGAATCAAGTTCTGCTTCTGATGCAGCTTCTTGCAAATATACCTAGAAGGCAGCAGATGATAGCCCAAGTTCCTAATTCTCTGCCATCCAGGTGGGAGATCATGGAGTTTCTGACTTTTGGACTGGTCCAGTACTGTTTCAGGAACTTAGGGGAATGAACCTGCAGATAGATCTCTTGGTGTGGCTCTGCCTTTACAAATATATATTTTTTAAAATGCGTTTGTTGGGCCCATGTTGTGGCATAGCAGGTTAAGCCGTTGCTTGCATCCCATGTTAAGTGCTGGTTTGTGTCCCAGCTGCTGAATTTGTATCCTGGATCTCTGCTAACATGCTTGGGTCCCTGGATGGGATGGAGTTCCAGGCTTCTACCTGGACCAGCCCTGGCCATTTGGGGAGTAAACCAGCAGATGGAGGAACTATCTATCCCTCTAGCTAATTCTGCCTTTCAAATAAACTGATTTTTAAAAAAATTAGTAAGCTAATCCTAAACTTATTTGAAAGAACAGATGCAAGAACCAAGTGTTAAAAAATGTTAAGAGGAGGGACTGGTTCTGTGTAGTAGTAACCTAACACTCCACCTGTGGTGCCAGCATCCCATACGGGCACTGGTTCATGTCCAGCTGCTTTTCTTCTGATTCAGCTCTCTGCTTGTGGCCTGGGGAAGCAGGGGTGGCCATTTGGGAAGTGAATCAGCAAGACCTTTCTCTGTCTATAGCTCTCTCAAAATATATATTTTAAAAAACGGTTAAGGCTGGCGCCGTGGCTCAATAGGCTAATCCTCCACCTGTGGTGCCAGCACCCCAGGTTCTAGTCCCAGTCGGGGTGCCGGATTCTGTCCCGGTTGCTCCTCTTCCAGGCCAGCTCCCTGCTGTGGCCCGGGAGTGCAGTGGAGGATGGCCCAAGTCCATGGGCCCTGCACCCACATGGGAGACCAGAAGCACCTGGCTCCTGGCTTCAGATCAGTGCAGTGCACCGACCACAGCGGCCATTGGTGGGGGTGAACCAATGGAAAAAGAAAGACCTTTCTCTGTCTGTCTACTCTGCCTGTCAAAAAAAAAAAAAAAAAAATAGGTTTAGTTTTTAAGAGGAAACTTCTTAACCATGAAATACTATAATTAAGTATAGATTTGGCATGAAAAATAGATGAAGTAATGAAACGTGCCCAAAAGAACAAGTCAGAAAGGAAGGAGTGAATGAATGAATGATACTTCTGTGAATCTGGGATAACTAGTTATTTCTTCAGGAAAAAAAAAAAATAGTCCCAAAGATCTCAATCTAAGAGGCACATCTGTTAAGGTACTCAGAAGGGGACACTAGTTTATTTTACTGGACCCGGGGAAAGTTTTTAAGTGTAAAGAAAAAGACTAGGGGCCAGCGCTGTGGCATAACAGGTAAAGCTGCCACCTGCAGTGCCAGCATCCCTTATGGGCGCCAGTTCCAAGTCACGGCTGCTCCACTTCCAATCTAGCTCTCTCCTGCAGCCTGGGAAAGTAGTAGAAAGCTCCTGGCTCCTTGGTTCAGATTGGTGCAGCTCTTGCTGGTGTGGCCAGCTGGAGAGTGAACCAGCAGATGGAAGACCTCTCTCTGTCTATCCTCTTTCAAATACATTTTTTTCTTTTCGTTTCAAGAAAAAGACTGTGCCCAGTGGCACAGCAGGTTAAGCTGTGGAAGATCACTCTCTCTCTGGAACTCTACCCTTAAATAAAAATCTTTTAAAGATTTGTTGAGTTGAAAGACAGTCACAAAGAGGTAGAGAGAGACTTCCATCTGCTGGTTCACTCCCCAAATGGCCAGAGCTGGGCCGATCAAAGCCAGGAGCTTCTTCTGGGTTTCCTATAGGAGTGCAGGGGCCCAAGGACTTGGGCAATCTTCCACTTCTTTCCCAGGTCTTTAGCAGGGAGCTGGTTGAGAACTGGAGCAGCTGGGACTTGAACCGGCACTCCTATGGGATGCTGGTGCTGCAAGCCAGGGATTTAACCCACTGTGCCATAGCGATGGCCCCTTTTCTTAAAAAAATTTTTATTTGAGAGTTAGTGGAGTCAAATAAACCTTAATAGATTTGACCATAAAATTTTAGATGCTTCTATAACCAAAACATCTGACTAGAATATTTAGAGTATACATAATAGCGTCAGTACCTCAAAAGTATAGAGCATTCTAAAATACAAATAATTCATTCCTCTCCCCTTAAAATAAGAAAGGCTTAGAAGAGTATGAATAATTTATGGTAAATTATATGTACATTAATGTTTATTGTTCGAAGAAAGTTTTAAAGGTATAGTGTCAGTTCAAAGTGTTTGCCCAAAGGCCAACACTATCCTATTCACTAGAATCTGAGAAAAAAAAAATTACTTGGCCGTTTCCATTTTTCTGGACATTTTTTATCCTGTGGTATTAAGGTGTCAAATTCTTTCCAACAAAGAGAATGAGATTTACCTTTATATGGAATCAAAGAAGTTTTGTTTTGGAGAGGCAGAGAGAAGACAGAGCACTCGTATCCGCTGGTTCACTCCCCAATTGCCAGAAAATGTCTTGGTTGGGGCTTTAAGCCAGGAGCCAGGAACTCAATCCAGGTTTCCTACAAGGGTGGCCAAACCCAATCACCTGAACCATAATCACTGTTTCCCAGGGCCCACAGTGGCAGGAAGCTGGCATCAGAAACCTATGCCACACATAGACACTTACATGTGATAGAGGTGTCACAATCATAAGGCAGCCTTTACAATTTTTAACATTGGAAATTTTCGATCATACCAATAAAAGCTATTCAGCACAAAGAATGATATGCCAATAGTATTTGGGAATATGCATGTCATAGTCAACTGGTTATATTCAGACCCAGACCAAAGAAGTTTTTAAAGGCATGATTATTACATAAAATCTTTTCAATATTAATGTGTGGCTACAAGGATTCACAATAAAAAGGGTGTCATCTTTAAATATATATCCAGCAAGCAGAACTGCCCGTTCAATGCTATTTAATGTAATCATTGCCAAGGTGTTTTCCAAGGTGACAATGCCTTTTTGCATTCCAACACTTGTCTCAACAGCTATCACCATTCTGGTGTGTGCTGTTTTGGTTTTCATTTGCATTTCCCTGATGACTGATGTACAGCATATTTTTATGTTTATTGGAAGTTTATCTCCTTAAGGATAAAGCCTCTCTGAAGCTCCTTCCTTGAGTTGTAGTTTCTTACATATTCTGGCTATTAATCCCCTATCAGATATCATCTTCAAGTATTTTCTATTCTGTGGGTTTTTACTTCCTTGGCGATTGGTTGTATATTCTTTTGTACAATGTAAGTTTATATATTAAAATCATAAGAGACCTTATAGTCGTTTCGCTTGTTATAAAACCATTATCTAGTGTCTTCTCTCTTCTCCATCCTCACAAACAGAAAATCTTCCGTGCCATGTATGATTACATGGCTGCTGACGCAGACGAGGTGTCCTTCAAAGATGGAGACGCTATCGTCAATGTTCAAGCTATCGACGAAGGCTGGATGTATGGCACAGTACAGAGGACTGGCAGGACCGGCATGCTCCCAGCCAACTACGTTGAAGCTATTTAGTACTTACAAGTATTACACCTGTCTGCAGGACTTAAGATTCCGCAGTCAGTACTTCAGTTTAGACTTTCCACTATTACCCATATTTCTCAAGCTGCCCAAATTTTTGTCAACCTACTTACAATTGTACCATCCCTTAATTTATGACTATATGGGTGTCAGTAATTCTCCTGTAAAACAAATGTCATTATCAGTTAAACTAAATCACTTCTTCACTTTCTGAAACTGCATATGAAATCAGACATTAAACCTATATAATCTGTAAAAGCTGCCATTATCAATATCTCCTTTGGGTTTTAATGTTTAACTTCAGAACAGACATTTTAAAAGCTTTACAATATTGTATCATGATGACATCAACTCGGAGTCTTTATATAAAAATATTTAATGTTCTAAAATAAGGATACTGAACATGTTTGGCACATTCTTTGCTTACTGAATGCTACTGCTTTTATTTGTAATCCAGTTCTAAAGTTATAGAGCCAATAGAAAAAACTCATAATAAGCTGGCAACTAATAAAAACCTTTAATTCTGCAATAAACATGGTTGAACTTTTTCAATGATTTTAGCAAATTTCTCACACTAAATTGTGAAATCTTTAAAATGCATTTTTAAAAATGCAGTAAAAATTTTAAAGACTCCATCCATAATTTTGTTCACCTAGCTAGCCTGCAGTTTAAGAAACAGCCATGGGATCCAGTTCTAACCTGATTTCCTCCATTTATATCCAGTAGGCTGGTAGTATGTGGTGACAGCATTAAAAGGGCAAGGGGTAAAGACAACCAGTAATGGTTTTCTGCTCGTTATTTTAAAGCTGTAATAGTTAGTGTCGGTGCTGCTCTATCCAAGTTTCTCAATGTACTTGAGACTCACAGGGAGCGACTGCTCTAGCAAAGGGATACACCTAATATGCACAGCTCTGTGTTAAATGCTAATCCTAAGTGATGAACAAGAGAAACAATGTTTTTACAGAACTTAGTGTTCAAAGAAAAACCAGACTATGCCCAAGCATTCTGATGGTGGGAGAGATGGCTGCTTCACCATTCCCAAATCTTCAATTTTTAAACTGGATAGAAATTCAAATTCAGCCAGGCAACAATCTCACCCAACAGAACTTTGGGAACACCCTAACGTTTATGCTGATGAGTTCAATGGATTGATTTAGCTTTAAAATTTGTCTTTATATATCTACCAAAGCACATTTTGCAGTTGCTATCATGAAGGAAAACACTTTAATTCTAGATTTTTGAAAAAAGCATGGAAATCTTTCCTTCTGTATACCAAAGTAGAGGATCCTCCTATACTCACCAACCTGCCTCAAAAATGACCAAACTGTTCACCTTGTATGCTCCCCACTGTAAGGACCTCCTTCCTTTCAATGTGCACCTCAAAGAGCTCTTAATACATTAGCTTTAACATACCTTAAAAACTGTCAATAAACATGGCAGTTGTATCTTCCTATTTCTCTAGCAAACTGCTTGGACCCATGCCGTCATGGTGGTGGTACCGTGGCAAACAGTATGCATCTCCACTGCCAGAGACTCACAGGACTTTAAGGCCGCCAAGATCAAACCTGACATACAATCTTTAATTATGAAGGGTTAAAATGTCTGTAGGTTAGACCCAAGCCAAAACTCACAACATTCTGTTACAGGTTAGATCTTGCCCCAGTGTTTCAGAAGGTGATCTCATTTGGAAATAGGGTCATCACAAATGTCATCAAGATTAAGGTCATTAGGGTGTGCCCTAATCCAAGGCACATATGGTATCCTTATACTCAGACACACATGTGCACAGGGAGAAAGCCAATTGAGGATGGAGGCAAAGACTGGGACAGAGCTTCTACATGCCACAAATGCCAAAAGTTACCAATGAACAGCCATAAAACAAGAAAGAAAAGCAGAAACACATGCTTTCTATGGCTACAAGCAAACAACCTTGCCAACATTCCGAGTTCTAGCACCCAGTCACTGTGGCACTTTATTACAGCAGCCCCAGCCAACTAGCACATACCTTTCAGTATCATTCTTTATTTCCTTTTCTTACAAGTATAGATTTACAGATCTGTAGAACCAGGTAAAGAAGGAATCTAATGAATCTATCAGAGAGCTATTCTTAAAAAGACAAACAATATGAATGGCTCCTATTCATGTGGAGGGGGAAGGGATACAATGTTCATTTTTACTTGTGTTATAACTCCTTTCATGTCTCACTAAAATAAACATAAAACAAGGAAAAACATCAAAATGAAGCAAAAAAGGGAGCAGGAAGTTAGTTTTATAGTTTTATTTCAGGTAAAAGTGCATTTCTGTAAAAATGTTTCAACATCCAGTTAACAGTCAAGTGGCAACAATCAACTTTTAATGAAAGATTCTCCCTCCCTTAACAGTGATAATGAACCAGAAATAGTGTGGGACTATCTGCTTTAAACACGGTATAAAGCACTGCACACTCAAAACAGACCACACCCATACTTCCCACCCTCTAGTAGAGTTAACTTATGGATCAATCAGTGGTTGTTGCTTCAACTTAATCATTTGAAAGACATATCAAATATAAATACTTTGTGAATGCAAAACTAAGCTTTTTAGAGTTTACCAAGTGATGGAGACAAAAATACTACAGCAACTGACTTGTTTTCTGTCACTCTTTTTCTAAGTGCATTATCAAGGCTATGCACACAGGAGGTAGTGTTTAAGATATGCTGAAAGCAACTGACAACTCAACAACCTAGAATACAAACTACTATACCCCAATTTACTTCACAAGTATGATTTAAGATCTCAGTGCCAAACACCTCTCCAATAGCTCTGTCAAACCACTGAGATTTCTTTTAAGACCATAGCAAAAACGTTAATTACACTGAAAATTATGAGGAAAAAACACTAAGATGTACTAATACCTCCTAGTTTGCCTGTATTTGCACAACACTAAGACACAAATATAATCAGGGGAACCCTCTCTATAAATGAAACCTAAACAGGGTTTATAGAAATAAAAGAATCAAGACCTGATTCTGCCAATGAAAGCCAAATAATCAAATTGATAGCACACCACTGACAAACTCTGTAAAGTGACAAATACTTTAGGCCTTGCGGGGTAGTCTGTCAGACTAATCAATTCTGCCACTATACCAGGAAGACGGCCAAAAACAATGCAAACAAGCGTGACAGTGCTCAAAAAAAATGACTTCTGGCCGGCGCCGTGGCTCAATAGGCTAATCCTCCACCATGCGGCGCCGGCACACCGGGTTCTAGTCCCGGTTGGGGCGCCGGATTCTGTCCCGGTTGCCCCTCTTCCAGGCCAGCTCTCTGCTATGGCCAGGGAGTGCAGTGGAGGATGGCCCAGGTGCTTGGGCCCTGCACCCCATGGGAGACCAGGAAAAGCACCTGGATCCTGGCTCCTGCCATCAGATCAGCGCGGTGCGCCGGCTGCAGCGGCGGCCATTGGAGGGTGAACCAACGGCAAAAGGAAGACCTTCTCTCTCTGTCTCTCTCTCACACTGTCCACTCTGCCTGTCAAAAAAAAAAAAGACTTCTGAACACTTCAATGTTAATTTTACCTATTTTCACCTGTCTCTAAACAAGTCTTTCTTTTCTCACTGCTTCAAATCTGTAAAAAGTCTTAGTTCACTGACATTTTAAAAAACAAATGTTCAGCTTTAATTTATTGACCCTTGCTCTACAAATCACTGTCACCCTTTGGTTTCTACATTCAGAACTGATTCTATTCTTCATTCCAAACTTCTTTTAGATGCTGCACATTCTATAAATTTAAGTTACTAAAGTATATTTCATAACACCTTCATTTTGAAGGTAGTGAACTTCCAAGTCATTTGCCATTAACCCATTTAGTAAGTACAAAGCTTTTTGTTGGAAAAAAGTATTTTGCTCTTGGTAGGAGGCAGAATATTAAATTAATGCACATTTTAGATAACCACTCAAGGTATTCATAAACATCAACTGTGGTACTTTGCTATACATTTGCACTAGCTCTTGCGACCACTGGCTGCCAACTATTACCAATGTTAAGATTGCTTGTCCCTATACTAAATGGCATAATTGCACTATTACATTTTCGGCTCATTCTGCCTCTGCCTTTGTTAATCTGCAGTGCAACACAAAGTTCTATTTATTTGAAAGACAGTGTGACACGGAGGGAAAGACAGAAGAAAAGGGACCTTCCATCTGTTTTCACTTGCCAAATGTCGGCCAACAGACATTACCTGGGCTATGCCAAGCCATAACCAATAACTCACATCCCTCAGAATACCTGGGATTCCTACCCAGCTCTGGCTCCTGTGTGCAGCTTCCTGATATTACAGACCCTGGGAAGCAGTGGTGATGGTTCAAGTAGTTAGGTTTCTGCCACACATGGGAGGCCTGGATTGAAATTATCAGCTCTTGGCTCCGGTCATAGTCCAGACCTGACATTTACAGGATTTTGGGGAGTGAACCAGTGAATGGGATCTGTAAGTCTTCAAAATAAAAATTTAAAAGTCGAAAAGTTCAAAAAGGCAATATTGTACCCTTTTCTTAACATTTTGATTTTTAATCTGAAGACTTTGAGACCAATTTGTATCCCCAGTGATAATTTGAAAAATGTAGGGGCTGGCATTGTGACATAGTAGGCTAAGCCTCTGCCTGCGGCACTGGCATCCCATATGGGCGCTGGTTCTAGTCCTGGCTGCTCCACGTCCAATCCAGCTCTCTGTTATGGCCTGGGAAAACAGTGGACGATGGCCCAAGTGCTTGGGCCCCTGCACCCACACAGGAGGTCTGGAGGAAGCTCCTGGCTTCAGTTCAGCCCAGCTCTTGCTCCCCAAATGCCTGCAGTGGCCCAACAGTGGATCAAAGATCTGTCTGTAACTCTCAAGTTAATCAATAAAATCTTGGGCAAAAAATAAAAAGTGTAAGAAGCATAGCTCTCATCTTCTGTACCATAACTTTAAAGACTAAAACTCCCTGGATTATTTTAGGCCTATCAACTGCAACTCTGTACTAAACCTCTGCAAGTTGACTAGAAAAGTAGACTTTCAGGTCCCATCACAGAACCACTGAATCATAACCGGCATTCTTATACTTATTCAAGCTGGAGAAGCACTGTTAAAAATTCACACTAACATTTGTGTATCAAGTATAACATAGGGACAAATAAAATAACAGGAACAAAACGAACTTCAGTTGGGGTATCAAGCAGATGAGCCATATATACCAACAGCTGTATTTACAGTCTCCTAGCCCTAGCATATTATAACTTCTTTACCAAAACAAACAACCCCCCCCCCCCAAAATTTATGTAACTCCATTTTTTAATTTATTTGACAGGCAGAGTTACAGACAGAGACAGAAAGGTCTTTCTTCCGTTGGTTCACTCCCCAAAATGGCCACCACGGCCAGTGCGGCACCGATCTGAAGCGAGGAACCAGGTGCTTCCTCCTGGTCTCCCATGCAGGTGCAGGGCCCAAGCACTTGGGTCATCCTCCACTGCACTCCCTGGCCACAGCAGAGAGCTGGACTGGAAGAGGAGCAGCCGGCACTAGAACCTGGCGCCTATATGGGATGCCGGCACTGCAGGCGGAGGATTAACCAAGTGAGCCACAGCGCTGGCCCTATAACCTCAACATTTGAACTCCAATTTTGTTTCTCACCCTAATCATTCTAGACATTTTTGATTCTTAAAATACGCAATAGAAGCCCTATACATATTCAGGGTATGGTTAAAAAAACCAAAAGAATTAAAAAAATAAAGAATTCATATCCATAGGCAATGTAACTACATTGATCAATGTTCAGCTTTAAATTCTACTTTTTAAAAATTTATTTCAAAGAGCTAGAGAGATCTTCCACACGTTTCACTCCACAGATGGCCCTAAGGGCCAGGGTTGAGCAAGGCAGAAGCCAGGAGCTTCCTCTGGGTCTTACACATGGGTGTTGGGCCATTTTCCACTGCCTTCCAGGCGCATTAATAGCAGGGAGCTGGATCCAAGTGGAGCAGCCAGGGTACTTACTGGTACCTTGATGGCATGTTGGTGTCACAGGTGGCAGCTTTAACTCCTAAATTCTATCTTCAACTATATTATTTGGGCCAGCGCTGTGGCGCAGCAGGTTACTGCCTTGGCCTGAAGCACCAGCATCCCATATGGTTGCTGGTTCAAGACCCGACTGCTCCACTTCCGATCCAGCTCTCTGCTGTGGCCTGGGAAAGCACTGGAAGATGGCCCAATCCTTGGGCCCCTGCACCCGTGTGGAAGATCCGGAAGAAGCTCCTGGCTCTGGATTGGCACAGTTCCTGCCGTTGTGGCCAACTGGGGAGTGAACCAAAGGATGGAGGACCTCTCTCTCTGCTTCTCCTCCCTCTGTATAATTCTTTCAAATAAATAAATCTTTAAAAAAAAAAACCACAATACTATTATTTAATCTGGCTCATCCTATCCTATTTGGAACTAAGTAAAATCCCACAATATTCAACGACTTTCAAACCTGTCCAAAAATCTTTAACAGGTTCACCAAAACACTCAAAATTTTTCATGTGTGAAATAGAGGTTTCATTAGATATGAAAAAATGTATACATATATGCCACTAGATTCTTATTAAAAATGCATAAATCGGGCCGGCGCCGCGGCTCACTGGGCTAATCCTCCGCCTAGCGGCGCCGGCACACCGGGTTCTAGTCCCGGTTGGGGCGCCGGATTCTGTCCCGGTTGCCCCTCTTCCAGGCCAGCTCTCTGCTGTGGCCAGGGAGTGCAGTGGAGGATGGCCCAGGTGCTTGGGCCCTGCACCCCATGGGAGACCAGGAAAAGCACCTGGCTCCTGGCTCCTGCCAGGATCAGCGCGGTGCCGCCGGCTGCAGCGGTGGCCATTGGAGGGTGAACCAACGGCAAAGGAAGACCTTTCTCTCCCTGTCTCTCTCTCTCACTGTCCACTCTGCCTGTCGGAAAAACAAAAAAAAACAAAAAAAAAAAAAGGAAAGCATAAATCTTTTGGAAAAAAAAAAAAAGGATTTTATTTTAGTAGTTTAACACATGGAGCTGACCCAAGAATATTAATTCATTTTCCTATATAGGAATCACTAATGGGGAAATTTGTTGAAAAATTTAAATGAATACTGAAAATAAGGTGCCTCAAATATATCTTTATAATAAAGATTTAACTAAAGTTAGCCTTTGTCCCAAATAATACTTATACTGAAACAATGCTTTAGTTATTACTTGTGTTTACATCAAATTTGGTAATTTAACAGTAAATGGTATCTTAGTCATGTTTTATACTGCATGCCCAAGTTTCCCAAGAATTTCATTTTATGAGCAAGTTTAATTCATGCAAACATTAAGGCACGTAGTCATGAAATGAGCGATTTCTGACTAAGCTGTGTTAAAATAACCTGTTACAACTTCCCTAAGCACATACACATCACTAAAAAACTCTTGTGCTTCCTTACTATAAATGGGCATAAAATTGTTTCTATAAATTAGTGTTTTCCATTAATTATTTCTTCAAACTACAATCCTTAGTTCAATGACCCTAGAATTTCTTTAACTATCCTTGCTTTATGATACTTAGACCTAAAAGTAGTTATAAGGATGCCACATTTATGATTTCAAACAAACTCCACTTGTAGAAGGACTAGCTGGATGGTGGTCCCTGCTGTATAAAGGAGAACTTAAACTAGACAAAAGTATTACAAATCTGTATGACTTTGTTGTAGAAGCTGCCATGGGTTAGATTCTGAATAAAGTGTGAAATAGAAATTCACTGACAGAAAAATAAGTGAGATATATTCTCAGTTACAAAGAGGAAACAAATACAGGAAGTCAGGCATTAATACTAGGTTGATAAAACTTAAAATGTTTTAATTATATACACCCTATTTTTTTAAACCAGGCAAAACATACATATATAAAAGAACAATTTAACTTTTTTCAAGTTTTTAGGTATAAATGACAATAGCAGATAAATTTTAGACTTCTTATAGTCCAACCTGCAATGACAATAGTCAAACTAACTCTCCATTAAGAAGAAATTTAACGAGGCACGCTTTCTAGTGGGTGATATCTTCTTCCAAACCAAAAAGGGGGGAAAATGTTAAGCATATGAATAGCAAGGTTGTCATGTAACATTTTCTCATTTTGGTAATTTTAGTCATTCTAGTTACCTTAAAAAATAAACTCATCTGTTAACTAAGTAAAAAACTATGTGCTATTTTATTTGTAGATACAGAATACTACAAGTATCTGCAGCAAGCCCATGAAGCACTTCTGTCTACTGATACTTCAGTTTTAAATATATACAAAATGTATCTGTCAAACAAACCAATGTATTCACAGAAGCTGCAGAAAATTCATGCAATTAACGAAGGCTGAAATTTATAAATTAAAAATATTGTCATCTATACATAATGTACAAATTTGTGCATTTAAAAATGAATACTATCGTCTAAAGAGTAAATTTTCACAGGCAACTTTTGCTGCACAATGTTTGCTAATCAATGAAATCTTAGTATATTTTGAATATTTTGCCCTCAGAAATTAAAACTTCTGGTATTTTTCCTCATAAATTGTCCTAAGTTGTTATCTTAAGAAAAAAGTACAGTTCAATTACATCCCATTTGAGGTGCTTTTCAAAGAACAATTTCCTAAATTTCACCACAAATACAAATAATTTGTACAATTAGTTCAGCAAAAATTCAAAAATGTTTCAATTTTACTTAAAGCATTCAGTATTACATATTTCACTAGAATATGCATGAGTTGAAGAAAGTGCAAAACATCTATACTTTTGTTTCTAGTTTCACATCTTGGTAAGATACTGAAGTTTGAAAACAGCACAGCAGCCAGGAAAATTACATGGGGGGGGGGGGGGGACACATAATGAAATTACAAATCTAACTTACATAATAAAATATTGCCCCTCAGTGTTTTGAAACATTACCATCTTTGCAATAGTCTCTTTGAAATTGTGCTATACTTCTGAACTTAGTCAATCAAGAAGAAATCCAGTGAGGCTTCAGTTCTCTTGAAATACTAAATAGAATTTTCATGGGCTGATGACTTCCAACGTGACTGCAGATTTTTTATTATAGAGTTTGCCATACTACCAAGTTTCTCATGCATTTCAAATAGCTGGTTTCCTGAGTAATTATGGAGATCTTCTGAATCTAACTGAAGAGCAAGAGCACTAATTTGTGCCATAAGATTTTTAGAAAATGGAGTTTCTAAAGTAACAGGATCAGCCAAATCTAAAAGAAAGTGCAAATAAATGAATGGCAGATTAATATTCAATTACAGATATCACCTTTCAAGTTAATGAAGTTTAAGTGCATAGGCTTTAAACAGAGAACAGGCTGAGTTATCCTTGCTCTTCAAGAGAACAAGGTGACAGAAAAATTCACCACACATGTTTTCTGTTAGTCAAGAAACCACTAGACTAGTTCATTTTTAGTAACATAACTGTAACAAAATGTGTGGTTTATATCCTTGAGACCTTGATGAACTAAAAGCTGACAATTAGAGGAAACAAACTTTACACAGATAAAGTAAAATCAGTTATTTTTTCCACACATCTGTCATCAAATGTGTGCACACACACTAATATACACAATTAAGGACTCTTCAAATTAAAACCAAAACAAAAAATTAAGAAAATGAGGTATCTTCATAAAATTGTACAAATATGCCAAAATATACCTGAAGCAAGTCTTTCATCATCTGAAGATTTAGTTTCTATTCCATTTACTGTTTTTTCAGAAATATCAAAAACTGGAATCTCTTCTAATCCATGAGACTTCACCTTGATTATACAATGTTAAAGAAAAAAAAATCAAATCAAGCTACATTTCATAAACATTGGTACAAACACCAGAAAAAAACTTATGTGGAAAACATGGTCCATAGCTAATTATAATTAACTTAGCTTATCTTGCTAACACTATGTTCTCTACTAACTATATAAAAATAGCATTACTATTTCTTCCCTAAGAGTCAGAAATGTGTATTTCATAGGGGCCAGCATTTTGGAGTAGCAAGTAAAGCTGCCATCTGCAATGTGGGCATCCTCTATGAGTTCTGGCTCACGTCCCAGAAGCTCTGCTTCTGATCCAGTTCCCTCCTAATAGTGTGGGAAAAGCAGATGATGACCCAAGTGCTTGTGCCCCTCCTACCCATGTAGGAGACCTGGAAGCTCTTGGCTGCAGCCATGCGCAGCTGTGGCCATTGTGGCAATCTGGGAAGTGAACCAGTAGATGAAAATCTGTCTAACATTAACTTTCAAATCAAGAGAAATCTTAAAACAAAACAAAACAAAACAAAAAAGTTATATTTTGTAATAGGTTCAGTCATGAAAGTCAAGGAAATTACATTGTTTTCCCAAGTTCAGGGATGAGGGAAAGGAAAAGTCTATGGCAGCAATTTCTAAGTACAATATGTATACATATATTTAAACAGAACATAATTTTCATAGCTCTTCCCAGAGCCTGACCAAAAGCTTTCCAATAGTTATGTTACTCAGAAACTACTCTTCAAGGTACATATAACCAAAATAAATGAAAATATACATTCAAAGCAAAAACTTGTATATGAATGATCAAGCAGCATTACGAACAGCAGCAAAAATGTCCATCAATTTACAGAAAAATGTGGAATATTTTTTCAACTTTAACATGGAAAGAAATTGACACGCTAAAACATGGGTAAACCTTTATAATATTAAACTGAAAGAAGCCAGTTAAGCAAAGACTAAGCTAAGGTTATATGACTTCATTTTCAATGTCCACAGCACACAAAATCTATAGGGACAGAGGAAGGAGTTAACAGCTAATGAAGTAAGTTAGGGCTTTTTAAGTTCCAAAGTTAGGCCATGGGGTTGGCTGTCTAACTCTGTATACAGAAAATAAAAATTAATGGAATAGACATTCTAAGTTCCCATGGACACTGAATAAGAAAATTTCAGAACTTGAAATCTTTGTCTAAGAATGAAAATTACACACACAGCACAGTTCTTGATTTTGTTTTCTATTCTGAGTTACTGCATTTTTTTTTTTTTAATTTTTATTTTTTTGACAGGCAGAGTGGACAGTGAGAGAGAGAGACAGAAAGGTCTTCCTTTGCCGTTGGTTCACCCTCCAATGGCCGCCGCGGCCAGCGCGCTGCGGCCGGCGCACCGCGCTGATCCGATGGCAGGAGCCAGGAGCCAGGTGCTTTTCCTGGTCTCCCATGGGGTGCAGGGCCCAAGCACCTGGGCCATCCTCCACTGCACTCCCTGACCACAGCAGAGAGCTGGCCTGGAAGAGGGGCAACCGGGACAGAATCCGGCGCCCCAACCGGGACTAGAACCCGGTGTGCCGGCGCCGCTAGGCGGAGGATTAGCCTAGTGAGCCGCGGCGCTGGCCTGAGTTACTGCATTTAAAAGTTCCTGAAGACAACAAATTAATTGAAAATCTAGTACTCTGGAATAGAGACAAATCTCCATTTTAGAAGTTCTAACACAGAATTCTGCTTTTCACCCTTAAGTATACAATTTTTCCATTTATCACAATTCATACAGTGTCAATGGATAGGAAAATCTTTGACTGGGCTCCAGAAGTTTTGTAAATCCTAAAATAACAAGCGTTAAGTTTTCATATACATTTTAACCAGGAGGCTTACTCTTGGCTTTCATCAAAATTTTGAAAATTATTAATGTGTACAAAATGTTAAAAGGAAAAACAAATGTAAACTGGCAGACATCAAAATCACAATATTGTGACCAATAAATTTGTGTCAAAGCTTGGATTTGAACAACCAGGTTTTAGCAGTACTCACATCCAACCAATCATTGATTGCAGGGAACGAATCAAAGAAAAAGTAGAACAGAATACAATGAACAAGACAATTAAAAAATTAACTTATATACTCCCTAAAAATTACTTAAATACATGAACTAACTTCCCTGTGGAATTCTAAATCCCTTTTAAGTTACGCTTGATTGGGAAGGGGAGTATTACATAAACTGCACTTGTAAAAGCAACTGTAATTCTGTATCATTAATATACTTTTGTAATTAATACTTCAGCTTTTACCTGTTGCTCATGATATACTCTGAGTGCCCTTTTTACATTAGACACTTTTGGAGAACGGATAGGAAGAGTTTTTATTTCTGAAGCTGTAAGAGTACTCAAATCACCAATTGTTTTTATATTCTTGGCTCTAATAAGTTGTCCCAGGCCTCTTGCCCTGAGAAAAGATGAGAGAAAAGCAAAATTATAGTTTATATCTTAGTTGTGAACACTCAATCCAGTTGACATTTCTTCATGTGAACTCAAACTCCTAGCCCATAAGGGGGCAGGCATATATATGAAACAATCTCCAAAACGTACATGGAGGAGCTGGCACGGTGGCCCAGTGATGATGCTGCCACTTGAGACACAAGCATCTTATATGGGTGACAGTTTGAGACTACCTCCCTGCTAATGCTCCTGAGAACAGTGGAACATGGCCCACATGCTTGAGACCAGGTGACCCATGTGAGAGAGTCAGGTCAAGTTCTAGGCTCCTGACTCTGGCCCAGCCCCAGCCCCAGCCATTATGGCCATTTCGTGAGTGAACCAGCAGATGGACCATCGCTCTCTTGCATCTCTCCATCTCTCTGAACTCTACCTTTCAAATATTAAATCTTTAAAACTTTATGGAAATGTGAATTATGAAAACTAGACTTTTGTCCTAAAATAAAATTATTTAATTCCATTTTTCTCTGAACATTTAGTAGTACCTTTTATGCATTTAGTTAAAAACAAAATTTCAATCTTTATTTTTATACTTGGCTTTAGCAACGGCACAAAAATAGAATAAGCTCATGGGGGCTGGCACTGTGGCACAGTGGGTTAAAGCCCTGGCCTGAAGTGCAGGGATCCCATATGGGCGCCAGTTTGAGACCCAGCTGCTCTACTTCCAATCCAGCTCTCTGCTATGGCCTGGGAAAGCAGTGGAGGATGGCCCAAGTCCTTAGGCCCCTGCACCCACGTGTGAGACCTGGAGAAAGCTTCTGGATCCTGGCTTCGGATCAGCACAGCTCCAGCCACTGCAACCATCTGGAGGGTGAACTAGTGGATGGAAGACCTCTCTGTCTCTACCTTTCTCTCTGTAACTTTCAAATAAGTAAATCTTTATTAAAAAAAAAAAAAAAAAAAAAAAAAAAAAAAAAAAGCCCACTGTGATCTCTGCTTCTATGTTCTTTTATCAAGTAACTGCTTTCTAACCGTTGTTACATACACAGCAGCAGCATACGGAGACACTTTTTATGCTGAAATGCCCGGCTGCATTTACAGTTCAGGCTCCTCAATGATTTTTTTCTTTCCCACATCCCTTTTATTGTGCCCTCTCCCCAATTTCTTTTATCAAAAATGGACACACATTATCCCTTGAATAAATCTGAGAACACTTTTCATCCTACTGAAAATTATATCATAATACAGAAGTCTAATACTTCATTTAAAAAGTAATTTTCTCAAGGTGTGAACAAGCTACACGGAACTATTTTCTTAAACAGGACATGGTACCAGAACTGTCTACCCATAAGCATTGTTGCCAAGACTGACAACATTAAAGAACCATTTTTTTTTTTTTAAGATTTATATTTGAAAGACAGAGTTACAGAGAGAGGTAGACACAGAGAGAGAAGTCTTCTATCCACTGAATCACTCCCTAGATGGCCGCAATGGCCGGAGCTGATCCGAAGCCAGGAGCCAGGAGCCAGGAGCTTCCTCCAGGTCTCCCACGTGGAGACTTGGACTTGGGCCATCTTCCACTGCTTTCCCAAGCCGTAACAGAGAGCTGGATAGGAAGAGCAGCAGCTGGGACTAGAACCGGCATCCATATGGAATGCCAGCACTTCAGGCCAGGGCTTTAACCCACTGCGCCACAGCACCAGCCCCTAAGAATCAAAAACAAAAACGCTTCGGAGTAAGTTCTGCATATACGGACATCACACTTCAGACTTTTGGTGGCAGTGCACTTTTGGTGGGTTAATCTTTATGAACATCATTTCCTAATAAAGAGGAAGTGATATATTATTCATGGGTTTATGTTAAACAAGATAATGCATGTAGGGGCCAATGCTGTGGCACAGTGGGTTAAAGCCCCAGCCTGAAGCACTGGCACCCCATATGGGCACTGGCTCAAGTCCCAGCTGCTCCTTTTCGGATCCAGCTCTTTGCTGTGGCCTGGGAAAGCAGAAGATGGCCCAAATGCTGGGGACCCTGCAACCACGTGGGAGACCAGGAGAAAGCTCCTGGCTCTGGATCAGCTCTGCTCTTGCCATTGCAGTCATTTGGGGAGTGAAACAGCAGATGGAAGACCTCCCCCTGGCTCTACTTAACTCTTTCAAATAAAAAATAAATCTTTTAAAAAAACATAATGTACATAAAGATTTTTTTTTTTTAATTATCTGAAAGGCAGAGAGTCAGTTACAGAAATCTGGTTTATTCCCAAAGTGCCAACAACTAGGCTGGGCCAGATTGAAGCCAGAACCAAATATATAACTCCCCTGTAGGTGGCAGAGAGCCAACTACCTGAGCTACCATCTGCTACTTGACACGTATGCGCAACAGGAGGAAGCTGGAATTGGAAGCAGAGTGAGCTGAGAACCAAACTAAGGCATTCCAATTCAGTAGGTAGGAATCTCCAGTGCAAACTGAACTGCTATGCCTCAGCACCTGATACCCTTATCTTGAAATACATTAGGAAAAAACTATCTCTCACAGCTCAGTCTGGCCTATCTTCCAAACTGTATTTTCTTTTTAATTCCTAAAACACGATGTATGTGGGAGTGATACCAATCAATTCTAAACAAGAAGTCCTCTTATAAAAGAGTCATGTTGGAATATAAGCTATCAGGCTTATAAATAAGCACTTACCACATGTTTGATGTAATCTGAGGTAAAATGATGTCAACTGGTGCTGCACAGTTCACCAATGCTGGGTAAACACTTTCTGTTGGGCATGGCACAGATTCTTTCACCATTTCTGTAATCTTAGAATAAATTTTGAAAACCATTAAACACAGGTCACCAGAGTGAACATAAAAATAATAAAGTTACGTGAAAACTAAAGCACTTCTTACTAAACACTTCTTTGAGCTCTTAAATTTAGGGCTACGTGATCCTGGGGACAGAAATCCTTTGGTTGAAGTGGTATTATGCTAGATAGAAGAAAGGAGAGAAAAAAAAACTCAGAACCCTAAATAACTATAATTTTACAACTTTCACAATTTAGACTATAGTTATTTCTTTAAAATTTTAGAGAACATAAAAAGGGTAGAATAAAACTAGTACCTCAATTACTTAGCTCAATCACCACCACCACCTCTTACCAAGCAGCCAAAGAATAAACGCAAACCAAAGAAAACTTTCTTAAATAGCTCACTGTGAGACCAATTATGTACATCATGTGCATATTCACAGATGTGTATTTTAAAGCTTATGGCTTACCTTAGATTGTACAGTGGGTGAAATTTTAACACTTTTTGCAATGGGAGAGTTATTTAAAGGATGGGACCTAACAACAGAGCATCGTCTATCAATGTCATCTGCCAATCCTGCTTGGTATATTGGATCTGCAAAGGAGACACGGCGAACCTGAAAACACAAGTCAGATTTTTATTTAACAAAATTAAAGTTTTTAGAAGTGATACCATAAATTCCCGTTATGAGGTTACTCAAAAATGTGGGTTTGGAATCTCTATTTCACCAGAGGACAACTATGTATAGTTGTTCAACCTTGTGACTGCTTAAGACCAAAGTTCATTCTAGCTACCTATATTCTAAACTGTCTTCGCCTAATGTAGCACTAAAGATTGTAAAACTGACAGTGTAGAAACTTAATGAAATGGCATGTGGCAGTTCATACTACAGTGATTCATATTACTTTATGGAGTTACTAAACAGACTAGACAGTCTGAAAAAGATAAAGATGTTAAAAAATAATTGGCCTCTGGTACCCCTTACTGATGTCTTTAAATTCTTTGAGAGCACCATCAGAGTCATAGTAACTAGGTAGCAATTTCTGTCTTAACCACAGCTTGAAGTGAATTACGTCTGAATTCTTACTTTATGTTTCTTCATTCAGTTATGTCATAAACACTTTTTAAAAAAAATTATTTCAAAGGCAGAGCGACAGGGAGAGATAAAGATATCTTTCATTTATTCATTGGTTCATTCACTGGTTTCATTTATTCATTCATTCACTCTACCTATTCAAATCCAACACCACAAGAGAAAGTTCATTTACCTGGACAAGTAGAATTTCACCCTGGTTTGCAGGGATGGTTCAATATTTGCAAATCATACTAACAAATTGAATAAAAACCATACAATTTTTTGAATAGATGCAGACAAAGAATTAGACAAAAAATAGCTCTCCATGATAAAAACCTTTAGCATTTTGGGTACAGAAGGAATATTCCTCAACACAATCAAGGCAATACATGACAAACCCACAACTGGCATTATATTTAATGGGAAAAAGTTGGAAGCATTTCCACTGAGATCAAGAACCACACCACACCTGGATGGAAAGGAGGAAGTCAGATTATCCTTGCTTTCAGATGACATGATCCTATATAGAGGGAAACCAAAAGACTACACTAACAGACAACTGGAGCTCCTAGGAGTTTGGTGAAGATGCAAAATACACACACACATACACACACAAATCAATCTTTTTACACACAAACAATGCTATGGCTAAGAAAGAACTTGTAAGATTAGTACCACTAACAATAGCTACAAAAAAATCAAATATCTTAGAATACATTTAACCAAGGATATGAAAGATCTCTGCAAGGAGAATTACAAAACATTAAAGAAACAGAAAAAACAAGGGACACCACTGAGGCACAGTAAGCTAAGCCGCCACCTGCAGTATGGGCATCCCATGTAGGCACCAGTTTATGTCCAGGCTGCTCCTCTTCTGATCAGCTCAGCTTATGGTCTGGGAAAGCAGAAGATGGCCCAAGTGCTTAGGCACCTGTACCTGTGTGGGAGACTAGGAAGAAACTCCTGGCTTTAGATGGGCGCAGCTCTGGGCATTGCAGCCATTTGGGGAGTGAACCAGTGGACGAAAGACCTCTCCCTCCGTCTCTCCCTCTATCTGTAACTCTACTTCTCAAAGACAAGAAAAAGGAAAAATTTTCCATGTATGTGGATTGCAAAAATATCCATACTACCAAAATCAATTTACAGATTCAGATTCACTGTGATCCCAACCAAAATACCAATGGCATTCTTCTCATCTCTAGAAAAAAACATGCTAAATTCATTTGGAAACACAAGAGACCCCGAATAGCTAAACCCTGCAAGACACTAGCATAGGCAAAGTGTTCTTGGGAAAGACCCTAGAGGCACAGGCAATCAAAGCCGTAACTGACAGTTGAGATTACAAACTGAGAAACTTCTGCACTACACAAGAAGCACTGAGAAAAATGAAGAGAAACAGACAATTGCAAACTATGCAATTGAGGAAGGATTAATATCCAGAATCTGAAGAGCTCAAGAAACTCCTACAACAGAAAAAACAATCCAGTTAAGAAATGGGCAGAACTTTAACAGGCATTTATCAAAAGAGAAAATTTAAATGGAAAACACACACATGAAAAAATGCTCAGTATCACTGGCCATCAAGGAAATGCAAATCAGAAATGCAGCAACAATTCACCTCCCCCCAGTTAGAACGGTTTTCAAACAGAAAGCAACATCAAATGCTGGTGAGCATGGGGGGGGGAAGAGTAATCTACTTTTGGTGGGAATTTAAACTGGTATAGCCACTGCAGAAGACAGTATGGAGATACCTAAGAAAGCTGAAAATAGATATCTATATGACCCAGCAATCCCATTCCTGGGAAAGGAGGGAGGGTGGGAGCATGGGCAGTAGGAAGGATAGGGAAGGAAGTATTGCTATGCTCCTAAATCTATATGTAAGAAATACATGAAATCTGTTCATGTTAAAAATAAATTAAAAACTTGCTAAAAACTCAGTATGAGCTATATGTAGCAAAACTTGTATAAACATCTAAAATATACTGAAAAACACATCACAAAAAATTCTATCTTCATAAATTTTAAGTATCATGGCCTATTAAACTTACGTATGTTAATAGTCTCAAAACAAAAAAGACTAAAATCCCCACAAAAACAGCTAAGTTTCCCTGAATGGATTTTTCTGAATTCTTAAGTTTCCAGTGTATCAAGTGGAAAGGTCCTAAGAAAAAAAGGCATAGAGATTCAAATATGAAGTTCAAAAAATGTCCTTGCTGAAAGCAAAAAATCAGATATTTTCATATATGTGCGTACTCATTTTAACTATATATATAAAAACATGTCTTCTACAGCAAATAACATGTTGACCTTCAAAATTCACTTTTCAAAATTCAGGGTTTGATGTTTAGCCTTGTGGTTAAGATGCTAGTTGGGGTTTCTGCATGACATATCAAGTGTCTGCGATTCTGAGTACCAGCTCCAGCTGGTACTTTGACAAGGCTGAACTCTGGCTAAAAGTGACTGGGTCCTGCCTCTCATATGGGAGTCCTGGATTTAGTTCCCAGCTTCCAGCTTTGGCCCAGGTCACTGCAGGCAATTGAAAAATGAACCAATGGATGGAGAACTTTCTTTGCAATTTCAGAGTTAAATAGGGGAAAAATAAACTAAAAATTTGCAGAATTTCCTAACACCTTTTGAAAGTAGTTTAAGCAGAAAAGTTAGTTACATAAATGAAAATAAAAATTAAAATGCCTAAGAGGCTAACAGAGACCCCTGCTGGTTCTCTCAAAAGACCTATGAATTCAGTTCAGGCTTTCTACATGGCTGTCAGGGTCCCAACTATCTGAGCCGTCACCACCTGCTGCCTACAGGGTGTGCATCAGCAAGAAGTAGAAATTGGGAACCAAAGGTGGGACTTGAACCCAGCCACTCAGACACAGGACACAGGCATCACAAATCTCAGCTGCTGGGCTAAAGTACTACCATTTTTTTTGATTTTTACTCATTCATTCAACAAACCACATGCAATGTACAAGATCAGAACCTTAAGAAACATGCAAATAACCCTTGTTTCCTAATAGGTTTTTGTGCAGTTTAAAGTTTGTTAAGTGCAGGAGATAAGGATGCTAATAAAACTATAAATGAAATCATATCCAGAAACTGAGAATGAAATAGCTTAAGGATTTTTCAGATACAGACGGAAAATCAGTTTATATAAACACTTAAGTGAACAGCATGCCATCCCAGTACACTTTAAGGGGTTTATCTGTTTTATCGGTAGCAGTCAGTGTCACCTAAATTCCTAAATCTGCTTTTCTTATATATCACACTGAGAATCTAAAGAGATTGAGATTTGTCCCAATTTTACCAAAGGTTAACCGTGTATATAGCTATTTTAAGTATCTTTCATTTTGTCAAATGATAACCAAAAGGGCTTCAGTTTCCTTTTTTCAACACCTTAATTCCCCCTGCCTCTTCCTCTAGAACAATAATTCTAAGTAAAGAGTTGAGTAATCATAATTCTGTCATTCGCCAGGTGACCGATACAGTTAAAACTTCCAAGCACATACTGGGCTCATTATTATAATGCCTTATTCTACCTACCTTGTTAACAGGTGATGAATTTTCATCCTCTTGAGGTCTTTTTAGTCCCCTCTTTAAAATGCTGGTGGATGGAGAAGCCAAAGGAGACCACACACAACGAGTCTGCATGCCACTTGGACTTTCATTTGCTGACATAAGTAAAGGATCAAGTTCCCTTAATTTTTGAGGAGACACATTATTGTCTTCTCTTATCAGTTCAGAGACAACAGCTTCAGATGTCAAGGAATGTAATGGTTCCTCCACTTTCTTTGAAGTGTGATGAACATCCTGTAAAGTATCATTTTCCAGGACCATTTGATTGTCATCTGATTTCGTTTGTTCAAGTTTATCAAGTTCATTATTTGTTTCTGTTTTCTCAGAGTCAACCTTTTGTTCCTTAGCATTCATTTCAAGTGCATCAGGAACAGCATCAGTTTCTACATTCAACCTCTTTATTTCAGCTTCTTCAGGCTTAGAGATTTTCATAATCATGTCTCTGTCCTCCATTTCCTTGACATGGTCAGTTTCAGCATTCACATCACTGATCACTGCTTCGTCACAGCTGCCCAGGTTGGCATTTATCTCTTCAGATGAGCCTTGATTAGATTCATCCCTTCCTCCACCTACGTCAACAACTGATTGTTCAGGAGTCTTGTTTTGAGCATCCAGTTTTATGTGTGTATTCTCAGAAAGATCAATACTCACATTAAATTCCTCAGCTGCAGTTTTTTCAGTATTCAGTATCTCAGCTCTGTCTGGTTCCGATTCATCACTTCGTTCACTATTTTCTGCTACTGCTGCCTTTCCAACCAAATCAGCTTTGGCATTCTCTTGCTCAGAGGAACTAACTTCAAGTTTTTCATTTTCTCCATCCAATTTCATAGCTTCCATTTCCTCTGGATTAGAGTCTACCATTACTTTATATGAATTCTTGTCATTAACAATGGTTGACTCTTTTTGGGGGGCACCTTCCAGTTTTTCTTCAGTTTCAAAAGGGGAACATTCCTGTTGAATGTTCTTGGGATCACCTATACATGGTCCAACAGATCTAAATTTTTTATTAGCTGGCTCTTGGCTTTCAACATTTTTCACTTCAATGGAAACACTGTTATCGCTCTCTTCAAAATTTACTTGAGAAGGAAGAGATTCTTGAATAACACTTTCTTTCAAGTCAGTTTCAGGTACAACTAGTAAGTCATTACCAGTATCATTCTCCTCCTTGAGATCAAAATGAAAATTCACACTGTGATGCTCATCAACAAATTTTGCTTCAGAATACAGATGAGAAGTTTCTGATAAAGTTACAGCTGTTTGTACATCAATCTTTTTTATCCCACTAATCTTTTCATCATTTTCTGTATTCTTTAACCCAATGACTGACTTTTCCTGAGACTGTGACTTTTCCCCACAGCAATCACAACCTTTAGATTTCCTCACCCTCCTGCTTCTCTTATGTTGGCATTCAACGGTTTGTAGACTTTTTTCAGAAAGCAAAGGAATGTCTGGTGTCCCAGTTTTTGAGGATTCTCCCATAGTGTTATCATCAACAGAATCTCGCTTATGTAATCTTTTACTGGCATTTCTAGTCCTCAGATTTGATTCTGGCACAGGTGGGCTTGTAAGGTAATATTCTTCACATTTGGTAGTTTTACTTTTCCCTTCATGAGTATTGGGTACATCATCAGAAATATGCAATAAATCTGAAGATACTGTAGAATCTTGAAGCATTATAGTACTGTCACCTTTTTCAGAAATCTGAGATTTTATATCTGAATCAACTTCTGAACTTGCTTTACAATCATATGTCTGATTTTCAACTTTCATACATTCTTGTTTTACTGTTTTTTCTTCTTGATCTTCAATGTCAACACTGTCATTGCCTTTGTTTTTCCATTTCCCAGATCTCTTCTTTCTAGAGCCTTCTTCCTTTGCCTCAGAACTATCAGATTCTGAGTTTTCAATGCTGGAAAGCAAACCCTGAGATGCTCTTCTTGTTTGATAACGTGTTCGCCCCCTTAATGGTTTATCAGAGGACTTATCTGCAATGTCCTGGGAACCATCTCCCTCAGAAGCAATATTTTCAACGTCTGACTTTCTTTTATTCTGGTCAATTTCACCATTAGCACTGGTTTCTCCCGAAGTCTTCTCAAGTAAATTGTCTTTCTCAATTAAATTTTCCTGTACAGTTTGTTCTGAAGTCAGTTTTTGCTTAGGTGACACATCAACTTTAACATGAAATGGACTCTTCTGCAGAATTTTTTCTTCTTCTTTACTACGTCTTTCCCTTTTCTGACTGTTTTCTTTATCTTGGCTATCAGTGGTAGACTCAGATATTTCTGAGCGTCGTCTTGATGATCTCCTAAGTGTTTTCTGATTTGGAGTTATCTGAACCTGACTATCCTCATTTACCATCTGATCTGCTGGTATTACTGCTGGGGGTGTATTTTCTTTGGAATCTAAATTAGTCTCTGTGCTTCTCTCTTCTACAGTACTGTTTTCTAATAATACAACATTTTCTACTGTTGGTTTAAGCTTTGCATCTTCATATTCTACTGTATACTCAGAAAGATGAGTCTGATTATCTGACACACACTCGGTTTGATTAAGCAAACAAGCTGGGTTATTTTCTAAAGCTATTATGCCTTCAGATTCCTGAGTATTTTTCTCCTGATTAGACCTCACTAAGGGCTTAGATCTTTTATTCCCCGACTGTTCAGCTTTACTACATCTGCGGCCTGATCTCTTAATTCCATTCACTATTTTTTCAGAGTCACATTGTGAAAGAGTCATTTCTCTTTTCTTTGTCTTTGATACACTGTCTGATTTACTCATGTATTCTTGATTATTTCTCACTGTAACAGGTGATGACATATCATTCAATGGGGAAGGGCTAAAAGGTCTATTTTCTGAACCATCAAATTTCTCCAAGGTAATAAAAGTTTGTCTCCGACTTGTAGGCTGTGGAGGAGTTCCAGACATAGTAGTGCTAGAAATGGAGCTACTGCTGGCAACAGAGGAGTTGTCTGTTTTAGATGTACATTCAGTTGTGGGCTTCGATGAAATTAAAGCTCTTTTTTTGGCATCATTAATGTTCAACATTTTTGGATTGGTTTCATCAACAGAACCAGATTCATTATTTGAAAGGGGAGTGTTTTGAAGATTTTCATCCATACCACAGTTTTCCATCACATCTTGAGAACTGACAATGTCACTCTTTATTTGCTCCTCCTGCACAAAAATGTATACATAGAGATAGATATAGATTAGCCAGGAAACAGTTGGACTTTGAGAAAATTTTAGACTTTGTTAAGGTTTAGTAACTCAAAAAATAATCACTGACATTCTGCATGTATTAAAGATATTAAAAAGGCAATGCTGACCAATGATTTAGGTTGTGTTCCTAATTATAAGCATCCAATAAAAGGCAAATATATTTACTTTCAATATGTGTATGCATGCAGACACTATAATCCTGCTAGTGTATGAGTTGGAGAAAAGAGATTAAACAGAAAATTAACAAAATTAAGACTCAAACATCTCCCGGTAATTTGAGGTTCCAAGATTCCAAAATGGAAGGGTGATTCTAAAAACTCTGAAACATGAAATAATGACTATACCTTAATCATTATCTTGGAATCTTCCTTTGATTTTTTGGTAGAAGTAGAAATTTCCCTGAAATAAATATTTATATTAGGAGGTTATTTATAATTACTTAATAAGTAGGAAATTATATAAGTCTGACAATTTCATTACTCACATAGACTCTTCTTGACTGTACTGACTAGATAAGAAGGTATCTTGTGAAACATCCAGATTATTATACATTGCAGGAATATCACATCTGAAAAAGATTTTCAATAAGCAACTTAAAAAATCTAATATTGCTACAATGAGAAATTATACATCAAGTTTTACCATGATGTTTTTTCTATAAACAAAATGAAATCAAGACCTAAATTTGAATCTTGACATGTTCTATGTTAATTATCTTTTACCCCACAACATACCTCACTAGAGAAATTCAGTTTTGAAACATCTGGCACATTAACTAAGTGGCATTATCTTCACTGTAAAAATGAAGTGCTACTTTTCTGCATGAAATGTAAGCATAAATATAGAATTTCAGATAAAAGGCCTACAAACCGCTTTGTTTTGAGTACTTCTTTTTGATGTTCAGTTAAGATTCTTTCCTTCGCTTCATTTTCTTCTGGAGAGATAAACACAAAATCAGTAGATTTTTCTTCTTCTAAAGGCATGTCATTCTTTACTTTTGAAGATGAAGAATCTAATTTCAGCTGCAGATTTGAAAAGCATAAACAGTAGAATGATGTGACTAGGAGAGCTGACTACATGTGCTCATAACACTTTCCTCCACAACAAAAGAAAAAATATACTAAATAATAACCATACATTTGAGTTTCTAAGTTATTTTCCAGTATTTCGTCAGTTTACCTACAAGTATCTAAATTTTTTTTTCCTTTTTCTTCATTTTACTTAAAGGGCAGAGAGAGATGTAGAGATATCTTCCATCTGCTGGTTCATTCTCTAAACACCAACAACATCCTGGGCTGGGACAAGCTGAAGCCAGGAACTCAGAACTGAATCCAGGTCTCCCATGTGGGTGTCAGGGACTCAACTATCTGCGCCATCTCCTGCTTCCCTACAATCTGAGCATTAGCAGGAAGCTGGAAATGGAACATAATACAGACTCAAACAAGACACCCCAATATGGGATGCAGGTATCCCAAGTGGCAACATAACTGCTATACCTCATGCCAAATAACATTTCTAACTTCTGAATAGTGATTATGAAGCTTGAAGTTCAAGTCCCTACAAAAATTATGATTAACAAACTGGTATAATCTTCTATTTTTCTTTTCCTACACATAAATAATAAAGAAATAAACATTAGGGGCCGGCATTGTGGTGCAGTAGTCTTAAGGTTCTGCCTGCTGCACCGGTATCCCCTATCAGCACTACTTTATGTCTCAGTTGTTCTTCCAATCTAGCTCTCTGCTTATGGCCTGGGAAAGCAGTGGAAGATGGTCCAAGTACTTGGGCCCCTGCACCAACTGTCATGGGAGACCTGAAAGAAGCTTCTGGCTTTGGATAGGGTAAGCTCTGGCTATTGCAGCCACTTGGGGAATGAACCAGTGTATCGAAAACCAGTCTCATTTCTTCTTTTGTCTGTAACTCTACCTCTCAAATAAATAAAATCTTCAAAATAAAAATTAGTAGGTCCCTGAAAAATTACCATGGACAGGGGACAGTGTTGTGGTGTAGCATGTAAAGCCACTGGCTCCAGCCCAGCATCCCATCTGGAAACTGGTTCAAGCTGCTTTGCTTTACTTTTGATCCAACTCCCTCTGAATGCCTTGGGACAAGCAGTTAAGACATCCCAAGTGCTTGGGCCCCTGCCACCCATGTTGCAGACTTGGATGAAGCGCCTGCTTCCAGTCTGACCCAGCCCTTGCCATGGCAGCCAACTAGGGAGTGAACTAACAGAGGGCAATCTGACTTCCAAATAATTTAAAAAGATTTATTTATTTGAAAGTCAGAGTTACATAGGGAGAGAGAGAGAGGTCTTCCATCTGTTAATTCACTCCAATTGACCACAATGGGCAGAGCTGCAACGATCAGAAGCCAGGAGCTTCTTCCAGATCTCCCACATGGCTACAGGGGTTCAAGGACTTGTGCCGTCTTCCACAGCTTTCCCAGGCCATAGCAGAGAGTGGGATGGGAAATGGAGCAGCCGCACCTCCAACTGGCGCCCATATGGGATGCTAGCACTAGAGGCAGCAGCTTTACCTACTAAGCCACAGCACCCGCCTCCCAAAAAAAAAAAATCTCAAAGAAAAAATTCACATGGATAAGCATGTATTTTAGGCTGACACATAGGAAAATTTCACCAAGGCAATAGTTTCAAAATTCCCCAATCACCATTACTGGTTAGAGGGCACAAAGGGTTCGAGAACTACTGTCTGAAAGTCAGTTAACTATCAACTGGCAAGAAATTTAGTTTTAGATTTGAGGTTAAAATAGAAGTCTTACCTAGACATGGTTTCTCTTTGTAATCAAAATATTAAGCTTCAAAGTAATAGCAGTTCTAAATAGAACAAGTATTCAAAAATATTCTCCTACTATATGTTAGTCATTCCAATTCAAGGAGACTATTAATCATTTGATTCTAAGTTTTTGTATCAAGCTAAGTTTAACAGACTTGTTGAACTTTCCTAGGAAGGAATCACCACCCCAGACTTCCAGATTATCCTTCTATCCCACAGAAGTCTTTCTGGAACAAACTATCATTCCTAACTTTTATTTACCATTTTAGAGCTTCTCCCTCTAATTAAAATTTATATCCTTACATGGCTATATGCTTTATTGTAAAATGTCCATTAAATACATCTCTGAAAAAATATTTTTGGGGTGGAGATGTGGCAAAGTCACCATGTGGGTATCAAGTTCTAGCTAGTCAACTTGTAATCCAGCTTCCTGCTAATGTGCAGAACTGAGAAGGTAGTAGTTGAAGGGTAAAGTACTTGAGTCCCTACCATCCATGTGGGAGACCTGGACTAACTTCTGGGCTCCTGGTTTTGGCCTAGCCCAGACCCAGCTGTTGCAGGCACTTGGGAAGGAACCAGCAGATAGAGAGATGGAAAGAAATCTTTCAAATAAAAGTTTTTTTAAATTTAAAATTTTTCTTTAAAATACAAAAGCAACAGTTAATTTAAAAGGAAAACTTACTTTGCCTGATGGCTTCATGTTTTCCTTCTTATCCTTTGTTTGTGACAACAAAGAATCTCTTTTTCCACTTCCTCTTCTTTCCATGCCACTTATCTTCAGATTTAACTGTGAATTTTCTGTCTGTTTTATTAGATTAATAGTTTCATTAAGCGCAACTGTACTATTTTTTCTTTTTTACATTATTGAAAATTCCAATTTAAAGACTATTCACTCCAGATCAAATTTCTTCTAATTATTCAAGTTTATTAAAATCAAATAAATGAAAACCAGTATCTAAATTTCAACAACAGAAAACAGGTTTGGTGTATCTTTCACAGCTGCTGTTCTGTATCATTTAACTATAAATTCTCAAAATAAGATATACCACATAAATACTGTAAAGTAAATCAAAGTACTAGAATCAAATATCTTACTTATTACACGTGAAATACTTCTAAAGACAAAAACAATTAAGCATCAAACATTAAAAAAGACTGAATAAAGCAGGTATGTCAGAACCTATTAATACAAGGACACATCAAAAATTCATGGACAGGGCCGGCGCCACGGCTCACTAGGCTAATCCTCCGCCTAGCGGCGCCGGCACACCGGGTTCTAGTCCCGGTCGGGGCGCCGGATTCTGTCCCGGTTGCCCCTCTTCCAGGCCAGCTCTCTGCTGTGGCCAGGGAGTGCAGTGGAGGATGGCCCAGGTACTTGGGCCCTGCACCCCATGGGAGACCAGGAAAAGCACCTGGCTCCTGCCATCGGATCAGCGCGGTGCGCTGGCCGCAGCGCGCCATCCGCGGCGGCCATTGGAGGGTGAACCAACGGCAAAGGAAGACCTTTCTCTCTGTCTCTCTCTCTCTCACTGTCCACTCTGCCTGTCAAAAAAAATAAAAAAAATTAAAAAAATAAAAATAAATTCATGGACAGATGGAATTAAAAAGTTTATTTTGGTATAACAAAAATTTGAAATCCACTATGTACATGAGTTTCAAAATATTTTTGCTCCAAATAAAGTTATGTGCCATTACTTGCAATTGAGTGTTGACAAGCAGCTGGAAACTGTAGCTGAGCCAGGAGTCAAACCCATACACTCAGATATGGGATGCACAGGTAGGGTCCCAAGCAGAATCTTACCACAAAACCAAACACCCTCTAAAGTTATCCTTTAATTCCATTTTCCATGAAAATTCTGAGGTACCCTTATACATGTCACATCAAAATATATGGTTTTCACAGGCCACCGAGCCTTAAGAAGTCTAGATGGCCATTTGGAACAAATTTCCATTTTATCCAAGACAAAAACAAAGAACAGCTACCTGTAGCATTTTTCCCCCTCTTACATACTATAGAAGTTACATGTCATCTCTTGCTGAATAAGAATAAAAGTGTTGTAAGGATGCTCTCTCATAATTGAGTAATTGTTATTATGCCCATTTCAAACTTCAACACTTATAAACCTTCAGATAAATTTAAATATCAACACTCAGCAGATTCATAGAATGGCGGATGTCCTAAACAGCACTCTGGCCTCAGAATCAACCCTAAAGGCATTCCAATCTAGCTGAAAAGCCCATGAGAGTATTTCAGGCATGGAAAGCCAAGACATTCTGGCAAAAAAAACCAAAACAAAACAAAAAAAAAAAACCACAACAACACCTAAATGAAAGATCTCTGTGAGTGAGATCCCAGTGGAAAGAACAGGTCTTCAAAGAAGGAGGTACCTTTCTCTGAAGGGAGGAGAGAACCTCCACTTTGACTATGACCTTGTCTAAACAAGATAAGAGTCGGAGAACTCAAGGGGCTTCCATAGCCTTGGAAACTCATGACTGGAGCACAGGGAGATTACTGATGCCATAAACAGGAGTGTCAATTTGTAAAGTCAACAACAGGAGTCACTGTGCACTTACTCCTCATGTAGGATCTCTGTCCTTAATGTGCTGTACATTGAGGCTTAATGCTATAACGAGTACTCAAACAGTATATTTCACTTTGTGTTTCTATGGGGGTGCAAACTGTTGAAATCTTTACTTAATGTATACTAAACTGATCTTCTGGGGAAAAAAAAAAAAAAAGGAAAGAAGAAGAAATTATCGATTCCCAACTTGACTCTCACTGGGATTAAACATGACAATAGGTCTGATCTGATTTCATCATCATTTAAAGAACCATCTATTATTTTTCACTTTATGTTTCTGTGTGGGTGCAAACTGTTGAAATCTTTACTTAATGTATACTAAGCTGATCTTCTGTATATAAAGAGAATCGAAAATGAATCCTCATGTGAATGGAAGGGAAGAGGGAGTGGGAAAGGGGAGGGTTGCGGGTAGGAGGCACGTTATGGGGGGGAAGCCATTGTAATCCATAAGCCGTACTTTGGAAATTTATATTCATTAAATAAAAGTTAAAAAAAAAATTAAGTACCAACTAAAATAAGGGAGTTGTTGGGGGATTTGAGAGCAACAATTTGTTTTTTTGACAGAAGTAATGAGAAGTTTAAAGAAAGGAGAAACTAAAAAGTAGGTCTTGCTTACACATTGACACTACTATTACCACCAGGGTTCCCAAAGCAACACCGAAAATATTTAAACAAGGACAATCTTATTCAAGTAGTAGTACGTGAGGCACCTAGAGTTTGAAATTTACATAAAAACCTTTATGTGGAAAAATCTGTCCTTAATTCATAATTAGGTCAGACCACTATGTATATAACAAGAAAATCTTATGCAACTTCTCGTACAGGTTCTTCCTGTCTCTCATTTACAATAAACAAACTACTCAAATATTCAAAAATCAAGAACTTACTGCATCTGAAAATGGCCCACTGGATTCCTCCATCATTTCAACGTTTTCCAAACCAGGTAAAAGCAGCAGAAATTTTTGTTTGGCTTGTCTCAGTATTGGTCTTAAAAAAAAAATACATAAATGGTATAACCTGAGTCGTGGTATTATTGGTGAGTACTCATGACATGTCCACAAGAACATTTTTATTATAACTTAGAGTAAGCAAAATACTCGTGGCTTAAAGACTATTTTCTTAGAACATACATAAAAAAACTAGGAGATTCAACCAGTGCTGTGTCGTACCATGTAAAGCCACTTACTGCAACACCAAAATCCTATTTGGGCAATGGTTCAAGTCATAGATGCTCCACTTCCAATCCAGGTCCCTGCTAATGGTCTGGAAAAACAGTGAAGGATGGCCAAAGACCTTGGGCCCCTGTACCCACATGGGAGACCTGGATGAAGCTTTTGGCTTTGGATTGTCCCAACTCCATCTGTGAACCATGGATGGAAATCTGTCTCTCCCTCCCTCTCTGTAACTCTGCCTTTCAAATAAATAAGTCTTAAAAAAACTGGGAGAAATTACACAAATCTGAATATTTCTATATACTTTTCAGAATTAAGTTTTAAACTTTTCAAAATTTATAAAACTTTTTATCATGGAAAATTTTGAAGGAAAGTATATTACAGGAACAAGCATTTTGGTGCGGGAATTGAACTGCCACTTGGGAATTCTGCCTACTTGCGCTCAGATCCCGACTACACTTCTTCCAATCCAGTTCCCTGCTGATGTGTGCCCTGAAGGGCAACAGTGATGGTTCACATTACTTTAGTACCTGCTACCCATGTAAAAGACCCATTCTCAGTTCTGGGCTCCTAGCTTTGGCCTGGTCTAGTCCAGCACTGGCTATTGCAAGCATCTGGAGAATGAACCAGTAGATGCCAAGATTTCTGTCTCTACCTTACAAATAAACTGAAGTTAAAAAAAATTTTTAAATCATTGTATTAGGAACCCATGTCTAACTTCAGTAATCAATTTCATGCCCTTCATGCTTCTTTTATTAAGGACAATTTTAAATTATGTCTGGATTTTTTAAATCAAAGTTCTCCTGAGGATCAAGGAAAAAGTAAAATGTTTAATAATTATCAGAAATTCAACTAATAATTATGTAGTGATTCCCCACAAGAATAGCAATTATACTATTACAATACAATCACAGTTTAAGTTTCATTGTTAGCATACTTTAACTCTTCAGGATAATTCAATGTTGTCACTTTAGCAAATGTGGCATTCCAGAACTGAGCACTCTGTTTGCGAATCTGTTTATTCTTATGCAGAAATATTATGCGTAATAGTGGGGAGAGTTGCTCAAGAAATTCACTGTCATAAGTTCCAGAGTAGTTGAACTGCAGACATGCAATAATTTCTCCTAGTAGCTTTTCTAACTAGAAAAAAATGAAACAAAGTATATTGAATATCAAGTCACAGAATATGCTAATTTTAATAAAACAATTTTAACGAGTTTCTCATAATCATCCATCTTTATAAACTTAGATTCATTGGTAAATTTACTTTGCTTATTGATATTACAACTTGATTGAGATATTCCATTAACAAAAAAATTTCTGTATCAATTAGAACAAAAATTGTCTATGTAAATTTTACTTAAAAAATTCGAGCCAAATTCCTCTATATAACAAAATGAGATAAACCTTTGAGTTTAAAGTAAATCACTCAATTTAAAAAAAAAACAAAAACAATATTTTTAAACATCCATTAAACATTAAATATAATTTTAGAAATCAGCATTATGGGAGGCGCAACTGTTAAAGCCACAACCTATGATGCCAGCATCCCAGGTGGGTGTCGGTTCATGTTCAAATTGTTCCACTTCTGATCTACCTCCAGGCTAATGGCTTGGGAAAAGGAGAAAATGAATAGTTCAAGTGTCTGGGCCCCTGTCACCCATGCAGACACTCAGAAGAAGGTCCTGGCTCCGGCCTGGCTGAGTGTTGGCAATTGTGGCCATTTTGGGAATGAACCAGTGGATGGACTATGTATCTCACACCAGCCCCCAAAACTCTTTCAAAATAAACAATCATTTTAAAATCAGAATTGTTTAATTTATAATTAGGATAATTTATCACGAAAACATGCTTTATGGAAAGCTGTCTATTTTTACCTTGTTGTTCAGACAACCATAAACTTTAGGAACTTCATCAAGCCTAGGAACACAAAACAGTACGAAATTTAGCACTACCATCAAGCTAAATCCTAAAAATAAGGGAGTAAAGACAAAAACAAGATACACATGCAGCAATATAAAAAAGTATGTGAAGATTTAATAACTTAAAATTGGTATACATGAAATACGTTACAAACCCATTTTTAAAGAAACTGTAGGAATCATCTAGAATAGATCTCTTACGTGTTCATTATCAATCTGCTTGTTTCTCTTTTAAGCATAATTTTTAATGAAATGCCAAAAAAGTGCAAAAGTTCAAATGTCAGGGTTGTATTTCACTGTATAAAATCTGTTCCAAAAACATTCTGCATGGATTTTTAAAAGAAATTATATTATCTGTAGCAGCCATGAAGAATTCAATCATAACACCAATGAATACTTTCAAAACGCCTTTAATAAATGTCATTTGTAATTTTTTCAGGCTTTAAGATGCTGCCAATATTTTGATTCAAATGTAAAAGGCAATGCCTATTAATTTAAATTTTTGAGGAGTAATTAGGTAATTTAAGTGTATACTCAGAACCAACAGTTCAACTTATCCAATGTGAACAAGATTTATATACAAATAATGTTCAACTGTTTGTTGTGATGCAGTCTAAAACATTTTATAGGGCCCAGTGATGTGGCATAGTAGGTAAATAAAGCTACCACCTCAGTGCTGGCATTCTTTATGGGCGCCAGTCTGAGTCCCAGCAGCTCCATTTCCAATCCAGCTCTCTGCTGTGGCCTGGGAAAGCAGTAGAGGATGGCCCAAGTCCCCGAGCTCTGGGCACCCATGTGGGAGACCTAGAAGAAGCTCTAGGCTTCCGGTTTTGGTTCAACACAGTTCTGGCCATTAAAGCCATTTAAGAGTGACCCAGTGGATGGAAGACCTCTAACTCTTTCAAATAAATAAATTAATCTTTTAAAAAAGAAATGCAATCTTATGCAGACATTAGAATCAAATTCCCAGATGAATGGTGCAGGAGGCATCCAACACATCAAGTGCATGCCATATACATACTTGCATAGTAGTATGTGATACATGCTTTTACCATGTATTAATACGCATGCCTGTTTCCATAAGCAATTCTGAATATGCACAAGTTAAGGATGATTGTGAGTAACATGCAAAAAAGGACTTTCAAATTCTATTTTATATTTCTGTCCTAATCACAGAAGTATTGTCTAATGTTACCCTCTAAAGTTAATAAACTGTCATTTAGAACAAAGCTGATAGGAAAACCAAAGTTGCTAGCTATTTCAATCATATAAATTTAATAACAAAGCTATTAAGGTCAAAATACTTACTTTGCATTTTCATAAAATAATGCCAGAGGTCTTGTTAAAGTTGCAAATATTTTTCGGATTACAGAAGGTAAAGAAATATGTCCAAGCACATTGGAAATAATGTTGGTGACTGAGACGCCAATAGCCAGCAGAGTATCAGAATGTACTTCTTTGAAGCTCAGAGTGTGGAAAGAATAGATCACTCTCACAATAAGTTTAAATAAAGAAGCCAATTTCCCTAGGGGCTCCTTCTTCCTTTTGGACCAATCTGAAGGTCTCTGTGGTGCTAAGATAAAATAGTACTGATTAAAAACTCAAGTACTTTGAAAAATATCACTGTCCATTTACAACTTACACCTCACATTTAAATGCTACAAATAGTTTTGCTTTTAACCGATACTGCAAATAAACCTTAAAATAATATCACTAGTAGCTAAAGATCACCACAGTATAGAACTGGAGACAAAGGAAAACATATTGGCAGATCTAAATAAAGAATTCCAGAATCTATTTTCTAAGGAATACAATGCATTTCAAACTTCTATTCATTTCTCAAAAATTTACCATTTATAAGAATAGTAAATCATATAAGGGTCCCAAAATTAAACTTAAGCATTAACTAGCTTATAAAAATCGAAAAATTCACACTAAAAACTGGCATTATACATGTTATATATATATAGATAGATATGTCACATCCATAAATGTATAATTTAATGCCTATTAAAAATTTTAATGGGAAATATTTTTAATAAGAGAAATGACTACTCATTTCCTATCTCATCTTTAGTAACACTGTTCCCTAATAGTATTCAGCAAGTCAGATACAAATCCTGAAAAAGTATGTAAGGAGTTTACTACTTACTTCTTGGTTTAAAGAAAAAGATTATCTTAAGGCAGTCTGATTTTGTATCCTTCTTAAATTACTTCTCTCCAGGTACCTACCTATAAAAATAAACTCAGATTTCCCTTGCCCAGAAAACCATTTACTCCATTATTATCTTTGTTTCTCTCAAACAAATTCATATTCTAAGGTTAGAGATATCAGAGTTAACAAACTGTAAGATGGTGCTAATTAAAAACTAAACTCAAGCTGTAAAACAGGAAACCATCTCTTACTATTGAAGGGAAGTCAACCTTGTTCCCTAGAATCAGTCTGTCACACAGAAATGTGCATTGAAAACACCAGCCAGAAATTCCTGGGTAGAATATTGATGCTAAAATGACAGCCCGTGTGTCTGGGAAGGCAGCAGAGGATAGTCCAAGTGTTTAGGCCCCTGCACCCAAGTGGGAAACCCGAATGAAGCTCCTGGCGTTGGCCAGGCCCAGCCCCAGCCATTACAGCTGGAAGATTTTGTTCTCTCTCAAATCTTTGAAAAGAAAAATATAAAACTTAAAATTCCTGCAGAACCACAACCAAGGGACTAATTTCATCATTTTCTTTAAAATTTTCATGTCAATTCAACGATTACTTCAAGTCAAGCAAGCTTCCATATGGCATTTTCAGCAATGTTTTAAGTTTCTTGTCTAGGCCCGCGCCGCGGCTCACTAGGCTAATCCTCCGCCTTGTGGCGCCGGCACACAGGGTTCTAGTCCCGGTCGGGGCGCCGGATTCTGTCCCGGTTGCCCCTCTTCCAGGCCAGCTCTCTGCTGTGGCCAGGGAGTGTAGTGGAGGATGGCCCAAGCCCTTGGGCCCTGCACCCCAAGGGAGACCAGGAGAAGCACCTGGCTCCTACCATCGGATCAGCGCAGTGCGCCAGCCGCAGCGCGCTGGCCGTGGCGGCCATTGGAGGGTGAACCAATGGCAAAAGGAAGACCTTTCTCTCTCTCTGTCCACTCTGCCTGTAAATAAATAAATAGATAAGTTTCCTGTCTAGATAACCTCATAGCAGATGGAATGAGGAAATCATTCGTCTTAGACAATCTACAATCTGTAATTAGTTATCTTTATGTCACAAAAATGAGTAAAAACATGTTTTTCTGAGAACATGCATGCAAGCTCCAAACATTAACTGACATGGTTTTAAAAAAATGATCAAGTCAGTAAAAAAAAAAAAATCAGTAAAATTAGATGGGAAAACCATTAGAATTCTTCATGACAAATGTTGGGTAGAGTTTATGAAGTACTGAGTGAACAAATACAGGTAAAGATGATACTTACATTTAACTTTGGGCTGATATTTAGCATTATACGGTGAAAAGTCAATGCAATCAACCATAACAGTAATAACATGAACGATCCTATCCAAAAACAACAAATTCTAGGGAGAAACAGCAAGCACCATAATTAGAAACTCAGGCATAGTATTAAACAGCAGTAAGAGAATACTGATATTTTTACTCCCACATACATAGTTAATATACCACTTATAGGTATAGGTTATAAATATTTCCCAGTTAACAGCTGTGGGCCATATACTATAGTCTATTCCTTAACATTTAATGAAAATAATTCAACTATAATATCTCCATAAAACTCATCGTATGAACTATGAAGCTGAGAATAGAAGTACAAGACTTGTCATTTTTATTCTTAAATTCCTCTTGAAAATCACCAATGTTCACTAAAACCAGAGGGAACAAAACATTAAAATGAAAGCTGTTGAGATTCTCCATACTTTCACCCTCCTCCCTCAATTCAACTGAAACAAAATATAAACAAAGCCACAGACCTATCAAAAGACTGTCTGAAATTTGGAATGGGGGTGCTGTTGAAAGGAGAAGCAGGCAAAAGACTAAGATAGCACTGTGAAATTTCATGAATGCAAGTCAAAGAGAACACCTCAAAACTGAGTTTCCACTAATGGATAATTCCACTAATAGAATCTGAGTAGCAGCATCACACTAAGTTTTTTGTGAAATCTAATGGTTATAAACAAAAAGCCAAATGGTTGATTGAAAGGTTGTCGAAATTAAAGACTCGTATATAATACTATTACCCAATGTTTCTACTCCTTTTATTCTACTAACTTCTATTTATCTACTGTATTATACTGATTCACACCTCTGCCTTGAATCTGCCATAAGGGTCAGAGGAGGAACACAATACACTAGTTTATCTATGAAAAACATGTGAAAGTCAATCCAGATGACAAGGCACATACACATGCAGAAAAGACGCTAAATTCCAGATACTTCTTCATTGTTCACAATCACAAAACAAAGAAAAACTACAATTTGCCATGCAAGCCAAGAAACAGTTCTCTATTGAATAAGTAATTCTAGCTACCAATACTGTTCCACATTAACCTTTATTGGCAAATATACACAATCACGAGGAAAACAAGTACCATGATGAAGGTGTGCTAACTACCAACTTAATCCATGAATAAAGAGCCAGTATCAGAAACAAAAGAAAATATTCTAAAAGAGGGCTATCATATCCACTTTAAAGCATCCAATGTTAAAATGAAAATCTGAAAACCATCCTCAACATTTATACTGCCAAGGAATAGACAAAGTCAGAAACATCAATCTCCTAAAAGAGCAGCACAAAAACCAAAAGATAACACACATGAACAGCTGCAGAAAGGATACAAACTCGAAAAAGCACCAAAACATCTAATGATAGTGAGAAACCCAAAAACCACTAATCAAGGCAATTTTTCTGAATTATTGGCACAGATCTGTATATTGATAGTCTTAGGCTACGCATGCTGCTCAAATGTTCAAATTCCAAAGAAGAGAACAATAGTCGAACTCTGAGAATAAAAAGGTAACACAAAAGAAAAAATTAGAACCAAAATACCTATTTGTAACAGGAAAAACTGTTAACTTGAACAATAACTTTGGTTTGCAAATCTGATACTCAGACATCCACATTCACGGATTAGGGAAGCATTATTAAAATGGCTACATTCCCTAAAAAGAATTTTCTTCAATTGAAAGGCAGAGTTAGAGAAAGGGAAAGAAGGATCAAAAGACCTTTCATCTGCTGGTTCATTCCCAAGTGGTCACAACGACTATGCCAGATTAAAGCCAGTTCAGAGTTGGGTCATTTTCCTTGCCCTACCCAGGGACATTTGCAAGGAACCAGATCAAAGCTGAGTACCCAGTTCTCTATCCAGCACTCATACACAATGCCAGCAATGCAGATGGCAGCTTAATCCACTATGCCAGCCCCATGGGGTATTTAATCTAGCCGTTAAGCTACCCCAAACCACAATGGACTACCTGGATTGATTTAAGTTTCCTGCCAATGCAGACCATGGGAGGCAGCCGTGATGTCTCAAGTATCTGAGTTCCTATTACCCATGTGGGAGATGGGGATTGAGCTCTTGGCTCATGGTTCTTGCCCCCACCCAATCTCGGTATTTAGGTGGGGGTTCAATCAGCAGATGGCAGTTCTCTTTCAGAAACTAGACAAAAAAACTCAGAGTCTCATATTTATTTATGTTATCTAGGACACAGAAAGATTCAAATGAATTGAAAAATTATAAATCTTCCAAAAATTCATTAAAAATGTCATTTATGAAGACTGTACATTTATGAAGACTACAAATTTCAAAATTTTATATCAAAACAAACTCACATTAACTTGCAAAAGCATATCAGATCAAATTCTATTCAGATGTGTTAAGACTAAGACAACATTCTGGAAACGGCCCCTTATAGAACAATGAATTCTGCTAAACTTTATGTAAGAACAACCAAATTTATGATAAAGCTTGGGTTGAACTCATTGATGCTTCATGAAAAGTTTATGGGGACAATGAATCACAGCACTCAAATGAGTAACTCCTTTAAAAAGGGAGATGATGAAAATAGAGCCCACAGTGTCGGAATATCCACATTAATTTGTAATAATCTTTTTGTGCCCTAGTTGAAGAGGACAATTAACAGCAAAAACAAAAGCCAACAGAGAACTCTCAATTGGTTCAGTCAGATTACATTAAAAATGTATTTATCTGAAAGGTGGAGTGACAAAGATAGCGGGAGAAACATTCTTTCTCCTGGTTCACTACTTAAACTTTTAAGATTTATTTTATTTATTTGAAAGAGTTACAGAGAGGTAGAGGCAGAGAGAGAAGTCTTCCATCTGTTGGTTCACTCCCCAATTGGCCGCAAAGGCCGGAGCTATGTCGATTTGAAGCCAGGAGCTTCTTACGGGTCTCCCACGTGGGTGCAGGGGCCCAAGGACTTAAGCCATCCTCCACTTCTACCCCAGGCCATAGCAGAGAGCTGGATTGGAAGAGGAGCAGTTGGGACTAGAACCAGCACCCATATGGATGCCAGCGCTTCAGGCCAGGGCTTTAACCCGCTGCGCCACAGTGCCAGCCCCACTATTCAAACTCTTTTAACAGGCTGGGCTGGGTACCTGCAGGACCAGGAACCAAGAACTCCTTCAACTCTCCCACATGGGTGGGAGGAACCCAGGTATTTGGACCATGATCTGCTGTCTTCCAGGACCATCAGTAGGAACCTAATCAGAAGCAGCAGAACTCAATCCTAGGCACTGCAGTCACCCTAAGCAGAAGTAGAGCAAACATCGCACTCAACTGCTGTCAAACGGTCATGTCTAGACTGCCACAATTAAGAGCAGAGCTTTCAATGGGATCAAGATCCTGACACATCTTTTAAGAACTGTAACGGAAAGCCGGCACCGTGGCTCAACAGGCTAATCCTCCGCCTAGTGGCGCCAGCACACCGGGTTCTAGTCCCGGTCGGGGCGCCTGATTCTGTCCCAGTTGCCCCTCTTCCAGGCCAGCTCTCTGCTGTGGCCAGGGAGTGCAGTGGAGGATGGCCCAAGTGCTTGGGCCCTGCACCCCATGGGAGACCAGGATAGCACCTGGCTCCTGCCATCGGACCAGCGCAGTGTGCTGGCCACAGCGCGCCAGCCGCGGTGGCCATTGGAGGGTGAACCAATGGCAAAGGAAGACCTTTCTCTCTTTCTCACTGTCCACTCTGCCTGGTTTAAAAAAAAAAAAAAAGAACTGTAACAAAATGGACAATGGCTTTACCAAGATTCTGAAGACAAACTACAATCAAAGCAATGGCTACCAAGAGCTGGAAGTGGCCAAGAGCAAAGGTCATGGCAAAGTTTTCTGAGATGCTCAAGGCATTTTGCTCTCTGACCTTCTGGAGGGTCAAAGAAAAATAACATTTGCTTAACAGGAGAGTGTTTGGAAAAGGCTGCTCATCCCTCTTACAAACAAGGGCGATTCTGTTAAGAGGTGCAACTGGAAATCTTTAGAATTCACTTTATAATCCTGACTTGGATCCTTCTGTCTTTTGTTTCCTAATGCTTTGTTTCCCACTGCCACCTAGCATCCCGTATAGGACCAGTTCAAGTCCCAGCTACTCTGCTTTTGCTCCATTTCCCTTTCTAATGCAACTGGGAAAACAGTAGAGGGTAGCCCAAGTACTTGGGCCCCAGTCACCCACGTGGAAAACTTAGATGAATTCCAAGCTCCTTGATTTGGCCCGACTCCAGCCACTGCAGGCATATGGGGAAAGAACCAGCAAATCCAAAAAAATATATCCTGAGACCAGTATTGTAGCATATTGGGTTCAGCTGCCACCTGGGTTTCCAACATTCCATACAAGTTAAAGAGTCCCAGTTGCTTCACTTCCAATCCAGCCCCCTGCTAATGGCCTGGGGAAAGCAGCTAAGATCTGTGTCAATGACCCAGATGAAGTTACAGGATCCTAGCTTTGGCCTGGCCCAACCATGGTGGTTCTGTCAGTCTGGAGAATGAAGCAGCAGATCAAAGATCTCGACCTCGACCCCCCCCCCCTCATAATTCTTTCAAATAAACAAACAAGTCTTAGAAGAAAAAAAAAAAAAAAACAGTGAGCTGGCGCCGCGGTTCACTTGGCTAATCCTCCACCTGCAGGACTGGCACACCGGGTTCTAGTCCCAGTCGGGGTGCCGGATTCTGTACCGGTTGCCCCTCTTCCAGGGCAGCTCTCTGCTATGGCCCGGGAGTGCTGTAGAGGATGGCCCAAGTGCTTGGGCCCTGCACCCACATGGGAGACCAGGAGAAAGCACATGACTCATGGCTTTTGGATCGGCGTGATGTTGCCAGCCGTGGCGGCCACTGGAGAGTAAACCAACGGCAAAGGAAGACCTTTCTCTCTCTGTCCACTCTGCCTGTCAAAAAAACAAAACAAAACAAAACCCAAAACAAAAACACTGTGACCAAAATGTTTATCATAAGGATACGAGATCACTTCAACGTAAGGAAATGTATTAACAAGAGCTTTTATATACGTCAACAACGTAAAATGTAGGGGATGGATGGAACTCACTTATGAGTTTTAAAAAAGAAAAATCAAGCAAGACTGAAGTATATAAACTCAAATATCCCTAACGAGAATAATTCACGTTATAAAGATGTAATCCATCTATGAATTCAATATAATCTGTACCAAACAAAACATCGAGTCTTTTACAAAGTTTGATATGCTCTTGATTTTTTTTGACAAAGATACAGAGCCCTATGACAATCTTTAAAAGATGAAAACTTCTGTGGTCCAACTAGCTAAACTGCACATTCCATATGCACATAGGTTCTATTCCCTGCTTCTCCACTTCCAATTCAGCTCTCTGCTAATATGCCTAGGAAAGAAACAACAGATGGCCCAAGTACTTGGGCCCCTACACCCACATGGAAGACAGAGTTCCAGGCTCCAGAATATGGCCTGGCCCGCCCAACAGTTGCGGCCACTGAGGGAGTGAACCAGTGGATGGAAGTTCTAACTCTGCCTTTCAAATAAATCTTAAAAAAAATAAATAAAATAAAATGATAAACAGTCACCCTTCTTGCCATCAAGTTATAAACACATTTATCAAATTAAGTATTCAGTGTTAGATAAAGGCCAGGGATAAAAGATATTGCCCCTAACCTCATAGGTGAAATAATGATACAGAAACAATTCTGAGACAACAGCCAAAAAAGGATTAACAAGGTCTTGTGATAGAAATTAACACGCCTCGCTTAAGAGTATAAAATTCTTAATGTATGAGTAAAACTAACACCTTTGGATTTGATTCTTGTTTATAGTCTTGTCTATATTCCCTGCTTCACAGTCACCTATCTTGTATTTTTCAACTATTTAAATTAAAAATGTTTTCCCAAACATTAAAAGAATAAAGAGGAAGAGGCAGGGAGAAAGAAATACCATATTCTTAGAATTGCATTGCTAAAACACATTAAATATGTTCTCTTCATATTTAAAAAGTGTAACTTTAAAAATAAATAAACAAAACTAATGAGGGCATTTCAAAAATTAAGAAAAATTTTAATTAAAGTTTGGTTGGGGCCAGCACTGTGGCGTAGTGGGTTAGGTTACTGCTCCACTTCTGATCCAGCTCTCTGCTATGGCCCTGGGAAAGCAAAAGATGGCCTAAGTCCTTTGGCCCCTACACCTGCGTGGGAGACCCTGAAGAAGCTCCTGGTTCCTGGCTGGATCAGCACAGCTCTGGCCATTGTGGCCAACTGGAGAGTGAACCAGCGGATGGAAGACCTCTCTCTCTCTGCCTCTGCCTCTCCTTCTATGTGTAACTCCTAATAAATAATAAATAAGTCCTTTAAAAAAAAGTTTGGCACAAAAAATGTTTAAGTCCATGCAGAGGAGTTTTCTTATACTGATTTTTTGTTTTTAAAGAACTCACAGGGGCCGGCGCAGTAGGTTAATCCTCCACCTGTGGTGCCAGCATCCCATATGGGTGCTGGTTCTAGTCCTGGCTGCTCCTCTTCCAATCCAGCTCTCTGCTGAGGCCTGGGAAAGCAGCAAAGGATGGCCCAAGTGCTTGGGCTCCTGAACCGGCATAAGAGACCAGGAGGAAGTGCCTGGCGCTTGGCTCCTGGCTTTTGATCGGCCCAGCTCTGGCCGTTGCAGCCATCTGGGGAGTGAACCAGCAGATGGAAGACCTTTCTGTCTCGCCCTCTCACTGTAACTCTATCTCTCAAGCACCCTGATATAGCTGCCAATTATCATTTATAGATTCAATCTATAGGATCATGGAGAGGCGAGTGTTTAGCCTAGTGATTAAGACGCTAAGTTAACACATCCACACCCTGTATCAGAGTACATGGGTTCTGATCCCAGCTCCAGATTCCAATTTCCAGGTAATGTGAACCCTGGGAGGCAGCTACGGGTTCAAGTAATTGCTTTCTTGCCATATAGACTAAATACCTGCCCCTGCCCCCAACCCCACATTACAGGATTCTAGGGATTGAACCTGTGGACAGAAGACAAAAAATAAATAGTTGAATATCAAATACAGATGGAATGATAACCAACGGTAGTTCCATTAAGATAATGGAAGCGAAAATTTCCTATTGCCTCATAATGTTGTAGCTCTCATTCTGTCATAGCATATGTTTGTTGTAATGTTTTAATAAATCTGCAATGCCAGTCTTACCGATGTATAGCACAACTGTGCACTAAATACCTAATGATAAAGCAATTATTTTACTGTTTTATGTATTTACTGCAGTACATCTCTAAAATATGTATCAGACAGAGACACAGAAAGAAACTAAGAATATCATCCACTTTTTTTCTCCCCAAATAGCCCTAACAGCCAGGGCTGAGCCAGGCCAAACCCAGAAACCAGGATTTCAAACCAGGTCTCCATATGGGTGTGGCAGGGACCCAACTACTTAAGCTATCACCTGCTGCCTCCTTATATGCACAATAGCAGAAAGCTGACAAAGAGCAGAGCCAGGACTTCAACCTAGGCTCTCCAAAATTGAATGTGGGTGTCCCAACCAGGGGTCTTAGCTAATAGGAAAATGAGTGCCCTTATAGAAGACTGTTATTTTAATATTTTAGTGTAAATCAGTATGCCGTAATATACCTCATACATCTGTTTAGCACATAACAGCCTCATATATCTATTTAGCACCTCTCAAATTATGTGACTGCCCTATTCCATCTAGGTGTGTAAAAGCACTGATGTTCATACAATTAAGTTGTCTAACAACGCATTTCTCAGTATGTATTCCCACCGTTCAGTGACCCATGTTGTGTACAGAAAAAATTTAATGAATTTTCTCCATTATTTCCTGAACAATACAGTATAACAAGTATTTACACAGGTTTCTTACTGTATTTGATATTATACAGGAGGACCTGTGCCAATTATAAGGAAATACGATGTCATTTTATACCAGAAGTTTGAGCCTCTTGTGGTACTCTTGTGGGGAGCTTCCTTAAAGCAGGTCTTTGTGGTTACAGAATGTCAACTCCACTTTTTAGGATGACAAATTTTGAAAATGATTATCAAAGAGCTAACAAATTAGAGAAAGTGAAGAGGGAAAGGCTATACGTTAATGCCACAAGTACAAAGTACACACAACACTGAAACAGCCTCACTACTAATTTTCTGAAACATGGACCTTAGAGCCCTAAAAACACAACTGTTTCCATAGCATTAGTAAATGAGAGCTCATCAAGTGTTATCTCCATTTAATTGAAGACAAATTAAAAAATGGCACTATTATCAAGAAAAAACTCACTATAAAGTCTTCATCTTCCATACTGGATATTATCTTGAAACAAAGTTCCTCACAGCACAAATTCTCTTCTGCTGTTGCCACCAAAGCTGCACAGCGGGCAAATGCTCTATATAATTCTGACCAAGTTTTAAGTAAGGTCTTCACTGTAGCCTGGTAAAAAAAAAAAAAAAAAAATTGTGTAGCTATATATCAAGCATACAACAACAGAATGCATCCTTAAGTTTTTAAAATATTAATAATGTAAGGTATTACAGAACAGCCACCTCTGCCCATGAGATTCAAATTAATGAAAAATTCAATATAATAATGCCACAACATCAGCAATTTTAAAAGGTAAAAAGGAACATTATAATAGGAGAATATTCAGAAGACCATATATTCTTCTCACACAAAAACAGTATTGTCTTACCACTGGAAATTTCTGTACTGAAAAAATATGGTTTATTGGTAAAGTCAATGCACCATAGATGGCACTAAAATTATGTTCTAAGGCATCACCTTGATTCACTTCATTGGTCTGAAATAAGAAAAATAATGAAGTTAGACACACTGTTGTAAATTGCTAGTCCTACTAAGTAATTTAGAAAGTAAAGCAGAACTATGTGCCCCAATTTAACATATTTAAGATACTTTAAACTCCTGTTGTTACCTGTGCTTGTGACCTGATTTGGATATATAATTTTTGTAAATATAACCAAGATGAGTTCATACTGGATTAAACAGACTGGTCACTGAATGGCATCCTCGTAAGAGAAGAATATTTAGACACAGCTTTAGAAGATACAGGGAATAACACCATGTGAACACAGCAGAGATTTAAGTGATATAGCTGCCAGCCCAGAATTGTCAGGGATTGCCAACAACCACTAGAGGCTGAGAGGTGCTAAGACAGATTCTGAGTTATTGAAAGATCCAATCTAACAACTCCTTAATTTTGGATTTCTGGCCTTCAGAAAGGTGAGAGTAAGTTCCCACTGTTTTAAGTCATCAATTCGTGGTAATCTATTGTCACCAGCAACCCTGGGAAACTAAACATACTATGTTTAAGTCCAAAGAGAATCCCAGAGGCAACTCCAAAATCTTTTACTCTTCATGCGCAGCATGAAGCAAAGACTTACATAAAAAGTTTCAGTTCTCCTTCCAGAAGTGGAAAGCTGTTTAGAAATGCTAGCCATTTTCCTTTCAAAACAGTATATTCAATGGTGTGCTAACTAAGCAACCAAAACAAGGCACTTTACAACATGAATTCTTTGGAGCCTTCATTTTGTGAGTTACAAATGAATCAGTACAGAGCATACATTCAAAGACAGAAAAAAACTCACCACCATGCATACCGAGTAACAGAACTTGTGCTTTGTGCCACGTTAATATTGCCACTTATTGAAATACTTAAATATAAGTAGTAGTTAACTCCTAATAGGTTGCTGACTTGGGAGACTGCTATCTGGTCTTAAAACCACAGATATATAGTTTAAATGACCATTATCATTCCCTGTTAGTAGTCAATGAACCCAAGATATAAATGTTAAAAATTTGCATGTCTTGAGTATGTATATTACAGTGTTTTTATTTGAAAGGCAGAGTTACATCCAGTGTTTCACTACCAAAAGGGCCACAACTTCTAGGCTGGGCCAAGTCAAAGCCAGGAGCTTCTTCCAGATCTTCCACGTGAGTGCAGAGGCCCATGCACATAGGTCACCCTATGCTGTTTTCCCAGGCCGTGTTAGCAGGGAGCTGGATCAGAAATGAAGCAGCCAGGACACAAACTGGAATCCATATTGGATGCTGGTATCACAGGCAATGACTTAACCTGATATGCCACAATGCCAGCCCTGCTAACTAGTTTTACAATCCTAGGAGGAGAAAACAGAACTGCTTAGTTCAAGTTCCAATTTTTGGAACTGGTGTTGTGGCACAGCAGGTTAAGCCACCACCTACAACCCCAGGACCCAAAACAGGCAACAGTTTGAGTCCCAGATGCAATGCTTTTGATCCAGCTCCTTGCATATGTTCTTGGGAAAGGAGTGCAAGAAGACGCAAGTATTTGGGGATCTGCCATCCACATGGGTGACCTGGATGGAATTCCAGATTACTGGTTTCAGCCTGGCCCAGAACATGTGACTCTGCCTTTCCAATAAACAAATCTTAAAATATAAAAAGGAGCTCTTGCTTCCAAGATGACAAAGAAAAAAGGAACAATAGCTATGCAAAAAAAAAAAAGGAAAAAAAAAAAAAGAAGCACTGTCATTTGGTACACAAACTGCAGTGTATTGAAGTGTGCTAAAGAACTAGGCCATTTAGAAGTTATTCGAGGTGACATTGTTACAGCATAGAGGGGTAAGCCCCTGCCTGTGATGCAAGCACCCACTATGGGTGCAATTCATGTCCCAACTGTTCCCTTTCCAATCCAGCTCCCTACCAGGGAGCCTGCGAAAGCACTGAAAGCTGGCCCAAGGGCTTAGGCCCCTGCACACATGTGGGAGACCCTGATAAACTCAATCTTTTTTTTTTTAAAGAGGGAACTTCCATCCCCTAGTTCACTCCCCAAACGGCTGAATCCTCTAGTTCAATCCCCAAAGGGCTGGGCCAGGCCAAACCCAGGAGCCAGGAGCTTCTTCCAAGTCTCCCATGTGGATACAGGGGGAGGCTCCAGGATCCTGGCTTCCGCCTAGCATACCCCAGCCATTGTGGCCATTGGGGGAATGAACCAACAACAGACGGATGATCCCTGTTTCTTCCCTCTCTATGTAACTCTGCCTTTCAAATAAATTTAAAAAGCTCTAGGAAAATAGAATTGAAGGATAAATTTTTAATTTTTATTAAATTTTTTAAAAATTATTATTCCAAACACAGTAGAGGGTACAGCCATCAAGGACATCTCCAAAGCAAATGTATCCAATGACCATGTGGTTCCCAAGCTGTATGTGTAGCTACATTATCACAGGTTGTGGCACTCAGTGAGGAAATCAGAACTTGATCTTGTGAAGCCCAAAAGGACCCAAAACTACTACTGCAATTTAGATGTGCTGTTGATACCCCATGCCTTCCAAAACCTATGTAAAAGCAGTTTATTAGTCTTTAAGGGCTAAAGAAAAACTATCCTCAGAAAAGTAGAAATTACTACTATAATTGCAGGGTTGGGGGATGACAGAAAAGTTACCAAATCACACTAGATAGAATTTTATGTCTTCTATATAATTCCAAACTGATATTCATTTCTCCTTTAACAGACAAAATGAAAAAAACTAAATTCGAGAGGAAATATACAGATGTTTATCATACCTGATTAATCAATTCAGTTAATGGGGTGACTATAATACTCCACATTCTCCAGAGATGTTCCTTGTTATCCAACTGCTTTGCATTTTGATTAATAACATTTAAAACAGAGTCACTGAAAGCCAGTGGTGAAGTTGGACCAGAAAGCACACAGCTTACAAGTGTTTCCAGATTGAGAAAAAACCTAAAGAAAAAATTAATGCAACATAATCTACTTTTTTAACACATTAATTGTATGTTAAATTTCCAAGACTGCCAAGAATATGATTCCAAGTTCTTAATTCAATTAAAACATTCCAACATAATCATATACATACATTAAATTAAAAGAATCTCATTTGTTACAACCTTTGCAAGATAAACTTTCAGGTTTAAGTACCAACTTACTTTTCATCTGCTATACCACACTCCAGAAGATTACTGAAAATTAACTGAATTAAGAACAATGCTGGAGTTCCCTAAAGAAAGCAAAGAATGAAGTCAATCTTCTCAATTACAATGAATAGTATACTTGTTTTCTATAATCAGTTAAGTAAGACGATTAGTTTAACAGAAGTTTATCTTTTAGCATCTGTTAGGATATAACAATTTCCATACAATTTCCATAAACTATATACAAAAATAAAGCTCTTAATATTGTAATTTTAGTCATTCCATGAATATAAGAAATCTAGGAATGACATTCCAGACATAAAAAGAACATTAACTTACAACTTACTTGACTTGTAATACCTACATCATGCTGATATTAAGTACATTTTACATTATAAAGCTGACATTCCTAATCTTACCAATTTTTTTTTAACAGGGACTAGCACTTACTATGAATAAAATTTTCCTTCTGCAGTCCATAAATTGAGGAAAATATTTCACAATATCTCATTTAATTAACATTACTCTATTACTTCCTCCATCAGTTCTTTAAGTTGGTCAACAAACTGCAAATTTAAAATTTTCAGTTTCACAAAAGTATTTTTTAAAGAAAGGAAAATACCATGGAACTCTCATGTTTTTGACCATATTTATATCATTACATTCAAGATACTTGCATTAAGAATATCCATATTAGCAACCTGATATGCCGGTGAACCTAATACTTTCTGGGGAAGTCCTTTAACCGCAATTTCCATGAGGATCTAAGAAATATAAAAGGTTTTACAATAAATCAGCTATGGAAAAATCACTACTTAGTAAAAGGTCAACTAGTGTTAACTGTATTTTAACTTAAAATTTCTCACAAGCAACATTCATTAATGTGAATACATTCTCATTCAAAATGACTAAATACTTGAACAATAAGGTTTACATTATTTAAAAGTTCAAATGAATGTACAGAAAAGTAAAACAAAGACCTTTATCATTAGGAATAAGCAATGCAAAGTCTTCTAAATTTCAAATACAATTCCATTAAACCATTAATTATCAGTGCAGTTTACTATAATTCTAACTTATTCAACCATTTTCTATTAATGAACCTTCAGGCTACTTCTTTTTATACTGCTTTAAAAAAATGTTGCAGTGAATTAGATACTCACTAGCCTCAAAAAAAAACAAGAATTTCAAAGGATTACTTGCTCAAATCAAACTTGAGTCTGCCTAATAGCTGTCCCAGAGTAGTACAATACTAGTACTAATGTGAACTGTGTAACTAAAGTGTCATTAACACTGAGAATTACATTAGTGAAAATAAGTCTTCACATATTCTTTGAAACAGACACTAGAAATATTTAGAGTCTGGCACATGGCATTCTATATGTACCAACTTATTTAATAATCAACCACTACAATTCATATTACAGATAAGGTAAAATAATGCTAACAAACAGTTGGGGAGTTTCAACTTAAGAGCCAATGCTATTAACCATTACGCTATATGGCCCAAGAATAGTACAGAAAAAAATCCATCTAACAGTACTGCTTGTTTCATCTGCATTTTTCAGAGCTTACTGTAAAAATTATGCACAATTTATACTTTCTTCTCCATGTTAAAAACATGTGCTTGATACCAAAGTCAATACCCAAGTAGAAGAGTTATTTTAGAAATGTATTCCAGTAAACCATTCATGAAGTTAAGCAATCTTGTAAAATTAGCAGACATCTGAGTTTCTTTAGTCAACTGTTAAATACACTTGATATAAAAAACGTCTGCCCAGAACCGGCGCCATGGCACAGGTTAATCTTCCAACTGCGGCAATGGCATCCCATGTGGGTTCTAGTCATAGTTCTAGTCCTGGCTGTCCCTCTTCCAATCTGGCTCTCTGCTATGGCCTGGGAAAGCAACAGAAGATGGCCAAGTGCTTGGGCCCCTGCACTAACATGAGACGGGGAGGAAGCGCCTGGCTCCTGGCTTCAGATCGGCACAGCTCCAGCTGGGGAGTGATCCAACAGAGAGATGACCTTTGTCTAACTCTACCTCTCAAAATCTTTTTAAAAAAATGTCTGCCCAACCAATTTTTTTTCCAAATATCTTCAATGTCATTTTCAGAATCTGTTTTTAATATACTACCTGTAGATATTATACTTACCAATGCTTTTGAAACAGGAAATACTTCTGACTTCACTATGCCTTCCAAAGATTTTAGTAAAACAGTCAAAACCTCAGAACCTGGTCTCTCTTTTTTGTTACCTATCAAAAAGCAAAAAGGTATAGCTTCTAAACATGTAGGTATTTAAAGAGACCAATATATAATGAGACATGAAAATTAATTTCTTAATCAGTAACTGATTCGTTCAAACTAATGCCTGAAACTACAAAAATTCTTTAAAATGAATTTTATGTATAAAAGACAAACATTTCACTAAGTGCTATAAAAATCATTTGATCAGTATTTAAAGTGCTTACCTGATTCAGTAACTGACTTGACCAAGCCAATCAGCTCTTTCCAGATAGCACTGAGAACTGCATCTGTCAAACAAAATAAACTTAACTACTTTCAATGAACTACACATAACTACAAAGGCTGTTCCCCCCTCTTCTTTACACTAAAAAATTGGGTAATAATTTAAAGATACTATTTTCCTTATATTGAACCCATATAAAACACTTGTCATATACTGTATTTGAACAAAGGATTAAAACATGCTAATACAGGACTGTACAAGTAAGAGTAACTGCTGTATCTTTTTCCTACCATCTGTATATTATAAATTCATCTTCAAGACAAGGAATAACAATGACACAGAAAGGTACCTGACAACCAAAAGAAAAAGTTATGTGATTCATTTTCCAATCAGTTAACAGTGAAAGTGTGATTTTTAAATTTCTTTTCCTCATTACTGGATAGATTATACAATTTAGCAGTGTAGATACAGATGCTGGAGATACAGATGCTGGAGACACAGAGCCTGGGAATAAATCATAGTTCCAGTTGTACCATGTACTTTGTGACTTTGCACATGCTATTTACTTCTCTGTACAACCCAGTTTCCTTAGTTTGAAAACTAACAGGGGTTGGAGTTGTAGTGCAGCAGGTTAAGCTGTCAGCTCCAACACCAGCACTCTGTATGAAAGTTCTAGTCCTGGTTGCTCCACTTCTGATCCAGCTCTCTACTAATGCACCTGAGAACAAGGAGAAAATGGCCAACTACTTGGGCCCCAGGGGGCCCAAGAATTTCAATGTTATTTGGGGAGTGGATGGAAGATCTCCTGCCTCATCTTTGTAATTCTGCCTTTCAAATAAATCAAAGAAAAAACAAAAACAAAGACTAACAGGGTTATTTCAGGAATTACGTAATGGGCCAGCATCATGGCACAGCGGGCAAAATTGCCATGTGTGGGGCCAGCATTGTGGCCTACACTTGCATCCCATATGGGCCTGCCTGCTCCACTTCAGATCCAGCTCCCTACTAATTCACCTCAGAAGGCAGTGGAAGATGGCCCAAGTCCTTGGGACCCTGCACCCATGTGGGAGACCTGGAAGAAGCTCCTGGCTTCTGATAAGCCCAGCTCCAGCTGTTGTGGCTGTTTGTGGAGTGAACCAATGCCTAGATGCTCACTCTCTGTAACTCTTTCAAATAAATCAACCTTCAAATGAAAAAAAACCGGGGGAAAAAAAAAAACGCTATCTGCAACACCAGGATGCAGCATGGGTGCCAGCTCTAGTCCTGGCTGCTCTACTTCCAGTTCAACTCCCTGCTAATGCACCTGGGAAAAGCATCAGAAGGTTGCCTAAGTGCTTGAACCCTTGCCAACCAGGTGGGACACCCAGATGAAGCTTTTTGCTTTGGACTGAACCTGCCCTGAAGGAGCCACTTGGGGACTGAACCAGCAGATGGAAGACCCATTTTCTTCCTCCCTATTAACTCCGACGTGCAAATAAATATAGAGAGCACTGTGGTGCAGCGGTTAAGCTAATGCCTGTATGCCAACATCCCACGTGGGTGCTGGTTCAAGGCCTGGCTGTTCTACTTCCAATCTACCTCCCTGCTAATGGACTGGGAAAGCAGCAGAGATGACCCAGGTGCTTGGGCCCCTGCACCCACATGAGACCAGGAGGAGGCACCTGGCTCCTCGAACTAGCCTGGCCTAGCCCTGGCAATTGTGGTTATTTAGAGAGTGAATCAGCAGATAGAAGACCTCTTTTTATCCATTTCTCCCTCTCTTAACTCTTTCAAACAAATAAAGTAAATCTTTAAAAAAATAAACGAATCCTTAAAAAAACTGAATATATATATTAGGCAAATGGTTAACAACCTGACCAATGAGTGGTATCACAAATATCTGCCAGATTCTTTTTAAACACAAATATGAACAAAGAATCTCTCCAAAATATTTACCAGAAGCATCTTTTCCAACTGCAACAAAGCTATCATGAACAGCAGTAATAAGTATATTTGCATGTTTGGAGAAAAAAGAAGGGCTGCTGATTAAGGGATGTTCAAGTGGCTCTAAAAGGGAGAAAATAAAAGACAATTATACAAAACAGAAATTTGAGACTACTTAATTTAAATTTTAATTTCTGAAGGTCTTAATAAATGTTTTATATTTATAATTTTATACTCATTTCACAAACAGTTACAGAGTATCTGTAGTTGTGGGGAAAATTAAATCTCATCTCAATCCACTGAGTTCTAGAATGGTTTAATAATGGAAATTATTTAAAACAAATACCTAAGCTCAAAACAAGTTTGTTTTGCTTAGCAAAATTCAAGACTTCTGGACCCAACAAAAAATGAAGTAACATCTCAAGTCCCAAAAGCTGAATGGAAGGAATTGCGGCCATTCCACCTAAGTTTGAGATCAAGTTCATCCGGGGAGTCACAGGAACTCCGTAAGTGGAAGCACCTTAAAAAAGAAAAACACAAAAGCTTATTAAATAAGCTTGCTTGATCTTAGCATTCCATATGCATATATTTTACTTCAATAGAATGTACCTTTAAAAATTTATTTTCAGGTGTGAATTTATACCTTGAAGTTTCAGTATGTACTGCACTGGGTCCCACAGCAGTACCTGGGAAGAAGGGAGTGACCTGTGCCACACACTAAGGACCATCCTGAAGAAAGCAGTGCAGAAACTCATCCTGAGATCCAAAAGGCATGGTGGCCTCACCAAGCCCACCCCACTACTGCTCTCTATTCTACCACTTTGCTGTTGGTTAGTCCCCAACTGGCCAGCATTTTCCTTCTCTCTGCCCTCCTTCTAGGAGCCCTCCTTCAGATTCCCTGTGCTTCCTTTCCCCTCATTTCTCTGTCTCTGAAGTACTCAAGAGTTACCTCCTCTCCCACTTCAAAATGTGGGCCCCTGCCTAGGTGGTATGCATTTCCTCTTACCCTGCTTCCATAGTTTTCTTATCCCAGACACTTGCTGAATTTTCCTTGTTTCTCAAAGAAATTAATTCCCACCATCATTAAATAAATTAGAATAAGTAAGGGAGGTGGGGCTCAGAAGACTTCAATATGTCTTTCTGAAATTTAAATATAAAAGATAGCTGCCATAATTTACAGTAACTAGTCACTTTAATGTTGTATAAACTAAGCAACATTTAAATCTGAGTTGCAACAGTTCATATCCTATGCCAGGAAAACATTCATCTTTTCCAACCTAAACAATGCATTTGTAGTCAATCACAAACTAAAATATATAAGGCTTATTTTTATATTGGACGAAATTTACAAGGAGCTTCATTTTGTGTGGAAAATACTAAACAAAACCTTCTCTAAGAGCCTCTCAAAAATAAAAAAACAAAAATGTTTCTCTTACCTTTGGTTACAGGAGTCATAGGACTCATACCAGGAGAAGTAGCTACACGAGAGGAAGTGCTAGAATCGATGCTTATTGTGCTCTGAATAAGAGGCACACAAACCTATTGAGGTAAAAGGGAAAATTTCCAACTGTAATTGTGATAATTTACAGAGTTCTTACATAACATAAATGCGCTTAAGAAGCCACATAAAGGGGCCAGCATTGTGGCATAGCAGGAAAAACAACTGCCTGCCATACCAATATCCCATTTAGGTGTCAGATTGAGTCCTGGCTGCTCTACTTCCAATACAGCTCCCTGCTAATGCACCTGGGAAAGCAGAAGAAGACAGCCCAAGTATTTTGGACCCTGCATCAAGGTGGACAGCCCAAATAATTTCCTGGCTTTGGCATGGCCCGCACCTGACTATAGCAACAATTTAGGAAGTGAATGAGCAGATGGAAGCTTGCTCTCAAGTGCTCACTCTTTCTGTAACTCTTTCAAATAAACCTTTAAAAAAAATGCAATCTAAATTCTTCTGACATATAGGTTGGATATCCTGAATAACACTGAAAAGTTTAAACTTCTTGAGCTCCTACACAATATTAATACTTGACCTCGACAAGTACACTAAAAATACTGTATTATAATATTCAGGCTACGAGCATAACATGTTTAAGAAACCTATTTCATGGTTAGACTTGGGTCCTATCCCAGGATATTTCATTATATAAAACACAGGTATTCCAAAATACAAAAAAACTGACATCCAAAATACTACTGGGAGCAGCACTGTGGCATAGTGGGTTAAAGCCCTGGCCTGAAGCGCCAGAATCCCATATGGATGCCAGGTCTAGTCCCGGCTGCTCCACTTCCAATCCAGCTCTCTGCTATGGCCTGGGAAGGCAGCAGAAGATGGCACAAGTCCTTGGGCCCCTGCACCCACGTGGGAGACCCAGAAGAAGCTCCTGGCTTCAGATCGGCGCAGCTCCGGTCGTTGTGGCCATCTGGGGAGTGAACCAGCGGATGGAAGACCTCTCTGTCTCTACCTCTGTCTTTCAAATAAATAAAATAAATCTTTAAAAAAATTTTTTAAATTAAATTTATTAAAAAGAAAACACTGCTGGCCCCAAGCATTCCAGATGAGGGAAACTACTGAAATAAATTTTACCAGCTGCTTCCAATCATATAAACAAGCTAAAAATTAAAATCGAGAAATTAACATAGCACTATGTGACAGTGTTACAAAAGTATTATCTGTGTATCTGTCAATTCTAAAATTATATTACATAAATAACTTTTGTAAATGTCAACCCAAGTTTTGTATGACATTGGCAGACTCCAATTCTTAAAAGCACTTTACAGATTATCAACTAGCACTATGAAAAAAATCAAGTTAACTAGAAAACAAGAATTTTGGGGCCTGGTGCTATGGTGTTAACAGGTAACACCAATGCCAGTCTGAATTCTGGTTGCTTTAGTTTTGATCCAGCTCCATCCTAACCTGCCGGGGAAATCAGCTAAAGATGGTCTAAGTGCTTGGGCCCATGTACCCATGTGGGAGACCAGGAAGAAGCTCCAGTCCTTGTGGTCATTTGGGGAGTGAACCAGCAAATGCAAGATCTCTCTACCTCTGCCTCTAGGTAATTCCACGTTAAAACAAAAATAAAATGAGAATTTTGGATGTTTTCATTCTACAAACATCTTTTAAGTGTTCGAAGAGATAAATATTTTACCTTGACTGGATACTATGCAAGATATATATGTATCAAAATATTACATAGTGTTCCATAGACAATTTTTGTGTCTCCTGAATTTAAAAAATTAATGAAGAGTAAACTTTTAAGATCATTTTTACACTAGTCATATAGTCACTGAATAAATTATTCCAATTAATGTTAGACAACTAGTTAAGATTGTCCTATTTATCCTATTAGGACTTCACAATTGTAGAATTTAGAAAACTGATGGTCCCCATTATATACTACCACCCAAAGCCATTTTTCAGTTCCTTTATGTCATATCATGTTTAAAAGGACTTACTAAAGTTTAAATCATTCTCTTTTTCAAGAATGCTTTTCCTTATATGCATTTATATAAAATCTTAAGAATACAAATTCACAATTAAAATGTAGCTGAAAATGCACAAGAAATCAAAAAGGTAAAAGTTATCAAAGCTACTCTTTCCAATTGCTTAAAAAAAATTGGCCGGCGCCATGGCTCACTAGGCTAATCCTCCACCTGCGACGCCGGCACCCTGGGTTCTAGTCCCAGTTAGGGCGCCGGATTCGGTTGCTCCTCTTCCACTCCAGCCTTCTGCTGTGGCCCGGGAAGGCAGTGGAGGATGGCCCAGATGCTTTGGTCCACTTTGGTCCCTGCACCTGCATGGGAGACCGGGAGGAAGCACCCGGCTCTTGGCTCTGGATCGGTGCAACACTGGCTGAGGGGGCCATTAGGGGAGTGAATCAACGGAAGGAAGACCTTTCTGTCTCTCTGTAACTACCTGTCAAATAAATTCAGAACCAAGGACAGAATTAAAGTCAAATAGGTCTGGAGCCAGCGCTGTACCCAGCAGGTTAGCACCCTGGCCTGAAACACTGGCATCCCATATGGGCGCTGGTTCGAGTCCCAGCTCCTCCACTTCTGATCCAGCTCTCTGCTATGGCCTGAGATGGCAGTGGGGGATGGCCCAAGTCCTCGGGCCCTTGCACCTACATGGGAGACCCGGAAGAAGCTCCTGGCTTCGGATTGGCACAGCTCCGGCCATTGCGGCCATCTGGGGAGTGAACCACTGGATAGAGGACCTCTCTGCCTCTCCCCTCTCTGTGTAACTCTTTCAAATAAATTTTTTTTCTTATTATTTAGTTTATATTAAGACTTCAACAGTTTGCACCCACACAGAACATGAAGTGTAAAATACTGTTTGAGTACTAGTTATAGCATTAATTCACACTGAACACCACATTAGGGACAGAGATCCTACATGAGGAGTAAGTGCAGTGACTCCTGTTGACTTAAATAAATAAATCTAAAAGAAAAAGTCAAATAGGTTTGATAATATTAAATTTTATCTAAATGCCCATGAAGAGATCTAAATGTGTGCGAAATTCGTAAAATATTAACAAAAAAAATCAAAATAAAATTACTGGTTATCACTATATAGCCCAGAAAAGGAAATAGTTTATCACTATATAGTCCAGAAAAGGAAATAAAGAACTGATTAACTTTATATCTACTCTATATAACACTTGATTTCTTTCTTATAATGTTTCCACAGCAAGAAATTTGACCGCAGACTAAAAAGGCTTTACAGGGCTCTATTTTAGGAAACTTGAAAATATTCCTTGTAGGAAATGATTCAAGTTCTATGCCAAGTAGAATTCCATATATTGTGGCCTACAAAGACAAGGGTATTTCCAAAAGTTCCTACAAAATGGAAAGTTAAGTTTATTCTGATGCAAAGCAAAATACAGAACCAAAAAACTGCAAAGGTCGTTCAGTTTTTCAAGATAATGTGTTTTCCATGAAATTCAAGATCCTTTGTAGATACCAAAATTAGCACAAAGACTATACTGGTAAAAGCATATTAATAAATGTTACCTGTTCAAAATTAGCAGCAAGATGAGGTCCCAGTCTCATCAATAAATACCACCACACTTCTAGTTTAGTTAATGCTAGAGTTTCTGTTCTCACATGGATGGAACTCAAAGGCTGCATCAACAACTTGAGTCTTTTTGCACTACAAAGTATATCTTAAAAGAAAATAAGCACAGAAATAAGATTTAAGAACTAAACACATTTTTAAGAGCAGCAATGCAGCAGACTCCTTTCACCATGAGTGAGTACTGAAAAATTTTAAAGCAGGATCAGACATTTAGAATAGCAATTAAGACTCTGGTTAAGAAACCCACATTCCTACTCACATCAGAGTACTTAGGTTCAATTTCTGGCTCCAGTTCCAGCTTCTGATTCTAGCTCCTGTCAAACTCCTGGGAGGCAACAGGTAATGGCTCAAGTGATTAGGTCTCTACCACCCACATGTGAGTCTTGGGACTGCACTCCTGGCCCCCTAGATTCTGCCTGGCCAAGACCTGGCTATTCTAGGCATGTGGGGAGTGAGCTAATGGACAAGAGTTCTCTCAAATATTTTAAAATAAATTTAAAAAGGTGGCCGGCACTGTATCATAGCAGATAAAACTACTGCCTACAATGGCAGCATCCCATGTAGGCACAGATTTGAGTCCTGGCTGCTCCACTACTGATCCAGCTCCCTGCTAATGTGCCAGGGAAAGCAGTAGAAGATGGCCCCAAGTCCTTGGGCCCCTACACTCATGTGGGAGACCAGGAAGAAGTTCCAGGCTCCTTGCTTCAGATAAGCCCAGCTCCAGCCATTGCAGCCATTTAAGGAGTGAACCAGCAGATGGAAGACCTCTCTCTCTGCCTCTCTCTAACCCTGCCTTTCAAATAAATAAATCTTTTAAAATAAATTCAAGCTATCACTGTGGCGCAGCGGGTTAAAGCCCTGCCCTGGCCTGCTGTGCTACCACCCCATATGGGCACCGGCTCAAGTAATGGCTGTTCCATTTCCCATCCAGCTCCCTGCTCACGGCCTGGGAAAGCAGAGGAGTACAGCCCAAGCCCAGTACCCATGTGGGAGACCTGGAAGAAGCTCCCGGCTTGTGGCTTCAGCCTGGCCCAGACCCAGTCATGGCTGATGCAGCCATCTGGGGAGTGAACCAGTAGAAGGAAGACGTGTCTCTCACTGCCCTTCTCTGTAACTTTCAATTTTTTTGCAAAAATTTGTTAAAAAATTAACTACCTGGTTGTTCCTGTTCTTCTTAAAAGACAATGGACCAAATCACCTGTGTGCCATAGGCAATTTTCCCACAAGAAAACAATCAACAATGCAAAAAGCATCTTTGCCTGTAACAGCTGAGAAGATGTGACTAGCATCCAGTTGGTAAAAAACCGAAGACACAGAAAAATTTCATAGAACACTCAGCAAAATGCTCAAGAATTTGCTCAGTACAAAAAAATTTTTGCTTTCTAAAGTGCTGTCCAAGGTGCTCTGGTATTCTCATTACCTCCATCTGACAATTAGCAGCACATTTTTACATTATGACCAATAAGGGTTGGGTCCAATACTGTGGCAATAACAGGTTAAGCTGCCACTTGTGACATCAGCTTCCCAAATGGGCAATGATTTGAGACCCGGCTTCCCTATTTCCAATCCAGCTCTCTGTTAATGCACCTGGGAAACCAGTGAAGATGGCCTAAGGACTGGGGCTCCTGCCACCCAACTGGGAGGCCTAGATAAAGATGCTGGCTTCAGCATGGCCTGGCCTAGCCTAGCCCTGGCCATTGCAGCTATTTGGAGAATGAGCCAGAGGATGAAAATTCTATCACTCTCCTATGTTTTTCAAAGAATTAAAGATATTAATAAAAAGGAGTATGATACTTTAAATTCAAGAATTTATGCTATCAAACATCACTGCTGTTGGGGCCTTTCATTTTATGTTGGAAATCTAAAGATACATTTAGATTCAGGTCTACCCTACCTTAACAATGATCAGACTGTAAAATTCAGCATGAAAATTAAATCTAATTCTTTAAACAAAATGTTTATACTAGATATACAATATGTTAAGAACTGGAGATACATAAAACTAATAGTTTGTTCAAGTATCTTATAATAAAGACTTGAAAAAGATTCTGAAACATCAGGCAAGCCTTGTATTTGATAGAATGGCACTTTTCAATGTTTCTTGTAACTACTTTCATTTAGCTATTTCAATTAACACTTCTGTTATAAAGCAAGATCATGTGGGGGAACTAAGTACTCAAGACACTTCCTTTTTGGAATTCCTATTCCTCAGACAGATGTTGGCCCATGGTTGAGAGGGTATGGTGAGTCCTGGGTCGCACTCCCTGTGCCTCGATTCTGCCTGGTCCACTCTTGGCCATTACAGGCAGTTGGAGAGTGAACCAGAAAATGACTGGGAGCTCCTTCCCTGTTCATCAGTCTCTCAAATTTAAAAACAGAAATGGGGCTGGTGCTATGGTATAGGTTAAGCCTCCACCCGCGGTATTGGCATCTCATATGAGTGCCGGTTCAGGTCCTGGCTGTTGCACTTCCAATCCAGCTCCCTACAGATGGCCTGGGACAGCACTGCAAGATGGTCCAAGTGTTTGGGCCCTTGCATCCATGTCGGAGACCCAGAAGAGGATCTTGGCTTCAGATTGGCTCAGCTCCAGCCATCGCAGCCATTTGGGAACTACACTAGCGCTCTGTGCCTCTCAAATAAATAAATCTTTTCAAAAAATAGAGAAAATTTAAATATTACTTACCCGGATTTAAAGCAAAATTATCTATTAAGCTCTTCCATGCAATAAAAGCTATTTTTTTAATCATAGGTGTTCCACTACGAAATCCTAGTTCTTCCAGCTGTAATAAAGAATTGATGAAGCTTCCACTTCGATGCAAGGTCTGGAAGAGAGAAAAATCATTTAGAAGCTACTTATCTGTAAGAAACTATATACAGATAAATAGTATCATCCATCATTCATTCACTTAATATATGGTCTTAAGAGTCCAAAATGTAATACAGATAAACTACCTATAAAACATTAAAAACAGTAAACGTTAGACATGTGTTTAGTGTAGCAGTTAAGACACAGTGTGCAACACCTGTAAACTGTTATCCAAACGTCTAAGCTCGATTCCAGCTTCCTGTTAATGGGCACTCTGGGAAGCAGAATTACTGACAACGATTGGATCCTTGCCACCCACATGGGAGAACCAAACCAATTTCCTGGTTCCTGGCTCTGGCCTGGCTCAGACTCAATCATTGTGGGCATTTTGAGTGTTGACTGTACGCCTCGCAGATAAATAGTGCTGTAACAGTTAAGTAACATTTTTAAGAATTTAGTAAATATTAGACTTGTATACACATTCAATATTCAAGATTACAAAACAGAAAGCTCTATAAGTATGCATAACACAAGAATTCTAAAATACTAGAGGAAATCAGGAAGAAAGAGATAAACCCCAAATTTTTATCAAGGTAAAAATCAAAGACAACAGGTACAGGTTTGAATATCACTTATCAAAATGCTTGAGAGCAGAAATACATTGGACTTTCAGAGTCTGGAATGCATGTAAATGTATTAATGAGATTATCTTTGGAATGGGACCCAAATCTAAACCAAACTTTGCTGATGTTTTATATACCTTATACACATAGCCTGATGGTAACATGACTGTTTTGACTGCAACTTGTCACATGACATCAGGTATACACACAAGTTTTCCACTCATAATGGATATATGAAAAAAAGAATCAACACTGGAAAGATATTAAACTCTAAAACCATTAAAAACAATCTTTCTGGGGCCAGTGCCAAGGTGCAGTAGGTTAATCCTCCGCCTGCAGTGCCGACATCCCATATGGGTGCCAGTTCTAGTCCCAGCTGCTCCTCTTCCAATCTAGCTCCTCTCTGCTCTGGCCTGGGAAGGCAGTAGAAGATGGCCCAAATCCTTAGGCCCCTGCACCTGCATGGGAGAACGGAAGGAAGCAACTGGCTCCTGGCTTCAGAACAGCACAGCTCCGGCCATTGCAGCCATTGGGGAGTGAAACGACGGCCGCAATGCCTTTCTCTGTCTCTCCCTCTAACTATACCTCTCAAATAAAAACAATCTTTCCAGAAAGACTAAATTAGACAGGAAAAATTATTGAAAACCTGATGCAATGAATAAAAAGCAATGTAGAAAATGGTAATACCTGCTAATACAATGGCAAAGTAAGATCAAAATCAAGAGTACTGGATAGGGGCCACTACTGTAGCATTAACAGGTTAAGCAGCTGTCTGCAATGTCAACAACCATTATAAACACTGATTTGAGACCCAGCTGCTCCACTTTTGATCCAGCTTCCTGCAAAGGTACCTGGGAAGCAGTGGAAGATGGCCCAAGTACTTGGGCCACTGCACGCTCACTCTTTCCCTCTTAAAAGTATTGGGTAATTCCCAAGATGGTAGAATACAGAGGGAACTTACTGCTGTAGTCTAGGGAAAGACAGTTTAAAAAAAGTAGAGTGTTCAACCTCAGGGAAGAATTAGAGAGAAAACCCCAAAAGAAATTCCACACAAATTAGAGGGACATTGTGGACCTATGTTGAGGGTGTGGATGCACACAACTCAGGACCCCAGTGGCCAAGAGCCTCACCACCAACTTTGGAGAGTGATGTGAGACCAGATCGCAGCAACCCAAGCCACTAGCAATAAAGCTACGGGAAGAGGCTGGCGTGAGCCTGGCTTGGAGCGTCACGGGGGACAGTGTGCCTGCCAATCTAGAGGGGAGTGCATGTTTCTCTTTCCCCGACCACCCAGCCCCAGCGTCCCGTAACTAGCCAAGAGAGGGCGCACACCATTTTGGAATTATGTAACAGCTGTGCCAGTTTGTATCTGCAAGCCCAGCAACCAGCCATGCTGAGACACCCATTCTTGGCTAAGAGAATTGACAGGGGCTGGGTGCTCCTGACTGTGGGAGCTTTGTGTGCCAGGACTGTTAAAACACTGTGGCTGCATGGGAGAGCTAACGGTGTAGCTGTGACTTTGAGCAGTCATTGTGGTAGGCTTTTCACACTCGGGGCTTCCCTGATTTCCTGGTAGGGTCACTGCTGCGGGACCCACGCAACACCATGAACCGCATGGATCCTCTGAGCGGTTCTTGTGACAGCATGGACAAATACTGTACCCCGTGGGGCTAGCACACAGGCATTGGTCTCCTTTGAGGGAAAGTAAACCTGAGAATACACCCACAGCACAGGAAAAAACCTCCCATGTGATTTAAAAAAAAAAAAAATTACCATGCCCAACCTGTGTGTCACCTTGGACACTCTCTTACTCTCTTCTACCTGCAGCACTGAACACAGCTCCCTGACGACACCTAGAAAACGCCTCTATGTAGTCAGTGAAAGAAGGGACACTCCAGTAAGCCACAAAAGCATTATCCAAATATAAAAGCCAAAGGTAGAAAAAAATATAACTCTACAAATGCCTAATAATAAACACAGTAATTCAAGAAACAAGAATAAGGAAGATAACATGACGTCTCCAAGGAGAACACAACACTTCAATACTAGAATGTGAAGATGAAGAGCTTGACAAAGTGCAAGAAACGGAATTCAAAAAACTGATCGTAGGATTACTTAAAAGTAATCAGAAGCAAATCCATGAACTAAAACAAATTCATACATGACACATATAAAAATTTTTTCCATGAAATTGAGATTTTAAAGAGAAATCAAAACAAACTACTGGAAATGAACTCAACAGAATAAAAGTGAGGTGGAAGGCCTTAGGACCAAACTCGGTGAGGCAGAAGAAGCAATATCCAAGTTAGAAGACAAATCTCTGGGAATTTTACAGTCAGAAAAAAAAATGTTAGAAAACTAAAACAGCATTACAGATTTATGGAATACTATAAAATGACCCAATATATGGGTCATAGGAGTTCCTGAAGGTGTGGAAAGGGAATGGATTAGCAGATCTTTTAAGTGAAATTATAGAAAACTTTCAATTTGTAGAAAGGGGCAAGTACAGGAAGCACACAGAACTCCTAATGGACATGACCAGAAAAGATCTTCACCACAACATTGTAGCCAAACTCTCCACAGTAAAACATAAGGATTCTAAAATATTCAGGACAGAAATGCCAGAGTAATTTCAGAAGATCTCCAATGAGACTTACAGCTGACTTCTCATCAGAAACCCCACAGGCTAGGAGAGAATGCTGACATAGTCTAAGTCTTAAGAGAAAAAAGCTGTCAACCCAGAATATTTTACCCTACAAAGCTCTCATTCATGAATGAAGGTGAAATAAACCTTCCCACAAACAGAAATTGAGCAACACTTGTCCACCCTTACAAAAGATGCTTAAGGATGTGCTATACACAGAAACAAGGTCATCAGTACAAAAGATGAAGACAGAAAATCTCCTAGTAAAAGTAAAAATGAAGTCCGAAATAAACATTGGAATATTTATGGAAAAATTTCAGGGCCACGTCATTATTTATCAATAGCCACCTTGAATGTAAATGACTTCAATTCTCCAGTTAAAAGAGACAGACTGAATGGAACAAACAAAACCCATCTATTTGCTGCCTACAAGAAACACATCTCAAAGATGCATGCAGACTGAAAGGATGGAATACGTTATTTCATGCTAACAGAAACCGAAAAAGAGCTGGTGTAGCCATCCTAATATCAGACAAAATAGACTAACAAAAACTGTTAAAAAAGACAAAGGGCATTATGAAATAATTAAGGGATCAATTCAACAAGACGATGTGACTATCAATGTATTTGCACCTAATCACAGCACACCTAGCTATTTAAAAAAAAATGTTAAAGGATCTAAAGGGAGAGACAGAATCAGATACAATAGTAATGCGGGGGCTTTAACACCCCACTTTCAGCAATGTACAGACCAACCAAACAGATAATCAACAATATAGACCAGATGGACCTAACATATCTACAGAACTTTTCATCCCACAGTTGCAGAATACACACTCTTCTCACCTGTTCATGGAACCTTCTCTAGGATTGACCACATGCTAGGCCATAAAACAAGTCTCAGCAAATAAAAATAAATCAAAAATCAAAAATCATGCCATATATCTTCTCTGACCACAATGGAATGAAGCTGGAAATTCACTCAAGAATCTCTAAAACATATGCAAACAATGGAAACTGAACAACATGCTCCTGAAGAAATCAAAAAATGTGGAAATAAATGAAAACGACAATACTTCATATCAAAGTCTATGGGATACAGCAAAACCCATATTCAAGGAAAGTTTTTAGCAACTGGTGCCTACATCAAGAAACTGGAAAGGCACCAAATAAACGAGCTATCAATACATCTCAAGGACCTAGAAAAACAAGAGCAAACTAAACTCCAAACAAGAATAATTAAAATGAGAATAAACAAAATTGGAACAAACAAAATGACAGAAGATCAGCAAAACAAAAAGCTGGTTTTGAAAAAACGAAATAGATATACCAACTGCCCAACCAACCAAAGAAACAATAGGGAGAAGGCCCAAATGAATAAAAGTGATGAAAAAGGAAACGTAACAGACACCATAGAAATAAAAATCATCAGAAATTACTACAAAAAGCTACATGCCAACAAATTGGGAAACTCAGAAGAAATGGAGAGACTCCTGGACACATACAATCTTCCTAAACTGAGCCATGAAAACAGACCAATAACCAAATTGGAAAATCAATCAGTAATACGGACCCTCCCAGCAAAGGAAAGTCCTGGACTGGATAGATGGCTTCACTGCTGAATTCTACTTGACATTTAAAAGAACTAACATTCTTCTCAAGCTATTCAAAACAATTGAAAAGGAGGTATCCTCTCAAACTCTGAGGCCAGCATTACCCTAATTCCTAAACCTGAAAAAGAAACAGAAC